TAAAAAATGGTGTGAATGAAAATCAAGAGGAAAGTGAGGTTTAACAGAACGTAGGGAGCTGGGTGAAATGTTTGGCTCAACACAAGGTAGGAGTCTATCATGATTTGAGATAGATATGCCATAACTCAGTTGACGCTAGCCTGAGTCCACCTATCCGCCTAGTACTCTATAACCTTTTATATTCGCAGGGCCAATGACTGTTCGTGCAGCCCGATAATTCGCCTCTCTACATTGTGCGGCATGTTCAAGACCTGGGCTATCTTGCCATATCTCTCATCGATCGCGGTCGAGGATAATAAATTCTGCCCCGGCGGTACAGGCCCAGCATCGGTTTGTATTCCAACCTCGTTAGCCTCGTGTCCGGAGAGTGCTAGGGAGTGGAACGTCGACGGATGGTGGTGCATCGGACTTTTGGACCGTTGAATGTTGTCTGATTAGACTCAGGTGGACGGCGTGATCCGTAGGTGCAATCTACAGAACGGATCCTTAGTTAGCTCCTTCGTTTATGATAAATTGGGATTATGGACTAGGGGCGTGCCATTTTGGTGGAAACTGGGAGAGTTGAAAAAGAGAAGAACACAAAATGCTGCAGGGGAATCTTGAATAGAACCCTGTACTAGACGTCACGTTCTACTAGGAAAAGGCAGTTTGGATTTTTACCCTCAGATGGTGGTGGCAAAAGAAGTGAGACCTTGACAATACCTCGATACTTGTAGTCCATCCATGCGCCTACAACATCAGCCACAGTTATTGAGCAGATAGCTAGTACGCTATAATTTGATTACAATGGTATTTGTTGGAAAGAGCAATGTCAAGCTGCCTATCATAAGAAAGTAAGAGTGAACTGAAATAACCTTCAGCCTTTGACAGCACTCTCTGCTTCTCCCTCGGATCTATTGCAGTGTATCAGGATGGCCTCAGTCTTTATGCGACATGGTTCCACACACAGCCTGTTATCCACTTATAAGCATTTGCTTAGACGTAGTATATAATACTCCCTTCCCCCAGGCGCAGAATCATCTCTATGGACCTCCATAGTATCACTAGACTTTAAGTAGAGCGGTGAAATTCTCGATCCGGTTGCAAGGGTATAACATCTGGGCCAAAACTACCCTTGATTGGAATATATTTACAGTTGACAGAGATACAGCAGATAATTTAACGACCCAAGTCCTTATTTGCGAAAATTGGTCTGAGCTGGAAATCTATTAAGTTGATATTGCACCTGCTCGAGGCAGTGCAATGTTCTCATTCAAGGTGCATAAAATACTATGGCAGGAATTTCAAAGAATTTTCTTCCTGTGCACACACGCCATCAGTCAATTGATATGGTCGAAAATGCACTCTTCCATCCACTGATAAATGATTTCTCGTGCGCACAAGGCCAGAGATGCTTCGACCAGAGCCATCATTCTTTCCTCCAGTCTGCAAAGCATTGCTCCGATTTGGGGAAAGTTTCCCGATTGACCTTCGGCCCATAGGTGGATCAGGGCTGCAGAAAGACCCATGACAAATCTGGCCTCTTGCATTAATTCATAGAAGGTGTTCTCCAGCTCGGTCCGACACGAGGTAATCTGGCTGAGCAGTTCGAGGTTCGTATCGCTAAGCGATCGAATAAGCCTGGCACCGGCCACTGTTTTTATGATATTAGATTTGTGTCTAGTGAGTGGTAGGGGACAGGATGTTAAGCAGAGAGAGTGTTTCTCACTTTTGAGAGATTCTTTTTGAGGATTAAGGTAGTTTGATGGAGTGTATCTTAAACTGAAAGCAATAGCTTCAATCTAAAAGATACGACCTCTGTCAGCTGCTTGTTTTGTTTTTGATTTCGATCATGGGATAGGGAATTGTACCTTTCGCGAATTCTCAGACAAATGAGAAAGTCAAAAGAAGAAGAAAAGGAAATGGAGATCATTGGACTAGACGATCTTAAATAGTAATTCCTACGAGAAACTGCGTTTTTACGAGGAAGGAGCGATTCTTAGTTGATACCTTCAAAAGTAGGAAGGAGTCAACATAGTGTCCCCACAATGACACTCCAGCGGTCAATAGTACGATGGACAAACAGAATTTGATAAGAAGGTGAAAGAGAACTGAAATAAAACTGAAGTTTGTGATAAATATTCGCTTCTTACATAGCTCCATTCTACAACTGGCATTAGAGTCCTGTTGGTCTTTAAGGAATATGGTTCTGCACTTAGTAGGTTGTACACTTCATGGCATTTTCTTGGGCCTAAATTATAACTGTTCCCCCAGCGCTATAATCGGCTCTACCAACTTCTATAAAATTACCAGAATCTCTACAGAACGGTAAAGTTCTCGATCCGGACACAGGTTCATAATATCTGAGCTAATTTCCTTGTTTACGGGCTTTGGGCGCTTACCTTGTATTTCATAGCTTGAGAGTTGACAGAGACAAAGCAGATATTGGAACAAACTCAGTTATTATTATTGAAATGGGCCTGAAATGGAAATATATTTGGCTCATGGTGCATCTGCTCCAGGCAGTGCCGTTGTGATATTAAGATACCTAAAATACCATAACAAGAATTCCATAAAATCAGCTTCTATGGTACATGTGCTGTTGGAAATCGAAGCCTGGGGAGGCCACGAGTCTCCGAGCCTTCGGCATATAGAGACCCAGGGCTCAACCCTCGAAATCGAAGAGCGGTCACACAGGTATAAATACAACCTCCTCAAGTAGTGGGAACAGGTTTAGTTAAGCAATCAAATTGATTTTACTGTGAAGCCCCTCAAGTGGGCTAGCCCTTTCCACACTCACTTTCCTCAACTGGTCAAGCTGCCGTTCCTTGTTCATAATTAACAACATATGCTGTCCCTTAATTTATGTTTTCCCGGATCCAGCCTTCCATCCACTGCTCGGTGATTGCTTGTGCCTGTAATGCCAGTGATTCTCCGAGCAGAGCCAGGATCCTCCCTTCCAATGTCCAAAGTATGGCTGGAATTTGAGTGGATAGTCCGGCTCGATTTTCGATAGATACGTGGACTAGGCCCGCAGGAATAACCATAATCAATTTTGTCTCTTCTATCAATTCGAGAAGGGTGTTGTCTCGCGCAACTCTGCGCTTGGTGAGCTGGGTAAGTAGCTCGAGGCCGCTATCGCTCGCCGATGAAATAGCTCTATTATCAGCCACTGTTCATATTCTATTAGATTTATGTCTGGAGGCTAGCAGGGACAGAGCGTCAATTGGAGGGGTATCTCTCAATCCTTGGTATGGGTTGTATTGGGTCTTTGTGAATTTCTCAACTATGAGTGATAGGTTGGTTCAATCTAGAAGATAAGCCCATTATTAGCTGTATCTCTAGACGTGGATTTTGATCATAGAGTAAGGTATCGTACCTTGTAGTGATTTTCAAAGAGTTAAGAGAAATGGCACAGTTGAAGAAGAAAAGAAAAGAGATGAATGTGTTGGAGGACCTTAAATAGCAATTCCTATGAGAAACTGCGTTTTTACGAGGAAGGAGCGATTCTTAGTTGTTGCCGTCAAAGGTAGGAAGAAATGAAGAGAGTGTCCGGTCGATAACACCCCGATGGTAACTACGGACAAACTGAATTTGCTAAAAAGGTGAAAGAGAAGTGAAATACAACTGAAGGTTGTCATACCACTATTCAATCAAGGCAGTGCAGTTCTGACATTCAAGATGCCCAAAATACAATCACAAGAATTGCATGAAATTGGCTTCCATAGTACATGTAATATCGCTTAGTTCGTGCTTTCCAGATCCCCAGATCCGGTTCTCCATCCACTGACCAGTACTTGCTTGTGCCTGCAAAGCCAGAGATGCTTCAAGGAGAGCTAGCATTCTGCCCTCCAATTTGGGGAAAGTGTCCCGATTGATCTTCGGCCCATAGGCGGATCAAGGCTGCAGAAAGAGTCATAATAAATTTGGCCCCTTGCATAAATTGAAAAAAAAGGGTGTTCTCCAGCTCAGTTCGGCGTGGATTAATCTGGGTGATGATGCTTCGACCAGAGCCAGCATTCTTTCTTCCAGTCTCCAAAGCATGGCTGGGATTTGCGCAAAGATCCCCGAGCCATTTTCGCCATATAGGCGGATTAAGCCTGTAGAAACAGGCATGATGTATCTGGCCTCTTGCATGACTTGACAAAGTATATTCTCCAGCTCACTTCGGCGCGCAGTGATCTGGGCGAGGATTTCGAGGTTCGTATTGCTCGGCGATTGGATAGGCCTATTGCTGGTCACTATTCCTATAGTATTAGATTTATGTCTGGAAGCTGGCGAGGGATAGATGTTAGCTGCGCGGTTGGGCGTAGATTTTGATCGTGGATTAGGGATTGTACCTTGCGAGGATTTTTGAAAGTTTAAGAGAGATGACGAAGTTGACAGATTCAAGAAAGGATATGAAGGCGTTGGGGGATCTTAAATAGTAATTCCTATGAGAAAGCGCGTTTTTACAGGGAAGAAGCAATTCTCAGTTATTACCTTCAAAAGCAAGAGCAAAGCTAGTGTCCCCTCAATAACACCCTAGCGGTAGACAAAATCTACATTGCCTTCAAAATAAGGCATATTAATAGATTATATAGATAGTTAGCCACAATCGATACAAAAGGGTATCTGAAATAGTATTGTTGGTGGTCATGTGACAACCTTTGCTCCAGATAGCTTTAGTTATTCTTCCTGTTGATAGTTTTCCTCCCTTCTTCACGCAACTTGCGTATTTTCACCAGTACCCTACTATCCATTGTAGATACTGCCATTACTCGCAATAGGTTATGAGCTCCGTTGAGTCCTCTGCATAACTGTAAGACTCGAAACACTGCTTCTAGCTGATTGGCGTACTGCGTCGCGCCAAGGTGTCGAATTCTGGTGAGGTCTCCACTTGACCCCGCTAAAACCGTTTTTCTCCACCAATCCACTGATCGAGATTAATACCCCGGTCTTTAGATCTTATCCACAGGACAGATCTTATTCCTCGTTTTTAATCCACAAATGGGATATTACGGTTTTGACGCCGGATGATGATGTCGAACACACCAGAGGGATCGCCGCCGGCGCCAGCGAGGCGCTGGTCACCCTCACGACCTCCCCCCACTACCTTTGAATTCGAGTTCGATCAGCGCAATGAATCGGACATCGAAAAGATTGTCCCAAAGCTCAAGGGAGAATCGAATTGGGTCAATTGGGAGGATCACTTTTACATGGCTCTAAAGGAGAATAACAAGGCATATATCAGGGTGATACGAGAGGATAACACCCGTCCCGTTCGTCCTGATTACCTTGATACCTCCGAAAGCACTGTTCGACGGCTTCTTGCTGTCAATGCTGGAGGAAATGAAGAGCTTGTTACTGATGTGGTTGTCCGTGAGACAGCTAAAGAACGACAGAATCAGAACTACCGTCTACGTTCGAACTGGCAGAAAGAAGTCGACAAATGGGATCAATGCAACACTCGAGTTTGCAATCTCATGTTCAGTACTGTTGAACCTGTTCCTGCTTCTCTTATTGACAAGGTTGAAAATGCCATTACTCACGATTAGTATCATAGACAAACTGGACTTTACAAGAAGGTGAAAGAGAAGCCAAATAAAACTGCAGTTTGCCATCCCACTTTTTGTTCCTTACCCAGCTCCATTGTACAATGGGCGTTAGAATCCTATCGATCTTTAAACAACATGGTTCTACACCTGGTAGCTTGTACACTTCCTAGCTCAAATCACAACACAGGCTTCTCTCGGGGCTATAGTCGGCTCTTTCGACTTCTACGACATTACCAGAATCTATATAGGGTGGTAAAGTTCTCGATCCGGAGACAGGTTTATAATATTTGAGCTAATTTTCTTATGTATGGGCCGAAGGCATTTACCTTTCATGTTATAGCTTTGTAGTTGACAGAGAAAACGTTGATATTGAAAATGACAAAGTCATTATTCGTAAGATCAGCAAGTTTCATGCTGGCAGTAACTGAATCTCCTCCAAAAGAAGAAGCAGAACCCACATTTCGACTTCACGGCTCATCCCCGACTAGGTGGTGTATGCCCATATCCACTCTTCCAACCAGTGATCCAAAATTGCTTGCGCTTGCAAGCCCAAGGATCCATCGAGCAGAATCATCATTCTTTCCTCCAGTCCATGCAGCATCCGTGGGACTCGCAGAGAGAGGCCAGACGGATCCTCCGTCCCTGCGTCGGTCACCAAATGAGGCAAGGACAAATAGAAAGTGAGGGAAAAGAGAATAATGAAATGGAGTCTGACCTAACCCGGCAACACGAGCCCGAGTCAGAACAGGGAGGTCTCCCGAGGTCAGCCAGTCAGGCTCGACTAACCGACCCACACTAGATCGGTTTCGGGAACTAAACAACCCCACCCAACACCAGTGAGGGTAACGATGACAAGAACAAAGGACTAAGACTCCCCTTCCCACAGTGACAGGGTAACAAGGCTCACCAACACGAGGTCAAGCCTGACTAGGTACGACTGGACTAAGCTACCGCTAGCTCAGGATGGAAGAGTAAAAGAACGTTAATAATATTGAACTGCAGCTATGGTCTCAGGGTAATATACTCTGAATTCTGCCACAGGAGTCCGCCGGAGCGGATCTACTTGGCCGCCGAGCCTCCTGCTCGGTACAGGGTTCGGTAGTTCATAATTCTTGACTCAGGTCAAGAATTTCACAGTAAACAATTCTAATCATACAAAGCAAAGAAAATCATGCCCATCCTCCTCGTCTTAATCCTTCTCACAAGAGAGATGGATCGTATTTGAGATGTCGATGTACGGTGGTAGCTCTGAGACATCCGGGACGGGCGACCACGCTTCCATCCGAGCACGGGACTCTGGGTATTTCATGACCTCTTCTTCTAATCGGAGAAGTCGATCTCTGAACCAATGAGCCTCGAGCCAGACGTGTCTGATCGTCAATTCGTGGTTGGCCTCCAACTTCTTAGCTACCTTCAGTAGTCTTCTGATCCGGCCGTAATACCCGTTACCAGTCTGGCTTCTGCCATCAACTCGATTAGGGTATCGTTTCGTTGGGTTCTGCGAACGGTGAGCTGGGCGAGCAGCTCAAGGTTCTCATCACTAAGCGATGGAACGGGCCTATTATCGGCCACTTTTTCCATTTGTTTAGCTCTATCTCTGGGGGGTGGTAAGTAACAGAGCATGAAGGGCACGGGGTGTTTCTCACTTGCTGGTGTAGGTTGTGTTAGACTTTTGCTGAATTTCCTAACCGTGAGCGACAGCTTCAATCTAGAAGGTACGCCCATTGTTAGCTGCATTTCTAGGCGTCGATTTTGATCATAGAGTCAGGGACCGTACCTGGTAAGAACTCTGGGAATAGTCAGAGAAATGGGACAGTTAAAGAAGGAAAGAAAGCAGATCAATGTGTTGGGGGATCTTAAATAGTAATTCCTACGAGAAGGCTCGTTTTTACGAGGAAGGAGCGATTCTCAGTTGTTACCTTCGAAAGCAAGAGTAAAGCTAGTGTCCCCCAAATGATATCTGTAACGGCAGTTAACACCTCCAGATATGTCTCACCTCGGAGGCATAGTAATAGAGCAAATAGATAGTGAGCCGCAATCGATACGAAAAGGGAATCTGAAATAGTACTATAAAAAGACTGAACTTGCCAAGAATGTGAGAGTGAAGTGAAATTGTGATACTAGCACTATTCGTTCCTCTCTCAGCTTCATTACGCAGGGTCAGAATTCTGTTGATCTTTGAACGACATAGTTCTAAGCCTGTAGGCCACCACTTTTGCTGCCCGCGCGAAGACCTTCTCTCTGAATTACAATAGTACCAGACTATAGACAGCCTAGTAAAATTCCCGGTGCGGGTGCCGAATATTCCATCCTAAGCTCATGCCAGTAGCTATTACTCACCACTAGCACTAGGCAATTGTTCCCAACTTTTCGATCTCGTTAGCATTTTGTATGCAACAGAGCCAGTATGAGCATTGACGGAAGTGGTGTATGTAAAGGAAATACTTCTAATGAGAGAGTGAGGCTTAAAAAATGGGAATGCTGAATTTACTTTTGTCTAAGAGCCTACTCTTCTTGATATTTCTTTTAAAAATTGTTAAGACCGCATTGCTCCCGGTCCACAATTATTTAGTTGTCGACATCCCCTTCAACTCCTAGCCCAAGCTTCGCTTCCAATACGTCCCACATTCTTTGCCCCAGCTTGAGAAATCGCTCCAAGTGTCGTTGTAGTTGGTATGGATGCGTCGTTTGGTGTGGCAGCAGTGGCAGCTCCTGTGGTAGGTGTTAATGGGATTTCAGCGGTGTCTTAGGATCTAGGATCTACGTCACACCTCCAGTGAGCCCCGCATGAAAGCGGCTCCTTCTTGCGCTTGTGACATTTACATACGCACACTCGCAGCGGTGTAAGCTATTCAAGCTGCTTTTGATCCAGCTCAAACTCGGGTCATGTTCAAGTACTGTTTCTGGCTAGCTTTACCCTAGAATGTGTCTATGAACGGAGTACCGATGGAAGGGTTATATGTCACGACTTGTTACACATTGAAGAACTGTATTGTCAATTATTTAGGTTCAGCAGTTAGAGACTGAACCCTCAAGTAGCGAGAGCCCTGGCCACCTCCTCGTTTTCCCACCAATTCAATACCGCAATGGCTATCCAATCCGGTGATTTGCCTTCGGTTGTTCGTTGTAGTTTCGAACTTGGAGACCATGAATATGGAAGGTATTTGGTAGAATTGTCGCGTTATTCGTCTGTGCCTGATTATTTTCGGAGGTCAAGTCTTCGTAGTATTTGTTAGTGACACTTTATGTTCGATCAAATGACTTAACGAACGGTTCCAATGGGTTGTACCTCAATTTGACTTTGCCCAACCCCACTGGGCAGTCCATTCATCTGCTAGCTGTTGCCCCTGTAGGTTCAAAATCTCCTCAAGGAGGCCCAGCATTCGTTGCTCAAGTCGTTGTAGCATTTCTGGAATGGATGCGGATAACCGGAAAGAACCATCGGCGTGCAGGTTTATCAAACCTGCACTGGTCGACATGATAATCCGTGCCTCTTGTATGATCCTTTCACGTGAATGATCTCGCCCAGTTGTGCGGACTCGAAGCTCCGCGAGGAGCTCCAACTGTGTGTCCTTCGGCAATGCTAGCCTCCGATGTGTTTTCTCAGCCATGGCTGAATCAGCGGATAAATTGTTGGTGAAGGCATTTTTGAGACTTTAGGGTAACGGTGGATGGGTGAACCGAATGGCTAGTTGATGTGGATGGCTGTGCAAACGAGGAGTAGTCGAAGTTGACTCAATTGGCGTGGTCAGTCCGCATTTAGGCTAGATGCTCTCAAGTGTAGAGCAGGCTTTGGTCATAAGATTTTGATAATCTGAAGACATGGCAATAATTCCAATTGAGCCAGGATCTTGATTACCGGGGTGATAAGCAACTCAGGAAAGTCTGTTTACAGATGTCTCAGGGACTGAAACTGCCTCCAAATGTGATGATATAATCTGTCTTCAGGAAAATACCAATAAAAGAGATTATGCAGGAGTATACAGAGAGTAGAGCTGCAACGACGAAGTATATGGTCGCTGGCGTTTCTATCAATAGGAAGCAAATACCATTTTTTTATGCAGGCAGATACCACCCTCGTACCATTATGTTGCTCCCCAGGTAACAGCACAAGCCTGGCAGAAATGCCTGTGTTCCCCCGCAGTATCGAATTATGATGTCGAAACTGTTTTGACTTTCTCCGAAGGTAGTTCCCACTAGGTAGGATGTGATTTTCCGCTTGTTAGGTTGTTGTGCCAAGTTGTAGATCACTCAAAATTCAAACCTCAAAATCAGTACCACGGTGCCTGTAGAACTAGAGTGTCTTTGTCACTATCACAACGGCCATACCTTTACCGGTTTTTAGCAGGGAAAAGGAAGCTCCTTAAGATAATAATCTCTCATAATAACAAAAGGCCGGACGCTCAATTTTAATTTCGTCACTTCTGGCATAGAAGTAAAACAAGAGTGAGAAATACTGATCGATCAGTGAAAAAAAGCATTCTTTATTATGGTTGACAGGCTTCAGATCCTATCAAACTATGGCGACATGTACAAAGCTATGAATTCAAGTTTAAACCAACTCAAAAAGCGGAGACACATAACTTGTGAGAATATAGAAAGCTTTCTGTCACCTATTCAGCATTTGACGTCGACGTTCGTGCCGAATGGGATAAAATACGCTGTGCAGGCATGCTTCCAAGCAGTCTGAAGTCAGGGATATTTCACTCATTGAGGCTGCACATTTCGTACCGTCGAGTCCCGATGTCTGGGTTGTCCCACCCTTAATGTCAGAGGATCTTTATATGTGAATCAGAGACCCGTTTGCCCACCTATCAATATGTCGCTAGAGCCGCCGCTAACGAATTTATTCTAATATACTCTGTTTCCGGCTATAGACCGTTGATGGAATACTGAGGTGATAGTAAAGTTCTGAAATTGTCTGAAGGTTGATCAGACCCAAGCCAATTCTAATACTAACTTATCACTGATAGCCCTGGATGAATTTTGGCTCTTTCTTCAATGCTGCTAACTTTCGTTATGTGGCTGGCGTATTTGGCAATGGAGCTCCGGAGAAGGGGTGTATCTGACATTTTGTGCTAATCGAGGGGTTAATGGTCGGTGACTTCAGGTTGAACGACTAGCTTAACACGTACTAATCAGCTTTGCCTCATCTCGTTGTTTCTCATATGGCTGAGGAACTATACCGTTACTTCGGCGTCCAAGGTTTCAGTGCAAGGAGGTAATAGAGGAGAAATAAAAAGAGAAAATACACCAGAGTCGACTGCTACTGCTAGAAGGAATCATAAGCTATGTGAATCCTAGCGAATTCTTCCATAGCGGTATATCGCTACAGATTTAAGATCAATTTTCAGTATACAGCACACTCTGGATAGTACACGTAGCTATGTAGCAAGCCACAACATGAAAGAAATCCTTCACCTGAGAGTAAACTGGTACCCAACCAACGGGTCACTGTATTCATACTTCAAATATGACTATTGACGCAATATTGTAACGGGTGATAGAAATAAGGTAAAGGCTGACTATTGACGCAATATTGTAACGGGTGATAGAAATAAGGTAAAGGCTGACTATTGACGGATAACACCGTAGAGCAGTAGTCAAGAAACGTTCCCGTAATTGTCCCTCAACAAATATTCTCCCATACCCACTGCTCAACCCAGCTGTCCCTGCCCTCTTGTTCCTTTATTCGGTCCAGCTGCTGGAGAAAGAGCAACATCTGGCACTCCATTTGGTTGAGTATATCAGCCGTTCCGGCCGACAAGGTATTATGGAGGTCTGTGGAGGAGTCAATTATGCCGGCACATGCTTGCATAACTCTTACTTTTTCTTGGATGATCAGTTTGCGAGCCTCGCTCCGGCTGATCGCCCTCTCCTGTAATTTATCCAGGATCCTCATTTAGCCTTCCGGTGATATAGATCCAGTTATCCACCTATCGGCATTTTCCCTGGCCTGTCGCCTACGAAGGTCTTCTGAGGGTGCCAGGATACTCTCTTAGGCTCTAGCATGTTGCAGGACTCGAAGGAGAATCGTAAAGTTCTGGAATAGTGGTGCAGGTTGAACAGCCCCAAGCTGATTCTAATAATAACTTGTTTTTCATACCACTGGCCGACTCTCGACGACTTGTCCGATTTTGATCGCCTTTGTTATATAATATGGTTACGAATTGATCTTCCAGGGGAGGTTTGTATCGACCCAGGTGACTTTCAGCGTTGACTGAGGGCTTGGCACGTTTAATGGAGTGCGGCATCTGGTTGAATCTGTAACTGAAAATTCACTCATAAGCTTCTTCTCTCATTGGAAATTATCCATAGAGCTAAGGAGTTGTACGTTTAGTATAGCTAGTATGCCGTCCAAGGTTGTCATCCTGGGCGTTGAGAAACAAGAAAGATGAAGAGAAGGCAGATCTGAGTGTTTCCTCCATGTGAAAAGCATAACCATAGGCAAGTGTGTGCAATACTTGTAGGCTTCTATATATCCAAAGTTATTTGTATTAATAGAACGTACCATTCGTGTAGCAATGAATGAGAGGTGGGAAATTTATTTCAACAAAGGGTGGCCGTAGACTGATCCCCTGTCAGTAGATCATTGAATTGTTCAAATATGTGTTCGAACGACGTTTCGGCAAACTCACTACTAAACCAATCCACAGTCCCGGCTCTCTTGCGCGTCGATCTCACGCAACTGCTTTGAAAGGAGCAACATTCTAGCCTCCAGGTTTTGTAATATCAACGGAATCCGATCCGACAACTCGAAGTCCAGATCTGCATAGAGGCTGAAAGGTCTTTGGTAACCTTCCATGATGGTGTCATGGGGTTCATCTCGGCGAATTTTTCTCTTTCGCAGCTCACCGTGAGGTTTAATTTGTCCGTCACTAAGTGACGGAATAGGCCGATTGTTGGCCACTTTGCCAATGTCAGTTCCGTATATAGAATGTGGCGGGAAACGGTAAATTGTGAGGGGGGTGGGGAGGTATAGTACTTACTTAGAAGGTAGCTTTCAAAGGCTCAGTCAAACAGGTTAGAGGAAGCACTGTTGACCCTGCAAAAAAGGCCTCTTTATCAGCTACCTGATTCGTCGTAAATTTTGACCATAGCCTAAGGGATCGTACCTTATTTTGATTAAAAAGCTGCGCTTCTGGCGAAATCGAGAAGTTGAAGTAGAAGAGAAGAGAATACACGATTGTGTAGGCTGATCTTGTATAGCAATTCCTACGGGGTACCGGGTTTGCACAAGGAGCAGTCTTAATTTTTCCACCTTTAGGAGGAAGGAGCTGGTGAGAAGAGGCTCAGTACTCTGATACCTTTGAAATCAGGCGTAGCGACTGATCAGAGAGCAAGCCATAATTCAAAGTAAAAATGTGCTTAAAAGAGACCTCTTATGAAAATATTCGAATAAGAAAGTAAGAGTAAATTGAAATAAAGCTGACTATTGCTACGAGCTAGATCAATCATCAATGAAGAAAAAGTGCATTTAACTAGAAAGTCAAAGATGGGGAAGAAGAGAGAGAGAGAGATCCTGGGGGTTCTTATACTAGAGGATCTCGATATGCAAACCATGCAAACAACCCTCTCCTTCCCGATTAGGTTTTGCCAGACTGGGATATGGCCCCCATAGGCCCGAAACAGTAACCTTGGTTTTTGTTATGTTCAAGTGGTAAAATGGCTGTATTGTTTCCTACGGGTTTAACAGCACTTTGAAGAACAAAGAAATAAAGCAAACAATGAAAGTAGCAAACGATCTCTGACATTTGGCAAAGCATGTGAAGACTTTCAGGTTGCGACAACCATTCACGGATACCACCGTAGAGCAGCAGTGAAAAGTTCGCTCAACAAATGTTGCGCCATACCCACTGCTCAACCCAGCTGTCTCTCCGCTCTTCTTCCTTTAGTTGGTTCAGCTGCTCCAGAAGCAGCAACATCTAGCTTTCCATTTGTGCGAGTATATCCGCTGCTCCGCCCAACATGGTGTCGAGAAGGTCTGTGGAGGAGTCAACTCCTTCAGCATATGCTTGCTTGACCCTTGTTGCTTCTTGATCAATCGCTTCGCGGACTTCAGCACGTCGATCTCTTCTCTCGCGCAGTTCATCGAGGATTTGTATCTGTCCGTCACTTGGTGACGGAACACGCTGATTTTCGGCCACTTTGCCAATGTCAGCTCTGTGTGTAGAATGCGGTTGGAAACGGTGGATCGTGGGGGAGGGGAGGCATAATACATACTTATGAGGTAGCTTTAAAAGCTCTGTAAAAGAGGCTAGCGGGAAAATCTTCACTGTTCAACTTGCAAAAAGCCCTCTTTGTTAGCTTACTGATTCGCCGTAAATGCTGACCATAGGCCAAGGGATCATACCTTGTTTTGGGTAAAATAAAAGCTGCGCTAATTGCGAAATGTAGGAATTGGGGGAGAAGAGGAGAGATGGTTGTGTGGGCAGATCTCAAATAGTAATTCCTACGGGGTACCACGTTTTCACAAGGAAGGAGCAGTCTTCATTTTTTTTCCAATCTTCACGAGGAAGGAGCTGGTGAGAGGAGAAAACTCTGATACCTTTCAAATCAGACATAGTGATTGATCAGAGAGCAAGCCATGATTCAAAGTAAAAACGTGCTGGAAGAGACCCCTTATGAAAATATTTAAATAAGAAAGTAAGAGTAAATTGAAATAAAGCTAATTTTATGACTACACTACACTATCTTTGATCTAGAGAAGATTGTAGGAATAATCAAACAGTGGGAAACCTCTCAATCTCCAGATGGCTTGCAAAGACTGAAAATCGATTCAGTGAATATTTTATTTGTCTTCACACAATACTGTTAAAAACCGGTCCTCCGTCTAACATTCCGCATGGTCTTACCTCTATGGAGAGCCATTTAATCTAAGTAACTATCCTCGGCATCCACCTAGGCAACCTCTTCGGAGGTTTTTATGCAGAGCCTTAATGAGCAAGAAAGGAGAACAGGAGACAGAAACAGTTTGACCTCCAGGACTAACGCATAAGCCATGTGAAGCCTCTGCAATCCTCGCCTAGCACTAGAGATCCAAATTCTGATACTCGATAGAACATATACATAGTCCAAGGGTGAACTTGAAAGTACCCAGACTTCAATAAAAAGAATATGATCTTAGCATAAAGTAAAGAAAATTCATATTACTCCAGGATATTACTACGTTCTATCTTGGAATGTATGTTCACGCGATATTAGCCCAAATCCACCCTTCGGCGCAGAGGTTTGCACATTTATAAGCTTCCAGCCCATGAAGCTAGTCGAGAAGTTCCAGCATTTTGAGCTCTAGAATTTAAAACATCGTGGGAATACCATCCGATCAGCAGAATTTCAGGTTGGTGTATAGCCCGATGAGCCCTACACATATTTCCATGGCAATACTACCCTCCACCATGATGACTTCACGGCTGTCAACCCGTTGCAGATATCCCTTGTAGTTCTGCTGGGGTCTCTATCTATCTGCTCATTATTTGGGGATAGGACTGAGTGAGTGTCGGACACTTTTTCAACGTTAGCGTCATGGCTGGAGGGAGGTTAGCACTCTGGAAGCGATGCGGAGGGGATGTATAATCCACTTTTTTGGGACCTTGATGAATTCTCCATTCAATTTCGGGAGACACATATAGAATAAACTACAAGAAAACCTCTACTTTAGCCTCCTGTTATATCCTACGTGGATCACAAAGTAAGTGGTTGCGCCTTGTGTGGTTAAATGTGGGATAGGAAATTTGATATCGTTTCTAGCGGTCACGAAATAGTTTATTCGAATTTTTTTCAGGCCACTGTCTGCCACACTCCTTTATCCACCGGTCCTTACGTTCTTGCGCTTTGGGCTGACTGAGGTTTTGTTATAGAAGCCATAGAGGAAGTGATCACCCTAGAGTGCTGAAAGTCGACAGTCTCTTGGGGCCGCATCCCATATAGTTCTTTCGGCAGGGTTATTATCCTATGTTCCAGTCTTTGAGGTATTTCAGGAATAGCCTGAGGAGGCCAAAACTCCCGATCTCTGGATAGATTGAGCACCCTGTGGAAATTGCCATAAGAATTCCCACGTGTTCCCTCAGAATAGCACGCAGTCGTACGTGGTTCCAAATATCCAGTTTCCCATCAAGGAGGGAGGCGATTTATCTATTTCTGGCTTCTTCGCCCGTGTTTCTAGCCTCATCTCTTGCGAATGGGAATGTAGAGGCTAAGTGTTAGAGTAATAGCAGTATCTACAATGAATAGTAGGGTACTGGTAAAAATACTCGTGTTGCGTGTAGAAGGGAAGAAAATAAAAAATCAACCCCCTATGTAAAAGACCAGTCTTTTTAGAACAATGATAAACCCTCATAAAATCAATTCTTCCGATACTCATGCAAACCAATCTAGGCGATCCATCTCTTGAAGAGTCCGTAACCCTTTAGGCTCTACTAGGCCCAGTATGCGATGCTCCAGCCAACTTAGCATTCTAGATATTACAGTAAGTCACAATTTAGGTTAGCATGATGTTTAGAAGATTGCCCCTTATAGACGGATTTCCGCAAAAAGGTGAGAGTAAATTGAGATTTAAGTGATAAGCCTTAGACAACCTTGCATGCTCGCCTCGCGAGCGTCATCACGGCAATTTGTTCTCTCGTGTAGCTCATCGAGGAGTTTCATTTGTCCGTCACCAAGTGACGGAACACGCCGACTTTTGGCCACTTTACCAATGTCAGCTCTGTTTGTAGAATGCGGCTGGAAAGAGTGGATCGTAAGGGAAGGGAGGCATAACACATACTTATGGAGTGCTTTCAAAGATCTGTGAAAGAGGCTAGTGGTAAAATTCTCACTGCTGAACCTGCGGAAAGCCCTCTTTGTTAGCTTACTGATTCACCGTAAATGTTGACCATAGGCTAAGGGATCGTACCTTATTTTAGTTCAAAAGCTGCGTAAAGATGCCTTACGCGCTTAGTTTCAGCGCATTTCTCGGTCCTGGAGCTCAGCCAGTATCTCTGCTTGTCCGTCACTTGGTGATAGGATAAGCTGAGTATCGGCGACCGTTCCAATATCAGCTCTGTATCGAGAATGCGGTTGGAAACAGTGGATGTTGAGGGAGGTACTGTAGGGTATATATAGCACCTGCTTGCTTTTTTTGTAACATCGCTGTTGTGTATAAATTCTGATCCATTCAGTTGCACCTATAAAAAAAGGCCTCTTTATTAGCTGCTTGTTGAGGGGCAGATCTTCATCATAGACAAGGGAATCGTACTTTGCGAGATATCGCAAATACTCATGAAATGACAAAGTTGAAGAAGAGAGAAAATGAAAAGAAAATCAATGTGTGGGAGAATCTTGAATGGCAATTTTGTAGAGCTTGTTAACTGTGAGCGATGGCTCCAATCTGGAGGATAATCCCATTGTTAGCGGCGTTTCTAGGCATAGATTTTGATGATAGACCAAGGAATCGTACCTTGTTAAGAGTTTGGGAATGGCAACAGAAATGGCACAGTTGAAGAATAAAAGAATGGAAATGAATATTTTCGAGGATCTTAAATAGTAATTCCTACGAGAAAGCGCATCTTCACGAGGAAGGAGCGATTCTCATCTTCAAGCAGGAACACCAACCTGTGACGAGCACTCTTATATAAATAATGTATATACCTAGTAAGCTATAGTTAATAGCAATGTGATAGTGGATATCGATCTATATACGATGACATTGAAAGTGAAAGAAGAGTGAGATTTGCTCATGGCACAGTTGGGGGATTATATATCTTGAAGATGGGACTAAGTTCAGATGGTTTGATGAACGCTCAGGTGACTTGGTATATCTATCTAGCTAGAAGATTCCCCTAGAATCGTCTACTAACTTCCATTAACTATACCCAGGTTAGTAATGTCGAAGCCGAGCTTCCGCTGGAGCAATCCGCCCAGTATATGTGGCCCCATATAGACAGAGTTCCCACTAGCTTTAGAAGTCATACCTTGTGACTGTGAGGGAAATTTCATAGATGAGCAACACTACTCATCTTAGATTTTGAATCAAAACTCCACGCCAAGTTGACATCCCAGCTAGTAACCCAATTTGCTTTGAGAATTTGTCTGCATTGCACTAGGAGGAATCTCACTGGTCAGCCGACTCCACACCTCAAAGCTGGGGAATCTCAGCTTGGAGATGGACTCAAACGTGAAAGGCCAAGGAGCTTTTACCATCGGGCCCGTAGTATCCTGCGCTTCCTTTATCGGAAATGCAACATAACTTGGTTTAAGCCAGGTTGCAGGTTCTAGCGATAGACCAGTGTGTCACGCCTGTGTTGATTGGAGTATTACTGCTATCTAGGGTGGAATTAAAGGAGATTCTGTGTATGGGAAAATGTATGCGTAAAACACAGAAAAATGACTGAATGTAGTAGTTTGCCGCTTTTCGGATAATGGCCCTTTGTTCATCCCAAGGCAGGTATTTGGCTCACAAGATACCAAGTACACCTTCTATCTCATTTGATTATGAAATTATGATATTACGCCGCCCAATCCCAATACTCTTCGAAGATGGCACGGGCTTCAAGCTCTTTACCCGTCTCTGATCCCTTCTGGCACCCATTGCGACATTTTATACCTAATTGTATCGGTCAATAGTGCCCAAATGTCCGCGTATCATACATACCTCGAGACAGACGTCACTCCTAGCATGATTAACATTGTGCTATAATTGCCTTGCTCTGCCTAAATACTAAGCATTGCGTGGAGCAAGCTATCCACCATGTATTGCTCCATTATGTGAAGTACCAGGAATTTGATGAACTGTTAGCCTTGGAACTTCCCGTGATAGACTCTGGTCTTCAAAATCTTTCATTTTCCTTCTTAGATTGTCTCCATAGCTTCACATTGTTTGGCATTGGAATCTCTGCTCTCAGGTGACGCTTCACTTTGACATAACCATCTAGACTTCACCTATCTGGCTCTAGATTGCATCCGCGATACGAGTATCATGCTAGCCTTCAGTCCGTAGGTCGATCATCTCTTGTAGGGGGACCCGTATTTCTGGCTCTAAGCCCCATTATATATTTCCCCAATGGACTAGTGACGATGTACCACGTCTCGCATTTCTTTAGGCGCCAGCCGAACAGTTTGAGCCGTTTTCCCTCTTTCGTTCGTGGGCAAAGAAGCCGTTCCCGAGTTGACTTAAGGCCACCACTTTGCGCGCATTTCACATCGGTTCTGTCGGAAGATTGCAAAGAGCGTCCCTCTCTTTTTCCAGTTAACATGGCCATTCGATTTGATTGTGCTTCGCCTTAAAATACCAATTTGCATTTTGCTTTGTTGTGAATTTCCTGTCACAATTCGCACTTCGGTGTGGGCAAGGAGATCTTGAAGGATGCGACCATGAATCCTCACTTCGTGCTCTTCAGCCGAGCATTCGGTAGCAAATTTCTCAGTGCCTCCCTTCGCTTTTGAAGGGACAGAGCCATCGTTCCGTGGGGGTCCTCATCGCTGATTGTCCGGATTAGCATATACCTATAGATGACCACTTTATTCCTGTCAGCCTTGTTCTCGGGACCCAGATTGTAAAGCACCACACAGAGTTGCATCTCACCGATGATGTGTTTGAGAGGGAGTCTCTTCCTTCGTGTCAAGTGGTATATATGAGCTCATTTCAAGAATTTATTCATATATGTATACCTGATGGTTGTCTTGATGGAAAGTAGGAGAAAGGTAGTGAGGTTTGGGGAAATCTGTGGGGTATTTGGTGGCCATCTAACGTTTAAACACTTACATAAAGCCCGTTTGCGTTATGATATGCCTTAGGTTACAGGCCTTGATCTCATTTCTGCAGCGTGCAACAAGATACCAGTGCAAACAAAAGATTTACAGTCGTGCTAATGTAGATTTATCCGTCCCCAAATGACATAGTCAACTGAGATGAAGTTCCAGTATTCCACGAAATGAGTTACTAGCCATCCTCAAGTATTCCCTATCCTCGCCCCTAAAATGGAAAGTTGTTCTGCCAATTCTAAGCTATCTCAGCTTTCCTTGCCCGCTCCCCCCAAAGTATCTACGTCATTTCCTCCTCCCCTACTCTTCCTCTTCCCATAGGTCTAACATGCCCGCCCCGTCCGCTTCGTAATTACCCCGGATCTGACGCATTCGTGAGTAAGTTAGCTCTAGGCTGTTGTTAATTCACACAATAATCACTATACCGACATTCAGCGGGACCACATACAAGCTCACTCAATAATCAAGAGCCAAATCTCTTCCAGCCATTAGATATGTTCCAAAGCTTAAGCAAGAGCGGCAGCCTGCTTGATCATGCTCTCATGGAGCCAGACGAGTCTTTCTAACTCGCTGTTGCCTACGTAATGACTCGATATGCTGAAGCCCCACCACTTCTCGCTTGTAAAGCTTGTTGGACACGGCTGGGTTGGGCACATAGGGGTTTGCCTCACTGATGTAGCACTATGCGGGTATCTAGTCGTCATTATGTTGTGCAATCCTTTTGTTAAGAGGCTCCTGCGATAGATAATCGGTGCGTGTGATCTTTTGTATTATGTCGAGAATATGGGTTATGGGCTGAGAGGCCTCACCTTTGGCGAAGCGAGCGCGGGTGATAAAGCTTTCGATGATGGAGATATGTGAATGAAGAAAAACATATGCCTGATACAAAAATTGATTGTAAATTATATGCCGCTAGCATACCCATCATGGATGAGGATACGAAGTAGAAGGCGGCAAAGATTCATTAATAGAAAGCCATTATTTTACTGCTTTGCCTACGCTAGATAGGATACGCTATTGTTATGCCTTTGTCTTTTCAAGCCCTATTCCCCACTCTGCATTCATCGCATAGTAGTGCCCGATGTCAACCATTTTTCAACTCCCTGCCGTGCACCATACTCAATCACCATCTAGGTCAAATCCAAATCCAAGATTTAAGATGTCCTCGAGTCCTAATTTAATTTCCTATGCTCCATCGAAAACTTCGTACGCCAATCCAGAGTCCGTCAGCTTAATTAGAACTTCGCAGGTACTAGTAAGGATTGATCGGTTTAGTGGGTTCCTCAGATAGAGCCGATCGTTCTCGGGTTTATCGTCAAACTCCATGAAGCCAATATACTAGTATCACCATCCTACGCTAAAAACTTATTATCCAACTCGTTCACTTTTGGTAATCTTTGTGTAAAAAGTGCGCTAGAAAACACCAGGATAAATTCCCCCATTCTTTACTTGCCGCAGCTTTGCCCCTTCTCGTCAAACTGCAGATGCTTTCATAGGTATCACAGCCAGCAATCAGTAATTAATGTTCCTGTAGCCAATTTTCTGCCCGAAATCAACAATTGACCCAAGTGGTCGAACAGTTTCCTGGTCTAGCGGTTATGATTTTCCGTTAACAAATACGATCAGTATGTGTTCCGGAAAGGTTCTGGGTTCGATTCCCAGGGAAACTATTTTTTTACCGGCAAGGTGGAGGAATAGTAGGAACTTTTCTCTCGGAAAACCTTATCAGGCACGGGTTCCTGTTGCCGTTGAAACATCTACCAACTGACCCCATCTTCGTTGACGAAGTGCGAATCTTTGTACGGCTCTTTTTTAGGCCCCGGCTCATATATGTACGGTCTTCGGCAAATAACCTTTCTTCGGGTCCTCATATCAAATCTTCTGTGGATAACAGACTACAGGTCGAGCCAACATGTAGTCGATCCCAAAAAAAAAAGGAAAAAAAAAAAAAAAAACTAGCATTCTATGCACGACTGGCTTTCTACATTCGGATGCCTTTGTACATAATTCCATAGCTCGGCTCATCCATATATCCCTCGGAAGGTCGGAAGGCATCCAGGTAGCTACAGCTCCGCCAGTGTCTTCCTGCGATTTAAAAAAAAAAAACATACATATACATTCCAGGCTGGAAGCCAAATACCGTAGTATATCTTTGTTTAGGGACATCATGTCTATAATTAACACCATTACTTATGAGGGCAATGTGACGGGACTCCGAATACTACCTTGCTGCATAGTATTCTGCTTTTATACTGGCTGAGATACTGGCCTCGGAAGTCCTTCAAATTATCATCTCAACCTCTATATCTAGTTGACAATATTTTTCAACGACTGAAATCCATCTCGAATTCATATACATAATGCAAAATATTGTATTCCTAAACCAAATGTGCTAGGATAGAAGGGAGGGAAGCAGTCATTGAATACTCGAAGCTTCGCTCGTTGGTCAATAGATTCATCTTCGGATAATAAGAGGCACTCTACATGGAGAGAAATGAGCCTACAACATGTAGAAATTCATATTAATGTATTAACTAATGTCAAGCCAAAGACGTTGACATGTATGCTTTTTTTTAATGTCGTCCAATGTCATCTTTTTTGTGGCCGTGCCGGCAGCAAACAACCCTAGAGAGGACCTAACATCTTAGAAGTCGAATAGGTAACCTACGGGACGTAGTTCGGACGAATTTCCAACAATCTCATTTCACCTTCTTCTACCTTCGAAAAATCCCACGTTTCAAAAATCCCCATTTCAGGGATTTTTCACTCGTCCAATATGGCCCCTAAGAAGCAGAAGAAAGCCAAACCCAAGAATCATTCGCATGTGGACAAGAAGCATCAATGTCCAGTATGCAAGAATCGGAATTTCAACACAGACCAGGGTTTAAACGACCATATCAGAAACACACATGGCATATTCTCATGCCCGAAGTGTGATACCATGTTTGCAGATGCAGTTGATTTATCTCGGCATAGAACTGAAGTCGGACACAGCACCTTGTCATTCAAAGAGAAGAGAAACATCAGACGCGGAAAGTTGAGTGTGACAGCAAAACCAGCATTCCCTCCTTCCTCAGCAGCAAACCCCTCATCAGCCCTACCTCGTCCATCAACTGCTGATGCGCGTACCTCGACTCTTGAAACACATCAATCACCCATGCGCGTCTATGCTTCTTCAGTCGCATCAGCAAGCCCCTCACCAGCCCTAGCTCGTCCATCAACTGCTGGTGCCCATACTCCACCTCTTGAAACACATCAAGCACCAATGCGTATCTATCCGGCGGCCGATGAGGCGCGTCAAGCGCGCGCTCAGGTGTTCCAACCACCCACTCAAGCCTCACAGCCGGCTGAGCAGTTCAATCAAGCACGCGGTCAAAACATCCAATCGCACACTCAGGTCTCTCACCCACCAGTGGAGACTTCTCAGGTCCCAGCAGATGTCTACCAACCAGTGCCTCTAGTCCTCCAACAGCACCCCCAAGTCCTTCAGCCTTGGGCCCAAGTCTTCCAACCGCGGAGTCAAGACATTCAACAGCTAGTGGAGGTAGTTCAAACCCCAGCAGACATCTATCAAGCATCCGCTTCAGCATACCAAGCACTTCCTCAGGTCTTTCAAGCTCCTGTCCAGTTCATTCAACCTTCAGTGGGGTACCAAGCACCCCCTCAGGGCTATCAGACACCCGCCCAAGTGCATCATGCAGTCACTCGTGACTTTCAGTTCCAGCCTCTAGTTCAGGGCTTTTGGGGCTCAATTCAGGACCCTTTGCTCTCGGTCCATGGCTCCCAGTCCTCAGTTCACGGCTCTCACTCAGAGCAGCACTCTCAGTCCCTAATTCAGGGTTCTCAGTCTGCAGAACAAGCCTCTCAGGTTTCGGGAAATGACCTTCAGCAAGCTCAGGAGATATCTCAATCCCTGCCAGCGGTCACTTCAGAGACGCAGCAGATTTCTCAGTCCCCAATGTACGTATCCGCCCGCGATGTCACCACAGCCAACACAAACGACACGGATGGAATCATGCGCTCCAGCGCCGAGACAAAGACCACAGAACCCTTCCATTCCGTCGATCAAACACCACCCCAGACCTTCTCACTCGTCTATGGCGATATGAAGCACCGCTGGACAAACCTCGAAACAGTTGAGCAAGCCTTGCTCCTGAAGTACCTCCTCGGTCGATGCCACCCCTCTCAACGTCTGCAAATCCAGGGCTACAATTGCCCAGACAACATCGACACAACCGCGTGTCTGAAGCGTGGCACACCGCATCTGGCCCACAATTTCACGCGCTGCTCAACCGGCCGAAAGGCAATCGTCATCGACTGCGAAATGGTCGAAACAAAGGGCAACACCACCCAGCTAGCTTTCATCACTGCGGTCGACTTCCTCACCGGTGAAGTACTGATCCACAGCTACGTCGCACCAACCGCTAAGGTGACAGACTGGCTTACTTCAGTCAGCGGTATCACGCCCGCCGGAATGGAGACCGCCATCGCAGAGAAAAAGGCATTCACTTCTCACCATGACGCACGTCGCGCGCTGAAGGAATTCCTGGATTGTGACACTGTGCTTATCGGCCATGCTCTTCAGCACGACATGTGGGCCTTACAGCTGGTTCACGGCCGGGTTGTGGACACGTCTATTCTGACCGCCGAGGCTGTTTTCCCTAATATCTCAAGTAGGAATGCGCTCCCACGTGTTTACGGGTTGAAGAATCTTGCGCGGGATTTGCTGGGTGTGCAAATCCAAGCCAATCCGGCTGGCCATAATTCTCTTGAGGATGCGCTAGCAACCCGTGAGATCTTGATCTGGTGCTTGCGTGGACCAGAGTGTCTCCGGGTGTGGTCAGAAAGGGCTCGTCTCCAACACGACCAGCAGCGACAACAAAGAGCACACCAGAGGAAGCTGTCGAGGAATTCGGGGAAGAAATCTCGTGGTGCCACGCCGGCCAAGTCGCAAGCCAAGAAGCCCGCTGGAAACTGAGTGAGTCGGGACTCTGATGGTGCTCAGATGGAAGGGGGAACTGAATGGAGGGAGTATTTTCGAGAAGCCATCCCCATCCCTGTCGCCCTCCTTAGTATGATCCTTCAGGGGGTCGGACTCAGGGGCAGATGGCCAGTATTGGGATTGGCGGGGAGCTAATAATGGAGATAATTGACACAATGGAAATAATGGAAATCTTTGAACGTCATTTTAATTATCTCCGGACACGCGTAGAAGTATAACCATCTCCCTATAGTACTACGTAGAAAGGCAGGTAGGCAATTAAGTATTATCACCGTTGAAAACAAAACTAAATCACAAAGAAGACATACGAGACAAGAAAAACAGCACTATTGGGGATAGGGGGAATTAAACGCCAACTTTACAAAAACAGACGAGGAAAAGACAGGCAAGTGATAAACGAACAAAGAAACAAAGAAACACCGGCCAATGAGAACAGAACTGCCTTGGAAAATCAAAATAGACTCTTGATAAAGATACGAGAGCGTCTCTTCAAGATTCTCTATGCATGCATAAACAGCTCAGAGACCAAAATCCAGCGCTAAACGCCTGAAGCCCGGATGGGGTACATGAGGCCAAAAACATGTTTTAAAGAATACTCCGACTGGCCTGGCTGCGACTTGTGGCGCGGCTGGGATTTGTGCGACTAGTCTCGTCTTCTTCGAGAACATCACTCAAACGCGTGGGGTGGCGATGGCGCGGTGTCACAGAGTCCCATCCAGTGCCAGGGCCCCAGCCGGAGCCACTGTAGTCCGCAGCAGAGATGGGCGCATGCGGAGCTTGCAGTGGGGCAGAAGAGGCGGCAGAGGTATAGGCGCCGTCAGGCATGTAGTGGCTCTGTCGGGGCGAGTGCTCATACTCTTCGCTTCCCTCTGAGCCAGGCCCAGGTGGGTAGCTAAGGGTGTTGCCTTGAGGATCATGGGAGTAGTGAGCATAGTCGTCGTCGCCGGCTTCGCTACTGCCAACGTAGGAGCGCGCGTCGGGCTCCGAAGTTGCAGGGCCTGGGTATGGCACAGTCGTGTTGTCGCGGTCATAGAGTGGACGTGGGTAGGGGGCTTTTGAGGTAGGAGGGTCAACCTTTTTAGGTTCGATGAAGGGGTCGGTTCCCGTGGGAGACATTGGCGTGCCGTCGTCGTAGTATTGACCGCCTGCGCTCCCTGCAGATTTTCCGTGGTATGCGTCGGTGCCCATGGCGGTCGCTGTCGGTCCGCCAGGGTATGGGCCCTCACGGGTCTGTGGGCGAGTGGTATGACGACTAGGGAGGCCAGAAACCATAGGCACAACCTGAACCCCTCCAACCAGCGTGGGTTCTCCATTGCGCAGAGAGTTAGTTCGGTCTCGCTCTTCTTGTTCACGACGGCCAAGCTCCTCCCAGGCACGACGCGCCTCCTCCTTGGATATTTGGAGTTCGCGACGCATCTCTTTAAGCAGCTCTTCGGCCTTGAGTTTATCCTTTTCGGCTTGTTGGGCAGCGGAAAAGGCATCGGCTCGACCTTGTCGTTCGACTTTGAGCTGGCGGTCAAGGTCTGCCTGTACTTCTTTCGAGCGTTCCTGCTCAGCACGGGTGTCGAAAAACCAGCGCTGGAATTTGCGTTCGGAGGATGCTCGTAGACGCTGCAATTCAACTACCGCATGGAATAGATTGGCACCAGCGGCAGACAAGTCGGTAATTTGCCGAGCCAATTGTTGGCTGATCGGATCGCGCTCTAGATCTTCATTGTTTTGTTCCAGCTTGCGCATCCAATAGCTAGTGAGGCCCTCCCAGTGTGAAGACAGCGTTTCCCACCGCTCGAATGCATGCGGAAACCCAACACGTTTCGGCTGCTGAAGAGCTTGGGTAGCGGCAGGCTGTCCTGCAGGAAGGGCCTGGGTGGATTTAGAGGCCCCAATTGGTTTGTTCTGAGCTCCAATCTCAGCCGCACTCTGCGAGCGACCGTGCTGGGTCTGTTGGCCAGTTGCTTGTGGCAGCCGTGACTGGCTAGCAACCTGCCCCGTCCCAGCAGTCGGTGGTGCAGTCTGGTATTCTGATGGTCGGGTACTCGGCGTAGCATCTGCTGTTGGTCGGTAAGCAGATGCTGGCCCTGAAGCGACGGGCATAGTCTGGGGCTGTCCTTCGGAACCTCTTGGTGCTCGTGGGACTCTAATTCTTGATTGGGATGCATTTTCGGCGGCAACGCCAGCGGCGTACTGTTGAGCCTGGGCCTGGGCTTGTATCTGGGCGCGAGCCTCAGCTTGAGCCTGTTGTTCTTGCTCCAGTTGCTGTTGTTGTCGTTCCAATTCTTCCTGTTCTCTCTCTCGGGCCTCTTGTTCCGCTTTGCGGCGAGCCTCCCGATCCCGGCGCTGTCTCATAATATCCGTAGGTGTCCTCATACCGCTCGGTGGTTGTGATGTCCCTGAGATGGGGTTCTGAGGGACACGGGCTCCGCCACTGTGAACACGGCTATTGCCCACGGGGCCAGCGGGACCAGCGACGCCTACCATGTCTGACATAGAAGCATTCACTTCGTCCCAATCAGTGGAGAGCTGTAGCGGTCCACGGATAGCTTCCTCGAGAGCGAAAAGTATTGCCGACGCAGTGCGCGACGAGACTCTGGTGTTTCTCTGCGGCCAGTAGGAAGTATGGAGGAGCTGGTACGGATCGTCGATGGTCGATCCGTTGTCGTCTGTCTGCGCTTCGGAAAGGGCCGGACGTAGCTCTGCGATACCAGTGGCTGGGGCGTGTTGCACAGAGACCGGGGTTGTACGCGCCGGCTGGGGTCGATTGGGATGTGAAACCGGGGCGCCTAGCGAAGCGACTCGGCGGTGCGATTGGCGGACCTCTGCTTGGCGAGGGATACGACGTAAGGGACGCTGAGAGTCAGAAGCGCTCGGAGGTCGGAATTGGGGATCGGCTGAAGTAGAGGAAGATGATCGTTGAACAGTCGGCTGGCGTTGCCGCGTAAAGGTCGTAAACGTTGATGGGTCGTAATAATCGTTCACTTCGTCAGACAATTTTGGGATGTGTCGAGACACCTCTAAGAATGGTCGATAAACTCGTGGGTTGGAAGACAATGCGAATGTTGCGTCACTGATCGAAGTAGTGGATAGCTCTCCAGGATCGCGATCGCAAAATTATCGATCGCTCAGAGTTGAGCGGATTTACAGCCTCAACGGCCGTATTGATCAATACTCAATGCACAATATAATTCAATTGGGAGAAAAATAGAAGCGATTCAAAATCAGGAGAGGTGAAGGAACGAGAAAGGTTCGAAATGCGAGGTGGCTGGTTAATTCAGATGGCTGGGGTTGCCGCAGCTAGAGCTGCAGCGCACCAAACGTGTCTCAGGGATGAAGCGCCAACCCTCAAAGTCCGGCTGCCCGAATTCAAATTCGAACAGATGTGACGAGATGAAGAAAAAAGTATCGAACCTGGGATGGCCGTAGCTCAAGGGGAACCCACGTTCTCTCGAGGCAGGAATGTTGGCGCAGTCCCTGCCCTAATTAACCCAGTTTCAAGTATTTCTTTCTCGCCTGATTTTTCCAGGGCTATCTATCATCGAGTACCAAGTACGGAGTAGATAGATACTCTATAGAAAGTATGTCAGATCTCAATAGTCCAGTGTCGTCACGTCCAAATTATGATTTCGCTGTGCAATTCGGGGGGACGCAATACCTCTATAATTAGCTGCACCCTGGCTGAACTGGTCGCACAGACCGGTGGTGTAGTGGCAAATGCAAAATCGAACAGTGCGAAACTATGAAATTTTTAGAATATGCATGTGTATGTGTATGTGTTGTAGTGTTGTAGTGTAAAGAGTAGAGTAGGAAGTCCAAAGATAGGAGAAAACCTCCAAGGCTTACGGAAACTGATGATTGAAGCTAATTTAGTTTTCGCTATGGTGCCACGGTTGATCAAGGCTAGCAATGGAATAACAGGCAGCTGAATATATAAAAACATATATGTAACGATGCGTTGGCGGATCACATTGAGTTCTGTTATGCCGGGCAACAATATATATCCCAACATCTAGCGAAAATATATATCCATGACTTCATCCACTAAGACTTACTAGGCTATTTATCATGGCCATTCCTATCAACTACTCGGATCTTTTATCCCCATAGTAATATTGGAACATGTATACAACATAGATCTTGGTTAGGCTCCATTTGATCCACTTGGTTCTCGCGCTGGCGGCTACAGTTCTTGGAACGAACTACTACTACATCTACTGCATTCCCCACAGTTCGGAAGGAGTTGTCTTCTCATTTTCAACTTCAATCTCAATGAATTCATAAATACATAAATATCTACATATCCACAACCTACCATTACATTATTCTACTTCTAACATGATTCAAATGTATCAAGTTGATATACGTGGCACTGTTCAGCCTCTCCCCCGCAATGACATCGTCTTCAGCCCCGGTGTTCCCAAGGCGCTGACAAAGCGAAGAGCGCTCTCCTAACTAACCTTGATTGGAATTTTGAAAGCTGGAAATAATCAGGTACCTCAAATTCAATGCTAATATTGATTCCCGATGTCCAACCCAAAAGCAAAGATCCAATAGAAAGGCGACTGTCCTCACAAACGGATGTCTCCGGACTTTTTCATCGGGGCAGCAGCGCTAGAACCGATCAATAATTACCAAGTCAGCAGGCCAAAAGCCCCCGGGACTTCAGTCACCACAGCCGATGCACCAGGTAGCGTGGTGATACCCCATAAGATCCAAGCCAGGCGTCACGGAAGCCCTTAAAGGGACCCATAACACTGCGGGGGAGGATGTCATAGGGGGGTCAGGCGTCACTGGGTCCTGGGCGATCTCCCAGATATTTGAAATGTGGCGCGAGGCAGCAAGTGTCAGAAGCCGAGAGGGGCTGAGCCTAGTAGCAGTAGCGAAGATATGAAGACGAGTCGTCTACCATGTTCCTCTCTACATATACCCACCGACCCAATTTGCGTGGTCAAACTGCATACAACAGTACAAGTGGCTAGAAATTGCTCCGGGGGACAATTTTTGTATAGGGATGGTCTGTGCACGACACAAACACCATACAAAGTGGGCCACTCTTTCGAAACCCTGAGTGACTTTTTGGGGACTTGGCCATTTTGAAAACAAAAAGTTGACAAGCCGACAACTACATGTTTGCTAGATCTTTTTGCAATTCTTGCCTCAAAAACCTGGCGCTTGTCTATAGTGTCTGCTCGATCCTGAAAGTTCCTAACTACAACTGACGAGACTAGCAGCAGGTATGAGTATCTCACTGGATGGTTTCACCTATTGTGAAATTGTATACTATCATTGCCAGCTGCTTGTGAACACGATCAACACCACTGCATCTCATTCAACACAGAAGCTGTTTGTTGTTTGTAAATTCAAGTGAACAGCTTTTTTGACGTGTCTAGAGCTGGAGTGGATACTTGCTTCTGTTGGGGAAGCCGTGTTATCGGCCGCCCCGGGGACCCCCCCCGGAGGCCCCCAGTGCTAATGACAGTATTTTGGAGCATTCCAGCTCTTCCAATACTATACATTATAAGAGAAACTAGTTACCCGGGCAGTGATACATGATGCAACTATTATCCAGAGCATAGCCCCTAGCTACCCCCAATTCCAATACCTAAAGCCAGGAGGCTCCCAATACAAGACCCCGCCGAGACATCGAACAAACACGAGCGCCCCATAAGCAGTAAAACTTCGAAATTATTATTGACCCCCCTGCCCAAGGCCTAGACCTGAAGTCAAAAGAAACGCAAGGGCCCAGAAGTCGGAAAATTTGACACCTCAGTCGGGTCGGGGAAGCTCTTCCCGCAGCGCCACGGACGCACCAACAAAAACCCGGAGAGTCTCCATACGGGAGCTAAGACCCAGTAACGAGGTAGGTTTCAAGCATGCCTTGCAGCCCGCAGACCAGCTCCGCCGGAGCTTGGAAGGTTTCAGTTCCTTTGTCCAGAAACTTGGGATTGGGGCTATTGGCCAGTTGAGGAATATGGTTTGAGAGACACTTCCGGGATTGATGAGTGGGATCCTTTAGGAAGGGATCTGTTCTAGGTCTGAGCCTCTGGGATATTGAATTGCGCTGATCATCATTGTGTACTTTTGATTCTGGATCTGGTCTCAGATGAGGTTCTCAATTCAGAGCTTGTTCTATCGAGAGACTGGGATGTTCCTAATTGTTATTCCATTGCTCCTGAGACAGTCCCTTCCGTGGGAGCTAGTACTAGATAATAGGGATATCTTGCACTCGAGAGAACAAATCTATTCAAAACTCTATGTATCTGGACTGGGCATCTAACGGCAAAAGAATGTGATGGGGAGGGCTGGAGGCGAGGGTGTATGCAGAGGCTGCGTCCATGGAGGCTTAAACACTTAGATATCGTGAACAGTGCATGAACTGGACAGCAGAGCCTATTGGGCCTGCAGATCAGGGGTACTACTGGGGAGTGCGTCGATACTTATACATGGGTCGGGATGGCTGCACCTCGGCTGTACGTGTAGCGGGATGCATGCAAGTCGAAGTTTTCGATGGAATGTGGGGTTTATTGACTTAACTGAGCACATGTCTTGGGTTTGTTTACTGTTGGTTTGTTTTGTTTTGGTCTGCTTGAGGGTTTGCAGCATTACAGGCGTACAGAATGATCGAAATTTTTGGTGTATACAATATAGGGCTGCGAATGATAGAGAGCAGCATTTAGAGTTGAACCCAGCAAATACATTGGCATATTGATTGGCATATTGATTGACATATTGACAGACATGAAGTGGATTTGCATGGTCGGATCACAAAATAATCAAAAAACAGAGTTCATCGATGAACCAATGGCAGCACAATGTCAGAGTTACAGATGCACAACATTTGTGATTAGTCCACTGTCAGGGTATACCTCACCTCCTTGAGTGTCCGGCCATCACTTCTGTATTATGGCAAATTAAAATATTCTATCCCACTAACCTCAGCCCAGGCACCGATTTATTAAGAGATTAAGGCTTGACTACGATAGATGGGAAAACTAGGAACACAAAAAGCAAATATAGCTCATGTTCACTCCGACAAAGGTGCAAAAAGACCTGATGTCACGACCAAGATAGAAAAAAAAAGCATTAACGGTATCTAACCAGCCGCTACCGAGTGCTCAATATCAAAAGAGAAAAAAAAAAACAATAGATAAATAAATAAAAACGCCCATGACGTAGGTGCTAGAATAACAATTTCCGAGATGGAACGTTGTGGCATCGAATAGTGAGGCTCGAGTTTTTAACGTCGCTAGGATGCGAGGAATGTGCGACACAACGTCGACATTAAGACAAGACCCAAAAGTGTCAAAGTACTGAAGTCCAAAGTACACAAGTGACAGAGCTCATAGATCACGGCGATCGACAGCATTAGTGGCTGATCCCGGGAACTCCGCACCAGGCAGTGTTCATTGATATCTCACATTTTCATTTCCAGCCATCTGCATAGGATTTTAGCACACTGCAGATGTACAATTTTTTTTCTTCTTTGGACTTTTGTCTCTGACAGGCTGAAAATATTTCAAATGTTTGAGATCTGGTGGTACGAACACCTCGTGTTACTTCCTTGGCTTCCATAACACATAGTTATCACAGACATGCAGGAAATACAAGAGGACAAGAACACAATAACACAGACACACGGAGACACAGACACATACAATCCCCATTGTGTGCTTCGGGATGTTTCCCAGAGCTACACTTGTACGGATCGAGTTCCGCGCGCCCTTGCTGGGGGACCCAATCGAAGGGTCCTTGCTGCAACATCCCTACGGAAGGGGACCATGCAAGGTCAGATAGGTCATGATCGTCTGTGCTTCTGTTGTTTACATTGTGCATTGGTATGTATCTGTTTTTTCCCGCTAGCCACCGGATCATTGTCCTAGGGCTTCTAGGTGCTCAAGGTTATTTTTGGTATAAACATATCCCATTCACCCTGGCCTCCACTTCGGTCATTTCATTCCTCATTCCTTCCTTTTCTCTCCTGGCAACCCTCCTCTCTTTTATCTCTTGTGTGTGTTGAACTGTGCCTAGATTCTAAAAGATCTTGCATTACTCGTGATACTTCTCTTTCATACTACTCGAGCTCACAGTCCCATGGATCACAGAGGTCTTTATTGTCCAGGCGAGTTGGACGTGCTGTATCAAGATCAAAATAGATCAGAAACTACAATTTGTCTGCCATCACCCTCACCAGCAAAGCGAGGATCATCTTACTACCCCACGGCCGGCGCAAAGGTACTCGAAGAATCAAATCTCGATCCCTTCTACCTCGAGGAATCATTGACCGCTACACCATCTTGGAACCCTTACACATCGGAAATGCGCAATGATAGCTTTGAAGACGCAACCCAATACTACCCATTCTCCCTGACACAAAGCAAGGACATCCACAACCCGCTACAGTACCCCGGACCAGATCGCTCCACACTCGCACAGGTTGAGTTGGAGAACAGCTTGAGATTCCACCGATATACTCCATCAACGGAGGAACATAGCCCGGTGCACAGCAGCCAGATCTCATTCAGCTCCGTCCAGACAGACAGCTCTACTCCCGACTTGACGCCTAGCAGCTCCTTTTCTTCTTCCTACGATTCACCTAGTTGCCCTAACGCCGTCTTCGAGGCCACTGAACAGTTGTACAAGCACGCACGGCAGGTCCAGATCGAGCCTAGTCGCCGGTTCTATCTCCCTGCCTCTACACCACCTACATACTCTCTTCCACCTCCCCCACCAGTGCCTGCTTTCGCCCCGGCGGAAATTCGGTCACCCACATCTTGCTTCCAACACTCAAACGACTCCACCACTACCATCACCATGGGCAACGATGATGTTACAGGGTCGACCTCATCGAGGACCCGCCGTAGGAAGCAGCCTCCTGTCGCCCTCAATCTATCGCGTGCTGCGACTTCCCACAGCGCATCTCGCCGAAAGCAATCCAGCCCTGGAACCCGCCCTCCTCCTCTCGACCCTTCCATGATCTCTCCTCCATCACTGATCAACCCAGTCACCATGGAACCTCACAGGAACCACTTTGACCAATCTTTCTTCATCCCCGCCAACGACTGCCCTAGTCCTGTTCCAAGCCCTGTGACTAGCTCCCCACCTATCTCCCGCCAGTGGACACGAACCTCGATGGATCGGCCTTCAATCTCTACCATCGACGCATTCTGCGAACAGTCCGTTTGGGAGTCTGATTCTGATTCTGAGTCTACTGGCCGTAAATCCATGTCCCGCCGACCCATCGACACGCTGCGCAAGGTCCGAAGCCGTGCTAAGCTCCGTGGTACAAAGTCACAGCCTAGACTACATCAAACCATGCTCGAGGCTCAAACATCTGAGCAGTTCCCGTGCATGCCAGAGGATATGGGAGAGCCCAGTATCGAAGCTTTCCGTCCTAGCATGGACCGCCCCCGCACTAGCAGAGAGGCCGGGCGGTCGTACAGCGGCCTGAACACATTACGCCTCGTTGCCCCTTCCTCCACCTCTCTGGCTCGCACTCCTCGTTCTCGCAAGAACAGCAGTCTCAATAGTTCCGACGTTGACCGCTCCGCAGCTGCTGCTTTCCAGGCTCAATTCCGACGTCGGCAGCGTTCTGATTCACCCGCATACTCTAATCCAAACTCTGAGAAGGGCGAAAAGGAGCAGTTGACTTCGTTCTGCTATGACCAGCATCCCCAAACCCCTCTCAATGGAGTTCGGGAGCAAAGGCCTCTCTTCCAGCGTTTCATGAACTCACTTCGTTCATTAAATTGCCAGAAGTCCCAAAAGTCTTACAAGAAGAGCAATGTTAACACCATCTGATGCATTTTCACTCGGCGTTCCGGTTTTCTGGGTTTTTATTTCAACGTACGAAACCATGCTACAATATACCGACTTTCCAACGATCACTTCCAACGATTTCCATCACTGACTTCATGTCTCCAATGTGTCTCGATGATTACGAACACGTCCATTCCCTTACGCAAAAGTGCTATTATGCTTCTCGCGCAAAACGAAAATAATGAATCTTCAGACCCGAATGTGGCTGGACACCGACGCGCTAAAAGACGTTCTCTCCATGCGCTATATCGCGCCACGAAACGAACACGATGCCTGGTCAAGCGACAACGACTACCGAATCATGACTCGATACCCTCGAGCTACTATCTTTAATCTTTCTACTTTTCATCTCTTCGCATTGATTTTCTTCCGTGTCTTGATTGCGCTATTCGCGTGCTGTATTACCATCATCTCTGTTTTATTACGAAGTTACTATCTTCAACGGTCTTCATTCTACCTCTTCGACCGAATCACGTCCTGCTACAACGGCTGCGACAATCATTTCCCTTTCAACCTGTGATCTATAATATGGGAATATGGCCCACTTGTGTGGTCTGTGTTTCTATGACCCAAAATTTGCATTCTCTAGCCTTTTTCTTGCATTCATCAAAAAAAATGTTTCACTACTGCATGCTCTATGGATAGACAAAAATAGAAACCAGCACATTTTATCTCAAGCATGAACAATCTGTTACTTCGTTGTCTAGGAGATGGGGACGCATTTGCGGAATGCGGGACTGCGAATTTCAGCCGATCCCTCAAGGTATCTTCGATACTACCGCGACTTCCCCAAGCTATTCACTGAATGATGCGCATGTAACAACAGCTACTCTACCTAGCTAGATAAGGCCTCATAGGCGTACACCGTATACCGGGATCCATTTACCATAACTAGAAAGCCCTGGACCTGGACCAACAAGGGTGAAGAGAGCCACCAAATCTCGCTCTAGGCCAGCGCAAACTTACCCCTCAGCAGCTTTTCGATCTCTGCATCTGAACAGACCAGTCATTGCGAGATCTTGCACAGCCCGATTAGCCGCGTATGTAGTGCGTCATGCCCATTCCAAATCCACAGTCCGCAAATTCTCTTGCAGATGTTTCAGAACACGAAGATATAGCGGCAGGAAACCAATCCCGCATCCTAGTCCGGCAGCACGAGGACACCAATACGATGCTCATCTGTCGAATTCTCGACGTGCAGATATTCGTATATTCTCCATAACGGCTGCGCCAGGGTGGGGACCCGCTGGCCGGGGAGGTGGGATGGCTGCACAGGATCGACATGTCCAGCATCAAGGTTCGAGTATTTAATTAGGGCTTGGGGGGGCACATGCCAACCGACACCCACTGACCGACAATTCCACCCGATGCACACCTCTCATAGACTGCACACAGTCGAGTTGTTCTTATTCGAACATAACCCCACTAACAGCTGCATTCAGAGTACTTGAGTTCACATATTGTATACAATTAATCCCGATCTGAGCATAAGATTCATCCCTTGCATGTGCCCCTCAACGTCCGACAAGACACAAAAGCTACTATTTACACTGTCCAAGACCTCAAATTTTACCTCGGTTGAAATGACTCGACAGTATGTTTTCCCCTTCAACTTACTCCCTATGTCATACAACCTTAAATCAAGCCTACCAGTCTGATTCGCCATACAAAGCCTACCAAACCACGCCATCCCCGTCTTCCCCTCAATCCTTAATCTGATATCAGATAATTCAATCCTCTTTGTTAATATAATTCAAACGCAAGTGGCCGATCTCCCAATTCGCTCTTTGACAGGTAACGCTAGACAGCAGGTTTATTTGGACTGGCCAAACCATTCTCCACCTCCTTGTGCCGGCCCTCTTACGCGACCTCACACGCAAGGCGGCCATTGCATCGGCTGTGCGCCTACTGCGTCCCCGAGACCCGCCCTGTTGGCAGGTTTCAGATCTATCGGAGGTGCGTAGTGGGGCTGTAGGAAGCTCGATCTGGTATTTGACGTCTAGACCTTTCTGCTGCTTTCGTTTGTGTACTTTTGATTTTGTCCGATGACTACTCTGTACATAGGCTTCACATGTAGGACTATGACGTGAGATATGACTTGTCGTTTCCACCTCGTGTTTGACAGGGAGGCGTCATTTGGGATTTGCTTGCTTTTTCAACCTGACAAATCTAGGTATATTTGTAGAATGCATCTTAATATAATTGACCCGGGGGCTATCTCCAAAATCTGGCAAAATGTGTCTGGAATGCCAGAAAGGTAAATCAGATATCAAATCCAACCCACAACACCACCGTGGCAGCTGTTCCTGCAGTAGTGTGCAGAGCCCCAGCGTCAGTGTTTCAGAGAAGCAACACCATTCTCTCCCAAATAACCGAGCAAAGACAGCCCGGACCGGCCTTCCACCCCGCCCATCTGCCCGCATCACCCTTGCAGCGGTAGCGGAGACTGTTCCAAGTATTTGGATACTTGCACGCCCGCGCCAGGGATGATCCTGTGCCGGGGACTAAGCAAAGTAGACCCCGAGAGACAGTCGACCTGCCCCTCTCTGCAGAAACAATCCTGCATCCGTATCTACAAGACGAGAGGAGACCTTTTCCTTCCGTCCCTGTAGCTGGCGGGGCATTGTTATGTAGATATTCGGACAAAGCACAGCTCTGTGTCGTATCGACGACAGTCACATAGTGCAAGTTGTGAACATGTCTGCACAAATCCAAGACAACTTCAACTGTGCTCCACCGTCTGGCCCTGGCCTTCACCCTTGCCCTCCTCCTTCTCCTTCATCTCCAAGGCCTCCATATTCTCCTCCCAACTCGGAACATCAACCCTCTTCTCCCACTTCGAAACAACAACATCTCCCCTTCGCTTGAGCTGCGTTTCCGCCCGTTCCTCTTCATCCTTGGCCTTAGGCACAACCTGCGCAGCAGCGCTATCAGCCTCAGCAAAAACAGCCTGGACATCTAGCTCTTTAAGCGCAGCCTCATATAGCGTCCGAATCTGCTCTCTCTTCTGCCGACGCAATTCCGAAACTTCAGTATTGCCACCCGTGTGCGTCATCGTAGGAGCAGCACCAGAATGACCTGCCCGCACAGCCGGCTTCCTCACAACACCCGGTCCACTCCTTTCCTCGAACCCGCGTAGCAGCCCTTCCATAATTCCCAGCGCAGTGCCAGCACGCATACCCAGCTGCGCGCCAACCGGAAAGCCTCCGTCAAAGCCTTCTTGCACGTGCGCGCCCTTTGAGGCGGACGTGCCATCGCGGTAGCCTGCTGTCACATGCTGGCGGCGGAGGCTGGGGAGGTCGGAGGGTTCGATGGATGAGGACATTGGGGTGGTTGTTGAGGCTAGCGGCACGTTAAGCGTGCTTTCGTGGGGTGGGGAGGAGCCGAAGATGTCATCGAGGGAGTTGTCGACCGCGGGGTAATCTTGGTTGTCTTGGGTTGACATTGTTGTTGCTGGTGAGGGTGGAGCGGATTGGGCGGATGAGGAGTCTGTGTGGGTTGTCATTGGGATGGAATATTCAGTTGAGATTCGACTGTAGGGTTGTTGCGAGTTGAGGTGAGTTGAGGAAAAAAAAGGTAGCGGGTCGGCGGGGCGATCCGTTGATCCACAGAAGTCTACTGACGCAGTAAAAATAGTTTATATTAGAGGTAGTATAACTAAGTATAAAGTAGCTTAAAATATGTTTTCATTTTGTATACTTTACTGCTAGAATTAAATATTGATTGCTTGGAGGTATGCGGAAGAGCAAGTAATTCAAGTGTTTTCCTCCCCTATTCAGTTGTTTAAGCTTAACCTCCCTTTCCTTTCCTTTACTTTCTTTCTACACCGTACGCCTCCAAAATCTTGAAGTTAATGTCGGGTAAAGGCCGTTCTTCCGTTCCAATATCGACCCTCTATCGTTTTCTAATGTTTGCTCTCTCTGGGTTATATTTATTACTGCTTCCTTTGCTGCCTGGAAACCTATTCAGGTATCATTGGTGCGATGGATCCGGTAAGAACAATACGGAACCCAGAGAGCATGGGAAAACAGACATGCAAATAAATGAACCCCATCAAGCGACCGAGACAGAGGGCGAGCTATTGGAGGGCACTTCATCAGATGAGGCCTGGAATATTCCAGGACCCAAACATCATCTCAACCATTGGACAGGGCTCCAACTTCAGAGTTCGCCAAAATGTGTTCATCTGCTACTGTTTATCGGCAAAAGCCATCTTTAGATGCCAAGTCTCCGCTCTATCTCCAGATCCTCGGTGCGGCCCGAAAATACGCCCTGTATACCAAGAAGGAGACTCTGGGAGGTCCCAAGCTAGCTGAGGATCCTTCAGCATCATCATGGCTAGATGAAGCTTTGGGGGTAGTGAGGCCCTCTGCGTCGAGATTAAAGGCTCGAAAGCGTGTATGATGCACAGGTTATTGATGGGGGTTATATCGCCTCGCTTTGCATTCAGAGTGAGAGCGTGTTTCCGAGCTATCTCTTCGATCATATGTATAGCTTCGAGGCACCTCTGGGTGGGGGCAGGTATAGTCGGGTTCGATCCTTTATTGTGGAAGCCCGTGACTGGCAGCCGGGAATACTGAAAAATGAGCTTGTAGCCAGGTGCATTGTTCATATATAAGGTTCCATCGATAGGGTAATTCTGAGTGCTATTCGAAAATTAGTACCACAAAGTAATTACACTCAGCAGGTTGACTCACGCAAAGGAGACCCCTTTATTACCTATCTCGTGGAGCGGGTCTAGACGTACTGTTGCAATTTCATTATATATTAGAGGCGAGCTAGCGAGTATGGCCGACCCCCGTGCTTGAAATATCCATCGTCAACAAGCTGAGAATATCTTCAAGGCCAGTGTGGAATGCCTGGAGATTGACTTAGCTCTAGACTATAGCGCAGAAAATAATGCACTCACAAGTTTTCCGTTTGTGAAGACTGGCCGTAAATCTTGCTTCTCCGCTCCTGGCCACTGTTTCTCACTTACGACCTGAGCTGTTTACGTGGGTCAAATGCTAAAATATTCTTCCAAATCCAGTATGATGGTCCTTACAGATTACCGCCTGTCGATATTTGCCTTGGAACCCGCGCACCGGAGCTACGTGAGATGATATGCCGGCATATACCAGAAGTATGTTGATCTACAGCGAGGTGGATGTTCTCGAGATCCACCATGCACATCCATGCCACGTTTATATATAAGTGTATATCCAATTTGTACAATTGTTGTCGAGTTCAACTGGCACTTGAAATATCGAGACGCAAGTGGTACTAGCCCTTCCCTCCTAACCCCTTTGGGGGTTTTGGGCCGTACCATACAAATTATACTTTTATACTAGATATAATTATCTTTTAACTAACCCTTCAGATATATACAATAAAGGATTGAATATTTTGAAGTAGCTTTAGGTCCTACCCACATGAAATCGTGGCCGAGATACAATGTTTCCTACCTTTCCCCCCTAATTTACCTTTTTGATACTTATAATCAGGGTAAAAATATAATTAGTGCGGTGCGGCCCAATAGACCAAAAGAGGTGTAGGGTCGAGCGAAGGGCCGAGTAGCATGCATTGACTAATGCTATATTGGGCATAGGTAACCTTTGGCCCCCAAGCGCATCAGATGATGCGCCCAAAGTAGTTAGAGCAGCGACTCATTTGTGTTCTCCATTTCATATTTACATGAACTCTTCCAATTGACCTTAACAGCCATCGCCATGCCCAGACGCTCCCTCCGTCTCCTAGGCTACACCGCCGCCACCACTGGCATAGCCAGCTACGGCATCCACCGTGGACTCTGCTACTTGGAGGAGAAATACCCAGAACTTCCGCCTGCAGCAGGTAGCAAGGCCCTCCGCGAACCAAGGCGCCCAGATACCCAGCACTGCGCATACACAAACATTTACGCAGCAAAAATACCCATAAAAGCCCTCGAAGCGCGCGTTCCAAGCTCCAAAACACCAACAAAAACAGAGCTCGAGTATGCCTGGGCTAGAGCTGTCTTGGGAAGCAAGACCCTACGAGCTGAGGGTTCTATTGCCGGATTGCTCACGAGCTTCCGCTTCACATCGGGCGATACAGGCAACTCGGAGGAAGGATTCTCGCCGGACAAAACTACTGGTGCACCGCGTACTCTGTTGAACGGTATATTACAAGTACAGCGACTACCCGCCGCCGATGCAGATAGCAATGGACTGATTGTCTCGTCGGAATTGCCGCCCGAATCTCGCGAGTTCTTTGAGAAGATCGCGCGGTGGGGGTATCCCTGGCGCTTGATGTCGTGCGTGCGACATGAGATGAGCGTCTCGGAGCCGTTCAAGATAAATGGACAGGGAACGTTTGTTGAAGTGCGGTTTGCAAGTGCGCATGATTATGAGGTTGTGGATGCTGAAGGCGCCTTGGAGAAACAGAAGGTCATTCCAGATTGGACTCTGAGGTTGCATCGTGGGTTCGCTAGGTTTGTTCTCGATTCCATTGTTCGAGAGTTGCAGCGTGATGTTGGGAAATAATGCGGTGTCCAGCTCCTAAGCTTTCCCTTCATACCCTCACCTTCCACTTCAGACGGTTGGATCATGCTTTGGGCATAACCCGGGTCTGATAATGAACAGGCTTGCAGCATGATTTCTCGGCCCATAGAAACTCTAGTGAGCTCTATGCGGCTATTTGAGGGCCTTTCCCTCACTCTTCCACTCCACTCCACTAACTACATCAAACATGTACTTAACAATTCCTGAGGTAGAAAAGCATTTTCGATATTCCCCTAGCGAGCAGATTCAATAAGCCACAGGTTGATCCTTGGAAGATGTTGTCCTAAATTACATTAATCTCAAGTCCATCATGACGTGTACCCCAGCTTTGCAACAAATACCATATCCAACCCTATAAACATTCAACATACACATCCCCTATTTATCACACAGTATCAACTTCCCTCCAATTGTCAGATCAGACCCGTTGATTAAGCTGGAACACAATCACTCCCATCCGGGACAATAGTCCATGCCTCGAACCCGTTGTACAAATAGCACACTTCCCAGCCATTGGTAATGCTCCCCAGCAGACTTCCACCGGAACAGTCAGGAGTGCTGAACATGCAAAGATCATATCGGTCCTCATCCGAGGGGCTCTTCCACGAGATACTCTTGACATTTGTAGAGTTGAATTGGGTAAGATCCAATGTCTGGCAGGTACGCCCGCTTGCGCCAGAGGAGTGGAGGATAGAGTACTCGATATTGTTCATGGAGCTGTTGCAAACCGGGGGTGCTTCACTGAGCAAACGGAAGTCCCACTATAAAATATTAGCAGGTTTCACTTCGGATCGTAGCCATAATTTGTTTTTCTTCTGACGTACGGCTCTGTAGGCAAGAACTGAAAGATCTTCAGGGTGGGGCAGTGCGTTCACGGTCCAGGGAGCGACGCTGACGAGCGTCAAGCACGCAGCGAGGAATTTCATTATGTAGTTGGTATAGACAAGACTTGTAAAAAATTAAGGATTCAGACCAGAACTACGCTGGAATAAAAGGAATGAAATGTCTATTTGAATTATCCAGAACCGAGGTAACATTGCTTCTTCTTAAACATCACGCCGATCAGCGTCCGTCTATTTTAAACCAAACATGCACCTGCAGAAGCGGAGTCCGCGCCTCCAATCACATCCATCAACAGCCAGTCGAGACTCCATAGGCTCGAGGACAACTGCAGCTAAAAAATCAGCTGAACGAACCTGGCCAAAGAAAAGTCAGTCCGGGGTACTCCGTTGAGGAGTCTCGCATAAGTCACTCTTGGCATCGGGGAAAAACCGCCACGTTTTTGGGGTTTCATTGGCAGAATGCAGTATTGTCAAGACCCTGAATCCTGAAGGACCCTCTCGGATATGCTGCGGTGCGGCTCATCCGGACCTGATATAGGAAGAAAAGGCGAATAAGCCATTTGAATGGTTACCGGGTTCAGGGTTTGTTGTCTCGCCGATTCAGGAACACGGCGAATGAGCGCTTGCTTGGTTCAGGGACGACATGACGGGAAATTGGCTTACGTGTAGCTTCAAGTGCAGCTAGCCACAGTTCGCTTATTTTGTCATATTATAGGGGTTTATCACTGTGTGGCCAGATCATGAACCTTACGGCAATTCATGTACTCCGTATACTCGGTGCGCGTTGAGCAGAAGTACAGAAATGCGAAAGCCCTCAGATATCTGGAACAAAGAGGCTTTGTTACCTGACGTGTACGATCTGCAACCATGAAACTTTTCTCGGTAAGCCATATAATAATGCCTCATGTATTGTGCTTCTTCTGGACCTTTGAATGCTCGCACAAAAAGCAAAGGAATACGTCGGCTATGCCTACCGATGGTAGAGTTGACAGGTCATACCATAATATCTACATGCAGCATAAGACTAGGACTGGATTCCACTATCCTTGATTTCTTAGGTGGTGATATCAGAAGTTATCAGTTGTATCCCTTAGCTCCTTTTTATACCATTGTCTTTCATTCCACTAGTCCGCGCGCTTCTGTGCCTATAGCCCAAGCATCTCTTCGAGAAGCTTCAACATCCTAACCCCCAGTGTTTGGGATATCGCTGGTATCGGCTCAGATTGGAGGGGCGAGCTATGCTTGATACTTTGTGCGAATTGCGTTGGGCCAGGTACCACTTTCAATTCCTAATGCTGGGCTTGGACAAGGGACAGGGTCCTCTGGATATTCCTCCTGTGCTGTGTTGATAAATAAGAGTTAGATTTCCATTCAAGAGAAAACGAAGCTTTATATATACACTGAAAGGAAAAAGGAAAGCAGACGGTCACTGCGATTGCACAATAATAATGAAGATAGATAATTCTGAATCGACGACTGACATTGTCCCACCTCATTTGATACATTCGATATTGTGCACTTGTGCGTGCGAGAGACCCCACCGAGACAGCATTCACGACGCTAAAAGAGTGCCTTGTCTAAATCATTTATTTATTCAATCTATAGAATATCCCAGACAGAGGGTATACAGAGACATTATAAGTCACTACACATCGAGAACCACGGTAGAGGAACTGTATCACTCCCGTTGGGGGTTAGACGTCAATCGCCAAGCGCGCAGAGGCAAGTCCTGTAGCTTCTGCGCAGCCGGCTTGATAAACATAATGAACGTGAGCGTGCCGATGAGCACGCAGAGCATATTGGTCATATAGTACCCGTCACGGTCGATGTGGCAGGTACCGCCGCCGTTGATGCAGCGGTTCTTCTCTGGCTCCAAGGCGCAGGAGAACGTCGTCGTAATGAGAGTGTCCTTGAGAGAGTCGGCGGGTGGCGCGATGGTCGGTGGGAGACATGTTGCTTCTGTGAACATGTCAACGAGTTTGAGGACGAATATGCGGGGGAATGTTCCACCCAGGTTGCAGACGCTGGAAGTGATACGTTAGCTATTATGCGCATGGTGTATTGGGGAGAGCACCCGGTAGATAGTAGAACTTACGTTGCGAGGAGAGTCATGTACGTGCCACCAATGGCTGGATCGGCGATGCGAGCGTGGAAGGCCGAGATGGCAACGAACATGACTGTGTTCATAAAGGTTGAGAGGATATGCTCGCCAATTACCGTGAGCATGTACCACATTGGCAATTCCGTGGCAGTGGGGTAGATCATGACGGTAAACTGGGCGAGCACGGCGGCTACCAGTCGTCCAACAAAGGCCCAGCCCCAGAGGCGCATTGCTCCGTAGTTGGTTGACCACTGGCCGGCATAGTAACCAAGCATAATTTCAAAGGGGAAGTCGATCAACACGACCAGAGCCATATTGTCTTGGCCAAAGCCCTTGTCCAGGAGCTTGAGACTGGTGACTCCGTCATTGGCCTGGAAGCCGATCTTGGCGATAAGGTGAATCAGAATGATAGTCTGGATGTTCTTCAACTTCAGAACGCTCCACATGCTTTTATACGAATCTGTAATGCTGTCGCGTTCCTTGGTGCGTTCTTCCTTCTTAAGGAAGGCCAGACCACATGTCACGATCAGATAAGCCCAGCCCCAAAAGTTGAGGTAAGTGCCGAGGGACAGCAGACCGCCCTCTCCGGGGATAGTTCGGAACCATCTGTTTGCAAAGTCCTTCGAGTTGAAAGCCAAGAAAACAGTGTAGGACAGGAAATGGCCCGCGGTCAATCCGACCGTTTGAGCAGTCGAAGCATAGGAGATGTTAGGCGGAGACATCAAAGTGATAGCCCATCCATCCACAGCAATATCCTGGGTGGCGCAGAAAAGCACCAACATAAACCACCAGTATGTAAATTTCCAGACCCCTGCGCCACCATTCGCGCCAGCCTGGATCATCATATCCTCGATACGGCCACCCATGTAGATCATCGCCAATCCAGCAATAACCTGCACCGGGGTGATCCAGCTCTTGCGCCGACCAAAGCGCGTACTCCACACAGCATCGACAATCGGACTCCAAAACAACTTGAGCGAGTATGGGTATGAGGCAAGCGAGAAGATTCCAATCTGGCCGTATGAGAGGTATGGTTTTAGCAGGAATGGCACGGAACCGGTGGCCAGGCCCATAGGGACTCCTTGGAGGAAATATAGCAGGACCAGCAGCAGGAAGTTGCGGCGATCACTGCGCGGTAGATTTTGGAAGGATGTGTTTATCTGGATTGGGGTTTGAGGTATAATCGGTTCGTGATCGAGGGAGAAGCTCGGTCGTGCCATGAGGTGTGCTGTTCGGTCGGCGGAGGTCTCTCCGGAGGGTGTCTCCCTCCTGCGCATTTCGATGCTGGGATTCATCTTGCCATTCGCACGTCCGTTTGACCCGGTAGCAACTTTCAGGTTCGGTTTGGAGCGGCGTTTCGAGAGGGTCGCGTTCTTGCGTGTCATTGAATGCTATTTTATGATAGGAAGAGATCGCCGTCGTCAACTTCGCCCTGATTGGATTGGGGACCGAAGTTGGATATTATGATATTGAATAGTGAAAGGGATGCAGGGAGGGTTAAGCTTTGAAGGGGCTGGCCTGTATTTGTGAATCCAAGAATGAAGGAGTGAATGAGGGATATGAAATGAAAGAAACCTCGAAAGTAATCTGGATGTTTGGTGGGGGATCTTTGAACCTTAGGATGACAAAAAAGCATGAGGCAAGCTGGCCTCTTGGCTGTGCAGATCCGGGGAGTCGGGGCAGCCGGGTATCTACTTTAATCTTTTATGTGAAGAATGGTTGAACATGGATTTGGATATAAACATTGACATGGATCTTGAAGCTCATAGAATGCATTCTTTCTTAAGTACGGAGTATTTGTTACACATATAGGACTCGACAACTATGAGGTCACTACATCAACACGGTGCAGGTGGGACTGCAGGAATTAAGCATATATGTCATAATAAAACAAAACATCAATCTAGGCACCTTTGAGGCTTAGTCTCTTCTATTTAATATTGGATATTAGTTTCACTGTTCAGATCCTGCATAATATCTGAGCCCAAGCTCCTGATCGCGTCAGATGTTGTATCGATCACGTGCCGCAAATAAACAACTCTATCCTTCGCCATTCATAGATCCAGCATCTAGCTTACCTTGTACCTTCAGAAGGCAAAGCCCAATCCCCATAAGCACCTCGAAAACCCTACCCAGCTCCCCAAACCAACATCTGAAATGGCAACAACCACATCTCGCGCTCCCGCATCACCAGACCCTGAAGAACAAGAACTAGACACCGAGATCGCCTCAATCCGCGCAGAAAGTAAGCAACCCAAACCACAACCCAAACCACATCTAACCCAACTCAAGTCCAAAACCTCCAAAAACGCAAGCGCATCCTCACATCCAGCCTCCTAACAACCGACCCAATCCAAAAACTCCTCCGCAAACAACGCCAGCCCCAAGCTCAAACAACCCAAGCAAGCCCAACCGACCCCCTCGAAGCAATTTCCCCTCTCATCCACGCCGCCGGCGCACACAAATCCTCAAACCACCACCGCATCGCCTTCGGCGCAACAGCCTTCCCATTCAAAGACCCATCCCCAACAGCCCCCGCCGGAACCCTCCTCGGCGTGCGCATAGATGTATGCGCCCGCAACGGCCGATTCGCAAAGCCATACTACATCCTCCTGCAACAGGAGCGCAGTCGCGCCAGTTCGGGTGGTTCTACGAAGATGTTGAAGGTGTATCGGCACACTGTGCCTGGGTTTATATCTATCGCGAAGCTAGAAGGGGTGTATCTACCACGACCTCGTTTGTCGCACAGCAATCAAGACGGGGATAGGGATGGTTCAGGTTCATCTGGCGAGGATGATGCTGATCCTGCAAAACCGTGGAAGAAGAGCGGCAGCTCTACCCGGAAGCAAGACCTGCGAGGGTTTGTGCGCGAGCTTCGGAGGGAGCTTGTGGCGTGGCACATGCGTGCTGAGGCGGTTGAGTTTCTGCGCGAGAAGTTGGGTCTTATTAGTGAGGGGGGTGGATCTTTGCCATTTGATGTTTCGCCGGATCGGGATACAGGGATTGTTTCTCTGGCTGCTGTTTCGCTAGAGACGCGGTATGTGCGGGTTGAGTGGGTTGATGGACGGGTTGGGCGCTTTAAGTTGTCTAATACCGGGGTTGTGGAGCGGGCTGTTGTTATTGGTGATGACGGCAGAGATAAGAAGATCGAGGATGCAATGACTGGTGGTGGTGGGAGGGTTGAGACTGTTTTGGATAGGCTGAGGGTGGATGTGTTGTCTGGATCACTGTCACCGTGATGTCACTGTCAGGTGATATCACCTGACGAGTGCCCCCCTCTTAGCGGTGCAGGATAGTAGCTGAATACATCATCTTTACCTTCCCCTTTGCTTTCAGTGCTTACAATCACCCAAGCCATGACGTTCCAAGGTTGTGTTGTTTTTATTTTTTTTCCTGTAAGAGATACCCAATGTGAATTTTTGAAGTGAACCAAATTGAATGTGAATTTCAGTGCAGCTAAATTATAAACAAGCTTGGTATGTCTATTCAATGGTCTCCACCAAATTCTATGCAATCATCAGACTAAACAGTCGTTGCAATTCGTATAAGTGTAGATGACCGTCGATCCAAAAGCAGAAGTCAAAATTATTACAAGAAGGGTAAGGGACATAACAGGGACATCACGGGGACAGAAAATGGGGATATTAAAAAGGGTATATTGAGTAGATGTCGTGTCATCGTCTCGGATTAAAGAGGCACAGAATCCTGGCTGGGGTGGATTGTGTCCGGGGTAGAAGTTTCGAGTGGTGAGTGTTCGGGAACAGCAATGGGGGTGCTGGGGTTGGTGAAAGCGATAAGCGGCAAAGGACCATATGATTGGCCATGTCGAACCTCAAGATGGCGACGTAGGACAGCCTCTTCCAAGTACCAGCGGTGCCGCAAAGTCATCTTTTTCGTATCCAAGGCTTGCATGAGACAGGCTTCTTCTCGGTGGTGCTCAGTTTGTAAGGTTGCAATATCCTGGATGTGACGGTTACACATTTCATCCAGTTCTTTATCCATACGCGCCGTGGCTTCCTGCAGCTTGAGTTCTTGGCGGTCACGGAGCACTTTGATGCGGGCGTCATGCAGCTGGTCCATGCTTTTATGGCAGTGGTACTGTTGTTCTAGCTGCTCCATGTGCTGGCGAGTCAATACACGGGCTGGTGCAGTTGATTCATATTCCGAGAATGATTCAGAGGATCCTTCGGCTCTGGTAGATGTTCTGGAGGATGTTCCAGCAGGCGATGGTGGTGGGCTGACATTGCGGAGGAATCCTTCCATATGCTTGATGCGAGTGCGCGAGTTCATTTTGGCTCGATCGAACTCGCGCTGCTGTTCAATTTCGACTGCCAGCTGTCGCTCTTCAATTTGGATTACAGCTTCGATGTTCTATACAAGTACTTGTTAGCCTAGGAGAAAAAAAAATAAGAACTCAATTTTGTAAAGCGAACCTTCTCGCGCTTCTCATCTTCCTGGCGCTGGTTGTCCAACTGCTGCTCTGAGAAAGCGGTCTGGTGCCGGCGCCGGAGGGTACTTAGAGCGGCGTCTTGGAAAGCGAGATGTCGATTCTTTTCCATTTGATGCCGCTCGTGCATCTCACTCAGCTCCGGATCGTCCAGACTTCTTTGTAGCATCTCTTTGCTAAACAAAGGAATTTCCAATCTGGGAAGTGATCCCTCGGTGCTCGAGTGAGGTTGAACATCCTCATGTGTGGAATCATGGGATACAATTTTAGGATCGAAGAAAACATGTTCAACGCCATCATCGCTAGTAGATATAGTCATGCGCGGATCCGTAGGCGAGACAAGAGCCGACGACGTCCGCTTCTTGCGGAAATGAATTCTCCCAATGGCAGACTTCAAGCTACTCCGTCGTTTTTCCTTCTTGTCGGCCGATGCGACGCTGAGAATTGAATGCCGATTCGACTTGCCCTCAAATGGATCATTATATCCAAGCCCCGCCATGCCGGTTTTCCCCTCGCTGGAGCAAAATGAGGTGGGGCGCGTAGACATCGAAGCTATTGATCGCGTGCTGCCAGGCTTAATGCGATCCGAGGCAAGTGTAATGTCCGACAGTGACGCCACAATTTGATCGAGCACAGACGGAACGGGGGAGGACGGCTCGTGAGACGGAGTAACGGAACCGCACACAGAATTCCGATCGGTCGACGATCCAGAAGACAGGACCAACGAGGAGCGATCGACCATTCCTAGAGCAATCGAGGCAGCTAGTGGGGCAGTTGCTTTGATCTCTGGCACTTTCAGACCCAGTTGGTGAGCTTCTTCGATTAAGTGTTGCGCCTGCGCTGCTTCGGATTCCGGTGAGGGGTGACGGAGGACATCGGTGCGATATTGGGCCTCATCGAAGATGGGCCCGGTGCTCGACTCCATTGTATGTACAGTTATAAGAGATATGTCGCGCCTAACCAGCGCACATGAAGGTCAACGGTCGGGTACTAAGAATAATACTCGTCCACATGGACAAGACCAGCTATGACGGCATCCAGGGGATTTTTAAAGATGAGGGGTTGTAAGGACAGTAAAGTAAGAGCGGAGGTAAGAGGGTCAAAGCCAACAAAGAGGCTTAAGGGGCCAGGAAGTAGCGAAAGGATAGAAAAGATAGAAAGGGGAAACAACAGTCAGCTTGTTTTTCTTCATGTTTTTTTTTTTCGTTTTAGGCAATTTCTGTTTTAAAAAAAATACTCAAATTGACCCACGGGTGGCCCTGACGCAATCCCTGGTTCTACGACGGGACAATGGGGTCACTTTGAAACGGGCTAACCTTCAAGGGAGAGGGATATATTGTACGAACCTATACCTTTTTTCATATAGTTCCTCCATAATATATACTAATATCGGATAGATATTAAACTATTCTATTAAAATATCTCGTTATTTGAATAGCCTTGCGCCAAATGTGCAAGTTCTAACTCTATACAATTGTTCATCCCTCGAAAACACATCCCTTGATTTAAACCCCTCGATGTCCATATTAGGAAAGTAGGGCTTAGGGTTTAGAAATCACCTCGGTCCCATGGAAAGGTGTATATAGATCATGCCATATGCTGTACATCAGGAGATATTACTATGTGGAGCATCTGGATATAAGGGCTAGCTGGACCCGTTCAATATGTCAAACGCCAATTTATAAGCCCGCTCTTTGGCTTCGTATTGCGGAGTTCCCACCCTCGTGTTCTTATCCCACCCATGACTACATCCCTGCATGCGCTCGCTGATCACATGCCAGCCTTGCAGTTTTTCAATCTTCTGTGCTAGCTCCTCAGCCTCAAGCGCGAAAGTATCGCCATCTGCGGTAATCATAAGGATACGTTGCGGGAATCGATCCGCCTCAGCGTAAAGCGGCGAAATGCGCGGGTCACGCTTGTCCATGGATGACGGAATATAACATCGTCTGAAGAGGCGCATGACAGGAAGAGGAATTCCCAAGTATCCACTGACCGGTGCCATCTTCGAAGCAGGGTCAGGGCTCATATCGGTCACAGGATAGATTGCTAACAGGGAGTGAAAAGTATCGCGAGGGAAGAGGTTTGATGCAGCTGCCAGCGCAAGGTTGCTACCAGCACTAAATCCAGATATAGATACACGGGTCAGGTCAAACTCGTTTTGAGATGTGAGCACATATTTGATGACGTCTTCCACATCGTTCAGCGCGGCGGGGAATGGGTGTTCTGGAGCTAGACGATAGGGGACGTCCAAGACAGTGTGCTTGGTTTCTTGACGAATGCGTCGACAAAACTCATCATCGCTGCCGTGCAGGGGTAAAAGGAAGCCACTTCCATGAAAGTTGAGGAGGACAGGTGATGGGCCTGAGCCAGACGACTGATACAGATGGACCTTGATGGTTCGACCGGCATCTCGGGACTTGATATGGCGAATTTCATCTGGACTAGCCGACACAGGTATGGCAAGGCACATAAATCTTCGGATGATAAATGCAAAGCATTTGTCATAGTAATACATGAGAACATCCATGGTTGGTGTGGGAGGATGTACTAGTTGAAGTTGAGTCTCAGTCGAGGACTACAAAGTAGGGTTAAGAATGCGACTACTGATCTCCACTCTCTGCTAGTCTGATGGCTTGCAGCGCCTAGCCTGGAGGTACATAGTAGTACCGACTTGCAATCGATTGGCATATATTATTTCTCGTCTCTTGTATACGTTCTATTTATGCGATAATACTCAGCAAAAAAAAAAAACTATCTCTGGATGATACTTATGCCCGAATTTCCAGGCACCCATGCAGTATACAGTGCGACTTCTCCCTGACAATCGCACTGGCTTGGGTGACTTCACTGAGTTTAACATTGAAATTTTTGACGCTATTCATCTCCAAATACTCTACTTTATACTGTCTGTAATGTGAACCATATCATTGTTTGGGTGCGTTGATATATCTCACCGCTCGTGGCGGTATTGAATCTCCTATCGATTAGCTGTCGATTCCCCGCATTTGCAAAGTTCCACGCAGAGCCTCATTGCCTTCCACGCACCTTCTCTGCCAATTAAAATGACCGCCTGCCGTCGTCACGCCCATCCCCAACACCCATTGCCATCACATCTATTGTTCCCTTTTGGAGTCCCAAGTTGTCTCAGAAACAATAATTTTAGTTTCTAAACTCACTTGTCTCGGATTTCATCAACCAAACAAAGACTTCTTATTGACCTGGATAGGAACACCGAGAGATCTCACTTTCAACATCCCAATCTACACGCAATCCACAGGATGTCCATCAAAGTCGACGCCGTCGACACTAATTTTACAGTCTTCATACGCTTACCATTTCCTAGGGGCGACTTTGTCGACCCACCGCCTGCAAGTCTTCCCAGGATATATTCCTTCAACCTCCACTGACGTAAATAGGTCGAATGGAATGCATCCAGAGAGCAAGAGCTATGGGATATCCTTTCTCGCCCATCCAAAGGCGACATAGACTGTACGTATTACTGTCGCTCTGATGATTTTCTTTGCTTTACTTTAACCTCGCTGACATCATCATAGGGAAAGCCCTGTAACTACACTCTGCCCCAGGCACTTGTAAGCTGAGGGATGCTAACATGGTTGGTTCAGGGCAGAGAACTTCGACGTCACCTTGCAGTTCCTTCGTCAGCAGGCGGCATGGCTCTATGATCGCCAGCTGTCTCAGGTTCGGGCTCAAATGCGCAAGGTCGGCACTACGCAGTCGAACGCTCCTTCCCCAGCCCCAGGATCTGTCTCTGGTAGTACCGCCCTAAGTGGCCAGCCACAGAGAGAAATGCTAGTCCCAGGTATATTCTTAACTTCACTCTATATTCACTAAGGTATGATACTAATGCCGATGATCCAGCGGCTTCTCGGGCGCCATCACGGCAAGTATCTCAACAGAAGGATCTCCCTTTAAGAGGTATGGAACGAAACCCTACCCGGCATGGTACAGGGCATTTGATATCACCCATGGATCGAACGCATTTGACATTCACTGCAGCCCCTGACAACCGACGTACGAGCGTTACATCAATTACGACTACTAACCAAACTCGTGGACCTTTGGAACCTACACGTACTGCCACGCCGACAATCGCCGACAAAGAACCGCGTTGGGAAGCTTTTGGTCGTCGACCATCCACTGTGAGACGAGAACAAGCACCCGTCGCGCCTTTGCCCCGATCTCCAACACTCCAGGAAGAGTCTTCGTCCTCGAGCTTGTCCTCAGAATCAGAATCCGACGATGAGGACACAACCAGGCGTGCACCTCGGTTCAAACGGTTTGGCAAATTCTCCATCCATCGCTCTGGTCTCCGAGATGATGAGGATGACGAAGAAGAGACTCCAGCATTCCTCCCTCTAACCCGAGGACACCAACATACCCACCAGGATCGACCAGTCCAGGCACTCAGCGCTACTCTCCGTTTAGATGCCGAGCTAGCAGCAGCGCAACGGCGACGTCCCGAGCCGCGGTCTGCTCCCAGATTACCGGTAGCTACAGAGTCACCCGCCAGCTCTATGGGCTCTGGTGGACCTAGCAGCCTACGCAGCCTACCCAGTGGACCCAGACAGGGGGCACCAGTAATGAGCCCCCAGCGCGTTGTCGAGCGCCAAAATTCGCACAAGTCCACTGCTTCCGGTCGCGAAGCTAGCGATGGCACCCCTAGCATGGGAAGCAGCTTCAGTGACCTCGACGGTATGTCTCCCAACCCCGAGGATTCTGGATTTCAACTGATCGACTGGCCAGATGCAAGTGTGACCCAATCAGCCCTGGAGGAGGCCCTTTTAAGCAACATGCAGCATGGTGGAATGGCGAGTCGGATGAGTACCATCAGCCAAGCATTGCGCAGCCGGTATTTGCAGTAAAATACGTCTTACATAGCAACATTTTGGTAAATTGTACTATACGATACACTGTATGATGTGTATGATGTAGTTCATGTGGGGGTGCCGCATATGACGTCCACGTGATCGAGTGACACCTCGGTATGTCGGTGATGCGCACCAGTGACATTTTGGATACCTTCACTTTGTCCGGGGAGCACGGAGCTCTCTATACTCAGATATTCCAAGTATTCACAGTCACGGATCGGTCAAAGGGAAGCGCTAGTGCCGGATCAGGCCGTTCATTCTCACCGTCCACGCCATATGGAGGGGTAGCTCAACCTAGCTCCTAGTTGCCTGTAAAAAAAAAAAAGCAAGTTGAATCAACAAGAAACTCTCAAAATTGAGAATAAAGAACGCTCTCGGCCAATAGTGGAAAGCTGACCGGCATCAAAGAATCAAAGAAAACCCCTTTCAACCCCACCAAGGTCTTCGGGCGTGGAGCGGTATCCTCGGCACCTTATTAACTGCAGTTCGCCGGACAGATCTTGCGTTCGCAATTGTTCAACCCCTTTCCTCCATAAACATCTATATCCTCATTCACAATGGCAGCCCCATTACTCGGCGAAATGCCCCCAGCGGAAGCAGAATCCGTCTACTTCAACGAATACCCCCCACCAAAGGCTCTACCACGCCATGAAGCTCTCGCACGCGCATTCATTAACCTCCACGTCGAGGAAAATCGACGTGTAGTACTCGTCACATCCGGAGGCACAACAGTACCACTCGAAGCACAAACCGTCCGATTCATTGACAACTTCTCTGCCGGAACTCGAGGCGCCACATCAGCCGAGTACTTCCTCGAGCAGGGGTACGCAGTGATCTTCCTGCACAGACAATACAGTCTCCTACCATACTCCCGGCACTACAGCCACTCGACAAATTGCTTTCTGGACTTCATGGACGAGGCGCCGGCGTCGCCGGACTCCTCAAACCCCGGCCATGGACCTATCATGGTGCGGGACGAGTACCAAGATCAGATGCGCAGCGTGCTGCGGAAATACCGCTATGCGAAGCAGAACAATCGTCTCCTCTTGCTGCCGTTCACAACTGTTTCTGAGTACATGTTCGAGCTGCGGTCATTGGCGAAGTTGATGCGGCCCCTCGGCCCGAATGCGCTCTTCTACCTTGCGGCTGCTGTCAGTGATTTCTTCATTCCGCGCAGCCGAATGGCAGAACACAAGATCCAGTCCGGTGAGTTGCCTCCACACATGCGGGGCAGTGCAATCTCATCGGATGAAATCTACACGGGCGAGAACGAGGAAGAGCCCACGTCGAATAGCAAGAAGCTCGTCGTCAACCTCGACCCCGTGCCTAAGTTCCTACACCAGTTGGTGGATGGCTGGGCTCCGGAGGGCAGTATGGTTGTCTCGTTTAAACTAGAGACGGATCCCTCCCTACTTGTGTACAAGGCGCGTACTGCGCTACAGCGCTACGCTCACCATCTTGTCATTGGCAATTTGCTCTCGACTCGCAAGTGGGAGGTTGTTTTCATTACCCCAGAGGAGCCGCATGAGCGCTGGATCCGGGTTCCCAAGTCCAAGCGTAGCAAGAGTATCTCTGGTGTTGAGGATCTGGTTGGTTTGGCGGAGGCCAAGAAGGGGAATTCGTCCGTGCTGGAGCAGGCGGAGGCTCAGCAGATTGATGAGAGCAGTCGGGATGGAATTGAGATTGAAAGTCTTATTATTCCCGAATTGGTTAAGCTGCACACGAAAATGATTGAGAAGAAGACGAAACCTGCGACACAACCTGTACAGTGATACTTCTATGGCTGTACAATTCAATATGAACGATTAATGGATTTTCTTGGGTTAATACTGGAGTTTTGTGTAGTCCTATGTAGCCTTTGAGAATTTTTGTGTTTTTATAATTATATGTATTGTCGTTATAGCTCAATGCCTGCTATGCCCACTTTCTCGTTTACAAGCTTAAAGCTTTACGTAGCGAGATATCAATAGTTCTTGGTGTCCATATCACAGCCCATTAGGGTTACTCCATAAATTATGTAGAGGATTGCATATGCTGTATATGCTGGCCATAGTTTAAACGCTTGGATAATTCAACTATTCTTGGAACTTAAGGTGTCATGAGCGTGTTGATCCTGGTGGATCCTGACGTCGTGGGCCCCGGAAGCTCGCCCCTGAAGAAATGAAGAAGCCTAGGAAGATCCCCTAATAGCAACAAGGGGTCGGCTATTATATCTGAAGCAAAAGACATTTGATTCAAGGGGCAGCTATTTGAAACTTCCAAATTCCACCTAGCCTACGCGTCCCGATGTGTCAGCAACCGGTAAAGCTCGATCGTCGATCATCTTAGCCTCCAGCTTTCCCCGACTCTTGGCTTTGTTGGTTAACAGGAGAGGGGGCAAACAGGTTTGACTTTCATCTGAGCACTGATCTGGAAAAATGACCTATTGATCTACATATTCTCTGTTTGGCGTATTCATATTTCCTCGTGGTCAGGATGGTTCCCCGCCGGTTCAGTCGTCGCCTTATTGCAATTGCAACCGCCATTGTACTTTTCTTCCTTTACAACATCGGCTTCTTCTCCGGTCACAATCGCCAATGGCGACCTCATTTCACAACAACAACAACAGATATCGCCCCATCCCTCAATGAAAATGGCGAACCTGCCCCATTCTGCCCACCCATACCCGGCATCGAAGATGTACTCGTGGTAATGAAAACCGGAGTGACGGAATCCCGCGAGAAAGTCCCCATCCACTTCCAAACCACCTTACGATGCATCCCCCACTTCGTAATCTACTCCGACTTCGAAGAAGAAATCGAAGGCGTCAAAATCCACGATGTCCTCCGTAACATGGACAGCGCGGCGCAAAAGAACCCAGACTTCGATTTCTACCACCGCATCGTGAAATACGGCCGCAAGGGTCTGGAACAGCAAGACTTCGCCGACGAAGCAAACTCCGCCATCGGAAAACCCAACAACCCAGGCTGGAAACTCGATAAATGGAAGTTCCTCCCAATGGCGCAGGAAGCGCTACGCTACAAGCCAGACGCAAAGTGGTTCATCTTCATGGAAGCAGACACGTACATCTCGTGGCCAACGGTCATGACCTGGCTGGACCAGTTCGACCACACAAAGCCACACTATCTAGGTACAGAGACCCAGATCGCAGACGTTATTTTCGCCCACGGCGGCTCGGGCTTCGTACTCTCAAACCCGGCCCTGCAACGCGCCTCCGACGAATACACCACCCGCGAGGTCGAGCTGAACAAATTCACCGACGAACATTGGGCCGGTGACTGCGTGCTGGGTAAGGTCCTCAGCAACGTAGGCGTTAATCTACACTTCACATGGCCGATCATTCAAAACTCAGACATCGGCGAACTGGACGAGTTCACCACAGACTTCTACCGAAAACCATGGTGTTTCATCGCCGCAACACTCCACCACCTCTCACCAATCGACATCGAGAAACTATGGAAATTCGAACAAAAGCGCTGGCGTGATGTAAGTCAATTCAATCCATCCCTCTCAAACATCTACATAGTCCCACCTTACCATTCAATACCATACAAATATACCATTTCATTTCCTAACATACGTCCTCAATAGAAAAACAAACGCCTCCTCCTCCACGGCGACCTCTTCCGCGAATATATCTTCCCCGAAATAAGCAGCCAGCCCACCCGTTCAGACTGGAATAACATGGCACACGAAGAACAGCCCTTCGCCAAGACATTCGAAGATTGTCGCTTAATCTGCGAAACGCAGAAGACATGTGTTCAATTCGCCTTCCGCGAAGATAAATGCTTCACGAGTCTCACCCCGCGTCTCGGACATGCCGCTCCGAGCAGCGATGCGAAGTCAAGCTGGATCATCAGTCGGATTCGCGATATGACGGAGAAGAAGGGGTTGTGCCGGAAGCCTGATTTCGGAGATTTTTGAGGGTTTGAGACGGGCCTTGGATATTGATATTGATATTGCTTTTGGTTTTGCTCTTTTGGGCGAAGATCTCTGTGTTATTATGTGTTAGGTTTTTTTCCCTTTATTTGCGCTGTTTCTCATTTGTGTTGCTTGCATCGAGAGCGAAAAACCGGAACGCTTTGGTCATTGCTTGGGTTTGGAGCCTGGTCTGGTATTTGGGCATGCCGGGTGATTTGCGCTCGGTCTGGAGAACTTGTGTTTTTTTTCTCTTCTCCTATGTTCCTGTGTACTACCATTTTCTGTGCTCTGGTTGAATGGCTTGAATAGACAGGCTGTATTTGTGGCGTTGGCGCTTAGTTCCAAGGTGGAACCGTTTTGATATATGTACTTGCTTGGCCGCTCAATACACCTCTTGACACGCTTGGACGGATTCCCATTTGCTTTTGTGGAATCGCAAGTGTCAGTCGCTCATTGATTCGCTGTTCTGAAATTTATTTGTAAGAAAGCAAGAAACGAAAGACTAGTTAGTATTGCTCGGACGGCGTCAGGACACCAATTAACTAGGAGAGAGAATATACACTTAAGAATATATAGACAGGACAGCAGTCCTGCTGTGAGTCTGTACGGATTCCACGGCATTGTCATTTCACAGAGGTGGAGCGGACACATCCTCCAAACACTGATCGATTCGCATAATGCGGTATCCGGCGTTCTTGACATGTCGAATGAACTCTGGTAGGTATCCAATGGTAGTCGGGTTCAGGTAGTGCATGACGGCAAGATTCCCGCCCCTGTCCACGCCGCGGAAGAAGGCTTCAAGCTGCTTCTCTGGAGTCGAAGTGTTTGCCCATAGCCAGTCTTCGACATCGACGCTCCAGTTCACAATGTACGGGTTGGGTATGTGTCGAGCGAGCTCCTGGCGCAGCCGGGCACCTACCGTACCGAATGGCGGGCGGAAGTATGAAGCTGCGAGTATCCACTATGTCAGAATCATTTTCAAGGATGCATCACAGGGTGACCTACACTGAATATTTAGCTGGTCTTTGAAGATTTGCACCGCTTGAAGAATCTCATCGTCAATCTCACGGAGGGTTCTCAATGATTCCATCCTTGATCTCCATGTTAGCAACTTTACATGAAAGCCAATATTCAGAGTATACTTACTTTGGATGGGTGTTTGAATGAAGCGCCACTTGGTGTCCCTTCTTCAACATTTCCTTATAGAACTCCGTGAAATTGCTCGACCGATCTCGGAGTCCAGCCCCGACAACGAAGAAAGTGACCCGAACATCTTCTTCATCAAGGATGCGCATGATCCGCTGCGAGAACTGCGGCTGTCCATCATCGATGCCAAACGCAAAGGAATTCGGCCGGGAACAACGAAGCACCAATCTCCCAGTGGGCAGCTTGCCAGGCAAGCGATAGTGATTGTTTTCCTGCGACGGCGTTGGAACATCAGGCACGATCTCCACACGATGCAGAGTAATAGCTTCTCTGGTATAAAATCCATGGAACGAAACTGACACGACGCGGTTGAAATCGATATTGAAATGAGACAGAGGGATGTAGAGCTCACGATGTCCATTTGGAAGTTCGTCATGGGTTTTGCCTTTAGGGTGCTTGCGTCGACCGCCCCTGGACTTTCTATGCTTGTGCTTCTTTTTCCAAGCATCCGCATCTATATTATCTTCGTCATCATCGTCGTCTTCACCGTCGTCGTCCCAATCGTCATCCTCGCCATAGGTCTCAGTGGCAGGATGAACTACATACCGCTCCGCCTGGACGGAGTCTGAAATGCCGGGGAAGGGACTGCGTTTCGGATTGCATTCATCATTGTGTTGGTTAAAAGAGATACTGTACTGATCCGTGCCTTCAAAGATAACATGCAAGTACTCATTGTGCCAGGGTGTCAGGCTGTAGCAGACATTGCTATCGAACTGTGTGTGGAAGTTCTGGTCCGGGTCTGTTGGTACTAGACGAATGAAGCCCGGTCCATGTTGCACGGATAGATTCTCGCCGGAGCCGTGCCAGAATCCCAGATCGTTGTGCCTTGAATCTTTGAACGTGTCGATGACAAGAGGAGGACTTGCCTTCTTTGGATGCGAGGCATGATGCGTAGTGTTGGGGGTGAGCCCTCGGAGTTCATTCCAATGGCCGTGCTCAACAGTTTCGTGAAATAAAGCCGAGGATGGGAGAAATAGAAAAAGAGCGGCAGAACCTATGAATAGCCAACGCATAATGAAAGGATCTCTTAAAAAAGATTGAATGTGCTTCAGTTGAAGAGGTCAAAGGTGGAAGTTGTAAAAAGCATCGATGTATGTACTCGGATCAGTCTAAAGAGTCAGGAACGATTGACTACTTATCTACACGGGTAAGTGCTATAAATCCCAAAATCCGCACATTTTTACTCTCTACTGTGTATTACTCTTTACTCCGTAATTTAGATTAACAGGAGAAAAGAAAAATGAAACTAGATAATTGCATAAAACTCATGAAATCCGTGTTGCCGCCCATCGTCCTGACCATTGCTTCCATATCACTGTAGTCGCAGTAGCGATAAAACCAATTCAGTCCCGATACAAGATGCAGGAAAGAAAGGGCTTCCACAGATACAGGTTGCAGATGGCCAAGAGATCAAGCCCCTCAACACGTCTTTGTGATATCCGATCCTGATCCTCCAGGATAAAATGGTAAAAATCATCGTCTTCTCCACCGCTGGAACTCATTCGTTTCCACGTTTTTTTGGTTCTTTTCTCCCATTTTCTTTCTAGTTTCGATTGTAGTTCGTATTCGTGGGTATCTTTCGTGCTGAGCACAACCAAAGAGAAGGTCGAGCTCTACATCCAGAATGAAGATTCTTCCTTGGGAGGAGGAGATGGAGTAGGGGCCCAGTCAGAACGGTAGACCCCAGTCCGAGCTTCACCCTCATGAACTTCACTCTTGCGTTCTGTTGAAGCGGCCTTGGGCTTGGGACCAGGCGCGGGAACAGCGGGCTCGTCGTCAGTAGGGTCATCATGGACGGGCTCCTCGTTGGCATCTTCGTCATCGGTTGCAGCCACATTTTCAGTCTCCACGGCAACACCAGATCCAGCTTCAGCCTCGGCGTCGGCATCAGAGCCAGCATTAGAGCCAGCCTTGGATGCGTTATCAAAGAAGTCCTTGTCCGAGTCATCGTCAAACTCTAGTAAATCACCCTCAGGGCGGTACTCGTCGAGGAATTCTGGGATCTTTTGCTTGCATTCGATCAGGATCTTGACAAGATCGGAGGCAAGATCCTCATCGCGCTCATTGTAAAAGGAGGTCGCGATGCCTTCGTTACCAATGCGAGCGGTACGGCCTGTGGATAGTAAGAATATGTATTAGCAGCAAGTTCATCAGTAGTATCAGGCAGAAGGCAATTTTGAGATGGAGTAACACTTACCAATACGGTGAATGTATTCGGTGATACCTCCGTGCATACTGCTCGGGAGGTCGTAGTTAACGACGTGGAGAACATTGATCACATCCAATCCACGAGCAGAGACACCGGTGGCGATCAGGATAGGGCACTTGGCAGATCGGAAAGCACGGCTGTTTTGATGGGTCAGCACAGTAAAGTAAAACACTGGATCGAACGAATACTCACATAGCATCCTCGCGTTCAAGTTGAGTCCGTCCACTGTGGATTGAAGTGGTGGGCATTCCAGAGTTGTAGAGGTAATCATCAACGAAGTCAGCCTGCTCCTTGCTGTTGACGAATATCAAGGTGCGAACTGGCGGCATGCTGATCAGCAGGTCGTAGATTGCGCGCATCTTCTTGTCCCTATCAACCCAGACGATCTTCAACTTTCATGTTAGCATTGATCTGAAACCGCTCAGGTTCTTCCTAATTTTCGGTGTACACATACATCCTGCACAACATTGTGGTGCGAACTGCCGGCTCGGCCAAAGCGGAGGCGCACATGATTCTGGTTGAGGTATTGCTTTGCCATTGTGCGGAATTCCTTTTTGAAGGTAGCAGAGAACATTAGGTAGCGATGGTCGTCGTCCTCGTTCATATCTGCCTTAAGTCAGCACCTGAAACGCAATAACGTAGTGAAAGCGCAATAAAGAACGCGGTGGGGAACAAGGTAGCGAACGCAGTAACTACGCAACGTAGTGGGGTGATGATGCGGCGCCATGGCAAACGATTTCAGTTACTTACCTCCTCCAGACATGATCTTCTTGAACTCCGCCTCCCAGTCCTGCTCAAGCATCTCATCAGCCTCATCAACGACCGTGTACCTGAAGCGGTATTAGTATCTAATATTGCACAGATGTATATCAAGTGATCCACAACATACCGAACGCGGCGGAGAGAAAGAACGTGAGTCTGCGCCATGAAATCAATAAGGCGACCAGGAGTTGCAATCAGGATGTCACATCCTTTCTGAAGCTCCTCCCGCTGCTGACGAGGCGGAGCACCGCCATAAACGACACATGGGCGCAGCATGGAGCGATAGCATAAACGACGTGTTTCATCAAATATCTGAGTGGCCAATTCCCGAGTGGGACAGACGATCAGAACCAAAGGCTCTCCGCGAACAGCATCCTCCCTTGGATTGAATCTTTCCGTGGTGTTTGGGCGAGGAGCAGCCAGCTTTCGAGCCTTGCCCATCAACTTGGAAAGAATAGGAATGAGGAAAGCCCCAGTCTTTCCAGAGCCTATGGTTTATCAGTACCAGTTTATACCAAACAAGATATCTCACAGCACATACCAGTTTGGGCCACCGCAATAATATCAAGATTGTTCAGAACAGCCGGGATCGCATAAGATTGCACCGCGGTGGGTTGCTCGTACCCACAGAGACGAATGTTGTCAAGCATGACTGGGTGCAGGCCAAAATTTTTCCACTATGAATCGTCAGCTTGGCCCATTATCATCAACTTCTCTCGCAAACTGACCTCGGTAACGGCCTTGATCTCGTTGGGACTATCGATGTTGACCTTGTAGCTGTTGAGCCTGGAGAAGAAACCACGTTAGATATCAAGCGTGCTATCACCATATTCACGTCACTTACTCGTCGATCTTAGCACCAACGCGAATGATCAGGTCGCTACCGAAAAGCTGCTCCTCCAATTCGGGGACGGCAGGGCCGACATCACCATATTCGTCCTTCCACTCATAACGGGCAGCAACTCCAGCCCAATCACGGTGGTCCTTGGTATTAGCAAGTTCGTCATATTCAAAGGGAACTGGATCAGTCCAGCCCTTCTCACGGGCAACCTGCTTAGCAGTCTCAACGGTGGGTCCGACACCAGAAAGCACGCCCTGGACAGGCATGTCATCAGTGTTGGAACCGACCACAGAAGTGGCTTCGGCGGCGGAGGCCTCGCCAACAGCAGACGCAGTGCCGGCGGCTGAGGCAGTCTCGTTCTCATCATACGATTCCATGGCTCAAGCGATCTTGTATCAAGACGATTGAGTTATGGGATACAGCGTGGGTAGAAAAATAAATAGGGAGAGAAGAGCCGAGAAACAATCAGATTTCATTTAGGATTATCCCACGAGCAAACAACGCGCATCGAACGCGGTGGGGTTCCTTTTTGCAGGATCTCGAGCACAATGCCTCTGTTTGTTTTGCATATGAGGTACCTCGAGTGAACGGCAAATTCATATGGGAATCTCTAGATATACGGAAGTATACTGGAGGTACCTTGCTATTTTTAGGAAGGAACGATCCATTCACACACTTATACGGAGTGCAATATGGAGGTACCCCGTAGATATCCACGAACTATTTGAATACGCTATGCAATTCTGACGACAATTAATCAGACTACAGGAATGGGTAAGTTATAGCTTCTTTTATGGATAACTTGAAGGAGTCCAAATGTTCAGATCCGTGCTTGTATGATTCAATATCAAGCCGCATTGCACCGATCCCGCCTATTCTACCTATTCTACCTATTCTACCTACGTAGATCTTGTTCAACATCTACGACCATATCAACAGATATTTTTAATATTATTTCAGTTCGCTCTGAATGTGATGTCAGGCGAATGAAAAAATTATGGATGGTGTGAAGCCATACCTAGATCATATCAATCGATTGCTCCTATATACCTACCTACCTACCTATAGGTAAAAAGGTGTTTATGATCGACAAAAAGCCTCGGGAACGTTAGCTCCCTCGGCCAGAAAAAGTGGAGCCGAACCCGTTCCGGGTAGAAGGAGAAATACGCAGTAAGCCTGGGAACGGGGGTACCTTATCCTTCTCTGACGACTCTACTTCCTTCACAACATTCATCATGGCTTCGGAACCCATAGAGGTAGATACTACTTCTCGGCGTAAGCGCCAGAACCGTCTAGAAGCTGCAATCACCAATCCCGGAGCTGTTAAAATCAATGTCACCGGCGCCTTCATTGTCGACGACGAGCCACGATCAAAGAGTCCAGTCGATGCAGAGGGTGTACACTATGAAAATAAGGATATTCGTCTCCCGCACCATACTGGCGTTGTAAGCCATGTGGCTGTCGATGTAAGTTGTCCAGAATTTATTTTCTTTCGTGCCCCGCACCGCGACCGGTTCCCCCGCAATCTAGCGACCGCGAAGACATCTTGTCAATATTGAAAGAAATCATCACTAATAACGGCATTGGGACTCTATAGATTGGCGGGACACTTGCAAAGCTTGTTTATTTTACTCGAGAGCCGGATACTGCGGATAACGGTGGTCGGCTCAATTTTCTGAACTTTGAAACGCACCGGATCGATTTATGCATCAATTTCATTCGACAGCTCAAAGAGGAGCACGAGAAACGCAATGGCTCGGCAAGAGATGGACTATGTGTTGTAGCGACCGGTGGTGGTGCATACAAATACTACGATCGGCTGAAAGAAGAATTGAATGTTAATATTCTACGGGAAGAAGAGATGGAATGTCTGATCATTGGTACGTCCAGGCATATGTTCAATCCAAGTATGGAGTATATCGTCTAACGTCTTAACAACAGGTCTGGACTTTTTCATTACCGAAATCCCCAACGAAGTCTTCACTTACAGCGATTCCGATGCTGAACCGATGCAATATGCTGAAGCCCGGCCCGACGTCTACCCCTATCTCCTCGTCAATATAGGATCAGGTGTGTCTATGATAAAAGTGTCTGGTCCGAGACAGTTTGAGCGTGTCGGCGGAACACATCTCGGTGGTGGAACGTTTTGGGGCATTATGTCGTTGCTGACGGGCTCCCGGACCTTCGATGACATGCTAGCAATGGCCGACCGCGGAGATAACAGCGCGGTGGACATGCTTGTAGGAGATATCTATGGCATGGACTACACCAAGATCGGTTTGAAGAGTACAGCTATTGCCAGTACGTTCGGCAAGGTGCTTCGATTGAAAAACGATGCCGAGCAAGGGGCTGACGGCGAGGGCTCCATCCGCGGCGATCACCCCAGTGAGTCCAGCGAGGCCAGTCATGGACCCAAGCCTAACCCGGAAGATATGAGCCGGAGTCTGCTCTACGCCATCAGGTATGTTTCATTTATTTCCATTCGACCGAATCCGCACTAATCCCGATTAGTAATAATATCGGTCAGATCGCATATCTGCAGTCAGAAAAACACTCAGTCAAACACATTTACTTCGGAGGCTCATTCATTCGCGGCCACCGGCAAACGATGAACACCCTCTCCTACGCCATCCGCTTCTGGTCCAAGGGCGAGAAACAAGCCTATTTCCTGCGCCACGAGGGCTACCTTGGCGCCGTTGGTGCCTTCATCCGTCGCCAGCCTCAAAACTGGGGTCGCAGAAACAGTGTTGACGACGTGGTCGCACCGCAGGCGGTCCGAAACCTCGTTCAAAATAACAATGTCCTTCAACAACATGGCAGGTCGTCCAGTGAGCTATAAACATTTGCCACTAAACTATTGTGACCCTACTTTCCCTCCGCTTCGAGTCTTGATACCCCTGGAAAGCAATCTATGAACTACCAATGTTGTGCCGGCTTCTTTTGTACACTGGGCCCAGATTTGGCCGCTTTAATTGGCCTGTGAAAAGCCATCGTGGCGATTCCGTCCGGCATTTGTCCATGTTGTACATTTAGATCTATCTGAAGCTTTCTAGCTTCCTGTTTGAATTTCAAACACGTTCGGTTATCTTGTTAGAGAAATAAATTCCATATCTCATTCCTTTTTTTTTTCGGGGCTATGTACTTTAATGGCAGTGTGATCTCCGCGCATCAACCAAAGGCTTTGGGGCCCAGGTCTAATTACAAATGCGAAAAATGCCCAACGCTTTACTGTTTGCAATATATATGAATACCCGGTTGCTTATAAGACCTTTTTGTGTCTTTTTGGTGTAATTTTCCGAAGTCTTCAATTTTAAGATGTCTTGCATATATATATTTCGTTTTGGTATCGCGTGTTTATTGATGTTGAAGCTAGAAGCATAAAAAACTATGCAGCCACGAAATACTTATAACTACATTACGGCACAGCGCACTTAAGAAACAGGTCGCAATTATGAATAATGATACATACACTACAAAGCAATAATTCGCACCGACATTTTTGTTCTGCGTATTCAACTTTTCCCGAGCTCTTACACGTTAATTCCTTGGACCCTCTCCACTTCAATCCTCATTGCAGGCTTCGACATGTCAATCTATGATTGCCTATATAATTTTCGAGTCGACTCTTATCAAGAATAGATTCCAATTACAACTTGACTTCTATCTCTATGGCTGGTTTGCATATTTCCATATCAAGAGAGTAAAAAAAGCACGTATTAAATTCGAACGTATGCAGCAGATACCTTTATGTCTCACAAAGGCGAGTGAGTGACATGCTGTGGACTAAATGTACATGACTGGAGAAACCCCCGGGATGTTATTCCTTCGACACTTGGATGACCTTCACAACCCTGGGGATCCACCTTTCGACCCATTGTCTGCTCACTGATGTTTGTTGTCGTAGTCATAGTACGGATTTGGGACAAGAAGATCGGTTCTCTCGTTCATTTCACAGGGTTGATCATAATTATTGTGGCGATTCATGAGACGGTTCCTGACAAAGTCCAGATCACCATAGGAGCTAGGCCATCTTGCATAGAGAATGCAAGTAGGAACCACCCACTCAGCATTGTTCTTACTGTCAAACGCGGAATAGATGACAGCGGTGCTGTATTTCTGACCCTCTACCCGGGCGATGTCTATATCTGTTAGTCTATTCTCTAATGAAGGACAATGATGCGACCTACTGTAAGCTCCCTCGTCGCTCTTGCAACGCCCTACCCCATTGATAGAAATGCAGCCGCTACTAACATGCTATTATCCAAATGAGTGGCGGACAATAGTAATATAAGGCCATTTTCGCAAACTTACAATCTTGGTACCATCGCCAGCGTCTCCAGTGGGGGACGCGCTAGTCGTCGAATACGACAGACTAGTAGTAGTAGCAGTAGCAGTAACAGTTATAGTATTAACAGGTGTCACGGGATAAGAAACGGAACCTTTATTGATGCTCGCGACAGCTCCGCTGACTGAGATGGCTTGAGCCAAAACGCTGAGTGCTAGGAATCGCATCTTGAAGTGAAGATCAAAGAAATGGAATGTTGATGAAGAAGGGATGGATTATAAAAAATCGAATTAGCATGTTTCTGATGTACTTTATATATTATTTGATTTCTATACCCCTGAGCAAGTTTGACCTGATATACCACTGACTAGAAATGGTAAAAGGTAGACCATCGGTTGTGCAGTACGGAATACTGCCATCTTAGCTTGGCATTGAACCACTAGCCAGAATAGGTAAAATGTACACAAACCAGTGATTCTACCACGTGAAAGGATAATTGCAAAGCAAAATCCATATAATCCTCCGAAGGAGCAGCTAGGCGTAAGGTATTTGTGGAGAAGTTGATTTATACATTTAACATATTTTTTAACCAACTTTCTAGCTAATTAATTATTGTTCTTCTAGCTATGATAGCAATGAAGTGCGGAAGTGCGGTGTATATCAAAAAGCAGAATGCCTAAAAGATATCACAACTCTGCATAAGGACCCGACTATTATTGTAATAATGTATTGGACACAGCTGGAGTGCACTGAACACAATGCCCACGCAACCTCGCTGCCAGGATTGAGAATATCCGGTTTCGAGGCATCACTAAGCCAATAGTGTAAGAGCATAACATGTAGCGATCATCATATGAAACTCAGCTAGCCCTTTCTTGATATCGACAGTCGGCTAGCACAGCTTCTCTTATTCCTCATTTAAGGGAAAACCCCGACCCTAAAGACAGCAACCGCATGTTTTCGTACAATATCTATGGCCATTAGGACGGAAAGAACTACGTGGCTTCGAACAACATCCATATGCTAGGTCATAGCAGCCGCCTCTTCGTGCGCAATTTTCCATTAAGCATAAGGTACTATTATGCCAATTTTCTAAGGGACAGATGTCCTCGCCTCGAAGGACCGATGGGACAGAGTGTGTTATTGGGTTCCAGCATCCGCTCCACGATCCAGTAACTCTGCTCGAGATTTCGCATCTCCGAATGCCACTCGCCTAATTGCTATTGCCGTTGCCTTAGATTATTTAGTGGCTCTGCGTTTTCACATTGGGTGATTAGAAAGTTTTCGCCTTGGACGATCTCGCCTAGGCGAAGGTCAACTTCAATCATATTCTGGGCCTGTGTGGTGTAATTTGGATCCTGCTTACTTTGAGCGATAAATTCTTTTACAATTCGAAAGACCTGGGCATATATCCACCATCTAGCTGCTCTTCCAGGCGACTTTTGGGCTTTTGCTTCGAATTTACTCTCGAGACGAATCAACAGCGATTTGAAGGTTATATAGGCAGGCAACTATCGATAACCAGTGGATTCATGATGGAGATTATAATAAGGATTTTAGTTTTGAAATAGATGATAGACGTGCGAGAGCTAGGGGCAACTCGAATGAGCACAAAAGAAGATACCGAGTGCTTCGCGTATTATATCGTTATTGTTGAATAGTTAGTATAGAGTAGTAAAGAGTGGATCCTGTAACTAAAGCGATAGATATAGGAATTGGTGATACAGGAAGTGTATTTTCAGCTGACAGAATCCTCTATTGTGTCTTTGCTCAGGAGGTCAGCTTTAGTTGTATCGACTATCATATCGACGCTCGTAGAGAAAGTATGGATTCGGGATATCAGTCTGAGTTTTCTGCTCTTCAGGACAGCACTGGAGATACTTTCTGGTGCGATCGAAGAGACAGTCATCAAAAAATTCCAGATCACCATAGTAGCTAGGCCAGTTTGCCTCAAGCTTGCACCCAGCCTCCACCAAGATAGCAGTATGGTTGTCACCGTTGAACTTCGAATGGATAACAACGCTGGCGGTTTCATCATCAACCAACGTGTACGGACCGCCTACATTTGTTAGTCTGGTTCCCTAAATGAAAGACGATAATGCGCCTTACTGTAGTATGGCTTGTACAGGTCTTCTGTATATATCTGTTAGTCTTATTACTTGAATGAAGCACAACGATGCCACTTACGGTTTTTCTCGTCGCTCTTGCACAGTGTGACAGCTGAATTAATCAAAATGCAGCCACTTCCCACATGCTATTATCTGAATTAGTCGCGGATAGAAGTAATATAATTGCTTTAGCGAACGTACAATCTTGGTGCCTTCTTTCAAGACCCCATTACGGGAAGTTGAAGTAGTAGTAGCAGCAGGAACAGGAGGAGCAGTAAGCAGAGCTGCTGGAATGGAAGACTGGTCCCGGAAGTTGAGGATACCTAGGCCACTAACTGAGATGGCCTGGGCTAAAACGCTGAGTACTAAGAATCGCATCTTCAAGTGAAGATCAACTAGATGGAATTTTGATGAAGAAGGGATGAATGAGAAAAAATCAAATTGGTATGGTTTAGGTGTTCTTTATATATTGTTTTACGTCGATACCCCAAAACCTGACACCACTGACTGGAAAGGGTAACAGGTAGACCATCGGCTGTGCAGTACTAGCATCTAAGCTTGGCATTGAACCACTGGCTAGAATGGGCAAAATGTAGATAAAGCAGCGATCAACAGTTCTACGATGTTGTTTTATGCTCGCTGATTTACCCTATGATATCTAGTATAGGTACTTGGGATAAATTTGGAAGGTACGATTCACTTTCTGTATACGGTACTCATATTATTGTTAACAGGGATTGTGCCTTGTTCTTTGCTTTTAAAATCATAAATTAGCTCTTTCTATATTCAAATCGAATTCTTCTAACCGTGACAGCATGGACCTCACAGCCCCTCATACTTGTGATTTTTGACAAATCTTTCCCTTCGAAATTGCCACAACGGTACCTTATCCTCTGGTCAATCGGAGATTGCGTACGAAAATAAGTCTACGGTTGACGAGAATGGAGATGTTGTCTGAAGATACATGCCCCCTCCATCATAAGGGTAATGGACCTATATAAAAGCGTGTAATTACTGTGTCTAAGCTCGGAGATTCCCCTTATTTAAGGAATAGGAGAAGCTTGCCAGCCGATCATCAGCATTAAGTGAGAGTTGGCTGCATTTGATTGATAGGATCGCTACACGTATTGTTGGGAGCTTACATTTTTGGCGTGGTGATGTTCGAAGACGAATATTTCCAATTGTGGAGTAAATAAAGGTTGGGTTCCGGCTTATGTCAAGCTTTTTTTCTCTCTTTCTTTTCAGCTTCTTCGTCTGCGTGTACTTATTCAGGAGGCTCTTTCAAATGGTTTGGTGATACAGCTGTGGACTTATAGAGAAGACATGCAAAAGCAGTCGGCTTCTCACACGGCCTGTATGTTCTTAATCACATAGGTTGGTTTCGCCCAATATTGGAGACTTTATATAAAAACAACTCGAATGTGTTTGGGTTTTTTTGATTTCTTTTTAGGTGTGTACAAGCGAGTAAAAGGCATAAACTGTGTAGACGACCTTTCTATGTGTAAGCTTTCATGAGGTTAAAGGTCTAAAAGAACGACCATTATCTATGTTATTGGAGCAGTACTTCAACGTCAGAAGGTAGTTGAGTAGGATGTAGGATATAAGATAACACACTTTTAGAGGGATGAATTTGAAGTCCCACTCCGTTTTGCTACGAACTATGCAATTATAATGGTCTCATTCCAGTTTTCTATGTTTACGTCTGATATTGAATTAACCGTGTTCGCAATCTGTATGATATCGTCAATGCATCTTCCATTATCACTGTGCTAGTGTTGTGTTCCAATTCCTCAACTCCTATTCTCATCCCTAGGGCTTTTCCTTTCAGTTCTTTTTACTACAGCCTGTTCATATTTCTCTTGTAAAAAGCTCTCAAGCTATCACATAGAGCCAGGAATTTCTTTACACTGACCATAATCTTCCTTCTATTGCCATTTATTTGCACTATTTTTCCTGCTGCTTTTCGCTTCTTCCTCCTTCACTCATCTTCCTTGTCTTTTCTCATTTCTTATCTCCATAATCCACACATCTTTTATCTTCTCTCTCCCAATCCTTATCAATATGATGGAGAACGGGGTTCATGAAATTGCGGATCAGTTCGAAAACCTAACGGCCCAATCTCCGGCTGCTGAGAATGCATCTCATCTATCAGCCGCCCAGGTTGAGGTTACCGAGCCTGGTCTCCAGGACTCTGTTCCCAACGCACCCGAAGGCACTGATCCACAAGTCTCGGTCTCAAGTCAGTCTGAGCTCACGGATATCGATGAGTCCCTGTGGAATGATCCAGTAGATTCTGCTCACGTATCCCAGTCTCTTTCCACTAAATCTCATTTTATCAACCCTACTGCACCCCGTGTCGGTTACAAAGTCTCTGCGTCTGGTGAACTTGTCATTGTTGAAGAAGAAGAAAGCATCATCCCAGATGTTCCTGGGCCTCGGAAAACTCCACCTCCCGCGTTCATATCCTTCGACCGACTAGCGAAGGGCTTATCTCCGAAATTGACACCTAATCCCACCATCTCCCCCACTCAGCCTCGTTCCCTAGCCGTGGAGCGCATCATGGGCCCAAAGCAGCCTATCCCGGCCAGAATTCTCGAGCTTCTTGAAGAGTGGCATGAAGTTGATCCGGATACGGAACACCCGGCCGCTTTGGCTGGCCGTGCGCCGTCAACCTGGAAGAATTTTCAGGCTTTCAACGACGAAGGTGATGAGTGTGAGATATCCATTTTTCAGATTTCGCTCAAGGGTCAGGCCCGACGAACTTTGACATACCGTATCATGATACTTCACTCCCAGAATGGACCAGAGGAACTTGTGGTCTATGGGCAACCCCGCCCTAAGTTTAGGGGGCCGTTGGGCAAGGGTACTAGGGGCGTGTATCTCTTGGACTGGCTGGAAACTGAGAAAAAAGGACACGTTCGGGCATGCGGACTAAAACTGTGGAGAAGCGACGAAAAGAAGATTACCTTCAGTGCAAATATGTTCGACGATGGACATAAGTGCACTCAGCTGCCTGGCTCAAACGATGTGTTCAACATGCGTGCTTCCCCTTGCACGCCCAAGAAGGGAACCAAGCCAAACAGGGATATCGAAGATGCTGAGTCGACCTCCTCTGAGCCGCCTTTTTCTCCCTTGAGATCTAGGCGCCAAGGTTTGATTAATACAAAATCTGAGAACGAGAATGAAGACAGAACCCCGGTTGCCTCACGCCCATCCTGGGGGCATAGTATTTCGCCGAGTCCCACCTATGATAAATCCCACCCTCTGGGAAAGCCATGGAAGCCTCAAAAGAGGCGCCGGAGCACATTGAGCTCCAATTATGAGCCTACTCTTCAAATTCGCTACAAACTGATGTCTGACGTGTCAGACCAGATCCGCGTCTTCAAGACCAACGACGCCAAGGTTGTGTTTGAAAAGGCCCAGGGATTCTACAAGGGTAGTGACAAGCGCACGGGACTGTTGTGCACTGTTTCTGGTGTTGAGGGGGTTCGATATGTGGGAGAGGGGTGCATCGATGAATTCGAGATCCTTCAGGAGGATATTCGGAAGTCTTCTGATTTTAGTTATGAAGAACGAGTTGTGGAGGTGAAGCCCGCGATGGGCTTTTAGATTCCAGTCACACGACTTGTTGAAATGGCCTGGTGAAATGGTATGTAGCTAAAAGGTCATCGGACGACGACTTTTACCAGTTGCTACTACTCATACTTGTGGATGTGGTTGGCCTGATGGTCATTTCGGTAATTTTAGCTTGTTTATTTTGTGTCAAGGAAAGCCTGATCCAGGTTGAGAAAGTCCGCGCATGCGTGTGCGTGAATGTATGTGTACCTACTTCGAAAAAAATTCAAAAAAAAGGACATTTGTCAGATTACCTTACGGGCCTTGAGTTATCTAGCAAACATCGCCATCTTCATGATGTATAGCAATCGGATCAAAACTGGGGACTCTCAGAGCTAGTTATTCCTAGGCATATTTTTGATCCCCTTTTTTGTTGCTTTCTGCTAATTTGAAGACATAATCTGGATTAGTGCCGAATATATATACTCGAACATTGTGAGTGAAAATGATGAACAACCTAGGACAAGTGGGGCATCTTTAGTCTCGCCATACCAAGATAAACAAAGCTAAATACACCCTATATGTCGAAAAGAACCCCGAAAAGACATCCGAAGTGGTCTATCCACCTAAGAAATGAGTCCTAAGGACTCGTCCAACCCTGAAGAACAAGGGCTGATGAAGTCACGTGCGTGTATAGATAACTGCTGAATCAGCCTCCAGATGCCCGCGGGTCGCGACCTCGCTGACAACAGGCCGTCACATCTACAATATTCACCGGGCTTATTTTCTTCTCACGCCATGCCCCGACGCTAGTTACACCTGTGCTCGATGGCGTCTCCTCCCTCGCTAGACCCGTTACCTCCCCCAATCCCAGTCGACACTCATCCCAACCGCGCTCCGGGGTCCAAGTCTCCTGAGCTCCAACGGTCCCTTCCCGACCCTAATCGACTGGCGCCCGGGGATGCATACTTCGCACCCTCACTCTCGCGCGCCCGGTCCGCACCCACCAACTACGAAGAAAGTCTGCGGACGTTGAGCGTCGATAACTCGGCCCATATTGGGTCAGCGTTGCGCAAGAAGTTAGGCGGTGCTGGACGGCGTCGAAAGCGGAAGGGTGCTTGGAAGAAGCTACTTTGGGTTAAGCAATCCTGTATGTCTACGTGTGAGCCCGGGTTCTGTATAGGGCTCGAGGTTGGTGTTGAGCTGTTGCTGACAGTTGATTCATAGATCCGGATAACTATACCGATACGGAAACGTTTCTGGACCACCTTCAGCGTAATCCTCGGGTGCGGCCGTATGATTTCTGGCCTCTGGTAGCTGATTCGACTGTGATTGTGCAGCATGTGTGTTCGGTGGTTATCTTTATTTGCTGCTTCGTTGGCATTGTTCAAGATCGAGTGAGCCCCGTCTCGATTGTCTGCTGGGGAAGTGTTGGCACTGCCGTGGGCTGGATTCTGTGGGATAATTGGATCTGGAAGGAGCATGAGGAATCTATGCAAAGTGCAGTTGGGATAACTGGAGGCGATGATGGGTCCAGTTCGACTTCGTTTGCTAGCGCCGTCGATACACCCGCCAATGACGCACAATCGGGGGATACAAAAACGAATGCAATTCATGGCCTTGGGTTGTCTATGTCCGGAAATGAATCGAAAGAGCAATTCGCTCATCGCAGTGCTGATTTCAGTGAAAGCATCGACGCAGTGGTGAATTTGACAGCGCAAAGTGCTGTGCCATCTGTTCCAGGCACCTCCGACATTGGCACTACAGACCCGTCGATATCGCAGGAGACCAACGGCGCTTCGGCACTATCACCGCGCAACCGCCAGCGCTTGACTACAGTCAAGTCGGCTTTCCTTATTTACTTTTCCCTCTTGGGCCTCAGTCCCATCTTGAAATCTCTTACCAAGTCCACCGCCAGTGACTCTATCTGGGCGATGAGCTGCTGGCTTTTAATAATGAATATATTTTCTTTCGACTATGGGAGTGGGGAAGGCGCAGGCGCCACAACGAAGTTCCCTGCTTCTTTGTCCACTAACGCAGCTGTGATGGCTTCCACCGTGCTCGCGTCGCGCCTGCCGTCTACAACCCACGTGTTCAGCCTCATGCTGTTTTCGATGGAAGTATTTGGACTGTTCCCTATTTTCCGGCGCCAGCTGCGACAGAAATCATGGACTGGTCATGTTCTTCTGACACTCACACTTGTCATCGTTGCCGGTGGCGCCGTTGGAGTTACGCTGAGTGGCGGATGGGCCGCAGCCATTATTGGATCTTTCCTAGGAAGCATCCTGACCGCATTTGTTATGGGCGGGTGCAGCTGGTGGCTTATTAGCTTGCAAAAGTACAAGAACGTTGTGATCGGTCCCTGGGACCCTGCCCGGCCAATCATTCGGCGCCACTGGAACTAAGCCATGTTTGATTATTGATGACTTTTAGCGCGTAATATAGACTGTCGGCGTTTGGTTGGATCTTCTTGTTGCTTATACCCTTAGATCAGTTTAATATTTTGAAACATCCTAGAGGTTCCAACTGCTCGTGTTCTGTATATCGCTTTTGGATATCCTGTCATGACTAATATCCTCCAAGTACCACTTCCCTGAATCTTGGGCATTATACCGGGGCTCCATTTCTATCTATAGTCACTAGGTTTAACTAAGGGGGGAATGCGGGCTTCAAAGGCTTCGAGGGAATGAACGCAAGACAAATCTGGCATACCAAGCTTGTACGGAGCGAACCGTTGGACCGCCTTGCACCATTTACTATCAAAGCAAAAGCTTGTGATATTTGAAATAGCTCAATTGGGATCATGGACCTCGATCTATTTTTATCCATTTACCTATCGGGGACAATATCTAATTTAGGCAGCCCGAATTCCCTTGGCATTCCACAACCGCTCTTAGCGCCCGTTGCCCTTTCTTCGCGCCTAGAACGATTCCTTTCTAGGGGCCTCCCTGACTCTATCATCCAACGAGACATCTGGATAGTGACTAGTCAGTGATGGGACATTCCCAAAGGAAAGGCCCGCATGCCACGCATAGACGGACATCTGGAACAAAACCCATGACAGACCTGAGACGAACATTCTGGCATGTTTGGTGGCTATGCATTCTGTAGGACTCGAGACATTATAAACCTGACCTTCTTCTGTGCTCCAAAACTCCCTCTATTTTCACTTGGTCGGTTTGCTTCGCGGCCTAGGGCTGCTTTTGGACTCCCAACAACAGACTGGACTGTCTATATATTCTTCCAAATTCCCGGATTGACCCGTCTGTAAACATATTACAACTATCGTATAACTGATTTTCATCATGTTAAAACATTTTGCCCTTGGCCTTTTGGCCGCTCAGTCCGTGGCTGCCGCACGCTTTGCAATGTATATCGACCAGTTAGTACAAACTTGTTTGATTGGTTTACGAATATCGAGCCCACAGCTAATACCTACTCAGGTACCATCACAGCTCTCTCCCAGGCCAGGAGAGGACTGAAGGTATTGACCATGCAATCATGGCCTTCGCTAGCTCAACGCTGTTCAACTCGGACTCACCGCAACCATACACGCCATTTGAAAGCACCCAGACCATGCGCCAGCGCTTCAGTCCCAATACCAAGCTACTGGTCGCAATTGGTGGCTGGGGTGACACTTCTGGCTTCTCCGAGGGAGCAAAGGACGAAGCCTCGCGCACACGATATGCCAAGAATGTTGCTGCGATGCTCAACTCAAATGGATTCGACGGCGTCGGTAAGATACCACAGCAATGTTTTCAAATGAAAATGAACTGGAACAAGTTACTAACCTATATAAACAGATATTGATTGGGAATATCCTGGCGGCAACGGCAATGACTACAAAAAAGTGCCAAACTCGCAGAAAGTGGACGAGATTGAAACCTTCCCCCTCTTCCTTGCAGCTCTCCGTAAAGAAATCGGCAACAAGACTCTCTCTATCGCGGTACCCGGTCGCAAGCAGGACTTCATTGCTTTCACTAAGGAGCAGGGCCCTAAGATCTTCGAGCCTGTCGATTTTGTCAACGTCATGAGCTACGATCTGGTTAATCGCCGTGATAATGTCACCAACCACGCTAGCGGCATCCAGGGATCCCTGGACACTATTAACGAGTATCTTGCCATTGGGGCTCCTCCCGCAAAGCTCAACCTTGGCTTTTCGTACTACGCTAGGTGGTACACCACCGACCCTAACTCCGACTGTGCTGTGAACCCTATCGGCTGCCGTCTTGTTAAGCTCGAGAACGATGATGGAACGGACAATCTCAAGTCTGGTGTCGTGACGTTTGATAACACTATTGCACCCGCACCTGCTGATTTGAAAGAAAGCACCAATGGCCTGTGTGGATTCGATGCGAAGGCCAAGTGCCCATCAGGGGCCTGCTGTAGTTCTTCCGGCTACTGGTATGCACAAACTATTATTTAGCTCTGATTGACATCTAAACTAATTTTTCCTACAGTGGTACTACCGATGAGTACTGCCAGGCTGAGTGTCTATCGGACTATGGTACCTGTGCTATCCCTGTCCTCACATCATGGCGTAAAGCCCAGCGGGATGGCAAGACCGATGCGAACGGTGGTGGTCAGTACTACTTCGACAGCGAGAACCACCTCTTCTGGTCGTGGGATACCCCCGATCTGATTGCCCGCAAGTTCACAGAAATCGTCACGGAAAAGAACCTCGGTGGTGTCATGGCTTGGAGCTTGGGCGAGGATACCTACAACTTTGAGCTCTTGGAGGCTATGCAGAAGGGTCTCAAATCTCTCTCCTGAACCCGAGAAGCCCCCAAGGTCTGAGACAGTCTGTACCTAGTAGATGGAGTAAGTTACTGGCTGAACCTGTGAATGAGATACCATATTGCTTTTTGGCGTACTAGTATGATGCTTTACTGCCCTATCAAATTAACGTTGATTCCCCTTGTTTATGTTGCCATTGTCATCCCAGTATCTCGAATATGATGTCATGCTAAAATTCAACTAAGATATTCTCTGTTCATTTACTCATCCATTTACCTATCCATGAGTCGATATACCTTTGCATTAGACCAGTAGCAACGGGGTCCTCCACAAAAGCCAAAAAAGGGCAGTCTCGGATTGTATGCCCAGTTTCAAAAGTAAGACCGACCTCATTGTCCGAATCTGTTCCTGCAGCAGAACCTTCCACCTCCGATTGGCCATGACTTGCATATTTAGACCTCCAGAAATCAATGAGTTTAACACTAGGATTTTTCTCCGGATCCTGCTCACTACTCGCCAGTCTCCGAAGCCACTCCTGCGGAGACACAACCTCAAACTTCAGCAATCCCGATCCCTGCCTCAAAGCAGGAAGCAAATCATCCTTCCAGCTAAAGGTTCGAGGATTAACCAAATGGTACACCAAATTTTCATTGAAAGGCCTAACGGCAGTCATGGCAATATCTGAAATAGCCCGACCACACTGATCAACAGGCAACCAACTCAGCCGCTCATTGAGTTCCGGCAATGCACCCGTCGTCAACGCACTTCGGAACATGAGTGCAACAGCTTCAGTCTCATTCCATTGTGCGCTGACCGTATCACCACCAAGCTGGCCGATTCTCAGAACTCGGGCTTGCATGCCCGTCTGGCGCATGGCATTGCGGGTGATGTGTTCTGTTACCAACTTCGACCTGCCATATCCCATTTTCTGTGCGTGCTCCAAGTTCTCAATTATGGTCTCGGGAATCGATGCGGGTTTGGGCGTGTTGCTTGCAGCGCTGACACTAGAGCAGAAGAAGAAACGTGCAGGAGAGGGTAGGTTGGAGCGCAGACAGAGGTTGATGAGGTTGTATGTTCCACGGATGTGCTGCTGCTCGAAGGACTGTACGCCTAGATTGAAGTTCACGGCCCAGGCACTGTGGATGACGCAAGTCAAGGATGATAGTAGGTGTTGCAGATCGTGGTCCTTGAGGCCGAGATTGGACTTTGACATATCACCAGGAATGGCGTGAAGCTTTGCAGCCTCAGCATCCGTGAGAGTGATGTTGCGATCAGCTAGTGATTTGTAGAGACGAGATCCCGCCGCTGCTTGCCCTGGTGCGCGCACGATTGCCCAAACCTCGGAGACTGTCGGTCGCTTTAGTAACTCCAAGACAATAAATGCTCCCAAGTTGCCTGTTGCGCCGGTGACCATTACAGCCTCTGTTTCTGGGTTTCGGATAATTGTTGGGAAATGTTGAGTGAAGTGAGAGTACTTTTCGATCATTTCATGCATGGATTCAAGCTCATCTTCCTTCTCGAGTTCTTCACCAGTTCGCAGCTGATAGAGGTGCTTTGCAAGTGCGTTGACAGTGCCTTTCTCGAACACAATATTCTGGGATAGCTGGCCTCCTTGGTCGCCGATATCAATATCGCGCATGATATACCTCCAAATTTGTGTAGTCTGCAAGCTGTCGACTCCAGCAGAGAAAATGTCGGCCTTAGCACTGGGTATGTGTAGATCTAAGTCTTTGAATCTTGAAAGGAGCCAATTCTCCAGTTCTGGAATACTAAGCGCGAGGGAACCTCTCTTCTGGCCACTGCCTTCGAACTTGGCATATACTTGCTTGATATCCTCCTCGAATTGCTGATAAACCTGAGCGCGGATACAAGTTCCTTTGTCAGTTCTGGGATAAGCAACATCAGAGCCCTTGATCACGATGAGCTCTTTCGGGATTCGGGAGAACGTCTCAGCGCGAGAATTTGCCGTTTCAACAGCTGGCCAGATAGCTTCCAAAAATTCATCGTTGCTCAAGTGAGGCACCTTGCCAGGAGCACGGAAAATCAAAGCGCCAGGCACGGTCCGCTGGAAGCCGAACACAACGCAGTCACTCACGATAGACTCTTCTCTAACGCAGCCTTCAATAGGAATAGGAAGCACTTTTTCACCGTTGACCAGCGTAATTCGATCATCCAACCGACTCAAATACTTATAATAATTTCCCTTATCTGGATCCGGATGTCTGGTAAACAGATCAGCAGTTCTGAAAGAGTTCTCCGGGTTCTTTGCGTTAAACGGTGGCTTTGAGTTCGAGGGCCCCTTGCTCGGCAGGCCATCCAACGCAACGCATTCAAAGACCCCGGGCGAGATCTCATCCATCAGAGTGAGCTCGGCAACAGGACGGTGCAGTCGCATATACTGCCACTCCTTATCTTCCGGTGCTCGGAAAGAAGTCATGATTTGTCCTGTCTCCGTCGCTCCATAGTTGCCAACCAGATTCACGCCCTGTGCCACCATACGGTCGCCAAGATCGTCTGGGCAGCTGGATCCTCCGTACAGCACAAGCTGTGGGCGAGCCAGTGCTTGAATGCCTTCTTGCTTCTCTGCTAATAGTTTGATCACGTATGGAACGGCACTTATTTGCTGCGGCTTGGCCACTTGCAGGGCATCGACGAGATTTTGGTATGTGACCGGAAGAGAATGGTTTCCCAGGTATGCTGGTGCTCTTGTGAAAAATGCCCGTCCAAGCTCCATCAGAGCATGGGAATGAAAGAGTGGACTGATAGTGAAGAGACGCAGGCCGAAGCTCTTTCGAAAATTGGCTAATGTTTGAAGGTTGGTAAGGAAAATTGGCTTCGGGAAACCAGTACTCCCAGAAGAATGTAGAATCCAGGCAATTTTCTTGCCTTCCTGTGATGGGTCCGCACCAGGGCGCTCAAAGCGAGGTGTATCAACAGGACGGTTGAACCAGTCCTCTCTTTGTAGTAGAGAGAAGCTCCTGCAACCAGGAATACCGGTAGAAATTTCAGCTACAACTTGCTGAAACTGTCTGGCGTTGATTAATCGACTGCAATCTGCCATATCCATCAGTCGGGTATAAGCTGGAGCCGTGAGACGTGTAGACAAGAAAAGCACCGCATATCCAAGGCGATTCAGCGCGAAGAAAGTCACCACGACCTCGAAGCTAGATCCAGCTAGCAGAGCAACAACAGGGGCCTGCTTTAGAAATGGGTCCTAGGAGATAATTAGTTAGTATTGACATGAAAGAATGGCATTCCTTTCTTACCGCAGGTACAAGTCCCTGCTCCACATAAAGGCGAACGGCGACATCGGCATACCGATCGATGTCCCCGGCTGTATGCTTCTCGAAATCAGCCGCTCCATGAATCGGATAGCATATCAGAGGCCGTTGTGCCTCATCTGGCTGAGCAGCATGAGATTTTAAAAGGCCGTCGATGGTCGCGAACTGTTCAAACGTAGGCCACTGGGAGTGAAGCGTGCCGTTCAATAGCCGAGTCGCGATATCTTTGGTTTGGAGTGGCACCACGCCCTCTTCAGAGATCGTGAAGGTTACTGTAGCCGCCATTGTTTTATAAAACTTCAATGGTAATCCATTTGCTCGAGATGGCTTTATACTAGGCAGAAAAGCCCCATGTTGGGGTAATCCCACGCATCGCGGGTGCTTTTCCGGGTTTCCGATTTGATGCCCCGGAAAACACTTATCCTCGGTTTTGGATATCCACGCTATTTCCAGGTGCAAATAAAGACTCTTAGGAATACTGGTGGAACTAGGTTATATCTCAATGATAGTTGTGGTGTTTAAACAACTTCTTCGTATCAGCCTAGAGTTGGTGTTGATGAGCGCGGATATCCGAGATGGACAATGCACAGGTAATTCCGCAACTGAAAGACTCAATAGTGCTCATTGTTGTACATGGTTCATGTCTACAAAGGATTCACTGTACATATTTAAATCTACCACACACTCCATCTCCTTAAACCCGGCACAACCGACCGTTCTGGTCCGGAAGACCGTCGAGGCTCTTCACAACCCAATCCTCACTGCCGACAGCAGTAGGCGCATAGAACAAGCCAGTCGGGTCATAACGCTGCTTAAGCTTATACAAACGGTTGTAGTTAGTACCGTAGAAAGACTGCTGGAAGGTCGGCTCTTGAATATTCGCCTCAGACATATACGCGCCGGAGTCAGGGCAGACAGCGCGCCATTTGTCAACAGCTTGGGTGAGGTCAGCCATTTTGGACTTGATTCCGGCATCAGAGGTGCCTTCTTCCCAGGACGCCGATGTGATGGCGTGCATCAGAGTCTGGCGGAAAGCTGGGTTGGCTGCATTCGAGGTGAAGCCCTCTTGCAGCTCAGCTTTCATGTTGAATGCGAGCAATGGGTAGCCATCGGTAGTAGTGGAGCGAATGGCATCGAGGGTCGCATTCAGTGAGGCGGCGGTGTCCCAGTTTGAGCGAGGGAAGAGACGGGAGCCAGTCATCATCAGTGATGAGGCTACCACTTCGAGGGGGAATCCGGCAGTCCAGGCATCGAAGAAGTTATCGTAGTAGGTTGTGTTTGGCTGGATTGAGATGCCCAGCTCGTTGAGATCATCGTACCATGGCTTGATTAAAGTATTGAACTGGTCCACAGTGTGGTTGACGGCGAAGAAGGGGTTCATTAAGAAGACGAAGGCGCCGGGGCCTGTGGACATTACCCAAAAGTAGGCGTAGGTACCAGCGTCGGCGTGAGCAGGGAATCGTGCCAGGTATGATCGGACGGCAGCCCAGAAGGTGTCCGCGGAAACATCTTCGCTAGTTGCAAAGTTAAATGTTGAAACAGTCACGCCGACCTTAGGGTAGACACGAGAGATGATGGAAGTGACGACTCCGTAGGTTGCTAGTGGGGATGTGTTAGATAAAATTGACAATGTTTAGAAGAGAACACGAAAGCAAACATACCACCGCCACCGCCACGAAGAGCCCAGAAAAGATCTGGATTGTGTTCTTTAGTCACTGTTACGAAGCGCCCGTTGGCCAGCACGACCTCGAGAGCCAAAACTTGGTCAGCAGCCAAGCCGTAAATGCTGGACATAGGAGAGTGACCGCCGCCTAGAACGTAACCACCGGAAACACCAACAGTCTAACCAGGTCAGTCATTTTGCACGATATTGATATTTGTGGAATGATCAACTCACCTTGCCTTCACCACCAACGGCAGTGAATCCAAGCTTCTGGCTCAGTTCATAGACTTCAAACGCCTGAACACCTGAACCCATCTTGACAGCTGGACCTTGGTATCCTGAGCCCCGATAGTTCTCAATGTATTCAAGGTCCTTGAGGTGGTGGGTCCAGATACCCAAAGCACCAGCACCGGTTGATTTTCCATTGAAGTCATGGCCGGTGTTCTTAACCACCAAGCGGATACCCGCGTTGCGTGCAAAGTTGACAGCAAGCTGAATTTGAGCCACAGTGCTCACATTCACAGCATAGCTGCTGTAGCCACCCACTGTGCAAGATGCAGAGGCATTGGTAGTGGGCAGGCAGGTTCTTCCCTCGAACAGAGGCCACATTGCCGACGCCGGGTCCGCAGCACTAATCGCGGGTCAGTATACAATGTCTGTTTCATACATTTGGTGTAACTAACTGAAGGTTGGAATCAGACCACTGCGCGGAGATTCTCTCGCATTCAGCGGTGTCATATTGGGGCCACGAAGAATAACAAGACGCAGCTAGTGGGACTGTCTTGATGAGAGCGCCACCTAGGAATTTATTCAAGGTCGACCATGCGAACCGCGACGGCCACTGGCGGTCACCAGGGAAAACCTTGCAACCCAGTATAGAGCGCGAGATCAGATCGGCGCCATCGCTGCCAAATTCAACCAGGGCTGACTCGTTCTGGCTGAGATTCGCAATGTCGAGATCTGTCAACTGGAACGTCTCGCTATCAAATAGCGGTGCGCCAGCTAGAGTGGTGGATGAGACCTGTCCAACGAGGGCATCTCCGGGTGTTACTAGCAGGAGAGCACCGAGCAAAATGCCCGTCAGGGACGAACAAAGGGACATAATGAGAGTATAGAGAGGAAGAAGCTATACCCGATATTAGCACTAGGGAAAAGTTGGCAAATGGAGACCTTTAAATCAAATCTTCCACACTCGCCAGCTCAAAGTATACTTCGCACATGGCGCGATGTATGGAGTCTAGTGTAGGCAGTACTTTTGTACTAGCTTGCCATCCCCACTGCAATATGAAATGTCTCAAGTCCTCTCTTCTAACTCCACTCCCGTGCATCTCTTCCAACCATAATGAAAAGATAAAAATGGAGACCAATGGGCCTTCTCCGGATCTTCCCCCCGTTCGGTAGAATTTCCCAAGCCACACTTTATGTGTGACGCCCAATGCGAGTTATTGACAGCCCGGTGCACTAGCAATGCACAAAATGGGTCTCCAAGCGAGATTGTCGCCATTGCGATAACGGAAGATTCCGCACACGCGAGATTGGTTTCTCGGCTCGATTATGGTGAGGCCACCATTTGGTCTTACCCAACTCCATCCGCTATGCTCCACTTAGATAGATCTGATCTACTTTCTGGGCAATGAAAAATGTGCAATGTAAGGAACTAAGAGAACGTTGCATTTCATCTAATTTTGCCAAGTGAGGACTAATTAAAACTAACGAAAAAATTTAAGCGATGGACTACATGTATAGAAGCGGCAATTTCATCGGGGCCAAATATCATATCTGAGATAAGCAAATTGTTCAGCCTATGCCCTCGTGGCAGTACAGGGATTCACAGTGACTAGACATAAGTAAATTGCTCCCTTGTCCCCACCTAGGTCACCATACGTCTTCCTAAAATGCGTATCCATAAATCAAACCACTCTAAAATAGTACGCACAGCTGCGTTTTTTTTCACGCGTAAAAGGGCTGTATTGTTCACTTCTACCAAAACTAGTATTTTTATATATGCTTTATTAGTCAAATCCAAGGTTACGCATAGAAAAGTTATGTTCATAATTAAGCTTCCCCCCTTTTCAGCCGTTTAGTTATACTGAGAAGTGGAAGAAACTATAGAAAAAGAATATCTAAAAAGAACATCAAAATGACTGCCAAAATGACTGCCAAAATGATATCACGCGGCCGATTATTCTTGTGGAAGTTTTGATATACGTATAGACTTGTTGTCCGGCAGAATATTATATAATCTACAAAGTAATCGGTGCAGTGCAATTATCCATGTCCACCTGTAGTCTAAGGCTCCATACTGGCATAAGTGTGTAATTGGGTGAATTCTTACTATCCCCTTTTTTATCCTTGCTAACTGCAAGAGCGATTAAGTGCTCCACCAGAATACGAGACAAAGGCTTTGTACTATCTGCAATACAATTGCCCCGGTATTGTTCTGTGCTACAATTAGATGTTTCGAAACCTTCCCCAAATGTACAATTCAACGATCTACTACATAATACTCTATACTTGTAGTCAAATGACAGGCGAGCAATAACTAGGCTTTCTTTCTAGGGTTGAGGCTTAGAAGAATAATCGCACTGAATTCTAGAACCCAATCTAAATGGAGGCGTGGGCCCTTCTAGGCTGTTCACTATTGGCCCCTTAATTCCCGAGGATTAACTGCCATCAAATTAGTCGGGAAACCAACGGCGCAGCGCATATTAGTTCAATTAATGCGTTAATAATTTGTCCAGTCGTAGCATCCGTAGCATCCTTGAGATGTCACCTGAACTAGAGCCAAAGAAGTCAATTGTTGCCGATCCCGAGTCGCCGAGGTCATAATAGCAAACCCTGCATCTTCAGATCGAGATCACAGGCTGTTCAAAAACCCTTATGCTCTTCTGAGGGGGATACACGATGATTGATGACCATCAACAAAAAACCGCTCTAGGTATTGTGGTCGCATTCACTATTTTGGGTGGCATTGCAGTTTTACTTCGGCTCTGGAGCCGATGGCTATCACGATCGGCGCTCACAAGTGGCATGGATTCCTCCACTCCAGATCTGCACTGGATTTGGACTGTTAAAAATGGTTGCTAACGAGATTCCTAATAGATGACTACTTGATCCTCCTAGGATATGTAAGATCCTCAGATCTCTATATCTTTGAGTGTATGCTGAGCATATATTTCCCTAGATCCTCGCCATCTCCCAATCTGTTACCTCGTGGTACTGTAAGTAATTCAGTCAGGTCAAAAGTGAGCAACAGCTAATTCGGGAAAATTTAGACATCGAAACCAACTATGTCGGCATTCACTTTGCGGAAATTCCAGAGCACGATCCCAGACCTGGGCTAGAGGTAAGTCTACTTCGCAGCCATTATCGACCAGAGACTCACAAAAAAACAGTGGAACTGGGCAAATCAGCTCCTGTATAATCCAGCCTTGACCGTGATAAAACTCTCGATCTTATTCTTCCTGCGCCGAATCGATTCACGCTCACGTGTGATCCAATACCTCATCTGGAGCTCCTTCGCTATGGTAGTCGGCCTTTTCATCACCGTCCTCATCGTCGATATTTTCCAATGCAGCCCAGTGCAATACGTCTACGACATGACCATCCCGGGCGGGAAATGCATCAACCAAGGCGTATTCTATGTCTCAACCGCAGCGCTAAACCTCTTCACTGATCTGATGGTCCTCTCAATCCCGATCATAATTACCGCTCGCCTCCAAATGCCCCTCCGACGCAAGTTCGCCGTGTGCATCATCCTATGTCTAGGTGGAGTGTAAGTAAACCCCCAACATCCAACTCCGACCCATTATACACCAATCTGACAATACCCATCCGACAGAGCAACCGCCATCGGAGTGTGGCGCGTCATCATCCTCGCTACAGCATTCCTCTCCAAAACCCCAAACCCTGATCCAACCTACTCAATCGGATTCTGCAGCTCGGCAGTCGAGGTGCATGTCGCTGTGGTGACAGCCTGCGGACCCTCTATGAAAGCTATCAGCAGCAGATTCCTCCCCAAACTGCTTGGCAGCTCGCGGGAGAAATCCACTTACGGCGCTGGCACCGGTACCGGCACCGGCATCGGCATCGGCTCGCGACTCCGCTCGACCATCTTCAAGTCTTCCTCACAGGCCCAGCCATCCATGTACTCCCACACCGATTACGAGATGGCGGATCCGTTGGGTGGACCGCGTACTGATTTTGGTAGCGATTTCGAAATGCGTAAGTATAAGCGTGGAGATAGTCCCAGTTTAAGTAGTGATGATGAGAAGAATGGGGGGATTTTGAGAAGGACTGATATTACGGTCGGGTATAGTATGGAGCCTAGGGTGGGAGATAGCCGATCAGAAGGGAAACCAGCTAGTGTTGATAGTGTGGTTTAATAATTATACGAGTGCCGATGGCCAATAGCCTACTTGAACAAGAAGGATACCAAAATGGACCGAGGATCAAATACCCCAATTGGGGATATGAGGGGTCATCTGTACCTCCAGTACGAAGTAGGTATATATAACTATGTAGGAATTTCCCCTCTTCATATACAACACCAACACTTATATTTAATTTCATTCATATTCAAGCTTTGCATTTGGCTGAACACACTGCAAATATGGCAACCCAGTACGAGCTACCATTCAAGGTATGCCTTTTACATATTCTTTGGGGTATCGGCGAGATGTCCGAAGTGTCAACACTAACCCCATTTTATCCAGCTAGCGGATCCTAGTCTGCTGAAATTCGACTCCATCGTCGGCGACAAATGGATCGGTGCAAAGAGCGGAAAGCGATTTGAAGTACTTGGTAGGTGTGCATTATTATCCTCACAGAGATCATAATTAATACATCCCACCCTCAAGATCCCGGCACAGACAAAGCATGGGCCAGCTGCCCCGCCAATACAGCAGAAGATGTATCCGCCGCCGTTGAAACCGCTCACACAGCCTTCGAGCAATTCCGCAAAGTCAACCCCCGCCAACGCGCAAAGTGGCTACTAAAATGGCACGATCTGACCTTAGCCGCCCGCGAGGATCTTGCCCAGATCGTGACCCATGAAACCGGAAAACCGCTCGCAGAAGCATACGGCGAGATCGACTACTCCCTCGGCTTCTTATGGTGGTTCGCTGGGGAAGCAGAGCGCATCCATGGCACTGTATCAACAGCCGCGGCACCAAACCGTCGCCTCTTCACCATCAAGCAGCCGATCGGCGTGGCTGCCGCACTCGTCCCATGGAACTTCCCTGTTGCTATGGTTCTGCGGAAAGTCGGTGCTGCGATGGCGGCTGGCTGCACGATGGTAGTCAAGCCCAGTCCCGAGACGCCGATTTCGGCACTCGTGTTAGCCGAGCTGGCGCATCGTGCAGGCATCCCAGCTGGTGTGTTGAATGTGCTGACTACGGACTTGGAGAATACCCCTGCGCTAAGCGAGGCGTTGTGTAAACACCCACTCGTTAAGAAGGTTACATTCACAGGCTCAACGCGGGTTGGTAAGTTGGTTGCTTCGCACTGTGCGCATGGTCTTAAGAAATTGACCCTCGAGCTTGGTGGAAATTGTCCTTTCCTTGTTTTCGACGATGCCAATCTGGATCAGGCAGTTGAGCAGCTCATGTCGCTAAAATGGCGTCATGCCGGTCAGGCTTGTATTACTGCCAACCGGATTTATGTTCAGGCTGGGGTTTATGATCGCTTCGCTGCGCTTCTGAAGGAGCGCACTTCTGCGCTGGTTGTTGGTCATGGTGCGGTGGTTGGTACCACTATGGGACCATTGACCACGCCCAGGAGTATTGATAAGGCCTTTGCACAGGTTGAGGATGCTCGTCGGCTCGGTGCAGATGTTATCTTGGGCGGTAATCCTCTCAAGTCGAAGCCGGGTTATTTCTTCGAGCCTACTATTTTGTCTGGCATGACCGAGGAGATGCTCATTTCTCAGGAAGAATCGTTTGCGCCTATTGCTGCGCTGTACCGATTTGAGACTGAGGAGCAGGCTGTCAAGCTGGCTAATGATACCAGCATGGGTCTGGCTAGTTATGCCTTCACTAAGAATATCGATCGCATGTGGCGTCTCTTGGAGAACTTGGAGGCGGGCATGATCGGAATGAATACAGGTGAGTTTGCTATCATACTTTCATTCGTTTAATTCAGTCTAACGAATTCGGGCAGGCAACTCATCGGCTGCCGAATCGCCTTTCGGTGGTGTTAAGGAGTCTGGTTATGGCAAAGAAAGTGGAAAAGATGTGGCTGTCAATGAGTACTTGGTTACCAAAACAGGTACCTTGACTCTTGAGGGCCAATACTAAGTATTGAATATTTTTCAAAGATCATCTCGATCTACATATTTCCAAATTGAAATGAAATTTATGAATATTATCTTCTTCGCCGTGAGTGGTCAACCAAACCCACTTTGCGTAGATGTGAATAAATAGTTTGATTGGCTACAATCTGGGGATGTTTTCAATATCACATGTCCAGATTTTCTTCACAGTCGTCATTCACCTCACTATGGACAACCTTAGTCCATTACGACACCTGGTTCAGTCTCACCCACTAATTGACAACCATGGCCACAACCTCCTGAACCGCGAGTCAGCCACTGACTATGACAATTACCCATTAGAGGCTATCACCACCTCAGCGCACGGTCGCGCCCTAGAAAATGCCCGCACCACCCTCCCCTCGCTGCGGGCCACAACCCAGCTCTCTGAGCTATACGGAAGTCCCTGTGCAGACTGGAACGACGTCCAATCTGCCCACGAGCGAAGCGTGCGTGAAGACTACGACGGCCTGATCCGAAAGTCTCTAGAAGGCACACACGCACTTCTCCTCGATGACTATCTCAGCGATGACGAAGACGTTGAACCTTCCGGCTGGCACGATACCTTCACCGTCTCAGCGACAAAGCGGATCGTGCAGATCGAAGCCCTGGCAGAATCTACAGTCCTGGACGTGTCCAACGCGCGCAAGAATGGCGAATCAGTCTGGAACAATTTCCGACAACGGTTCCAGGATGCTCTTGCCTCTGCCCTGGACGATCCCAACATCGTGGCCTTTAAGTCGGAAATCTGCTGTCGGACTGGATTGGACGTGGATCCGTATTCCTCCGACGATACAACTCTGGGCGGGTCATTGATTCGAATCCTCGATTCTGGAACCACCAGGTCCGGCTTCGAGGTCGATGATAAGGGAATATGCGACTGGATTGTCCAGCAGACTCTGAAAGCGATCACGTTTAAAAAGAGGGCTGGTGTTGCCAAACCTTTGCTGTTTCACACGGGCCTGGGAGATAATCGGGTTAATCTTTCGCGAGCTAACCCTGCTTGTCTGCAGCCTTTAATCGCGCAGTATGCTGATGCGGATATTGTGCTGTTGCACGCTGGATACCCCTACGTCCGCGAAGCGGGTTATCTGGCTTCAGCTTATCCCAATGTCTATGTTGACCTCGGGAAGGTGTTCCCCATGGTCAGCCGAGAGGCGCAGGTGAAGGTTCTGAGAGAAAGTCTGGAGCTCGCGCCAACCAGCCGCTTGCTATGGAGTACTGATGGCCGGTTTCACCCGGAGTCGTTCTGGTTGGCTAATCGGCAATTCCGTCAGGCTCTCGAGACGGTTAGTTGCTAGCCTACTTTTTCTACTGGTTGCCTTTTCCCGATGCTGATTATCTTCTGTTTTGCAGGTACTCGTGGATTACGTTCTACATGGCGACTTCACTGCGTCACAGGCTATGAAGATTGCAGCCGATGTTCTGTTCAACAATTCTAACCGTCTTTACAGTCTCAACTTGACTGCAGCATACACACCTGGAGAATAAACTGTTGATCATGCAGGGATGCATAAGTATGTGCATGCCTTTGATTTTGATTCCCGGATGTATACTGACAATTTTCTCGTTAGCTGATGCTTCTACTCACGCTCTCTCAGTGTACAACCCCGTTACCAAAGTCGATCATCGATCACTGAGCGTCTCAGATCTCCCAAAGGCGATACGGACTGCAAGCACTACTATTGCTGGAGCATGTGAAGTACTACGTAATAGTCAACCAATTTAAACCAGCATCCTCGCTGTCCAAGCGGGAAGAGCACCGATTTTGGGTGCTGGGACGATGCTGAGCACGAGATGTGCAGGTGTTAATGAGAAGTCTATCTATTGGATTCTCGTGTTCATGACCATGACTTTTTCCATATCTTTTTTCCATGTCTTTTTTAAGTGTCTTTTTTGGTGTCTTTTTTCATGTTACATTGCCTTGATTCCAGATCGTATCCTTGTCGCAAGGCCAGCAGAGCGATCCACCGCCACCCGAAGTAATAGATACATATGCATATATCTATGTACATGTGGATTCCAATCACCAACAGAAAATTCCGAAAAGAAACACACATATATACCACCAAACAACGATATACTGCATGCTGTGAAATGTCGACTATCATGAGAGAATCAAAGAGGGAAAATAAAGAAAAGAAGCGAAAGATAAAAACAAGGTATACCAAATACCAACTCTAGTCGTCCCTTCCAGCTCAAGATCCACCTCCCGTAACATCTCAACCAACGCTCAGCCAATTTACCCGTGGCCTCACAGACCAAACATGAATAGCACAAACGTTCACTAGGCCTGGGAGGCCTTACAAACAGAATTGGAAACATTATGTCCAAAAGTTCAGCTAGCTCAGGTGCCGGTTCTGTTGTCAGACTGGACGATTTACCCTCACCACTGCAGCAGGTAGGTATTTTCAAGACTTCTTTTCAAAACTCTCAAACAAATATTGTGCTTATCATTACGCATTTAGGCCTACAATTCTTCGCAGAGAGAGACACCATAGAAAACCGTATATGGCAGATCGGAGGAGAACTAAAGGCACAGCGACAAAAAGTCTACAAGGAAATTCAAGACCTACGCCGCGAGATAGACAGTCTGACCCGCAAGGCCAATCGCTTCGACACCCTAGTGTTTCAAATACGACGCAAGATCCTCACTAAATGGTGTGGCCACCCTACAAATCCTATTGAAACACGGCAGCAGAAGCAAGCCGTTCATGGAGGCAATATCCTCGCAGACACCAACGTCATTTTGCGGATGGAAACAGAAGATTATCAGCGAGCTGTCAAATGGAAAGGAGCATTTGCAGCCCATTATAATATTCCTTGGGCAGAGCACCTTGAGGAACAACTATATAGAACCACCCAGCTGGTGCGGCGGTGCGACCTGGCAGCAAATACCAAATTTCTGCGTCGTTACAGCCAACTTGGGGACGATGAAGCCCGTACACAAATTCTTGCACCGAATGGATTGCAAAATGAAGAGGGATAGCAGGCTGCAAGTACTGGCAGATGTTCTTCAACATCTGAATCTCCTCGACTCTAATGCTTTCTAGCCATTTCATCTTACCCTCATCATAAGGTCCCAGGGCTTTCACGTGTCAAGGCCTATACGTTGAGGTTTCAAAGTCAGATGATGAGAGGGCAAATTTGAGGCTGAGAACAGAGCCCACAGATTGCCGACTAGCTCACCCTTCCGGTCTGGCAGGTGGATCATTGCTACCAAAAGAAAGATCTTCGGTGCAGACCTAAGGCTTAAAAAAGGGTGGACCCAGACGAATTCGGAAAAATGGGTTGGTTGAAGAAACAAAGGAAGAACCAGCTACGACATGTGCACATGCAAACATGCTAAACGAAAGGTACTAGCCCCCACGCTATTGGGAGGTTTGGAATGCAGTAACTTGAGGGCTATGGCTTCAGAAGAAAATAAGAATGTCTTATGGGACCTACCTCACATTATCGAGTTGCGAGTCTCGGCGGACTACCCGTAGGAATGTAGGAATATTATGCAATGACACATCGCAACCCGAGACATCCATGGAGTAACTTACAAATACTACGAGTACGTTCTTTTTGCTTAGTTTAACGGAAGTCCCATGAGAGGCAACCAGACGAAATGCCTGGTTAGAAGCAATGCAACTAAAGTTCAATAAGCACAGAACCTTTGAAGCAACTATCCACAGATTTGAAAGATCAATGAGTCAAGCCGGAAGGCTCAATGTAACGGATCCTTCCATCTTCTCCTGGATCGAAGCCATGACATCAGGCATGCTTGATGCTAGCCCCAAATTCCATTTGTCTTTCTCCATAACCCCCCTCCCCCCCCAAAGCAAAGCCTTGACCTCTCCACTCTCACCGAGAACGAATGAACCAGAGTCCCCGTCTGTGAAGAACAATTCCTCATTTACTCCAGCTCTTTTGCCTACGATAACAAACTCTTGAGTTTCAAGAGCACGCATTTCCACTTTTTCTCCGCTCGGAGTATATCATCATGCCCGACAGATTGTGTTGGTTCAGTATCAAACTGACTTCAGGGTGGAGTGGCCTGAGTACTTTCTCAAAAGAAGGGAGAAACTCCAGTTTCACTGGCGAAGGAAATCGACTGGGGATACTGGTCGATCGGTAAACTTCGACGCGCTGCAAGTACTGCTCAAGACTCATGTCGCCTTCTGCATCATCGGACTCACGATGAAGGCGGCGTCGTTTTCGAGGAGACAGCGGGGGTGTAGGAAGGTCAGAAGGCCCGAGAGACGGCACTGAGGGGTCCATGACTGAAGATGACTGAAGTGATATACCAGAGTGAAGATTGTAGCAGAAGATGAATATTGTAAAGACTTGAAGAAACCTGGAAGGGGAGGGAAGAAGAAGAAGTGTGAGAGCCCTTTTTATACCCCAGAGGTTGGCGGATAGGTACCAAGGTTTGTTGTATGAACAATAGGGTTTGTATTGTTCCGTAAATAACAGGGTTAATTAGCCTGTTGCAGTCTAACTTCTCTCTCTCTCTTCTCTCTCTCTCCTCTCTCCTCTCTCCTTCCCCCTGTATCCTCCCCCCCCCCCCCCCCCCCGGCTCCAGTTGCAATTGGTAGTGTTTTATTCATGGCCAGCTACCTAGTATATTTGTCAATTTTGGCTGAGATTCTTGTTTCCCAGCCTCGTTGTGAAGACCCCACTATGTAGGGTCTTGGATAGATCGATTAGAGTGAGAGGAGTTCTACGATACTACTGCGAACGCATGACACTAGTACCGCTTATATTCAAACTGAACTCTAAGCTTTTAATACTTGCTATGAGTTCTACTAGCATAGTTGTGCGCGGCTAAGCGAGATTATATAACTCTCTATAATCCACTTCGAGTCCGCAATCTTCATTGGAAGAGGTCGTAATATTACCTCCCTTCATTTATATATATCGCACATCACGCTGTAAAGCAACCAGGCTTCTGGACAGATATAGCGCGAGATCAGCAGAGAAAGCCACAGTTTCATCTTGTACAGAACAAAAACTCTCAATCTTCATAAGCAGATCCATATACTGATTGTTTGACTATAACTTCCTCCCCATATTGAAAACCTCTTTCCCATCTCCGGGATATTGGGCTCAAGTCAACAGATGCAACCTTGGAACTCATGTTCCCTATTCCAATACTATATCCCGTCACATAACTGGGCATAATTACCATGTTGGCGGCTTTAATCATATAGGGAACACATTTTACCACAGCAAGAGGAAGATGGATGCTCTGCTCAAAAATACACTTCAATGCTTACTGCAAACATCTCTGTCCAAGTGAATAAACCATGCATTACATCATATCTGTCCCTTTTCATGTAGGGTATTCCCGCTTCGCTGTCACTCAATTCAGGCCAAGAGCAACGGTTTCAATCATTACTGAGGGGGGCTACCCGCAACGGCCAGAATTTTAGTCGTCAATGGGCTTTAGGCAAATGGGTTTAGTGTTTATTATAGCTTACTGTTGTTCCTCTGACTCCTTTGAGTCCTTTGACTCCTCCGACTCCCTCGGTGGGATACATGAAACACAGAACATCTTCGCGACTCTGACTTCCTGTGTGTAGACAAAGTAGACCTCGCAATTATGCTTTTCTAAGCATCTATCGCATAGATCCCAGGGCATGATGTCAAGGTCTATCTGCAATAAAAATCACAGGTGCTCGCTAGAAGTTTGATAGGAAAGTAGGAATATGTCTGAATGCAAGGTGTGCGTGGGAGGTAGACAAAAAGCCAAAACTAAAGTGCGGAACACATGCACTTTAAATATTTAATATTCGTAGTAGTCATCTGACTATGACGACGGCGCTTTCTCGTATTTAGTTTTGGGCTCTGCTAACAATGGGGTCATTGGTTCTCGGTAGTATCCCGTTGCTATTCATTATGCAGTAAGACTGCGCTGGCAAAATATCATAGGTCTATCAAGCATGCTACCGACACGCTACTTCCTATAGAACGTGCATATGACTCTGAAATTAGCTAGATTGGCCTCATCTGATTGTAGTCACCCAGTAAAACTCGTCGATTCTGGTCTACGCACAGGCTGTCCAATATGCGGTTACTGCGTTTATCCCTGTCAAGAGGGGGGAGGTCTGTGCTATGCCTTTTGGGAGGCATTATTGATAGAGAAAGATATCGCTGGGAGGTATTACTTGCTATGACCTTATATAAAGGATCATGTATAATAAAAAGACTAGTATACTCGACATTACGTACCGACTATCCTTTATTGAAAACCCAAGTTTATTCGAAGTGAGCGTCAAACTGCTTCAATGCATACTCCGGCAAACTCTGTCTCTCTCCTGATCCTCTATCATTGCACTCATATTTCTATTACAAATTGTATCGCGCATATAAGAGGTTTATCAAGCGTATTTACAGGGGTATGAAGCCCATGGATATAGGCATCCCGTCTGGCGTAGATTAGACAGCTTCCATTTTATCTTTTGATCATATGCTCCAAGTCTCGAGTATCTTTGCAAGTAATCAAATTCCCAATGCATGCTATGTATAGTTTTTATACTGTAAGCTTCAACAGCCTCCCAACAACATGAGTCTGCCGAAGGTGGAGGGCGGGGTATTAAAATAAGACCTGCCAATCATCCAAGAATAGTAATGGTAAAAAATGGAAGAATATGATAGTAGCTACCGTGACTGATTGTTGGCCCCAGAATCCTCCCAATGAGGATATATCGCGCTGCTGTGATATACATAAGCTGCCGCAGATATTGAAGATGTTCTGGTTTTGCCCCTGTGCATTGAAACACTGTATATGTGGGTTAACAGGACATCTTGTAGATGTTGCCTTGGATTAGCCTTTTAGTGCGTAACGCTTGACATAAGAGTCCTCTGTCCTTTAGTGCACGTATCTCTATGCGACCAGCGCGCATAAGCGAGCTAGTTAGCTAAATAATAATTATAGTAAACTCAAGATATACTACGGTTATACCTCCACAACCAAGATTTTTTGATCTTTATCTTATTTTCCGTTGGTCATGAAAAGTGGTTTAAGGAGTATGTATGAATCTTGACTTGATCAACTTGAATGCTTATGGTACCAAAAGTCATATCCGAGCTGCCGTGGGAAGGTATCTGAAAGGAGGTAAATGATTGGTCCCTAGACCAGTTTAGAGCCTCACCGGGATATGATTTTCTGCCTAAAAACTGGCCTAAAAACTGACTTGCTCGGATGCACGTCCCTGATCTCTCCTCTTTTGGCCGGTGATCACCTGGGTGAATTCCCACTGTGACCTACGCGGTTACTCTCCCGGATTGGACCAGGCGTGTATATCTGGGATCTACCACTGGGAAGCACCGTTGCCGACGCCCTGATAACAGGCGCCCACTGGCCAAATAACCTAGAACTCAACGTTATTATTGCCAATGTCCCACAACTGATCTTCTCTTTTCTATACTTCGCCTTCAACAGCCTCCTAACTACAATGACTCTCGCGGGCGAATGGAGCGGATACGCCGCCCACTGTAAAGGTCTGCGCGTCTCAAACAACGCAAAACTGTCACAACGAAGTAAATACTTCCTCTCGATACCTTATCGCTACTCTATGCCACTCATGGCTGCCTCAGTCACCCTCCACTGGCTGATTTCGCAAAGTCTATTTATGGTTGGGGTTGAAGCGTTTGATATGAAAATAATTAGGGACATACATGCAGATTTGATCACCTGCGGGTACTCGCCCGTCGCGATAGTCAGTGCCGTTGTAGTTGGAGGATTCACGTTCTTCTGCCTTCTGGAGCTGAGTTCCAAACGGTTCAAGACGGCAATGCCGGTGGTGGGGAGCTGCAGCTTCGAAATTTCTGCCGCGTGTCATCCGGCCTTTGAAATAAACGAGAATAGAACTGTACGATCAGACAATGGGGATGAGGATATGGCGCTTTTGCCCATTAAGTGGGGGGCAGTTGGAGCGTCTACTCTATATTCCTTTACAGTGCTGTATCAAGTACATACGACCATAGGGTGTGGAAAACAGGGCTTCCCGTCCGCTCAGCCGTACTTAAGCCACACGCCGGTGAGTTAGTAGTTGGGTGGGTGACCACCAGCGAATCCTCACTGTTGTATGTTTTTGTTCACAATATTTTTTTTTCGTCAGGACTTGACTTCAGTCTCTATTCAGCCTTTTTGGTTGTAGACTAGTAGTTGTTGTGATCTCGTTACTACACATGCTCAACGGCCTACGAAAGGGATTTGCTCAGTTCAATCGAACAACAAAGTTTGCTAAGCTTGAATTTCATCTATTATTGGGCTATATATAGACTGCGATGTCGCCCGTCCATACCCTCTGATCCTCTGGGGATGTTCTGAATATTTCATACGAAAGTACGTGACCACCCAGCAGTCCCATATTGAGCTGTGAGTAGTCGTTGAGAGCGCACAGAAATTACGCTACAAGGGGATATTCGACCCTTGCCAACCCGCCCTGCCAACTAGGCCATAGATCACCGAAATAATTACCTGGATAGCTATGTATATTACAATGATTGCATCCCTTCATATGGAGCCCAAAATATCAAAGAAGCGCTTGCGCACAAACATCTCACAGTGACTTAGATTCTGGTTTCTATTCTGAATAGCTCTTTAGTAAAGATAATTTCGCATTACGGGCCTTACAGTTGAATGATTGTATTGTGCCGGCTAATATGTGGCTTTTGATTTCCGAGGCTTCTCCCTACAACATAGTCCAGCCCGAATTAGGCCTTGCCGTCCCACAGTGGCTCCACTATACGGGCCGCTGGGATTATAGGTTTTAGCGTACACCTCCTGCCCATGTCACATTCCAGCGTACGTGGTAGCCACTCTGCACAGTCTAGAGAATACAATCATAGTTGGTGCGGAGATGCTAAACATTGTTTGGGATGTTGGAGAGAAGGTTCGAATCAACGATATATTGATATACAGGGGATATGATGAGTTAAAAACACAAAGACCAAAAGAGACGGAGCTAAACGGAAAGGTGCGATATATTTGATGGTTGTCAGAGTTGAGGAAAGGAGGAATGAAGGGAAATATGGCCAAGAGAAGATACAAGGTGGTGCATCACAAGCGAGTGCTAACCAAAAGAGTGGAGCTTAGAGATCAGCAAACAGACCCAGGCTTTCAGAAACAAGCTTGCACGCCAAGCCAAAATCGACAGAAAACGTTTGTTCAACAAGCCAACTTCCGTTCTGTTACCATCTGATCCCTTTCCCATTCGCCTAGTAGCCGCGATACTTCTCTAAAAGAGACCGGTTTGGTGAGGAATAAGTCGACACCAGACGCCATAGCATCCGACTCATCGCGAGAGCTGCTGAGTCCAGTCAAGGCAATGATGATAGCCGGAGTGCGGCCATCCGTATCCTTCTCCAGCGAGCGTATAGCACGAGTGGCCTCGAAACCATTCATGACAGGCATTGACATGTCCATGAAGATGATATCATAACCACTCTGCATGCGCTCGACTGCCTCAACAGCCAGTTTTCCATTCTCAGCAGCGTCCAGCTCAGTCAGCTGGCGCTTTTTGAGGAATGTCATCATCAGGTTGAGGTTTATTTGATTGTCATCAACAACAAGTACTCGTGCCAGTCGCGCGGAGGTGGCTATGCCCTCAACCAGTGGTGCTGGTAAAGGTGCTTCTGAAATCTCTTCGGGCAATGCGGTGATAGGCGATGGTTGTTGCAGTGGTGATATCGTCATGGGGCGGACTCCGTAACAGTCCAGATCTGGGCCACTAGGGATATCACGGGAGGGTATGAAAGATGAAGCAGGTGAGGATGGCAATGAGGAGGTCCTGAGCGGTAGATTATGTGGTTGCAGAGCGGAAGCCGGTGTCGCGGATCTCGATCGGCTGTGGGTCAGGCACCTCATTACGCTTCGGGCTAATTTATGTGGTCCACAGGGACGTCGGATGATGTTCACGGAGGAAGCAAGAGGTAACCACTCGGATTTCGCTATGGTGTAATCTACCGACTTGTGGCATAGGACGAGAAGAGCAGGCAAAGTGGCTGAGGGTGCAATGGTGCGGAAGTCGGGTAAATCAGTCTCATCCATAAGCACAAGATCAACCTGTGCGTCTGGTGTCCACGCAACGATCTCCATATCATACCAGTCTGAAAGGTATCGAGCAATTTCAGACCAGTTAGAGTCGGCAGTCACGTCGGTTGGGTTAGCGCCCCAGATGGAGACTCGTTTACCAGGGTATCCCTCGCGTAGTAAAAGAGTTTGGGTCAAGGTCTCTCTCTGTTGGATGAGCTGTCCAGATGGTTCGATTACCGGGCTTTCCTTGCCCACAGGCCGTTCGAGGGGGACGGATACCCGTACGACAGTACCCTCCCCAGGACGACTGCGAATTCGAATGTTTCCATTCAGAGCCTTAACCAAACTGCGAACGATTGACAATCCCAGTCCAGTACCCACAGCCAGAGCGTCTTCCTGGGCGAAGGGCGTGTAAAGCTTGCCGCGCAAAAACTCTTCCGATATACCTTTACCCGTGTCGGTTACTGTCAACGTGACCAAGTCTTCAAGGCCTTGACGCCGAGATCTTCCTTCGGATTGACTAGATGCTGCCAGGGATAAAGTGACACGGCCAGATTCTGTATATTTCATAGCATTTCCAAAAACATTCATAATGATGCGCCGCAAAGCGCCTGGCTGAGTCCGATAAACCCAATCCTGGAACGAAACGTCGATAACAACTTCGACATTGGAGCGCTGATTCTGCGATTTTGTTTGATGTGGCATCAATACAGGCAGATCGGCTGAAGCTGTAGAGCTCTGGCCGTACACATGGCCAAGACAGATGCCTTCGACAACTTCCTCGGCGAGAATTGCGACATCAGTAGCCACCAACGTATCCAGGTGATGTGCCAGCTTGTCTGATCCTTTGTAGTCGAGCGGTGACTCTTTTTTGCGTTTCATTGACCGCCATGTGCGTTCCAAAGATACTACTTTGCTGAAGTCTAGTACCTGGTTCATTGTGTCCAGCAATGTCCGGCCACAGGAATTGACAGTCTCAAGCAATGAGTCCTGGAATTCATTGAGATGCGTGCTGTTCAAAAACTCGGCAGCGGCCAAAATGCCATGAAGGGGGCTACGGAGTTCATGTCTAATAAAAAAAATAGTAGTGAGTATATGTGATGAAGCATGTCGAATATCCTCGAGAGACCAAGAAAAACTCACGAGATACTACCAATGAAATCACCCTTCTGGCGATCCGCGATGAGAGATTCAACGCGGCTATATTCGGCCATGATGGACGATGAAAACCCAAGCACTGAACTGAGCTCAACTGAGGTGGTAAACACCTGCGTCTCAATTGTGCTCCAGCAGAAGCACCCTCCAAACCATTGCGAAGAAACAGCATTCCACAAAGGCACAAACATAATTTGCGCAGCATTTGGGAAATACTTGTTGAGTACTAAATTCTCCGCAGCTTTTCGCCGTTTTCGCGCGGGTTTAGAAGTCTGTGCGCCATTGGGTGGCGATCGACTAGTGACACTGGTGCCAAGAGGGGCCTTGTCTTGGGGTTCTTGGTCGTCATCATCTGATGTTGAGATGAGTCCATCGCGATGGAAAGACCATAGCTTTCCTTTGGGGTAGCGTCGAAGCAGCAATTGCAGGAAGGATCGGTCCAAGTTGGCCGCGGCGCATGTGGCCATCGAACCTGCCTGAGGAGCAAATGGTTCGTCATTTGTGGAAGCTGACAGAACAGATGCAGGCCCGCCTGTGTCGGAACAATCACTCCCCATATCGGCATCCATCAACGGGTTATTGTTAGTCTCCAGGAAAATGACGCCACTGTCGCCATTCAGCTCAAGACTCTCACGAAGTAAGTTGGCCGCCCTGCGGAAGCACCAAGAGTTGCCTTGCGAATCATCGGGTGGTAGTCGATTTCGGCTACTGCTTGTCAGCCATTCTGGCAGAGAGCTCTCTACAGTACCCGATTCTACTTTCGAGCCGCTGTCTAATTTTGAACCACCACTGTCCAATCTTGAGCTACTGCCCATTTTTGAATCGTAGTCCAATTTTAGATCGGACGGGACAGAGCTGAAGGAACACGCGTCGGTACTGAGTGATCGACCACTCGGTGGACTATTGGATGCCGCTTGCGATGCGTTTACTGAGCGATTTCGACGGGAACCATGGGAGTCACCAGAGGCACTCAGTCGATTGTATGAAGATGGCGGAGTTGTTGACGGAATACGGACGCTGTTCGTGCGCGACCGGTCGATACTATCCACGAAACTAGAACTTCCTTCAACGAAATAGCTGAGCCCGCGGGAAAGGCGCGCGGCCCGGCGTCCTTCGGAAGCCTGTCTGCAAACCTTCAAGTAGTCCACCACGAGCGTCGATAGAGATCCCAGCACATCTTTCTCTAGCGGTGTCAAACCATCTCTAGGTTTTTTGTCCAACACGAAAAAACAACCCAAATTGATGTTCTTTTCGGTTGTCAAGGGTGTTCCCGCGAAAAAGCGGAAATTGGGGTCCTTCTCAACGAAGGAAAGGTCTTTGTAGCGATAATTTTCGCTCATGTCGTTCACAACCAGAAATTGGTAGTCTGCATTCTCACGGTCGTTGGGGGGCAATGAAACAGTGTCCTGTCGAATGGCGTCAAAATCCGGCAACCATGGAAATGAATGATGCGATCAAGTTCGAGTGTGGCTCTGGATCAGCCAGCTCGTCGGGTGAGCAAACTTACCTTACACACACTCCATGTTTTGCGGGTGTCGGGTGCTCCCAACCAGACATTATCGTTGTCATCGTGAATTGACGGATTGTTCAAATTGAGAGATTTTGTAGATTCGGCAATGATGTGTTGTGTGTCATGATCCAACACACATATAAGCACGCGTTCAACATTTAATCGTAAGGCCGCCAATTGAGCAAATGACGTCATGGTACTGTTGGAGGTGCCTAGGACGAGAGCTTCTGAGCCAATTGCGGTCGCTGGTCGGGAACCTGCACTACCGTGCGAAGGCATCGAGCCTTCGGAGATCGGTGGAGTGATTGTATTGCCTGAAATTGCAGAAAAAGGAAATCCATCGTTCGGAAGCCAAGACGGAACCGGCTCTTGGGAAGCAGGCTGATAGTAGCGATATAGTTCCCTCGCCCTGCGATCTGCGTTGTGTATGCCATCCTGGCCTTTTCTAGGGATATTCATGGTTTGTCGCTAGTGGAAGCGTGAGGATACAGTTCTGCATCCTCAGGCTCCAAAGTTCGAGGTTGAGGAAGTTATCACGCTGGTGACGACCGATATAGGGTGGTTAGGGTCGGGAGGTGTCGAAATATGCAACAGAAGTGACCAAAAAGTGGGATGTTGTTGGAGGGATGGGTGCAACTGGATTAGTCACAGGTTATTGTAGAAAGGGAAAGTGAGTCCTGGAGATTTCTTGATTTGAGAGTGTTCTCCACAATCGAACAGCAAGTCGAATGAAACGCAGATACAGGGATCTCATCTGTCAATTTAGGGACGGGAATTGGCGATGTGGGCCAGTGAGAGAAAAACGATCCATAGAACAAGTGAGAAACAGCGCTCAGTGCACAATAAAGGTCGTGTAGGGAGTACACGACTCCACCGCTTCTTGTGGGATTGTCCAACATCCTGGGATCGGCACACCAAGATAGCCAGCATATGTATTGACTGGAGGGACAATGATTGGAAGGCCCCAAGGGGCGTCCAGTGAGCAACGGAAATGTGGTCAAAAGGTGGAGGGGAGTAAGTTTCAGTGGCTATGAAGTGGTCCTGTGGCGTCTGAAGTTGTAGATCATTGGCTGGTGGCCTCAGGCAACATTTTTGGCCATGAAGATCAGGCACTCCGATTAAAACCAAGTGGGCCAATAATTCTTCACGATCGTTCTAGTAAAAGTTGCTAATTAAAAGACATATTTTCCTTGCTTCCTGATTTGTTTCATATTGCCATGCGTACCCTATTGTCTCACCAGCCTACCAGTCCTTCAGTCCTCGAACGTGTTGACCAGGACTTCCACATGCCGTCATTTTAAAAAAACAAATGTACGTCATTTTCTGCCAGGGGCTGGAATTAGCGCAAGCCCAGGGACCCCATGACGATGGTGGCGAATACATAAGCAGAGAGATGTACTCAGAACAAATGTAGGCGATCCTCCTTCATTATGGTAATTATAGAACGCGATCGTCTCCTCCGTCATGGGCCTGATCACCCAATACTATCAAAGCCTCACAAAATCATATGTCGCATTCAACAACCCAAACTTTATCCGACTAGGAATTGTGACCGGTCACCGCACCCCAAATGTACGCCACCCACGACCCAAGTGTCAACGAAGTCAGAGCCCCGAAGCAAATTATGGAAATATTCCGGGTGCGCCGGCGCTGAGTTACCAAGTTTTGCTCTCGAATCCGCTCGATGACAGCGGCACCCGATGTCAACCGTTTATGCCGAGTCCACTGTAGCACCACCAGGTTATCGGTCAAAAACGAGCCGATGAGGATAGTCGCACCGACAACCAAAGCGCCAGCAGCAAGAACTAGGTAGACCTGCACCACTCGGCGGTACGAATTGTCATCTGCGTCCTGCAAAGCTCCCGTGATAATCCGAATGATAATGCTCATACTAGTAGTATGATTTGTCATGTCAACTTCTGTCCCAGAATATCATTTCGATGCAGGGTTTGGGGGATCAAAACTTACGCATTATTCATGGTGACCTTTAATGAATATGCGGATCCAAAGACCGATTGATGCCACATCGTTGTGCGAATGCTGTCGATGACCGAGGTTGGTCCGAGAGACACGGCAATGGCGTAGATGCCGAATGCAGCTCCTGTGCCTGCCTTGGATGTTGCAAAATTAATGAGAACCATACTCAGCAGCATGCCAGCACCGCAGGTACACACTATGGATATCAGTATCAGGCTTGTTCTGGGTTTTTATAATAAACTCACAAACAGATGCTCGGTTACCGAGGACATCGATGAACACGCCCAAACAGGGAACAAGGAAGAAGCCTGGAAACTGTCAGCTCATATCCGCCCACAATTATCATGGATTCTAGCAATATCGTACCTGCATATTGCGAAAGAGAACTATACCACCCAGCCTTGATAGAATCGACTTCGAATCGCGTTTCGGCCAGCTCGGTAGCATTTTGGCTGAAGACTGATGCAGCGCTCGTTTGGAACACAGAGAAGGCCATAACAGCCCAGAATGTCCATGGAAGCTCGAACACTTTTTGGAACTCGAACTTTTTGTTTTTCTCTGTGAGTTGTTCTTTGGTAGCTACATCGCATCGTCCCTTATAGTGGCGAGTACAATACTGGTTGAAGTACCAGAACCCTGCACTGGCCACATTCGTGAACACATTCATGAAGACCGATGTCCAAAAGACCCACGCAAAGTTTCCAGTGTTCTATTCTCCTGTCAGCATTTCCCTAAGTTAAATCGAGAAAGTCAATCACCTTTGCAATGATATTGGCCGTTGATTTGCCAACAAATCCTCCAATCTTGCCAATGGCAAGCTCAAAGCCTAGTGTGGATGCAAATCCATTGCTAGGGGGGAACCAAGAAGAGAACATCTTATACTGGGCGATTTGTGTAGCGATATCGCCGAGTGCGAGGATGACTCGTCCTCCGATCATGAAGTCAAAAGAGCGCACTGTCGCGGCGGCAGCGACGAGAATAGAACCGATGGTATAGATGATATTTCCATAAACAATCATCTCTATCAAAAAGCACTGGTAAGAATGATTTTCCGCGATTTGACAGACTCGATAACATACCAGCTCCGCCCACTCTGTCGGTAATCATACCACTTCCCAAAAGCAGAACCGTTGCCATGAAATTCTCACTGGCTTCCAAAAGCGAAAATTGAGTATTGTCTATAACCATTTCCTGCCAAGCAAACCCCGTCAGTGAATTTTGCAGATCGACATTTCCATGGTATTCAGTACCTTTTTAATCGTGGTCTTCATAGCACCTGTCACGCCAGAACTCCAGTGCGAGCCAAAGCTAATACACGAAATCAGGGCCACTGCGCATAACTTTGCTGCAAGGGGTGGTGCTCTCTTTCCATCAGACTCAGTGTCGGAGAAATCACTAGATCTTTCTAATACGGTGTGAATGTCTTCAGGGACAGGCCCCGAGACCACGTCCAAGGACTTCGAATCCGAAGTATCAACTGCCATAATCGCAACACGAGATTGGAATATAGCAAGTTTGTAGCTCGGAACTGCCGAAGAAAATCAAGAACTCTGGTCTCCAAAAAGACCTCCATGCCAGCACTATTTATCGACCTCGGAGATTGATAAAAGTTTAACGACAGAGCGGAGCTCGGGCAGCCGGTACTACGGTGAGCTGATCCTGGTACACAGGGCCGACACTCCTATCTGATCCGATGTACGTAAAAAGGGCTAAGAGGAAAGGGGATTCCTTACATTCCTTCAGCAATTGGCACCACTTGGCACCACTTGGCGCGGCGGAGTTCCATCAGATAAAGATAGGCTTAGATCGGGGACTTATCCCTAAAAGAGTATAGCGCTGGGTATATACTCCAACTCGGCGCAACGTCGGTGAATTTAAGATTCTTTTAGTCTCTTTTGGTCTCTCCTTGGAAATATCAAACCTCTCAAAAACCCCCTAAACAGGGCCCTGAGCGGCCCACGGTGGTACCATGGAATCACAAGGTTCAAAGCATATCTCGGCTTCTCTCCGAGGTGTCGTCAGCTTGCTCAAGCCGTTATTTTTTGGCCCTTGTCTAGACCCGCATTCTTTAACCCGGTTAACACAACCGCAGGATCTGATTATTATTTCGTGAAACCCAGCTCGGCCATTTTAGCTTCATTGTTCTCTTGGACAGGTATGGATAGTCCCACCGTTAGTTTTTCAAACTGCTGCAATTCCCACAAGGATCAAGATATCATTATCTTTGAGACGAGAGGATGGAGGAAAATCCATGATATGTGTATGACTATGAGAAGAAATCATCTATGCAAACTAGTTAGGTCTACAACAGCTAGCTAGTAACCTAAAGCCCAAGACTCTCAACAAATTTCAATAACTATTAATATAATGCTATTTGATATATACTTGATCTAGCGACTTGATCGACCGATCCACTCAAGGCGCCTCAACCCCTCCCACTATAAAATCCTCCACTATAAACCACATTCAACTGTGGTGTCCGAAATAAATTGTCTAACCCCAAAAGTGGGCCCTCCCATAGTAGCTACGGCAAATTTTATATATTGAAAATATAGCCCTATAGACTAAATATGGTCTGTGTGTAAGCTAGGCCGACGTTATTCTAGTATGAATATGCGAATATTTGCGTCCAATGTGCTCCGTAGGTATTACTTTATTATATCCCTATTATTTTAGATTATCATATTATATAAAGCTGTATATAAGGTATGTGCTGATAGAATAGCGCTGAGAAAACGACGTGCGATAGCTTTTAAGTTGTTCGATATCCCGGGAGATGTTTCTCAAGAGCTTAGCGAAGTGCCAGGGTGAGTACTTTCGGAGTTAGGGCATATAGAATCATAGCTTTCATAGCTTTTAAATTGTGCGATATCCTGGTATCGAGGTCTCTTAAGCGCTTGGCGAAGTGAGGACCTTCGGAGTTAGGGCGTACGAGGGCACGTGGGTGATATTGAGAGAATAGAGGAATCGAAGGAGACCTATAAGATCCATAACGCAGCTTCAGTTGTCCTATAGAAAACAGTTAATTTCAAACTAATTTATAGTCTGGCGCTATAGGGTCCATACAGATATCACATGCAGCTATTATAATGGGTCCTTTATAGTGCTCCAAGGAGATAGATCCACATTTGGCTGACAACAATGTACATATGTATACCGGAACGAGAGGATGGGAAGGTGCTGAGTCTAGATCCCCTCGGAGATCACAAAAACGGAAAAGAAAATGCAAAAAAAAAGATATTCCACCAATATTCGATACGCCAAATTAGAAGCGTTCCATGAGCTGCTTGCGCACTGTCCACATGCGCGCTCGCTTGCCGTAGATGTACATAGGAACTGACATGAGCATGAAGAAAAGTTGTATGCCGCCGATAGACAGGAAGACAGTGCGTGAACCATCGGAATCGAGCCAGTCCACGATAAAGAGGGAGAAAATCAGACCGTGGAGGATATCTGCAAGAGAAAAATGGTTATGTCAGACAAAACGAACCAAAAAGAATAAAAGATAGTTCAACATACTTTTGCTAAAGTTCAATGTCACTAGCGCCTCGCCAGCATACTGACGATAGCTGTCCACACAAAATGTAATGGCCGTCGTGCTACCCAAGCAGCAACCAAATGAGATCAAACCAAAGAAGATAGTCGGGACAATCCAAGAGTCACCGATTTCAGCACTCCACCCAAACGCCATCAGACCAATGACAGTAGACAACGCAATAGGAATTGCCATAACAAGACGGAACTCAGGCTCGTAGATGCCACCATTTCGTCTGGTCATAAACCGCGCGATAACGTCTGATACTCTGCCCGCCACTGCGGTTCCTAAGAGACCGCCAACAAACGGAGATATGTAGATCAGGCCTGTCTGCAGCGCGGTGAAATGGTAGTGCTCCCCTCCTTCGAAGATATGTGCAACCGACTCCGAAAGCACGATCAGCCACCCGACCGATAGTGAGTATACCACTGTTGACCAGAGCACAGATGGATAGGCGAATAGGATAAATGGTCGCACGGCCACTCGGAACCAGCTGTCCTGTGCGATTCGTCCGTTCCAGACTCTAAGTAATTGGGAGTAGGGGATCTTCGGGCGTTCACGGAGTCGGTTTGTGTATTGTAGGGTTGCGGGCAGCGGTGTCCCGCTAGGCTCTTGTGACTCGGTCCTCGCCGGTGATACGGCTGCGGATCGAGCTCTCTCTAGGTCATCTGGGTGTGCTCCAGGCACAAGAGCTTGAGGTAGTGGTTGAAGGAAGTCATCGCCTTTCTCATTAATCGGAGTCAGCGGTTGAGCGGTGATTTGATCGGCGTTGGTAGCCTTGCCGGCTTCGGAAACAAAATCGGCCTTTTCAGTCCCAACCGCTTGGTCTCCGTCCTCTGGCTGGTCATCCGCGAATCCAACATGCGCATGCTTGGATTTTTTCGGTGCCAATGTTGGATCTGAATGGGCCGGTTCGGAGGACTCGTCCTCTGGTTCGGCATGCAGGCGCCGCCCGCGGAGGCCTTGGGAAATGAGGTCGGAGACACTGTGACCAGGGCCGCGCGGGCTCTTATGCTTATGCACACGCGGACGGGGTGTGCGATCCCAAAATGTTTCGGGCACAAACAAAAAGAGCAAGACAAAACACATGCCTACAATCATAGCGACGATCCAAAATACCCAGCGCCAGCTCAGCCCTTGAATGATGGCGGCACTCACTAGGGGAATCAGATTCTTTCCGCCTAGTAGCAAGAGTGTATAGATCCCCACTCGATAGGCCCTTTCGTGCAAAAAGTAGATCTCTGCAATTGTAGCAGATGGAAGACACTCGACTGGGCTCACGGCAAATCCTTGGAAAATACGAGCGACCACGAGACTTGGGTAGTTCGGTGATGCTGCGCACCAAATTGCCGAGATCACGAAGAGGATGGCTCCTAAGAGATAGACCGGTCGTTTCCCGTATAGAATAGCTGTGGGCGACATTACGACAGATCCCAGGCCCAGGCCTAGCATATAGAACCCGGTGGTGAAAGCCACCTGTTGCGTGCTGACATTGTAATCAGTTGCAACATTGTTAAAACCAGCTGCCAAAATGGGGGTCATGCCGCCTCCCATCAAACAATAAAAGCCCAACGAGACTAATGCGCTGTCCCGCTGCCATACAGGCCAGTTCAAAGGGTCATTTACGGAGTCGTCAGGTTGGGGATCAAGCACAAATTGTCCGTCTGCTGTTTTCTTCTGCGTTGGAATCGCAGTCCGGGTTCGAGAGTTAGATCGCGAGGGAGGATAAGACGAGGCTATAGATGATGTCGATGTCCGATGCGGTTGATGTCTCATTCCCAGGGGTTCATTGCGATTTGATGATAAGAGAAGTACCGTTCCTAAAACATGCCAGCCACTTGTCAGTTTCTGGTTCACAATATTGCTTCTCCCAGTGACGGAAAGCTCTCTACTCACCCGGAACTTCGTCGGTCTCTTTGTCACTTAGTATTCCCAGTGTCGATTTAGCGCGATAAGTCTGATCCTCGCTAGACTCGGGCTCTTCTCTGGTCTTTCTTCTAAAGATTCGTCTCCAGCGTGAAGCAGCTGACTGCTGTAGCACAGGGTCTATCCCCGTGTTTTCCTCCATTGTAGCAGAACGGTCTTCTGCTGGTGATGTCATGTTCTATTCAAACTAGGAATGAATCATTCGGCCTATACTATTTGCGAAACAAGTGTGCTGAATATAATACCATCATTAGCCAAAAGCTTTTACATCCGTGCAACCGAAGACAAACCCCTGAGGGTTCCTGGATTTCAGCGGGGGATTCACTTACAGCTATCTTAGGTAGCCAAGAGGCAGCAAATGAGCACAACTTAAAGGCATAGCTTAATGAAGCAGGAAAGACGATAAGCGAAGTAGCACAGACCGAGAAATCCGTAAGTGGCAGACGGGTGATATATAGGATTCTACCGTCTTCCGTCAATGCGATAAGCTCTGAGATGTATCACGCGGCCAATGGTGGAAACACCAAAAAGCAAAGAGACGAGACACCAAACGGAAAGGTGATCGACGATTCCATGTGGCAGTGGGGGAGGCGGTGAGACAGCTTGGGGTACTCGCTGAGTACTTTCACTATCATACGATCGCCAAGGCTAAACCAAGTAGCGTCGAAGTACTATCGTCTGCACGTGTTGATAAGCATACCGTTTTTGGAATGTCATTAATGCACCTCAAGGACAGTCCGCGTCGATCCTTGTCCCACACATATTACACGCAAGATAACGTCAAGGGAAATAATATTACACTCACATATACATTATACCCCCATCCAATATCTATATCCGATATGCAATGAAGGTTAATCGCACTCAAATCTTCCAGATTTCCGAATGCACACGGCCATTCCCAAGACATGCCAAGTCACTCAAATCCGGCGCTTGCCGCGAGAGTTTTCTCTTCGTTTGTTTTTTCCGTCTATAGACACATTTTTTGAGGAATTCTAGTGTTACTCACTGCTCAAATGATTCTTCAAATTTCAAATTTCCCAAAATTGCCTCAGCTGACCAAATGGAGGTATTGGCTGCCGTCATTGTGCAGACATACAATTGCGGGGAAGCCCTAGCTTTGATATTTTCATACGGTTGGATGTCAATATCTCCCTTTGATAGTGTTTGAGCTGTCGTGGCGTCATGCGTCAGAGCATGGCTGTTGATCTGCAACCTTATATGTCGTGTTTTGAAGAGGAGGATCTGACCAACCAGTTGCGTCCATGCGTCTTACTACTTCTGGAGACACACCTGATATCAGTACTAATGGAATTGTTTGGTTCTTGATATTGCCCTTTATTTGATCTTGTGGATTAAATGACCCGCTAATCGAGGACGAGGCTTTCTTCTCCCTAACACTTGGTAGGATTGTCTACGCTTCTCGTTTTCGAAACGATATTGAATTAACACTGGCCAGTCGAAAGATAGTTCTAGCTGCATGGGTAATGTCAGTGCACCTTATAAGGCAATATTCTTTTGTGTCTTTCAAGGGATGAACAAACTGAATAGCTCTCAAATGACATATCGCTGGAGAACACAGGCCTTCCAAGGTTGGTGTGATGTATTATGTACATTGTTCAGGGTGTGCAGGAGGAACTCGGGAGATCCTCGAGATGTACGGAGTACATATCCCTGGCTTTGATTGAGCCGCACGTCCCTTGTCTTGTAGCATTTTCATCAACCTTGAGAGTTTACGCAAATATAGCCAGGAATTGCATACTACCTTTTGTTTTACTAACTTGGTAAATGTATTTATGTGTAAGTCCAATTTTCTCATCTCAGCCTGTTTTTCCTGGCACAACTTTTATTTTTTTATATTTCTACTCGCTCTTCCCTAACTTGAAGCCCTCTCTGGGCGGGGGCAGGGCGGGGGTGCAGGGTGGGCGCAGGGGAGGGGACAAATACTTATGTCCAGTCACTGGATTGTTATCAGTTCTGTTATTGACTTCGTACTTACTAGATAGATACTACTAGTACTATATATACCAGGCCGATGTTGTCCAGGGCATTGGGAACCTAGGTACACCACTCTGCGATATATCCCATGTCCGAGGTACGATCGCTGGGTTTATCACACCTTCATTTGTTTCCAGGGGGCGGAGGAAAACGTTTGGCCGCAACATTCAAAGGCTGCGACCGAAATACTGGACTAACAACATCTACAGCGCTAGTGGTCAAAGGTACCACGGTTTATAAGTACATATGTACTATCATGATCCATTATGGTAGCTACTAGGTTAGGAGATACTGCCCAAGTGGGATATCTCAATGAAGTTATATATAAATAGAATCCCCCCACTCCGAAACGTAGCCATTTCAAATGCCAAAAACAACAAACAAAATGGCCTAATGAGACCATTCGTTTAGTTACCATTCATTTACTAGCAATTTCAGGACTCTTTGGGAGCCACTTTTTACCCACTTAGGAATTTATAGTTATATACTCCGTAGTACGTGGTTATATAACCTCCAGGGCTAACCTTGGAAGGGATAAGGATATGTAGCTAAGCACCTGCATATGTACAATTTATGAGGTACACCTATTTTACTTTTAATCTAATGTGTGTTTTGAAGGTTGTCAGTTTCTTGTATTAGCTCACCACCAAGATCCTAAGTACATATATATGTGGAGTATATAAAGCAAAACAAAAGGATCACGAGGTGTAGGAAAACATAAATGTATTGCATGCACAACGAGCCAAATAACAGGCTACCCTACAGTTCTTCATTCAGATAAAGCACATCTATATCAACATCAGTTGCCAGTTGCGTCCAGGGGGAGAACCAGATCCAGCCGATTTTCATTACAGGGGCCGTTCGCAGGAAGTCACGTGGAGAACCCCTTTGGAAATCCAAGGCGAATGCTCCTTCTTTGCTGCAAATTCTTTTGTTATTTGCTTCATATACTTCATCTTAATATCTCCATTTCTTTCTTACTACTCTACATTCATTCCGAGGTCTATCTTTGTTTTTTAAATTTGCCGGGTGTCGATCAAATCCTCCCACGCGACCCAGTGTCGTGGCATCACTTGAATTCTCCCACCTTTGACATCAGTCCTCCTCTTTTACTCCTCGTGGTTGTGAAAGATCATCGGCTACACATTAAAACCGCCAATTAGACCACCATTCACTCTTTTTTGTGGGAGAAACGCCGTTCATCATGAAGATCAACCAATCGTCCTTCCTTCTTTTCCTTCTTCCTGCCATTTCGGCCGCACTCGCCGACACATACAACGACAACATTGATTCCCGAGTCTCGCGTGAGATTGCTGGCAACAATGCTCGTCTCGTTGACTCGGATATAGTTGCATCCAATGTCGCCAAAGGGGCGCCGGACGTCCCTGTGGATGGCAAGGATGGCAGACCGCACGCTGGTCCGTGGGTGGAAACCAACGCAGACCGGGACAACAAAGTTGTCAAGGGAAGCGATGATGTTGATCAAATTTCTACCAAATATGACACCAAGATTCCCTCTTCGGAGCACCTGAGCACCGAAGACGGGAAAGTGATTCCTCACTCAAACGGCGGCGTTATGGATGATCCGTATCGGGCGAGCCCGAAAGAAGGGACACGGGGGACAGAGGGTGGCGTGTCTGAGAAAGGAAAGGAGAATCAATTAGCCTCGGAAAAAGTGCCCGGAGGGCCTAGGGAAGCGCCTCCGCTGCCACATAGCGAGACCAAGAAAGTAGTCTTTGACAGCGAGGACACGACGACCGAGAGTGGAAGCCGCTCTGCGGAGGGTCCAGGAAGCCTTGGTATGCTCGAGGTAAGACTTCCTATATATCCGCTCGAGTCCGAGGTTTTTGATCGAACAAGTGGAATTAATGTGCATTTAGAAACCCGCTGAGCTGCCTGAAAAGACATACGATATCCCACCCCCCAAGCCCCCCGCCACGGTCAAGGGTGATCCTCTGGGTCTTGGCCACGACTCAGTCGCCTCAGGGTCAACTTCGAGTTCACCCTCATCCTCATTGACCCAAGACCACGACCACGAACATGATACCCCCGATGCAATGCACTCCCTTATATTCTCTTTCACCATGATTATTGTCTCTGAAATCGGCGACAAGACTTTCCTTGTGGCTGCTCTGATGGCCATGAGACATCCCCGCTTGGTGGTGTTCAGCGCCGCATTCAGCGCCTTGATTGGCATGACTGTTCTTTCGGCCGTTCTAGGCCATGCAGTTCCTACTCTTATCCCTAAGACCTTCACCAAGTTTATGGCTGCCATTTTGTTCTTAGTTTTCGGTGTGAAGATGCTCAAGGAAGGTCGTGAAATGTCTCCAGATGAAGGTGTTGGTGAAGAGATGCGAGAGGTCGAGGCGGAGCTCGAAGAGAAGGAGCACGAGCAATTGCGCATGGGCCGCCGTCGCTCCTCGGTTACTCCTCACAATCTTGAAGCAGGTCGCGCTGGAGGCCGTCCGAAGACCCGCGGCTCCGGAAACCGCCTGCCTTCGCCCCCCGAGAGCTTGTCCTCATCCTCGTCCCGTGGCTCTTCCCCTCAACCCCGGCAACGGTTGAACGATGTCGTTTCTGGGCTGACCAACCTCTTTTCCCTGCTTCTCAGCCCCGCGTGGGTCCAGACCTTTGTCATGACTTTCCTCGGCGAATGGGGCGACCGCAGCCAAATTGCCACCATTGCCATGGCAGCTGGCCAGGACTATTGGTGGGTGACGATCGGAGCTAGCGCTGGTCATGGAATCTGCACTGCAGCCGCCGTCATTGGCGGACGGGCCATCGCTGGCCGGGTCAGCATGCGTGTTGGTATGTACGCTCTACTTCCTTTCCTATCTATAAAAGATGCTAATCCTGAATTCTATAGTCACTCTGGGCGGTGCTGTGGCTTTCCTCGTGTTTGGCATCATCTACTTCATTGAAGCCATCTTTTAAAAGCACTGCATCTCCGCGGTTGTATGTGTCCACGGAAACCTATCGTTACAGTTTTTGGCGGTTGATTTGTTGTAAAAGTCGAATGAATGCATATTGTGACATAACTAGGGCTGTTTTAATGATATAATTACATGTCTGGCCCACGCAATGACCAGTTTCATAATTTCACCTTTTTTCTTTCTCTTTTGAATGCCAAATCTCACAGGAACAAACCTCACTGATCGACCTCAGTACTCACCTGTGGACCGAGTAGTTAGATATGTAATCATAATTCATCCATTCTAAGTTCAAATTTAACAGTCCTGGATACTTTGACGGTTCTTTTTATTTAGCAACGTTACGCCACATCCTCTAATAATTTATTTCAACAGGTATGAAATAAGAACTCTTTTGCTCTAATTCAAACTCCGACCTCGGTTTACAGACCAGGAGTATAGTCAAAAATACAGACTAGGAGTATAGTCGAAAATGCAGACAATCTCTTTGGTCGAAAATACAGACCAGACCAGTTTTGATCATGCCATTGGTTGTGTATACGGAGTGTTTAGTGTTTAGGTTTAGTGTTTAGGGTCTGGGTTTAGGGTCTTTTGGCCTCATATATCAGGCGTAAGTGAGGCATGAATCAGGTATCAAATTTCCCTAAGGCGGCTTAGCAGGTCGCGCTTTATTAATATTCCGGTTTTCCGAAAACCCAGCCCCGAAAACCCTGACACCTGGCATCTCTACCCCCTGAACTCTTGAGTTCTCCATCGAATTCGCACCCATCTCACCACGAAGCCATCAGAAATCTTTTAATTTCATCTGGTCTTCTTTTGATTTATGAAAATTCCATCAAAGCGTGCAAAAGCGAGGCTATAACAACAACGCGTGTACAGTGCCCTACATCGCCCACCGCCTTCCATGGCACACATCACGGGATCTCGCATGACCCGCAGTCGGAGCCGGGAACTAAATTCTGGGTTTATGCCAAACAAAGGACTATTGGAGCGAAATTGTAGGTAATATTCCTGCTGATTTGCTATCATCACAATCACAGCAGCTCTTGAGTCGTTCGTTTCGCACAGTGGAGTCGCCTAGGCCACTATGCATTAGGGGAACTGTACTCCACAATCCGCGACTCGCTCGATACTCATTTCATTTTGTTGTCACATTGACTCTTGATTCTGCTGTTTCCATCATTTCTGCTTCATAATTGAGCATGTTCTGACTTTATCAGGGCTGAGCGGGCTGGCTGAGGAGCCCTCAACTCCTTCTCCCGGGTTTATTGTACCCAGAGATGTGATACCAGAGTCGCCCGAAAACCATGAAGGTCATACCAATGTCTCTGGTACCACCCTAGGTCACAATGATGTGGAACCTGTCGATTCTCAAGTCGCCGATAAGACCGCGACTCACTTGCCGTTCGTTCAACAACAGGCGACTCTTGTCATGACTCTCGTGGTTCGCCCTGATTTGAACCCGGACAGCCTTGCAGCCGAGTCCAAAAAGCTTGTGGATCCTAACCACCCAAACCATAAACGCTTGAGGCGATCAGTGGAAGGGCTGGCCGATGAACTGGAGGACTCTCCTCTTTCTCGTGATGGCAAATCATTCTTGGACATATCTCAGGCTCGTCGCTTGCTTTCTTCCGCACAATTTGATGCGTCAATCGCAGATATACACATGACAAACTGCACGCTGTTGACCCTCAACATGTTACTCCCCAGCATGGGTATCGAGTCCCAGTCGGAGGTCATTCAACAGCTTGATGCCCAGTTTCCCGCATGTGTCATGAGCAACCTTGCGGAAAGTTCTATGTCGAGGCAAATAGGGGCGAGTAATTCCACAGAGACAACCTTCAATCTTGCATTGGGTATCCGTACACAGTTTTTCATCATGGAGTTAGAAAGACGACAACATGAGCAAGACTTCAACCCAGTCTCCATCTTGAGACAAGTCTTTGCCATGGACCTTGTGTCTAGCGAAGATGACTCCCAGAATATACCCAGCTCCTTCCGAGGGTTCAATTTGCCGGGTGTGTTACAGGATGAGGATGGCCATCTCCCCGAACACCTCCCTGAGAAATTTCTCCTCGCCGTTAGCGATAGGTTCAATGAGCTTCATGAGGAACTTTCTGAGTGGGATTCCGTTGATATTGATGGTCTGAAAAAGGCATACAGATGGCGTTCGTTTGAACGGGACCTTGCGCGTTGGATCTATGCTCGTGATAGGGAAATCAAGGATGATATCAGACGCTTGTCAGAAAAGGCGCACAACTCACCCGCAATCCGCCGTCTTACTTCTGTCCCGACTGGAACTCCCAGTCGGCGCCAAGTGTCAACAGTGACTCCAAGTGCTGAAATCTCTCGTCGGGGACCCTTGCCCCAACAGACTCAGTCCCCCCAGAAAGAACGATTGATGGCAATGGCACCTCAGGTGGACAAAATACCTGAAAATACCGCTTCTCCTTCCGGCACCACCCCTCAAAAGCTCCCTGAACAAAGTGCCCCCGGCCAAGTCGCACAGCCGACAGCAAAGGATCCGAGTCGGCGCAAGTCCAAAGGGTATGCCTGTTCTACAGTTTCCCCTCTCTCTGTAGCTACTAACTTTCCATCTACAGCAACTTCCGAGACCCGGCCTCATTCGCGGCACTCATGAGGCGACAGGCTACTAGCCATCAACAATCTCTCTCAAACCTTGAATCGCAGGCGCGAAATATTTCCACGAACACAAGCATTGTGGCCCAAGGGATTAATCCTGGCTCTTCTATTGGTCTCCGAGCCGAGCCTCCCGAAATTCAAGAATCCCCTGAGCGGAGATATACAGACATCGGTGACGACTCTACATATGTGAACAATGATGAGGAATTGGACCTCGGTCGGGGCCCAGAAACGGATGTTATGACATCGACTAGCCCCCCTACCTCCTCTAGAATCAGTCGAGTCAGCCACAATCCCCATCCTTCTCGTTTCTTCGATTCGCCTAAAGATGAAAACACACAAAGATCAATTCCAGTCGCTCGGCGCTTCCTCGACAAGCAGAAAAATGCTGGAGTTGTGTCGCCGATCAGCCAGTACGATGGTCCAAGTGCAGGGACTGTGTTGGGAAAGCGAAATCGCAATGCTGATATCCTGGATGATGACTCAAGTGATGGGTCAGACATTGAATTCGAGCAAAATAATCAAGAAGTGGATCCCAGGCGCAGGATTGAGAAGCCTCAACAAACCCGGCCTGCCGCCAAGCGACAGCGTCCCGAGGACACTGCGGGATCTCCCTCGGAACGGTTGCAGGCGAGTATCAATACATCAGTCCACAACTCCAACTCGACACAAGTCTCCCAAAGGGCCCAGACAGCTGATAGTGACGAGGCCACTGATGAAGAGACCACCGCTGAACAGCTCAAACCGCCTTCTAGTACCCAGAGTCGTTGGGAAGCCTCCAATATCCAGGCAGCGACAATAAATCGGCGGTCAACCCCCAGGACTAGCCATAGGTGGACAGAGGAAGAAGATCAACGTCTGATCAGCCTCATGGGAATTTTTGGCACTGCCTTTGCCACCATAAAGAAGCAAGACAACGCTTGCCCTGCATCTGAGGGCGGCCCCTTGCTTGAGCGTCGTTCTCAGGTCAATTGTAAAGATCGTGCTCGAAATTTGAAGAGAAAATATCTGAGGTAAGACATCCTTTCGTCCTTCGTGTGTGTAGGAAGCTGTTCTGACGAGTTATTTTACAGAGAGGGCCGACCACTTCCACCGAACCTGGAGAAGGCAACAAATTAATTTGAGCCATTGATGATATAAAGGCAGTTACAGTTTGTTCTTGTGTTTGGTTGCGTTTATCAAGATACCCAAGGAGCATAGGAAATGACGTTTTGAACTTTCATTCCTATGTTTCTGCTTTCGTTGTTTCTTTGCATGTGTGATTTTTTTACCTCGTACAGGGCTACTCTACGAAGAAACATTGTTGATGATGGGAGGATTCCTTTCCTCTAGTTTCTTATTTTTTGTAAGGATTATTGAATTGTTATCTTACACATTGATCGCCGTCAGGCAACATTCCTTAATATCGTTTGATGCAGTTGCCACACTAGGTGGTACACTATTCAAAAGATGTGCAATGAAACCAAAGCAAGAATTTTCGTACTTGAGATTAGGATTTCTCTTTGCTATCCCCTTTAACAGGTCTTTGTCAATCTTCAGGATTCTTTTGAGGGTTTTCTCGTGTAGAGAATGACCACCCATAAAGAAGATTCAAGGGGGAGAAGGAAGCGGACTGGAAGTGTTTTGCACTGAGATAGTGAGACATAAAGTAGAACATAGAATTAAAGAAAGGACCGAGTTAGGATACAAGGCCAAAACACTAGGGATCAATCGCTTTGTATGGAATGTATGAGGAATAAACACGCTAGTAGAGACTATGCCATATTACCTACCTCGGCTCCACAAGGCCCAAGCAATTGCTTTGTTCAAAGCCTTTCGCGTCTTTGATATACTACGCTCATGGGTTTAATTGCGAGACAGCATCAAAGAACGGTACTCGTTTCGCGAGTTTCGGAGTGCATCGGCTACACATGTGCACAAAGAAATAAAGATACCATACAATAATACTTTGACAACATGCTACATCAACCGGTAACTCCCATACGGTAAATAGCGGATGGAGAAATGGCCTATAGTATAAAAACAGAGATATTTCTAGAGATTAGCCCTCCAGATCACCCCCAAGACAGCAAGGACTGATTACTTGCATCTAATCAAACTTTCAAGGAAACCCTTTACTTCAATATCAGGTTCTGACTCTCGATATGGGCAAGGGCAAGGGCAAAAGCAAGGCCAAGGGTAGGGGTAAGAAAAAAAGTCACACTCCGAAAGAAGACAAGGTCACTACAAAGGTTGCAACGAAGGTTGCAACGAAGCATATCCTAGGCAAGCATAACTGTCCTGATGGACACGCTAAATCTTGGCGATGCGTTCGCTTAGGCCATTTGGTTCAATGCCCGACCCATTCTGATAGCTTCCCGCGACGAATAAGTGAGTGTGTAAAGTGCAATAGTGCTGACAGGCGACAAGTGCAGCAAGAGCGCAAAGGGAAACAGGAGAAAAAGAAACAACAGAAGTAGTCAGGTTAACCCTTTTGGTTAGGTTATATACATGTTAACTCTTTGCAATGGAACTTTTACAATATTACATGCAATTACTAGCTTGTAATACAACATTTGAAGTTTAGAAAGTTTGCATACCTCGTATTACTACCCCTCCTTCTTTTTCTTTTTTCTTTTTTCTTCCTTATTTCTTATTTCAATCTTACCTCTTGGATAAACAGAACGCGTTTGCCACGCGCTTGTAAATCCGATGTGGAAGAATACACCGAGACATCTTGCCTTCCGAGCACACGATCGATATGTTGTGACCTGTTTACAATTTGATACCGACAAGATCGTGGTCGGTAGCGACAACAGCAAAATAAATGTCTATGATACAAATACCGGGGCGCTTCGCGCAACACTTGAAGGGCACGAAGGTGGTATATGGGCACTTGAATACCATGGCAACACTCTGGTCTCTGGGTCAACAGATCGCTCACTCCGAGTATGGGACATTGCGAGAGCCGAGTGCACCCATGTGTTTAACGGTCACACGTCCACATTACGGAGCTTACAGATATTGCACCCAGTTCAGATTGATCAGAATCCAGACGGAACCCCAGTGATGGTGCCCGAACAGCCTCTCATAATTTCCGGCTCCCGTGATTCGACCTTACGAGTTTGGAAACTTCCCCAACCTGGCGACCCGCAATATTTCCCTGCTGAGAATGGTGAAGAATGTCCATATCTGATCCGTGTATTGACTGGTCATCAACATTCCGTGCGAGCACTTGTAGCCCATGGGGATACTCTGGTCAGCGGTAGCTACGACAATACTGTACGAGTTTGGAAAATATCTACCGGAGAATCGGTGCATCGGCTGAAGGGCCATAACCACAAGGTTTATAGCGTAGCCTTGGACCATAAGAGGAACCGCTGTATCAGTGGATCAATGGACCACACGGTCAAAATCTGGTCTATTGATACAGGTGCGTTGTTGTATAACCTTGAAGGCCATACATCCTTAGTGGGCCTACTTGGTTTGAAAGAAGATCTGCTGGTTTCAGCGGCTGCAGACAGTACCATTAGAGTTTGGAATCCTGAGAATGGCCAATGTCAACACACGCTTAGCGGTCATACTGGAGAGATCGCATGCTTCCAGCACGATGGGCAAAAATTAATCTCTGGTTCTGACAGGAGTGTTAAGATGTGGGACATACGGACTGGTGTGTGTGAAAGAGATCTTCTCACGGATCTCAGCGGTGTCTGGAAGGTCCGATTCGATGCCCAACGTTGTGTTGCAGCAGTGCGTCGTGGAGGTATATCTTTTGTCGAGGTTAGTATGCATCCGAAATGATATGCTGTTGATAATTTTGCTGATTCATGTAGGTCCTCGACTTCGGCATATGCCCTGACAATATACCATCTGACCAGTTGGGAACACGGGTTCTAGTTGATGAACGAGGTGATGAGATCGAAGGCCCAGAGGAAAGTGATTGAAGTCGCTAGCGAAATCGACTTGAACAACACAAGAAAGTTCCAAAAACACAACGTTTAATAACTTGAAATGGGATAAGAAGCGTAAATAATCTCAAGTGTTTGATCAGAGGTTAAGTGCAAAAATGTGTTCAGAAATTCGTAATGACCTCGGGGCGCATATAAGTATTGTCTAAATTCATCAAATATCCCGCAAACTTCCTGTATCCGTCCGTTCCTTTCGTAAGTAACTCGAAGATGTCAAAATTAGACTGAGTACTGAATATTTTCCTTCTGAGGATCGTAGTCGAATGATAAAGCATGGCGTCTCCGGTGTACATCGTAGCAACCCAGGACAAAGTGCATCAAATGCAGGACACTAGGATTGGATATGTTAGCGCATAGTCATATATTAAGCCATTGCATGGTAAAATCCTTACCTATTGACGACCATGAGTGAGAAAGCAGCGAGAACTATGCCCTTCGTGTGCCCTGCGTTTCCATCAAAATAATATTCAGTAGTATTAGTCTGTTCTATAAGGCCAGAGATTCCGTAAAACGATAGAGGAATCGCGAAGATTGAATCCAGAGCAATATGGGTGCCGGGGTGGACAGGGCGCTCGAGGACAATTAGGAGGGCGTTGGTCAAGGACCAAACTCCTGGGACGCCGATCTGGGGTTATTTAGACTGCGCTCTCACCGAACGGTATTGATGTTTGAATAGCAAAGGTACGTAAACCTAACCTAACCCTGCTAGTTTCAGAGGCTGATGCGATGGACATGTTGGCGGTTTAAGGAGACGAAATGATATGCAATCCAAAAAGACTGAAGAAGATATGTCTATCATACTGTCATTGGGGGCGAGACCTGGGTTATTTGAAGGTAGATAGAGAGTGCCCGTCCAAAATTAAACAAACAGCAGTGCCTCTTGTCTTGGCTGGGCGCAGCCTTGCAGATCTGGCTCATCCACAGTCAACTTTGGTAGTGGATCATTTGTACATGAGATCGAGGATTAAACCACTGTTTAAGGCCCGGCTTTTTTTTTGTCGCTTTTAAAGAAGTGATTTCTGAAATTTTTGAGTCCAAAATAGAAGGCCACTTTGCCCGTAAGAAATGTTGCGCGAATTTCAGGGAAGTTTTGGCGTTTTGGCCCCCATCACTGCCCCATCGCCCTATCCCCCCCCTTCGTGCCCCAGAGCCGCAGCTCGGAGAAAACGCTTGAGAATTATAACCCCACAGCTACAGATCAAGCATGTTGGCCCCAATTTCAAGCCATTGCTGAGGCTTGGTAAAAATATGAGAATCTTGTTCTCTTAACGCAATAATATTTTACGTGAAAGTATACGCAGTTTATCTTTATCGAATTCACTTCACTTCAACGACAACACATATATTTTGTCAAGAACTCACGTACTAAAGATTGACTAGCAAGTTGAAGTACAAAAAAAGCACGTATATTCGGCACACAGCCCAAGCGACGATAAAATAGTGAAACTATGGTGCAGATTTGAATGTTAGTCTTCCAATATGAATGAAAACGACCTCAAGCGAATAGCCTAACACACCTTTCGGAGGCATAAATCCAGTCATTCTGTCGTGACCTCCGGGACCTTGGTCGGTATTCCATCTATCTCGTAGAATGCTGGTTAGGTTTTTGTATCCTGATAGAGGGATGTACCTACTTGATTCTGTATCAGAGGTTCGGTGTCACTACTGCCTGGCTGAGCAGGCTCCCGGCTTTCTGAAGAGGCTTTCGACGGCATTTTTTCGATGCTTTCTCAGACGAATGTCGTATTCTTCTGAATAATACTCCTAAACCTCGGACCTGAAATCAAAACTTGGACTAGCCAGTGAGCTGATGGAAGACATAAGGAGATTTCCAGATTTACCAGGTCAAAGTTGCTGATTCTAATAATGGTTTCTGCCTAAGAGATATGAAAGTCAAGTTGAGTTACCAGTACAGAGTAAGAACTAGGCTCTTGGCGTTGTGTCATGATTTTCCTTTATTGTAGCCCCCACTTGGCCTCATTTGGGGCTATGTTGTATGTTATGCGCAGTAGAATACGATGATCATCCCCCAGGTATTTTAACTTCAACATTTCCCTTTTTTTTTTTATGTCTGGTACGTCTTGTGCGCCAGTTCTCTCATTCTTCCTTCTACTGTTCACTCGCTGAAAATGGGAAATCCAAATTTTGCTAGTGGCAAGAGTGCCGAGGCAGTATCCAACCCTCCACCATACTCTTCTATAACCGAGCCCATTGATGAGCCACCGACCTACCAACAGCCAAATGTATCACACAGTATTTCCCGCGATGGGGTTTCTACATCTGAGGAGACGGTGGGTATTAATGAATGTATCACTCACCTGAAGTTTTTGGCGGCGACCGCCAAACTTCGCAACTTCATTAGGGGAACAGATAAACTCTTCGGGGTTTGCGATAGTGAGATCAGGAATTTTCCAGACCCCCGCAAACAATCACAGGCAGCTGTCCGCATTCAAGAAAAGAGATGGGCTGTTTATGTGGCCAGAGCTGTGGAGCGATTTACTGTTTGGTGGCAGACTTGCCTACCGAGCCTCAATTCTAGTCGCATCTCGATGCTGGACAGCTCATCGGAAGCCAAGATAGCTTGGTCTACTGATATGATGCCACCACTTGGTCAGCTACCCTAAATCTTTTGTCTGTGTCATTTTTCCTAACTTACTAGCTAGATGTTCTCATGGTCTGGCATGCATATATGCTTAATCCGCATGCTTTTCTCGAGGATTGTTTGCGTCAATCCAAAATGAGCCTCTGGGCAACTGGGTTGCCATGGGATGTAGTAAACGCATCCATCGACGATGAGACACTTGTCTTCTACCCGGGCAGCAAAGCGAGGATAAACTTCGAGACAAGAACTGGTCAGTCCTGGGAAAATATTGACGACACCCCCACAAAAGCTCTGTTTTGCTTGGGATGTAAGCAGGAAATCATTGCACCCTGGACGGAAGGATCGATTGGGTGCGATCCAGATGTCGCTTTTGCACACTGCATTGGATATGCAGACAAATCGTTGAGGGCTTCATGCCCAGCATGCAAATTCAGTATCACACACGATAGTCTTCGTGTGCAGAAATTTCGCAATGATGTCCAGAAGTTGTTGAAAGATGATTTGCCTATGCCGGGCACACTTTTGTCGCAGAATGGTACTCCCGCCGACGATGAAAATGACGATAACGCGTCCTTCCCCAATCAGCTTATCAAAGAAGGCATGAGAAGTGAGCTCCTGCAGCTTACGGACCTCACTGAAAATGGAAGCGCCACCATTGAAACTATCCGCGACCATCTCGAAGGATTTTTGAAGAGTCGTTCATTGATGCGCCGCGTGAACAAGACAATACTGGCCGCCGGGAATTCAAGTATGCCAGAAAGGATATCTCTTCGGAATATGCTCTCCCGGTATTGGGACAACTCATCCCCCTTCGCCATCGACTTGGTCGGGGCGGTCATACGGCAAGGGACATTTGTGGACAAGATGGATAAGATCGGTTGGATACGTTCACCAAACCTGAGATCGACCATGGGTCACTTCGTCAGCAAGTACGATATGTTCTTCCAAATAATGGCCAAGAATAAAGGCCATGCTGTTGTACCCACTCTAGACATCGACTTGATTTGGCACACGCACCAGCTTTCTCCCGCCCGCTATTACACCTTCTCTACTGCGCAGACAGAAGGCATATTCATTAACCATGACGACAAAATCGACGAAATAAAGCTCAATGACGCATTTGCCTGGACCTCAAAGCAATATCAAAAACTCACTGGCGGCAAGATATATAGTGAATGTATCTGTTGGTATTGCGAGGCACTGCGTGAATCCAGCAATCAGGGACTGAGCAGGTTGATATCGCCGTCTACCCTCCATGCAAAAACCAACGCTGCTCGTCTTCACGACAGTGCTGATACTACCACCGACGGTAGAAGTCAAGGACCACATATTTCGTCCCATAACGCAGTTCGCATCCTGGCCCAGTCTGATCCAAGAGCAATACAGACAAAGACCGCCCAGCTTGAATCGTGCTGGGAAAAGGCACAGCGACGCTCTCATAACCGCAGTGGCAGCAGAGGTGGTGGTAGTGCCTACGAAGACCCATTAAGGAAAAATAGCCACGGCCCCTACGAGCGCGATCCAGAGATTCTTCGTGAAATATATCCCTGCAATCCAGCATGTGTGAATATTACTGCAGGAGTGGTGGGAAACTGTATCAGCGGAACACATGGTGTCGGCCTTGCACAAGGTGCATGTGTGAGTGGGACCATGTCCGCCCAGACAAGATCGAAAGGTAAAAGCTTCTGCGCTGGCATGGCAGGTTGCGGTGTAAGTCTCTAGAGGTCGGTGAATGTACAGGTGCCGGAGTACGGAGCCTAGTACCCTCCGGGTCAGTAGAAAGACCACGCGACAACATATAGGCGAGGGCGGGACGCACGAATATTATTGGTCAAAGTCACGAACAAACGGGAGTTACGGAAGAAAGTGGGTAAAAGATGAGAAGTAGCTTCGGTCTAGCTTCGGAAATTTGCGCATAGTAGAGGAAATAGTACATTCCTCTCACGTTAAGGGTCGTCGAGAAGGTGGTCTAGGCAGCTTTCTAGCTCCCTAGATGAAGCATCTACTGCATACTTATTTCAAGTTAGCTAGCGCATGTCAATCGCCCTATTAATGATCTATCTTGAGCATTACTTTCTTTAAAAATGCCATTGGCAAAATCTTAAATTGGCCGAGAAGGATATCGAAGTCCATCCGGTAGTAAATAGGGGGTGGTAATATAAATTGGTCACGCAAACCCAAAAATAAAACTAGTGTATAGGATGCCCATCCCAAGACAAGCTGTAAATGCTCAATGCATCCTAAATCCGACCAGCGGATCCAGCACAAGAAACAGAAACAAGCACAGGGTATTACCCCTGATATCATGATCACCCTGTTGACGAACCAGCGAAAGAACTGTACATGCAATGTAGACTACATGGAATCAAAACGACAGTATAGAGGTGGCTTTGGAAAGGAAAGCTGGGAGTTCACAGAAGTAACCCCATACCCGCGATAACAGCGCCAAGAAGCGATGATCCTCCGCGGATTGTTCCAGCAGCATTATCCGTGGGTGTGGGTGAGGCAGTTGCGCTAGAGGTAGCAGACATGGATAAAGCGTTGGCATTCTTTGATGCCGCGGTCGCGTTGCCGGTTGGGGCGCCAGCCGTCGAGGGCGCGACGATGATTCCGCCAGCTGCAGTGGCAGCGGTGGGAACAATAGAAGTAGAGGCGTTTGCGGACCCAGAGGGTCGTATTTCTTCAATCGCCTCGATTAAGCTGAATGTATCCATGCCACCACCTACATAAGAGCCATTCTGTCAGTCATGATCGTGTTGCCGTGGTATATACAATATTGTGGGTAACTCACAGCTTCCTGCAGGCCATCCAACGCAAGGCATGTCGCATTTATCGTCGTCGATCTTCGCATCGCCCGAGGGTATTTTGTTGCCGCAGTAGCACATGTCGCCACGGCTCAGAGCAGCAACCTTGAAATCTTTACCTGCGCATTGGGCCCGGCAATATCCTGGTGATTGGTAGGTGTAGGGGCCTTGGTTCTCGAATGATTCGACTTTGGAGTAGCAGCCCATACCAGCGGTGGAGCTGGCCGAGTATACGGGGAGGGCTAGGGCAAGAGCCGATAAAATGTAGTTGGTATGCATGATTGGGGGCGGAGTATTCAATCAACGAATTAACTAAAGAGTGAAAATTGCTTGGTAAGAGAGAGCGGATTCGAGAATTCAAGGAAAGATTATTAAAAGAACGGGAGATGTTTGACAGGCAGAGAGAGATGTCAGGGAGGGAGAAAACAAGGCCCCATCAAGCTTCTTTAAAGCGACCGTTTGTTCGTTGTGAGGAACACCCGTCGGGCTCCGTTATTTTCGAATGTTTTTCTGTGGAGCAAGGTAGGGACTGATGACATCGACGTCCAATTGGCTTACCGAATATAGCAAATGATTATCCTGAAACACTAAGCGACTTGCTCTATTGAACCCGTTCTGGGGCCTCACTAGGTTTCATTAGCCTCATTGGCTTGCGAGGTGACGATCGCTCGATCGACATCCCCAGGTGTAGCCACTTGTTGCGTTTTGGGTGACCAATGACGGAAGATGGAGCCTCAAGAGCCAAATGGGATGAACTTGAGAAACAGTTCGCGTGTTTCTAGTTTGCCGCTTGCCTTGATTTGGTAAAGATCGGTTTTAGGGATGTTGCATTTTGTAAGGAATCTGAGATGGTCATTGCTGATTATCACTGGTGACCCCTTGTTCCTCCTTTTCTGGTGCGTTGGTACTCCTCACGGAGTGCTCTGGATTATTCTAGGTGGTCTGCATATTCTACAAATAGTTATTAGTATGTATCCAGCGCGGCATAGTTGGGACACGGACATTAAAATTGAGTGTCGACCCTATTTTGGATCCATGGTTCAGCCGAAGCTTCCGTGTTGTGTGGATGCCTTGTTTATCAGGTTAAACACCAGTCCCTATCCCTTATCTTCTTCCTTTCTATGTACAAAGTATGAGATTTCAATTGAACCTGGAAAACAGATTCAGGTATCCTTATTTTGATCCAGTGATACGGAACTCGCACAGGTGGAGAGAAAACACAGGTGGGGAGGAAATAATGACTTGGTTGGGTTAGGTTAATCGCAATGGAATCTTCCCGCCGAATTTCCCCGAGCAGTATTTTCTGAATTTTTCAAAGATGCTATATTTCTTCGAGGTAAGTCAGGGGTCTATTGGTATTGCCTATATCAGCATGATCGACGGTTCAGGTTGGAAGAGAAGACGGCGAACTCATTAGATCAAGCAAGGTCAGGAGCAGGGGTTTACCAATATTGCAATGTTACTACCAGATCCAAGTTGACACAAAATACGTCTTAATTGTAGAGATTCGCGCTCCTGGTACCTACGTCAAACTAGGATCAGTTATGACGACCGATACATGGTACTAATGATTATTCTAATAGAACAAGTCACTCAAGTACACCCCGTACAGTCAGCAAGGATAATATGAATCTAAGGGTATTCCAAGGTTGGCAGGGATAAGGACTTGCCATAACATTCCGAGGAAATGTTTAGTATCGCTTACTAGACGGAAGAGGCTGTTGTCTTATTCGACTTGGTGAACAATCATATACAAGCTGATCATATCCATCTGGTTTTCTCCCTTTTATGTACCAGAGAAGCAAATTCCAATTTGGGAAAATGTCGAGTAATGCACAGACTTGACATTGTTATTCAGTTTATGGCCGTGGAACGGCGATGCCTACTTTATCTTGGCTTAAATACTAACCAAGTGGCTTTAACCCATTCAAAGGTCAAGAATTAAAGTTGAACTCTCAACCCCAACATAATGAATACACATGTTGAGATGGAGCCCGCTCAGGCAGTGAGATTAGGATGGTCGCCTGATTGTTCGGGCTTGCAGCTAAAGATAGAAGATAGTTATTTCTGATAGCTCATCTCTCTTTCCAATCAACAACTTTCCCCCTCTTTCTGGCCTTTTGTCTTGCGGACTCCAACAAGATACTACACTTACCCCAACTCTCGGCAAAATAATCAACCCGATAGGGCAATTCGCCATCGGCAACAGCCGCCAACCGAGCTGACGAGAGGGGAAGAAGATAAGATAACCATTGTTGACGTGCTCTCTCCAAGATATCGTGAATCTTTCCATGCCATTTTTCAAATATCTTTAGATATTTTCACTCGAAAGTATTGAATCAATTGAAGCCGACCATGAAAACCCTCTCGCTCCTCGGCCTGGCCGCAGTGCCATCGCTAGCGCTCAATATCCCCATACAGCAGCTTCTCTTCCCCGATGCCGATCTGTCGGTCAGTCATGATAACCCGCTAGCATACCCATCTACACGGGAAACCTGTCCACAGCCACCCAAGGTCAGCATCCCCAATGATGGCTTGCACTCGTCAGAAACCTTCCTCTCCGACGATACATTCCGTGCCCGTCAGGCAGATCGGCTCTCGCGTGCGGTGCAGATCCCAACTACCGTGGGTGATTATGCGGTCGATCCATACGACGAGGTCTTTGAGCCCGTAGTCAAATTCCAATCGCTGTTGAAGGAGATGTTCCCACTTGTGTAAGAAATTGCCCAATATTGAATATCGTCCGTCACCCATGAATGAAAGGAGAAAATGCTAAAAATAAACCACATAGACACAACCGCGCCAAGGTTGAGCACATTAACCGTCTTGGTCTAGTCTTCACCTTCGAGGGAGTTGACACTTCACGCAAGCCGGTACTTTTCATGGCCCACCAGGACGTTGTTCCCATCGACGACCCATCAGACTGGACTTACCCGCCCTTCTCAGGTTTCTTTGATGGCGAATGGATCTGGGGGCGCGGCGCAAGTGACTGCAAAAACGTTCTTATCGGACTCATGTCCGTAGCCGAAGACCTGCTCGCGCAGGACTGGAAGCCACAGCGCTCGGTACTGTTCGCATTCGGGTACGACGAGGAATCGCACGGCTTCCTAGGCGCCGGAGCAATTTCAAATGTTCTGGAGGAAAGGTACGGCAAAGACTCCATTGAATTCATCCTCGACGAGGGTGGGATGGGACTGGAGACCCTAGGTGATGAGTCCGACCCTAACGGTGAGATCCTGTATGCTCTCCCAGCTGTCGGCGAGAAGGGTAGCCTCGACCTCATTATCGACATTGCCGTGCCTGGTGGCCACAGCTCTATCCCACCAGCACACACCGGCATCGGTATCATGGCCGAGATTTTGTACAACCTTGAGCGGAAAGAGCTGTTCCCTGCCTGGCTGGATAGTAACCATCCTGCTTACGGGATGCTGGCGTGCCAGGCACGGTACTCGCCTGACTACGTTGAGAACTGGTTATCCGATAAGCTGGCAGCAAATGACCCTGCTGCTCTAGGCGAGGCTGTTGCCAGCTCCCGCGGTCCCGCAGTCCGCTATACTATGCAGACATCGCAGGCAGCAGACCTGATTCACGGCGGTGTGAAGACAAACGCACTACCAGAGAAGATCTCAGCGGTCGTCAACTATCGCGTGGGACTACATCAGACGCCCAATCAGTTACTTGAGCGCGCTATCCGACTTATCACCCCTATTGCGGAATCCCACAACCTTACTATACGTGTTGCCTTTGACGCCATGGCAGATTCCATGAAAGGTGATGTGAGTGACCGTACTCTCACACTGTCTCCTCTTGATGAACCTCTTTCCCCGGCTCCAATCTCCCCAACAGATCCGCTCACTTCGAAGGTGTGGGCACACTTCGCCGGAGTGGCACGTAGTGTTTTTGAGTCTCATCCGAACCCAGTTTCCAAGTCTACGTCTAAAGCTAAGCCAACAGTTATTGTCACGGGAGACGTCATGACTGGAAACACAGACACGCGCTTCTACTGGGCTTTGTCGGAGAATATCTACCGTTGGAGCCCGGGCCGTGCTGGCGGATCGCTGAATATTCATACTGTAGATGAGCGAATCCGCTTGGATGTGCATCTTGAAGGCATGATGCTTTATTATGGTATGTTCTATGTTCTCTTTTTCATTCATTCTCCCTTTGAAGAACTCTGGCTAATTTATATCAGATCTGATTCGGTCTTTCGATGCTTGGGATGGAAAGTCCGAGTGAACATACTACTCTCCATCATCAAATAATTTGACCCATATATATGAAGGTTTGATACATACGGTCTTCGGATCTAAAGATTCTCCCATTTCTGGTCGAGGACTCAATATGCACTGTTTTAAATTTTAACTAGAAGAACAAGATCTTTGCTGGATATCGCTTATTTATTTTGCGATCCCTCGATGGTGCCATGAAGTTGTGATATATACAAATCCCTAGCAAGCTCGCCTTAGAGGCTTGGAAAGAACCAAGTAAAATAAAGACATGTGACAAATGTTGTGGGAAACATTAGAAGAAAGAGTGAAATCCCTCTGGGCCATCTCGTAGCCTATACATACTAATATACCAAGTGTCAGAACATTGGAAGGACCTGATGTAGCGAGGAAGGTGCTATCCTTCCTTCACTCGTTGGAAAGAGATGTTGATGGGATGATAATACTGGTCTCTTAACTGGCCAAGCACAAAAAAAGAAAAAAGGATAATCCCTCCAACTACTCCCAGCGCAGGATCGAAACCCTCATCAGTTTCACCATTAACTGAATTTCCCAAGGCAGTATCAACCGGACTCATTATTCCATTCAGCAATCAGATAAATCCAGTGTCTCTCACCCACTCAGCCACCTGGGAAGAATTATTAACAGCTCAACTTGAACTGCATTCAAATAGATCAAGTCCTATTGTTTATGCTCTATAAATTCTACTCCAACTGCCTCTGATAATAGTATATAACTGCCCTTTAGGTTCTATCCCGTAATCTGCTTCATCATACCGAGAAGAAGCTTGAGTATGCATGTGCAAAGGTCGTAGATATACGCAGGCCACCATTGAACATCCGCTGACCGCCATGATCCATTTACCCCCGGATCTACCTTTGTTCCATAACAATTTTGTCATATATTATTCCCACCTGGGCATTCCACAGATTGAATATCATAGATCCTGCACTTTATCGACGTATATCTTTCAGGTACAACTCCTCACTAGCATTCATCACTTATGAGCCCAGTTTCTTGATTCCAATCCCTGTCATTGAACTCGCTTATGGGGTGGGTTACAAAAGCTGATGAATGATCTCGCCATTAGTGCTAATTGTTAGGCGTCCACCAGTGCATGATGGTTGTGGCCTGCGTGCTCGGGCTATCAAGCTTTCCTTACCGCCTCTCTATATACCGGTAACTTGTTAGCAAAAGACGCGTAAAAAGAAAATCAGAGCTTTCTATACACACGGTTATGGTATTTATATAAAGGGAATCGTTGAAAACCTCGGAGAATCGGTATTTCTAATAAAACCAATCGTAGGCGTCGTGGTCCTATGATATATCCTTTACTATACGTCAAAAAAGACAGTGGGTCCTTTTATATGCCTTTTGTCGCCAAATTAATTGTGTACAGAGGGGCGATGATAGAGACGTGATAATTCCGAATGCTCACTCAGGCAGTAACCACCATGCACTGGTGGAGACCTAAGAATTAGAACTAATGGCGAGATTATCTTTGTAGCCAATCCCACAAGCGAGTTCAATGACAGGGATCGGGAATTTAAGAGGCTGGGCTCGTAACTGATGAACGTTATGAGCAGAGGAACTCTGAAGATTATGTAGAATGAATGTGGATGATGAACTACCCACTGCTATGGAGCTCTTTATATGTTTTATGGGGACAAAGAGAGAGAGAGGTTTGAGTCGTAAACAGGCAGGCAAATACTGACTTTGCGAGATTGCATCGTATTGCAGCACGGATTTGTTATAAAATTTATGTCCTGATGTTGAAGCATCTAAACATATCCCTAGGTAACATGAAGAGAGGGCAAAAACATATATTCATGCATGTCTGAAATCATCACATACTCAGATATATGTATATGTGATGATTTCAACAAAACTTGTGCAGCCCATGCCAAAAGGCTAGGCTATGGATGGGTATAAGCAAGAAAGGCCATTACAAAGCCTGAAATCAATGAAGCGAATGGAAGGTATCCGGCACGTCCTCCACTTTTAGTAGTGGTAAATGTACTGGACCAGAACTTCTGAGCGAAAGTCTTTTGGGAGAAAAGCGAGCTTCACCAGGGAAAAGAAAGCCAGTAGGCGTTATAAGTGAAACAAATCGACAAGAAGCGAAGGGATCCGTTAGCGGACGAGGATAGGAGCAAAGCTACCACCCATGACGGGGCGAGCGACGAAAGTATTTTGCGGGTAACTAGGTTTCATTAGCAAGGACTATTACAGGCTTGAGGGTAGGTTGACATACTTTCCCGAAATAGTGTCGTACAGATCAGTCAGGGGTCGGTTAGTCGGTGTCTCGTTAATCCAGGTCGCGAGATCCTTGATAAACATAGCCCGAGTGTCGACTGAACTGATCGCTGCTGCAAAGCACTCCCAGTCACCTATCGAATTGTGAGTAATTTGACAATACATAGAGATCTGACGGACTGTTACCTTTGGTATATGTGTGGCGAGTGTCTAGGGGCACACCGTACTTGTTATCAACAGTTAGATAGAAGTTACTCTGCATCTGATAGACAGACTGTGGAACAAGATTCAGGCCCAGCTGGGCATCGGCAAAGAGGTTGTAGAGCAGACCTGCAGAAATAGTAAGCAAGGCTTCATCATGTCGAAACAGAGGGCTGAACCTACCATGGCTAGCGGTGTTGCCGTACGACAAAGTTGTTCGGGGCGGGTTGGCATCCTTCGCAATAGCTAGGTCCTGCCACTGGTTGATGTAGTCTTTGGCAATGCTCGAATAATTAGCAGCATCGGCGGTGTGACCAGTCTGTTTGGCAATGACTGCCATGGCCTGAATACCGATCATGCCCTTGAGTGCGAGGTTGGTTTGATTGCTAATCATACCGGTCAGCTTTGAAAAGTTGAGAGAAGGAGGGGGTTAACTCACGCTAGGGAGCCAGCAAAGTCGTCCGTAGAGATCTGATTTGCAGGGTAAAGCGAGTCCTGAACCAAATAACTGGTCCACTGCTTGAGCAGATGGTAGTGGTCGTTCAAAAAGCCAGAGTCACCCGACTTCTGCGCGTAAGCCAAAGACATAATCAGCATATTTCCGCACTCTTCTAATGGCATTTTCTCGTCGTTGCCATCGGAGTGACCCGTGGCATTCGGGTAAGATGAGCCTAGATCATGCATGGAATAGCTATTTGGGTACTTTCCAGCCTCCTGGTTCTCAAACAGAGGAGTGAGAACGAGCTTCAGGAGTTCGGGGTTGGTATACAGGAAAATCGGGTAGGCTGGGAAGACAACATCCACGGTGTTCATGTTGCCATCGGAAGAGATTTCCTTCAGGAAGAGATACATTTTGTCCTTTGTACCACAAAGTTGTGTGGCACCAAATGCCTGTCGAACCGAAAGCGAAGTAAGAGTGAGGTAGTCTTGGCCAGCTGTGGCAATTGAGTCTTGGGCCACTCTGCTATCGAAAGAGCCCGCAAGTTTGCTTGATTCGCTATAATCCTTGTGGAAAAATGAAAGAGCGGCCAACTCTGTATTGAAATAGCTCTTCCACAAGGACGGTACCGGGGCATACGCCGAACTTCCCTCGTATTGAATGGCTTCATCTTGTGTCAGACCGAGTGAGTAGAGTACGCTGGCGGGAGAAGAGCCGACCGGGCCTAGATCAGATGAGAACCCAAATACGGGCCAACTGTTGGAGATAGCCCGGAAGTTGGTATCGCGGCCATTGGTGAGTTTTCCGTTTTTTGTGAACTGACCACGGACATCGTTATCAACGCCAGATTGGTAAGTCATGCCTTTTGAGTCATCGGTGGCCCAGTACCAGTTACCCCATTCGGCCTGCTCGTTCTTTTGAGAAAAGGCCAGCTGAGACTGTCTGTGTACCTTGTGGTAGGCCACGCCGTCAGTGGTACCATACTCCCATTCTGCGATGGCACTTCGGTCACCAGATACCCATTCTAGCTTCTTGTCAGCTACTATATGTAAAGAGAGAGACTAGAGCACCAACCTGCAGAGATATCCGCGTAGACCTGCACATTATGATTCTGGCCATCAAGGGAAGAGACCTCGACATTGAGATAGGAGAAAACAAGTGACTGGCGCTTGAGATCGGTAGGTGTAACAGGCGACAAGAAACTAATCTTCATTTCAAGCTTATTCTCCACGTGCATAGTGAAGACGCTCTTAGTCGAGGTATACTCAAACGCGGTCTGATTGACGGTTTTAGATCCCGGGAGGCCCATCCAGGTATAGGTATTCCCGTCAACGCGGATTAAACCAGCCCATCCATTGATCTGGTTCCTATTCGCATTTCATTAGTAAAAGGAAAGTTCGCATATAGCTCAAAGGAGCATAGTGATCAACTTACTGCCAGAAGACAGGCCATTGACCAGCCAAGTACCCGCCATTCCCACCATCACTTCCTACGTTGAGCCAAGTGCTCAGGTACGGTGACCTAACAGCGAGTGGTATAGCCGGGGGACGGGCAGGGGAGAAGGTCGACTGTGCTCCAATGGAAGACACGAAGGAAGCGACCAGCAGACCGAGGCAATACAGCTGCATTATGACAGGGCTGGACGGAACAGATGGTAAGATACACAAAATCCAATGCAGGAGCAAGTCTGTGGTGTTATTTATTTGCAGAAAAGGAAATCAGCTCTGGGAGCTTGGCGCGACACCACTCTGACAGGACGACTGAAGAAAGAGATCAGCGTTGTGTTTACAGGAGAGGAATGTCAGCGACATTTTTATAGTCGAGCCAACCTACCAAGAGAGGGGGAGAACCCAAAGGTCCCTCCGAGACCCGCATGCCAGAATGTGCTCTCTATGGGGGAATATCAAAGCGGCTTGGCGTACGGAGTAATAAAATGTAGGTAGCAGCAGACCTGCATGTCTTGATTATTTCCAAGGATGCTAATCTGCTGACCTTTGTCAACATTTGGAGAAGATTCATGCTAAGAGAGGGATAGAGTGATGCCAGGGGGGTTCAGAACAGGGGTTGATATGGATGGAAGGGCCGTGTAAATGTTTGTAGACTTTCCTAGAATGGCTCAAGTTCAAAGTCAAAGCCCAAAAACGCGGTCTAGCGGTTTCCGGAAGAAACGGCATATCTTCACGTCGCATGGAAGACAAGAGGCGGTCTATGCAGATCTACGAAATTAGTAGCGTCAGTAGACAAGAGCATCGAAATTATCTGACTCTAGTTCGGTGCGCGCCTTGCAGATGACGGACTACAGAGTGGCATGGCGCAAATAAAGGCGTGGAGAAGAAGCGTGTGGTGAGAGGTGTAAGAAATCAAGACTGCAGAAGAAAAACAAAAGGTGGGTTGAGCGCATCGCCAATAGGCCCAGGGCAAAAAATTAAGGCACGAGTCAAGAGATGCACGAAATGCATGGTCCTTCATGATATCATCATGCGGACTTCTCGTCGGCTTTGATTTAATGCAGGATAATATCAGGCCTTGATCTTGAGTGGTTAATGAATCTGCGGGGAAATGGCGATCAGCAGCGTGGCATTCAACCCATGAGAAGGAAGAAATTTGAATACAACATAGCCACGATATCTTCGGTGTGGGAAATATCGGGAACCTGCAGTGAAAACTGAGACATCTGTCCATGAGTTTCTAGTCTCAAATCAGAGAGTTTCCCCTTGCAGTGAAGCTCGTCTCTACATGTCAGCTTTAGCCCCGAGGACCTGATCAGAGACAAAAATGGCTTGAGAAGTTCTACCAGTTCTAGAGGTGTGTGATACACGTACCTTGTATTGAATAAATAGTACTCCGTATATGAGCTGTGATCGCGTGCGCCACGTAAAATGCAGGATCCGGCTTGGAGTTCATGATCCACTCCCTATTGAACCTCCTTGCTGCGTGATATTGGTTTCTTTACTCCATAGTTTACAGTATGCTTTTTCCAAGGAAATAAGAACCTAAATCACACTTCTAATTGAATAGAAGTTCGAAATAACCAAATTTCACGTTTTCGGTGTCCGTTCCCCGGAGTAGATTATCTCCCTTTTCATGCTAGCCGCTTATGCAGTCTTGTTAGATTTCTTTCTTTTTTTCAGACTTTTTCTTCCCCTTGTCAGTTCTATAGGTGGAGAGCCAAAAAAAAATTGGAAAGGGGCAGAAACTGTGTAGACGACTTTCCTATGTATACTCTATGATTCCTCTCCCACACATACTACCTAATTCTACCGTACAGTGTCCAAATTATAGCTAAATAAGATCGTATTCCTTAAGATACTATCTTAGGAACTGTACTAACATTCCTAGTATCGCTCCGACCTGGATCCTTATTATCCAGTATAGGGGATCAGTGTTTGGAGGTTGGGTACGTGTTGGTTCAGATAAGAGGCGAGGATCAAATACTTCTTGACGAGTCAATTCTGTCATTGAGGAGTTGCAGCTTCACTAGTGAAACCTCCGAAGCGATGTTAGTAAATCGATTAATGAAACTCGAAATCTTGAACATACTTCTCGTTGACGGCTCAGTCCACTTCAGGATGGCAACAGCGCGAGCGGATCCATTTCTGCCGACCAATAAAAGGTCCATATCATCCATCAAAGCATCTCAGGATTCACTCCATCCTGACTCTATGGTGACAGATGAAAGACGGTCGCAACTTGATCCGAGAAGTCTTCCCTAAGGGCACCATGGGAATTGGAGCGCTGTAGGAATTTAGTATGCAAGAGGTCAAGAGAAGCGTATAGCAACTTACTTATGCCAGCACGTATATCAAGTTGCACTTGTTCATATAAAGTAGTCAAGTCACCAATATCCCGTAAGGTCTGTCACACGCCACCAATCAGAGGAGGAGTTATGTTGTGGAGTTGTGGAGTTGTGGTGGGGAAACCTTGTGGACGGCACATTCCCTCGTTTTGGTCACGTGAACAGGCCTCCTATAAATCATTATCATTGTCTGCTTGCTATTTGGGCTCTAGTTGACAAGATAAGGCTTATTAATAATAACAAAAGTTCAGCCTTTCTTGTCATCGTTTATTTCAGGAGTTCGTCTGATATAGAAACAATGTAGGAAGGTCACAAATGACGAGTCACATCAGAGGGACCACTAAAAAGGTCCTATCTACCTACTCCTGGGGGTTTAAGTGGACCAAAGAAGAGCCGGTAGCTGCCTGCAAAGCTTGGGTATTCTGCCGGTGGGATGAGAGAAGCATGTCGTTCTCAGTTTCCTTGGCGAAGGCAGTGGCAGTTCGAACGGGCTGCAGAAGGCGATCAAAATCGCAACGTATAGCGACTGCTGAATTCGAGAGCCCTCGGTTATAGATGACACATTGGTCGAAGCCGTTTACCGCACGGCGGTTGAGGGAGTATCGCCAACGTGGGTGGAAACTCGCCCACTAGGTAGTAGTAGTTCGCGCAATCATTGGGTGTGCCCCAGCATAGCGATCGACGATGTAAAGAGGAAAGATTCTATAGTCCTAGAGATAATAGCTAAAATTGATGCTTGAGAAAGTGTTAGTTATAATCGCTAAATAGACTCTCTGATGGATTATTAGAATCTCCGTTAGTGTTCTGTGGTGCGGAGGGTTAGCTTACGAGCGATATCCTCCTGGATATGGGTGATAGTGCCAAGCTCTATCCCCAAAATGGCCATATGTAGCCATTGACTGGCTTTGCTACTGTGCCATTGCTTCAAGGGTTAAATACGCCCCGTGATCTTCCAAGGTCGTATTGATAATTATTTACGTAATGAGTATGCTTGGGACTTTACAAGGTTGTTCACGGTGGGATCGCGTGTCACTCTGCAGATATAAGGGCCTTTTTAGGCAAAAGGCATTGTCATTGATCTCCAAATCCCTTCGGAGCAATGGTTTCTGTACACAATTAGAAGCGAACTTTTAGAATTGGTTTAGTACATACGTGGGGATACCCATATAAGCTTTTGATACTCCTGCCGGCCAAGCATTCACCTACCCCACTAAATGGCTTGTATATGTAGCAACATTTGAAGGTATAGCATGTCTGTAATTTAGCATGATTGCATGTATTTTGACTAATTGCACACCTTTAACCCCTTTTAGGTATAGAGCCTCTTAAAATATACTGCCAGTTGACTGTGTTAAATATCAAAGATTCTTCTCCACATATTCTGCACCAGTTTGCTTGATTTGGCAAAATTATCACATCTCTTGAAGACCCAGTTCCATTTACGCAAGAAAGTCTCACTAGCATTCTACTCTGCCGTATGCCACGTCTTTTCCCTCGCAATCAGGCTGGTCTCGTCGGTTGAAACATAGAGATCAACAAGATCATTATAAAGGGCAGTTTCGTCAAACCCTCAATATCTTTGTATATCCCTCATCTGGGTGATCGGGAAAAGATCTGTCCACGGGTGGTGAGAAATCTTCCGTTGTAATGCAGTAGAATGAAGACTCGTGGGCAAAAGATAATTCGTAATTTAGAGGATAATTCGTAGTTCAGAGATATCTGCACACCAAGGGAAAATGCATAGTCACCTTCGTCGAATGCCGAAAACGCGCTCCCGATTTCTCCGATGTAGTCAACCACTTTATATTCCATTATCCATGATAAGTATGAAGATCTGACTCAAAGAGCGCTGACATTGTGATGGACCATCCATGTCTACATTTGTAGTGATTGTTGTGCTTGGGTTTCTGCAGTTTGTTTATTATATCATATATGTCACAAATCGGCTATAGTGTTCATTGTTCGCGATTATTCCAGCATTTGGATATAATGTAGGTAAGTGTGTAGTCAGTAATATGTACAGTTCCAAGATTATTTGTTCACAACTAAATGACAGAATTCAGAAATACAAAAAACACTGGGCATGTGACCCGTGGACGATTGATAAGCGGTTTGCAAGAGACCCATTTCTCTAGTCCAGATAAGGTTAGAGCAAACTGCCCCAAAGACGCCAAGCATTTTGGAACACAAGTATTAAATCACTGGTACGAAGCCCCAACACCGTGCAACATACTTTGTACAGGGGTTCAGTCATGGGCCATCTTCTTGTTCTCTGTAGCAGAGTTAGCATGATATCTCGGGGATGCTGACTGTATATTAGTGGAGAGACTGGACAGACAAATCGTTCTGGAAATTCAGGTCGCTCGGCAGAGGCAGAATTAGTGTCTACCTACGGAGTAGTCTAGTCCCTAGCCCATAAAAAGTCTGTCATGTGATGCTGGAGCCTAAGTTACATATCCACTAGCGTCCCTTATCGTAGCAGAGTAGCTTGTCGGACAATAATCGGTGAGTCATCGTCATCGCCTTGGAACTATTTAAGGGTCCTGGGAACCGAGAACAAACTCAAGTGGATCAAATCTGAAATTTCTGCAACACTATGGAAGCTCTCAAGATCAAAGTTTGTGGAGAGTCGAGCATCACCCGCCTTGCTGAAGAAGGTGCTCTTCGGCTCACTGTGGAATCAGAGGGTTCTGACCTAGACTCCGTATCTAAGGAGGTCATTTCGAGATCTAACGAACTCAGTGAACTCTTCAAGGCACTGTCTCCCAAGACCAATACCGGCACTGCTACAGCAAACGCGGCGGTAACAAAATTTGCCTCTACTTTTCTTCGAACAAGGAACTACACCCCCTACGACAAAGATAACAAGCTACTGCCCAAGGTGTACCAAGCCTCCATGTCCCTAAGCATCGTATTCCGCGATATCACAAAGCTTAGCCAGGTGGTTGGCCAGCTTGTGGCCTACTCTAATGTGGAAATCAGTTCGATCGACTGGAGTTTGAGCGAGGCTACGCAGAAAACCTTACGGTCGCAAATGCGCAGAGAGGCTATTCGCGACGCAGTTACTAAAGCCAACGACTATGCCGAAGAGGTTGGAAGGCAAGTGTATCCGGTGGAAATCGTAGATGGGGGACAAAGCGCTGTCACGCAACACGCACAGGGAGGAAGATCCCTTTTTGGTGCCCCCACTGGTGCCTCCGCTGCCTTCGGAAATGCGAAAGGGGGAGTCTGTTTGGTGGCGCGTTTGGTAGTGGTGCTCCTAGCAACTCTCCAGAGCTTTCCGAGACACTCGATCTTAGTCCTCCAGACATTCGAGTTACGAGCTCGGTGACCGTTATGGCCCGGTCCTATTAGCGACTTCTTTAGAGTAATTATAGCCTATTTAGTTGCTCGTCATACTGAAACTATCTCAAAATCGAACATCCTTCCTGTGACATAACCTTTTGGTAATTTGCCGTATCAACTAATGTAAAAGCGTATATAGCGGAATATTAAAGCGCAAACCGATAAAACAAACTCGAACAGACAAGGCATATGTCCACATGTGCATCTTTTGCAACACCAGCCAGACGAGTATATAGAATATGTAGGCAGCTAGGATGGTTTGGTTGAGATAAATACATTTGAAGACTATATACGAGATCATCATTGACGGTGTCGACATCTCAACTCTTCCCAAGGAGAAGCTTCACTCTGCATTGGTCCCAATTTATCAAAATTCATTAGTCATTCCCGGCTCAATCCGTGAAAACCTTGCGTTGGGAATAGCATTAACTATCGATGATTCAGTGATGGTGTCTGCCTTGGAGGAAGTCGGAATTTGGCATCAAATTCGAGACTATGGTGGCCTGAGTGCGCACATCGATACAACTAATCTATCTAATGGCCAAAGACATATTTTATGCATTGCCCGTGCTATCCTATTTCCTGGTGAGATCGTCATCATGGATGAGCCTACGGCCGGATTTGATGAACACACCGAGAGATTGATCACGGGTCTTCTTCGTGAGAAGCTGAAAGGACGGACTTTAATCTCAATTACCCATCAAATCAAAACTGTGATGGACTCAGATCTGGTCATGGTCTTGAAGCATGGTGAAGTATCTGAATTAGGAGTACCACAAGAGCTTTTGAGTAGGCGAGGCATGTTCTGGCAACTGTACTCGGCCAAGACAACATAGAAATGTAGGGCGAAAACTTCAGGTCAATTCATACCTGTTGAGATTCTCTCTATGTCCTAATACTAGGTGGCTGGGAATGAGGGGACAAAGTGTGGGAGTATAACATGGAATACTGGTTGAAAACAGGGTATTGTACCCGAGAATGTCATTGCTACAAGGGAAATAAGCCTCGCCCCATATGAAAAAAAAGGAACAAGGAGCACAAGAAGAACATCCAAAAGCACATCCAAGAGAACATAAAATATTGCGCGAAACTCACCACTACCTACTCCACGCTAGGCAGTAGTTTTAGTGATTGGTCTCATGTTGTAAAGCAAACAGTGAAGTAACAAGTGAGAATCTCAGATTTAAACAGGAGGCTCCACCCGACCTTCTATATCGATCAAGACCTGGCATTGAACTCCTTCATGCTCAAATGAGTGAGTTGTCAAGGTATCACATAATAAATCCAGGTCGTCCATTCTCTCCAGATCCTCCATTCCGATAAGAGGACCACTATAAGGTTGACGCATCTCTCTAGCATATCGTTTAGCATCCATATCCAATTCTGATCCGTCGCACTCTTTTCCGATCAGAGTAGTAGTACTCGATTGCGGCATCTCTTCAATAAAAGTCTCGGCCGGTTTTACTCCAAACCGAGATTTAGCGCCAAACCCTCGGTTGTATGTGACGTGCTTGAGAGACGGAGAATTGATATTGATAAGATCATTTATCCGGAGCCAGAAGTCTAGTAGGCACAACATATCAGCAAGAACTTTATTATAGGTGTCTGCAGAAGATTCAAAGGTTATAGTTACCTTTATGAGTTCTTCCATATTTGTCCCTGATATAGCAAAATGATCCATAGATTGGCACAAGCTCAAGGTCTATTGGAAACTTGGTCCCTATATTGAAAATAAAGACAGTCAGCGTATATCCACAGAGTTCAACTTTTGACTAACCTTTTTGCTGACGGTAGACTGCTGCTATAGGTATGCCTTGGCTATATTCTTGAGAGACAGTCTTTGACAGTACCGGAATGCGGTGTCCTATCTTCGTAATAACCTTCCTCATAGCGGGTGGCCCCACAGCCAACGGCCTGATGAAGGGATGGTACTCGGGGGTTTTCCAACTGATTTACCCTAACCTTCCTCTCTTCCAGCAGATATCAAGTCCTCGTGCATCGGTCTCAATCCGATAGATCAAATAGCATCTCTTGGCCCAGGTGCTGATATCTTCGTCGGGATCCGCAAGCCGGACGCCAGTATGAAATCCGCTAGGATGAGCAGGTGCGTTGTCGTGATTTGCAATGTGCGTGAGATCACCAATAATGGCTGCGGTGTTGCTAGGACCACGAATAATACGGATCCCAAGCCCAGAGACAAACTGCTCATAGGCCGCCGTAGAGAGCTCGTGGTGATCCAATTGCTTGACTACCCACTTGGCAATTCCAGAGACCTGTTTTTCGTGGTAATCTGTGACCCAGATATGGTAGGCAATGAAAGGGTTAGCTAAATCCGTTTCTAGTGGATCTTGCCAATCTGGGCGAGAATCGTCTCGAAGTACTATTGACGATCCCTGAGTCCCATCTGCCAACTTCAGATGATAGACACGACCCCCGGTATATATAGACCAGTGGCAGGGTTTCGGCTTTTGGCTCAAGCCACGTGCCCATCTGTTCGGTCTTCCGACAAGATAGACACTGGAATGGTCCGAATAGTCGGCATTTGGGTCGGGCTTGTCGAAGGATGCATGGAGTTGCAGTTTGTATTTGGCAGCATTGGGAAAACTGGCTTTGGTCATCTGATCCTTGGGTAACTCATAGACATGATCCAAAAATTTCCCTCCGCCACCTGAGATTTTGGCCAAAATCTCATGGTTGGAGATGCCATTCATCATTCGTTCCATGAAGACGCTCGCTCTGTTGCGGTTGCGCTTGAACTGTTCAAATAGCATCTTGGATACTTGAAGGAATGTAGAGATTTTAGAGGACTAGGGTACTGAGTTCAGAAGGTTGAATTTTTGAAAGTTACGATGGGAATTTCCCCATTTTATACCTCTACCAAGCCGGGCGGGGCCCTTTGTTCTCTGAAACGCGATGCGCCCTCGGGATGAATGTAAATGCTGCTTTGAATAATATAATAGGCGGTATTTTATTTTTAGAAGTGCCTCGTAATAAGCGCAAGATTATTAACTTCCCATGAAGGGTATAATATAGAGGTTAAGACAAGGTGAATCAATCACGGCGGCAGATGGGGTTTGTGGAGTAGACCTTCGCCAATCCGACACAAATGTTCGGTTCAATAAGACGAAGTTTATGCTTGTCGGTAAACAAGACTATGCAGTCTGGTATGGCAATGTCAACGATATGGCAGTTAATATCGTGGTTATGGAAGCAAAGTCACAAAGCTCTGGCGGTGAAAGAGTGCCCCAATGCCTTGCCTATATGGGTCAGTACCTTATAATATAATCGATATTATACTACCTATATTATAACTGATTTAAAGGTATGGTCCACCGACTCTTTGGCGTTGAGATCATTCAAAACGCTGTAAATCATTCATCATTTGACACACATTCTGCATGATTATTTAAGCCAACGTACTCAGCTATATTCCTTAAGTGTCACCAAGAAGGTCCCAGAGCTACACATGTGGCTCAGTACACCGGGTTTCAAGCCGGTTTCTCCAATGTGGCTGCTTTAGAGGGCGCTCAGGCGGGGCCGTCCTCCTCACTGAATCATACCACAAAGTGCCCAGGTGGTTACCTAGGTACTTATGCACCTCCAGGGCTATCTATAAAGCTAATAAAGGTACCTAGTGGGGCCAGTTTAGAAAAAAAAAAGGACCAGAAACTCCTACGAAAAAGCACAGCGCAGGTCAGCTCGAAGCGCCAGAAAGAGAACTCAAGATCTCCCCCTGAACCCAACCAGACCAAAGAATGGCAAGTCACGTTGACGAAAGTCCAAGCTATGGAAATGCCCAGTCACAACCTGGGAAGACAAAATCAGCGATCAACAAAGTTCTTTCTACCCCCGAAATTCTAGAGATGATACTGGTTCAGCTTGATATGCGCACTTTGCTCACATCTGCCCAACTCGTCTGTTACAACTGGGCCAACCTAATCAGCGAATCGCCATCAATCCAAAAGGCGCTTTTCTTCACTCCGATCGGGGCCAACGAGTGGGGAGAAGAAAAGATCATCAACCCATTATTGAGGGAGACTTTTCCTTCCTTCTTTCCCACCAAGGACAAGGCAGCTGACCACCCGTTCGACTATTCCTCTTTGCCCATGACCAAAGACTCGTCGACTATGGGCCAATTCGTACGAAAGGACGCAAGCTGGCGCAAGATGCTAGTCCAACAGCCTCCTATCTCAGATATCGGACTTTACCACATCATCAGTGCAAGGGGCGGCGATTCTGCCGAAAGCTCTAGTATCCCAGTTAGTTCTTCTAGTTTACACCATGCGATCGAGTTGAACGTCTCGAGTGGCTAACATGTGGTGGTATGTAGGCAGATCAAAAGATGCAAGAATTCGGATACGATGGTGTTCGAATGGAAAGGCTTTTCGAGCTTTTGCTCTTCAGTCGTGATGTTGAATTTCGGCCATACACCAACGCACGGATGTATTGGTCTACTAGAGAACCGATCGAGTTTGACAGTGAGTATCGAAATATCAAAGATGAATTTCATCGGTTGATAGGAAAGTTTGGCGTGGTTCTTTATACAAGCATGGTGAGGCAGTGCTCTATGGGCGTCTATCGTGGTAGCAATTCCGAGGAATTTATCAGGAAGGAGGTTATCACTGCATATGAAGAACATGGTTTTGATGTTAGTTGCAAAGAAAAGGAGATCGAAGAATCGAAGAGTGAAGTAAGTGAAATAGAGGGGCAGGACCGGCGTTTCAATACCTACGAAGTTGATGATAGACTTGCCCATATTATTGTTACTGAGATGTGGGACAACTGGCCAGCACCTGAGCAGAAAGAGAATTGAACAGAAAAGGAAATCCATAGAGCGCAGCCTGAAATTCACTGTCTACATCTAGTATGCAAAGCACTTTATAAATAAACATCAGATCAGACGATAACCAGCAACTACATACCTATACACCACAAACAAAGCCAAGGACAGTTACAATTTCCCCATGTCAACTAAACCCCACCCTATAGAGCGAGAGTAAACAGTAAACACCTCACGACTAAGCAACAGCACTACGTATCACACATAAGAAAAACTCACAATCAAGCATTCCGCGCCAACTCAATACAGAACTCCCCCCACTCCTGCCCCCCATTCAGCGAAAGAATCTCCTCCGCAATAGCCTCCTCCAAACGCTCATGATACCTACGCCTGTACTCATTCTTAACGAGATCAAGATGTCTCGGCTCCCAGTGCAGCCGGACGAGACGGGAAATGAGCAATTCTGAGCGCTCACGACCGGTACGGGATTCGCGCAGAGCTTGGTGGAGGAGGAGGGCATCGCGCATTGGTCTGTTAATTGCGCCGTTGAGGATGTGGGCGAGGGTTTCGCCCTGGATATATGTTAGTTACCGCATTCAGGATTGATTATTGACTGGGGGGAGGGAGAGATGCATAAAAGATATTAAAAAAGATATACATACCACCAAATTCCTCGACTTAGAAATCATAGCCCTTGTAAAATTATGCCCATAATTATCTTCATAGACACGCAGCACCTCGCGCATATGCGCATCACTCCTCAGCACAATAATATGAATCATAGCCGTCTCCCCACCCTCCTTCACAATGGCACGATACAAATCCTGCACATCATCCCTGACAAGGCGTTTATCGACCGGATCGCGCTCATCCTGCCGTTGTCCCTCAAGCGCAAGCAGAATCGCAACGCGGAATTTATCCGCTCTCAACTCAGAGCGCATGCAGCGCTCGAGACTGTTATCGTAGCGCGTATCGCGGAAGGAGTTCTTGATTTCGCGGATCGCGGCATTCGACCGACCCATCAACGACTCGATTAGTAGTTCGCGACGAGATGTGCCGGCTTGGTAATAGCAGTTTGCCCAATATGCTTCTGATTCCCAGCGGCCGAGGGCGGTTGCGTAGCAGACTTTTGCGAAGGAGGAACTGCCTAGTTTGAGACGGAGGTGTTTGGCGAGGTTTATTCCTTTTCCTTGAATACGGACGCGGGCTTTGTATTCCTGGCGCAGGAGGAGGATCTCGTCGCTTGAGAGACGGGGCAGGATTTGGATTATGGTTTTGCTATCTATGTTTCGGGTGTGGTTTAGGGCAGATTGCATGGCTGCGGCGTCTGGGCCGGCGTCGTAGAAGGAGACGCGTTTGCGGCCGGTTAGTGGGGAGACGAGGATTCTTGGGTCGGCGGAGGAGGTTGAGTCGTGGCGGTTGTGGCTGGATGTTGGACGGGTGAGGCGTTTGTCGTCGCGGTCCGAGCCGCGCTCTTTGTCTTTCTTTTCTTTGCTGCTGCGGGATTCGCGCTCGTTAACGGAGGAGTGCGAGCGGCGGTGTTTGCCGCGTCGGCTGGATTCAGAGGCGGAGGTTCCGCTGCCGTCTAGGGGTTCAAGGTCTGAGATGTCGTCGTCGCGGATGGAGGGGATGACGATCGCCGTTGGCATCGGTGAGATGGACTGATAGGTACCGTGATACGGCTCTAGCAGTGGACTGGCTGGGGGATGGGCGGAATGGACTGCATTGGCTCCGCCAACTGCGAGGGTATTCGACGATGACACGGACTGGCTGTGCGGACGAGCACTCGATCGATTCCCACCCGGTGCAATCTCCACAAACTCAGGCTCATTATTATACCTATACGACTGGTCTTGAGGTTTCGGCGGCGGCGGTAGCGGCTGCTGTTGCTGTTGCGGCTGCGGCTGCGATTGCGGATAATACTGACTCTGCACTTGCTGCGGCGGGGGTCTAGAATACTGCTCATGCGTAGCAGCAGGGTAAGCCGGCGCCGGTTTCGACGCCGGTTTCGACGCTGGATCCACCTTCGAAGCATACTTCAAATTAGGATCGATCTGCGCATACTGATACACGCCGGGATTCGCATACCCCACCACCGGGGGCTGATAACCCGCATCACTAGCAGAGGCAGTGCGATAATGCGAAGGCACATAACCCGCACTCGTCGCATACTGAGCCGGTAGCCCATACGGCAACGGGGGATTCACCGGCGCTGGCACAGCACCCGAGCTAGCGGGGTAACTCGAAGACACGGGAAACGCGCCGGGCATAGTAGCCGGACCTGAAGGCTGCGACGAAGGTGGCACATATCCAGGACGCTCGCACTCAGGCACAGAGGCCCAGTCAATCGGCGCAGCAGCAGGGTATCCCTGCGCCCGCGGGGCCGCGGTCGCGAACTGCGCGGGCTGCGCATAGCTATAGCGATTCGGACGCGCGTAGCTGGGGTGATTCCCCGGCGCATCACCGTAGGCCAGATCATCCGCCGAGTCCGAGTCGTGTTGGTTCACGCGACTTCCGCGATCCGGCGACGAGGGTCGTCTGCGATGCGACCGCGAACTCGCCGGCGCCGGCGCAGTCGAGCCGCGCTCGTCGTCCGAGTGCTCGTAGCGATCATCGCGACGGCGTCGCGAGCTCTCTGCGTCTTGATCGCGTCGACGTCTCAACTCAGAGTCCGACTCTGAGTGGTCGAGGTCGTAGCGGGAGGTTCTTGGGGCGCGCGAGACGACGGGGCGCGAGTCGTCGGTGGTTTGGTGGCGGCGCTCTTGGCTGATTAGCTTGTATTGGCGCTCTATTTCTGCTTCTTCGGCGGGGTTGTAACTTTTTGGTCTTGGGGGTTCGATGGCGGAGCGGGAGCCGTGCGGGGAGGGAGAGGGGACTCGGCTGTCGCGCGACCGTGAGCGTTCGCGACCGGGGGATTTGGATCTGGTTCGCGACCGTGGTTCGTTCACTTGGAGTGACATTTTGGTTCTGCAATGCCGGGGTCTTGATTTGATGTTCTGGTCTGGTATTCAATGTGTCCGGCGGGATTTCTTTTTTTCCCTCTTCTGAGGTGAGGTCTTGGGTTACACAGGGAGGGTTGGACTTGGGGGTTTTTCTGTGCGTATACACTAGATCATTCTACTTTGTAGATATGAACCCTTTTCTCTACCTCTGTGTTTGTAGGTGGAGGGGGAAAAAGAAAGGAAAAGAAGACAAAGCCAGAAGTTTTCGCGCCTCGTATTTAACGGCGCCAACTTATAGCTAGTCTGTGATTCTTCACCTCCTCTTGTAGCCAAGGATTAGCGGCTCTTATTGGCTTACAGCTGAAGTCAGGATCGTCGGTGATAGCGCTCTTCAGCCGCACACTTCTGACCAATGCGCATACTTTTAACCCATGCGCATGTAAGATTGCAATTGAACCCCGAGGGTCAAGGGATGCATTAGCGTGCATTTATGTAAGATGGGTTACTTCGTAATGTTTCTAGAATTACGCAGGGTTCAAGATAAGTTATCAAATTACCGTGCAAACAATAGATGAAAAGCACTAGTACAGGTTCCGGATTTCGAAACATTTTGTCAGAAGAGAAAGGAAAACAGAAGGTATGACATAAAAAGAAGCCTTGCGAGGTGCCAGGCCGCGAAGAATGGGGGTATGTGCGGGAAGAGAAAGCAATGCGAACAGAACGAAAAAGGAAGGCCTTTATCGCGTGCGACGGCCATCATGAGGTCCCTGACGACCACCGTAGGTTTGCTTCTGGGCGGGCGCCGGCTGTCCGTTGCGGTTGAGGCGGTTTGTTCTCCAGCGCTCGTACCAGACCACGCGACTGGCCTCCCGCAGCTCGGAGCGCCAATCAGAAAAGACAGAGTCCTTCAGGCGAACAAAGTCACAATGCTCAGCATCATATGGGTCTGCAAAGCCCCAGGGGAATCGGCGACCGACTGGTTTGTCTCCAGCGGCCAGCGAATGAGGGTCTGGAGACAGGATCGAGAATGGAACGTGCTGGTTGATGGCCTGCGAGGAGTTGGACTCGTGGGTGTCCTCGCTGAGCTGGGATGGCGAACCAGGGACATTTTCGGTTCCGATCTCGGCTTCTTTGGCCTCGGCTTTGCTCTCAAGCTCCACGGTTTCGTCTTCATCCGCACTTTCGGATGAGCTGTATTCTTCCTCCTGGTCCTCCAATGTCAATATTTCAAGGGGGTCGATATTAGCCTGTTTCAAGCTGCTCCAGACTGCCTTGCGGAGGTAATTCATGTGGGCGGAGGTGATAGTATCCGCCTTGCTGATAACTGGTACCACAGTGGTCTTACCCAGCACCGTGCGTAACACCTGGATATCTAGGTTCTGGTCCAGAATCCCCACCACAGGCGCATCAGTGGGCTTGGAAGTGCCATTGGCAGCACGCTCGGCCATGGCGATGTTCTCATCAAGACGTACAGGATCCAGGAGCAGGAAAGTGCAGTGAATATGGGTGTCACGGGCACCAGGGGATCGAATAACCTTCATCTCCTCGGCGAGGGTCTCCTCGAACTTGCTCTCTAGGAAGCCTGTCACACCACGTAGCTGAAGATCTGCGATATTCCGCTCAAGACCTACGGAATCCCACAGGGTAAGTCCGACACGTTCGCCGTCGAACTCTGTTTCCAGGTATTGCGACGTGAATCCTTCCCAGACCGAGGTTTGACGCTCGAGCTCTTCGACCTCCTCGGGGCTGCGTGAGGGGTGCTTATGAGCAGGCATGGCCAGAGCACTGCGGAGGAAGTTGAGGAAGGATGTTTTGCCTGAGTTACGAGCACCAATGACAAGCACACTGACACATCTATTGTTAGCTTGTTTAGTGTTGATGTTACACGTCATCGCGACTCACTTGTATGAGGTGGGGTCCTTGCGACGGCGCACACGACGGGGGCTGTTGACAGTGCTCACAGCACTACTGGCATAGCTATAACGACCACGGTGGGTCATGCTCTCAGTACGCGCATAGGGATCAACATTGTTGGTTGAACCAGCCATAGAGGGCGCAACAGCTCCAGACTGTGGGCGTGGAATTGGTTCGGGGATCCTGTCGCGTTCCTCGCCTCCAAAAGTTTCCAGTTGCGGGGCGGGGGAAAGATCAGGCAAGCGGGGAGGAACTTTGGGGGCATAAGACTCGCGCTGACGACGCATCTCATCCTCCATTTGGGTTTTAGACATCTTTTTGCGGGAAGACTTGTCGCCTAGGGGTTCGGTGGATTTAGAACGACGAAGGAAGCCGAGGGAGGTACGACGGTGAATGTCTGTTTCAGGTCCCAGGCGCGTGGAGGAAGTTGCCATTTCGGGATGAGTTTGTCTGTCTTCATTAGCCTTTTCTTTTCTTTTTCTTTTCTTCTTTCTTTCTTTTTCTGTTCTTTTCTTTTTCTCTTCTTCTTCTTCTTATCACGAGTCCTGCAATTATGCTCTATCGACAGGGAATCTCGATATTGCCTAACCCCAGAACCCCTCACACGTCAGGGGTATGGGAACATTGGGGAACTGCCCACTCACCAATAAAACAAAGATATATATATCGGAGTTCAACTAACAGTGCAGCTTAGATCCGATATGGAGCGATTCAAAATTGCTCCGAAACAAGGGCAAAGTGGGATTCAATCCAATTGGCAATTGTCAATCCGGGGATTGAGCCAAAAAAACGAAAGTTGTCTGCGACAGCAGATGGAAGAGAATAAGCGAGAGTGGAATCAACCAAATACAAAACTCCCAGCCAGTGGGTGAAGGGGAATTGAAATTGAGACTTGAACAGAGTTCAATCTCCAAAAGTGGTCAGTTTTTTTGGAGGGGCTTGTTTTTGTTTATTGCAAATAGGCCTGCTCACAGCGTCCAGCAACAGCGGCGCTTGGAGAGAGTTGAAAAGGAGGGTTAAAGAGAAAAGAAAGAGAAGGATTTAATCTGGCTACTCTTTTACAGGGAAGATCGAAATGATCAATATAGAAAAAAACCCCCCAAGGCCATTCAGGGGTAAAAAGCAACTCTCCAACTTTTCGGTCCAGAACGGTTCCCCACTTACTGCATGTTCGCCAATTGTGAGCTAACGCCAGACGGGATATTTGGACTAATGAAAGAATGACATTGGACTCCAAGGCTTTACATATATGTACGGAGCATATTATATTATAATCCTTGAAAATACACACATGGTCTAAAAAAGCACGTTCTGGGAAATATGAAGGCACGTGCACCAGGGGCCGTTGAGTCTCCACTTGTCTATAATCTTACTTGCTACTAGTAAAGACGTGAAACATCTGCTGATATTTCAGTTTGAAATATAAGAACAGGTTTTGATCATAAAATAGAACGAGTCTACAATATACATATCAAGAATATGTTTGTCTTGTTTGCATATATACTATATGCTATTATATGCTCGCACATATCCAATGTCCATCCATTGGATATGGTCCCGCTTATTCCCCTCAGCTGAAACTGGACATTGTCTCCGGAGAGCTAAGGCTAAACCTATCCTATCCCTAGGGTAAGCCCATCGGCTCCAGTGCAATTGCCCCAAAAAGCCGCAATCTAATGCACATAAGCAAACTAACTGCGCCGTTTAATAACCATATCGAAACCTGCCTGGGCATCCCCAATACGAACTAGATCCAATTCTGAAACATACAAGTTAGATCTCAGCTACACGTGGTCTGCTTATTTCTTTTCCTCGTCAGAGCTGACCGGACACAGAGGAGTTGACTGGACGTAGGAATGCGAGTTGTAGAGAATAGACTAGCGACTGCATTGTGTTGGCTGGTTTGCAAGGAGTGTTCTAGTTTTCTACTGTAGACCACAGAAAAAGCCCATACAGCGGAACTGCCTATTTCGACTCGGTTATTTTCAATCGTAATGGAATACAGCCAAATACCGGGTCAGGGGTAGTCTAACTATAATAGGTATTATAATGTTATGCCAGATACAGAATAACTGAGGGAAGCTGATTTCGAGCAGCCCTATATAGATTGATGGAGTATTAGGTATCTCAGTACCAATTTTGAGCGCGGAGGCTTTATTGAGAAACTGTTTGCCTAGGCATTAGCTTGACCTTGTTTGTCGTCGCGCACCTCTATATATTCATTTCCCACAACAAGATCATCAACCCCACTGTTCAAGTTGGCAGGATAATAGGGAGGACCTGGCGAAGAATGAAAAAGACGAAGACAAATACAGCTTATGAGATGTGTAAATCCCTCAGCCTATGGAATTGATTCTATCGGAGCCGTGTAGGTAGAACTGTCTAGATTGTCAGTCATTTTACGGAGTAGTGGTTCCCCATATAGCCTCTGCACATTATCCAATTGGAATTGATTTGGTCCGATCCATGGGGGCCGACAAGAACTAATCTAAGATAGCATCTGACCAGTCAGAGTCAGCATCAGAAGCCCCCATATCGTCGCTATCATATCCTGGTAGCTCCACGGGGAGTGAGTCGATGCGAACAAATCGAGCTGGAATCGTTTCCATCATCCGATTTGGTAACTCAATCATGTCTTTGCACTTTTCAGCCTCACGCATGAAGATCATGAGCTCGTCAAGGAACAGGTAAACCTCTTCAACTTCCACCGAACGGAAGCCCATCGGTTTAATCAACGTATATAGCTGCTGCTTTACAACACCATCTTCTCCTCCGTACCCCAAGATGTCCGCTAATTTACCAGAAGCTCTGTAATCCGTACGGCCATAACTGCTATACCAACTGAGACATTTGCACGCTTCAACTAGATAGGGCTCTGCCCACTGGATGGATATCCCTAGCCACTTGAACATGACAGCAGCACTTAACTGCTTTCCTGCGCGATTGCATTGTTCAATCCATTTGTCGTCTTGGGCCCCGTCGACAACAATTAGCTGACATTCCTGGTCCCAGCAATCACGACGGCGCTCTGTTGCTACCAATGAATCTTGCGATAGATCTTCAGAGCTCGGTTTATTTGATCCGTTCACCGCCAGTAAAAATATGATTCTTGTGCATCCAAGGTCAATAGCAGCGTGGATGGCTGTGTAATATTGCCCGGAATCCACTCGTGCATTCGGATCGGCGCCGTTGTCTATCAATCGCCTGGCGGTAGTGTAGGCCTTTGTCGCAGTTGCTGCGATGAGAGCGGTGCCATAGCTACCGAGAGAGCTCTTTTGATTTAGATTTGCCTCTCTTCCGTCAAGTAACATTTCCACAATCGTATCATCACCTTGTGCACACGCCGCTATCAATGCGGTGCCGTAACTTCCGATTTCAGCGACGCAATTCACATTCGCCCCATTGTTGAGAAGAAGTTCGATTCCTGACTTGTCACCATCTTTGACTGTCCCGATAGCTGCAATCAGAGGTGTTCCATATATCCCGAAATTGTCAGTTGTTGGCGTGAAATTCACGTCGCCGTTTGCCAGCATGAAATCGAGATAGCGTTGATCCTTAGTGTAAAAGCAGACCCGTGGCATATCATAGCCATTCAGTGGGAGGCAGCGGTATTTGACGCGGCTTTTGAAGTCAAAACTTTCGAATAAGTAGTCAACCACGTTGCTTGGAGGAATTGGCTGCTCAGGGCAAGAATATCCACTGAGACAAACTGCCCACACCATCAGTGCCGCAAGTTCTTGCAGCACAGGGTGGTTTTTGTCGCTGACCTTGACAAGACTCATCGATAAGAGCTCAACGCCACGTAGTTCACTAATTTCTCCAATTTCTTCAATTTCGCCTATGCCATCGCTGACTTTCTGTCTCATTTCTGAGATCATTCGCGTCAGAATCATGTCCAGCACTTGACTTCTCTCTTTACTCGTGACTCCATTGAGACTTCTCTCTCCCTGGGGAATTTCACTGATGGTCCTGACTTCCTCCAGACTTGGTGTTTGAGTGACACGGAGGAAAGCATTCAAACTTTCCTTCATGTCATTCCACCAAGACAAAATCATAGAGAAGATGAGGAGATAGAGCGCCGGCTGTATAAGGTCGGTGGCATCGCTCTCCCGGGATGGCGATTCAATTTCCCGATTAAAATCCATCCATGCTGGCTCCTTGAATTCCGAGATTGACGATTCTATGTGCTCAAATAACGTTGCCACTGATTCTTGGTCGCCAAATTCAATCCAGCCCTCAGACTGAACAGCATAGAACTGACTATAGGCCACGGCAGTGAAAACGGTCACAATGATCAATGAATTGTCACGAGTTACTGCCGAATAATCAAGATATCTCACGTTGTGCCTGTTCCGTAAAGTCTCCATTTCCCAGAAAGATTTCATCCAGGAAAACCGCTCCGGCACCAACCATCTGTATGGATCTCGTAAAAACTCTGATATTTTTGTGATTCGAACCCTTTCTGATAAAATCGCCGGAATGACGAGTGATATCAACTCATTTCGCCAACGAATCTGCCCATGTGAGTCAGGTTTCGCACGCAGAAAATCCAAAATGAATGGTTTCAGTGATTCCATATCCTTTGAGCTTTTGGCGTGATCAAACCAGTTGTTATGAGCGTGCTGCCAAAGGTCTTCCAATATGGGATTTTGTTGGGTGGCTACTGGGTTGTAGTACGTCAAGGTTCTCAGACAGATCTTCGCTGCAAACTCTGGGCAGTGGTTTCCTTCACTTCGTACTTCTGAAAAGTACTCTTGAACTGACAGATGTGCAAATCGGCTAACATCGTCTCCAATATCAAGAAGATTGCGACATTTAGCTTTGATCATGGAAACATCCTGGATGGTTTTGTGAACAGCGTCAATCGTGCGGTCAAGATCATGGCTGGCCGCCGCCACGAGGACGGATGTCTTGCAGGATCCGCCATTTGCATGGAGCCACCTGAAAGCACGAAGTGCGATGTTTTTCCAACTCTTGTCATCGTCAATCAACTTGAACATCCCGTCATATGCCCTTTTAAGATCCTCGGGTAGTTCTTCCAGGGCTTCTTTCATCGCAACCATGTCACTCAAGGAGAGAATGTATTGTATGTGCAATGATGCCCATTGGAACCTAATTTCATAATTAGCGAACGCGAAATGATTTGAGAAACATAAAAAATGCAGAAGCGGCATAAAACTTACATTCCATTGCTCTTCTCCTCAAATTTGACGATTATCTGGTCTTCTAGATCAGGTGAAAGACGCGACATCCCTGAGTCGACTCCTCTCCGTTTCTCATCTGCCCGAAACTCGGAGATCTTCTCTCGCACGAATTTGATAATATCCTCACCATTATCGCTAGAAGAAATCTTGACTTTGGTCATATTCTGAAAACCAGTGAAACTATCATCATCTCGACTTGACATGATGACACTCACAGGAAGTGCGGATTGAGCAAGCCGGTCGAAGACTTCCAGTAATATGCGCTTTGTGTCTTTTGCGCACTCGTCAAACGCGTCCAGTATTAAGGTAACCTTGCCATTATGTTGTATGAAGCACTTCAATATCTCTTCACATTCCAGGGATGTCATATTCGGGTCAGGTGAATCCAATTTGCCTCTTTGCTTGAAAACACGCATAACCTCAGTAGGGAGTCGATTGCAAGATCTCGTTAACTGCTTGGCTAGGGTGCAGAGAATGTTTCTCCAGTCTTGTCGGTTTGTATCATCTTGTCGGCAATAGAAGTAAGCGAGTTGGCTAGTCTCCACCTCATCATCCATCTCTTCATGCGGCTTATCGTCTTCCAGGGCGTCATTATAGAAGTCGACCAACCTACTGATCAATTTGGTTTTTCCAGCACCGGCTGCTTTGCAATTAGTACTGCGCTAGCGAATACCATATCTTCAGCCTACTTACGAATACCATTAATACATAGAATGGCCTTTTGGTCTGATGTGATCCAGTTCTTGTAATCTGTGTTCTCGAAAATCCACTCTCCGGTGTCTGGTGTTCGTCCTGATTTAGCGGTCTTATGATGTGCCAGGTAAGGAAGATCCGATAGCCAGACCCGCGCTCGATCTTCTTCGTCACGCTGTTGTTTTTCGTTTTTCAAGTCTTCCAAAAATTGTTGAATAGCTTGCAACTGGGCATCTGTCTTGTCTTGAAATTTCACCTGCACCCACGTATTGAGCTCTAGCTCGATCTCGGTGGTGCTTTTATCGAAGTTGGAAATGGCATCAGATCCCCATACAGAATGCCAGGTTCGACTAATGGAGTGTCGTTGGTAGTAGCGCGATACTGCGGCGAAAAATTTCAACGTCTCCGTGTAGAGATCAAGAAGTTTTGACTCGAATCGTTCGCTGTAGCGTATCAATCCCTTATCGCCGCGCATTTCCTCAGCCTGACGCTCATAATCGACTCCACGGGCCATAATAATGATTGCTTTCCCGAGGCCCTGTACAACTGAATTGGCAACCTCGGCTTTCTTGACTGGGATCTGTACATTGTAGAGAAAGTGGTTAGGCAATGCATTGGAAAAAGGGAGTCAATTTCTCATACATCTACCAATACCATTGCGATGGACCAAGCTGAACTGGCCGTCTGATTTAGGCCAGTCAGTGCTGTTCCAAGGTCTTTGACTTTCTGTACGGCCTGAATACTATCATCCCAAAGCGTATGAAGGACAATTTTGTTTTTTCCAATAGGTAAAACCCATTTTTTCTTCATGTACTCTTTTTTGGCGTTCTGGCATGAACCTAGTAATTGATTTGCTAGGTCCTTAGAATCAGTCACATTGGTACGGTCAGAAGAAGCATCTGCTTGGGAGTCTTGGGCTGGGCTATTCAAGATCTTTTGAAGCTTGGCTTGGTCCTTTTCTGAAAGTTTGGTATATGCTCGCTCCCAAGGCGATACATCGTCCTCATTTTCCTTTTCACACTCTTCTCTGTTGTTGTTCATTTTTTTTTCTCATAGAGAGAAAAAGAAAGCCCCCAAAATAGTCAAAAAGGCAAATTTTTTGGATGAACGTAGAAGAGAGAAAATATCACGGCATGTTTGATCATTGAAAATATGACCTGTTCCTTCTTGTTGTGTCTTGGTTGGCTGCCTCGGTTTGTTTTTGGCTGATTATTGGTTGCAGTGGTGAGGGGCATTGGGCATCTACAGCACCTCGCTTAATCCAGATGCTCCAGATTGAGCAGCGCCATTTGAGGGGATTTCTTCGAGAAATAAGATCTTTTGTAACGAAATGCATAGCAAGTTAATCAATCTGCAGATCTCCCGTCCTACTCTATAGCTAAAGGCTTGACTAAGATTCAGATTGATGAGGAGCGTCAGATGACTTTGGATGACATGTGATGAGATTCTGTAAGGATCGCATGGTTTCTATTATTGGCTACTACTTGCAGTTAGAAAGACCGCTTTAGATATAATATATGGTAAGTATAAGTAACTCGCGATACCGTTCGGACTATAGGACGCCCTCGCTATAACTAGTTATTCGAATCGGTTATTAATAATGCATTACGGCCTAGGTACTTTTTATACTAGGGTGTAGTGCGGTAGTACTAGTATACCTAGACGATATCCTTATGTATCTGTTCGGTATCTATCGAGGAGTACTACGAATACCTAAAATAGGCCTTTTTACTACTAGCGGAACAAGAATTATTTCGAGGCAGTCCTTCAAAGTATTTATGCATTACATATTACATCCGAAACTATCTTATTTCCTCACATACTATGTATTATGGAGTATGCACGTACATGAATGTACTCCATATTCCCCAAGATCACCAAGTCGAGGGACAAGCTCTCAAATCTAAGTAACCTTCTTTCCATCACTATATACTAGAATACTAAAACTAGATTCTTCTCTCCTATATTCTTTAAAATCGCAACATAGCCAATCCACATCCTCAGCCCCATCGTCTACCCTCATGAACTCTCATCCACAATGAAAGTCCTAAACGGAAGCACAAAGCACGTCTTTGAAGGACACACACCAGATCTATCCAATCCCTTGAACTTAGGACCATTAGGACCAGCAACGTTCTTAGCCTCACCAAAGATCTCAGGCTCATTAGGCGGCTTGTCATCACCCCATCTCCCATTAAAATCTAACCACGCCACCGGATCCTCGGAGTTCACAGCCTTGAACGAGGCGGTTGTTTTATCGTAGGTATAAATGTAGGCATTGAGTACGGGGTCCCATAGCTCGCCGCGGTCTGTATAGTCCATCAGCAACCCTGCAGGGAGGTTGAAGCCCGGGATGGTGTGGTCGTGTTTCCTGGGTGTCTGTCAGTATTGACATTTGACAAATCTTGGAAACTCTGTAATCACCCTGCAATTGCGTAGTTTGCATGCGTTCCTCTCCCGGAGTACACATACGGCCGCTTCCCCCTCTTTTCAAGGGCGTTGTAGGTAAATGCCTGTCCGCTGGCATGCTGGCTAAACCATATTGCTTTGGGTTCGTCGTTGACGAAGCGGATCATGTTATGTTCCCTGTTTTTTGTTTTCTTCTTTTTTAGCAAAAACAACTTTATGCGGGGTGTTCTTCATTCTTCACACTAACCAGTCTCCGATATGGTCGCCGAATTCTAGACCTAGTACTTTGTTCCCTTTATTGAATCTGGGATCCGATCAGTACAAATGCACACTTTTGAGATACAGCCAACCCACGCATAGAAGTAAAAGTAGAACACATCAACTGTTGCGTTTCCGCGATCTGCGATAATAATAGCGCACCCTGTCCCATCACCTGTTCGTCCCTGTAAGTCCGGTCTGATACCCCGGAACCAGGCTGGCTCTGGATTGGCTTCGATGCCCTCTGGGGAGGTTAGGAAGACACTTGTATTGCCCATTTGATTGAGTATATCGAGGTTGTTGAGGTTTAAGGGTGACTGTACTCCCTCGATCGCTGTCCAGTTGACATTGGGTCTGGTATTATCGAGTTGCTGCTGGATATCGCTCGGCATGTACGTTTCCTGGCTATGAAGCCAGACCAGGGGTGCTATAAAGCCGAATAAGCAACTAAAGATCAGGATCCATATACATATCAGATATTTTACCGTATTCCAGGACATAGGGTGGGACGTCAGATGTAGCCCTGTCGTTAAGTTGTGCCCAGACTGGTTGGGTCGAAGATAGACAAACTAGTGCCAACGGTATAAAAAGACGCATGTTGTGTGACAATTATCGAGTACTGGAGAGCGATGAGCAGGCTTTTAAGCCCTAGAAAAGGAATAACCAGTCCTGGCTAACTTATAACGGTGTTTAATTTCAATGCGTATCGGCATGATCTCGTCATGGGCAGATTTGAGACATACCGTGGGGCGGGGGGCAGTTATAGAAAATTCTAAGTGATAGAAGTCTATAATCACAAGGTCTTTTGCTATTCCACCGACTCCATGGATCCCTCGATGTGAGTGATCTCTCGACGGGGATCATGCCAGTGTTCCGGGCAGCAGGTCTCAGCACCTCGACTCGGATTCTTCAAGCTCGGACAAGACAGTAAGATCGTGGACAATTAAGGTGTACTCAGGTGGTATGTCTCCTGCAATAGGGTGGGATTGTTGAAAAATGCCCTGTTTACCTCCTTTATCCTCCGGGGTAAAGTATGCCTCCCCCGAAGAATGTGAGCCTTATATCGGCTGCCCCATGGAGAAGTGGGTGCAGTAGCAAGGGCCACGATTTGTTGTTTGGTCGTCATAATAGTGGTGCGATCTGCATATCGTATCTCATGGCTGAAGATCATTGCTCTAGATTGCTATTGGGCTGACGATGTCACCTGCCTGCGAAGCCCTCATGACATAAAGTTTAAGTTGGTGTCAAAGTAAGTTAGGTTAGTTATAGTTAAGTTATAGTAATATAGACATCCTGTGGATATTATTATTCTTAATTCTCGGTCTTGGGAACCGTGGTGTATGCATCGCGCTCCTTGGTATCTGTATAGAAGGGTGATTCACCAATAGCATCGCGTTTATGCACCAGCCGTTGACATTCCTCAACATAACGCGTTGTGGTTATCGCTATTTGCCTTTTTGGTGGCTTGCAGCTGTTTATGTCTTCAGATATAATAAGAGTATTTAAAGTATAGCGAGGTGTGCAAGTTTAATTTGGAATCCTCTCACAAGAAACCTTTAGAAATTCTTTTCGTTGACTATATACAAGGCGGCACGGCTAAACTTATCAAGACCACTCTATTTAGCCCTATCTACCTGTTTTACCCTTCATGACATCAGTTAGCGTAGTTGGTTTGTTTCCCGTCATACCATGAACCTTGCCTAGGAAGAATCTCGGACTAACCGAAGATCCAAGTTATAGTTAGTTGGTATAGATATCTTCTCATTTGGACCCGGTCGTTGTGTCCTCATATCCCCTAAATTAGGGTGGATCCCATGATAAAGTAAATTAACAAGCTGACTGCTGGTATTTGGAAACACGTTCTTCTTCGGCCTGCTGATGAATACTAGCACTTCGTGGAACGTAGGGAGCCGTACTCGGGTATATACAGATGATACCAAGTAAGAAAGGCCCACGCAGCACATAATATGTAGCGAACTGGACTTTTCTGCATCGGATTCTTCATTTATTGACATTTATACTTAGCTAAAACAATACACAAATCCTACAGTTTCTCCAGCTTCGCCTTCTCTGCCTCCTCCTCCTCCTCCTCCTCCTCCTCCTCCTCCTCCTCCTCCTCCTCCTCCTCCTCCTCCTCCTCCTCTTCCTTCTTCTTCTGCGCTGCCGCCATCAACTTGAAAAGCCTCAAATCCAACGGAATACGGTCACCAAGCCAGGTCGCGCGTTGGGTATGGTTGCGCTCATCCTCCGATGCCACAGTATTGGGATGAACGAGAGCACTAAGCGGGCCCCGGTTAATAACCAGCCAGGGAACGAAAGCTCCAAACTGCGCTGGTGTGAACAAATTCACTTCGAACATTGCTACCGGGTGAGGGCCAATAGGTCGGTCGAAGAAAGTATAAATTCGGAGCTCGGGGACTGTTTACGAAGTGTAAGTAAGAGATCAACTGAAATTTGCAACTTAACCCCGCAGTAGACGGCTAGGCGATGCAGGTTCTGGTTCCTGGGCTAGAAGGGTGCGCTGCTTACATTCTCGTCTGATTCGTTCCCAGAGCGCTTTGGCGTATGCAGCTTGTTCGGGGTTGCTCTGGTCTATGCGTCAGTCTCGCTGTGTCTTGACTTCTGTCATGGGTGGTGGAGTGACCTACTTGGAAATGATAAATATGGACGTCGAAGCCTCCCTCCCGGCCTTTGGAAAGAGGGTCCGGGAATTCAGAGTAGGCTTTGCTTAATATGCCATGTTGAGGGTTCTTTAATGACTTGCCGTCTTCATTTCGCTCGCTACGGCAGAGAATAAGTATCTTGAGTTCGACGTGGTTGCATGGAACACTTACTCGGACAGCGGCTCAAGGTTTTCGTATCCCTCCAATGGAGATGGGTATGAGTAGGCAGATGGGTCCGTCATTGTGGGTATGTTGGGTTTGTTAAAGATGGGAGGAGAGCTATGTAAAGAAATGAATACAGGATTGCAGCTATATGTGTGGCCCTGGAGGGGTATAACCTGGGTTGGTCAGCGGGGGGGGCTTGCAAATCAATACGAATAATTGAGTTGAGTGACGCAAACTCCCTAGTGAGACTTACTAGTAGCTTATAGGATCAAAAGCTCCGTTAGTTCAACCTGGAGTATCATCATCAAGTCTGCGACGGGGGGATTTCCGCACTCTGACAAAACTGCGGAACCCGCCGGGTGGAGGTCAACTATGTACTAACTACATCGATGTACAATTGTACGATCAACTGCACTTTTTAATGTTATTGTACAAGATAGCAATTATTAATTATCAACTTGTTATTAGGCAGAGTGTGTTTTTATAGCCATTATCAGTTTCCAAGGTTGATCAACCATCATTCTTTTTAGATTTTATGCTATCCTCCGTAAAAATATATTTCTCCTCGCCACAGGGCAATGACTATCAAAACATCAAATCATTCAAAGAATTCTACTAGGTAAGCTCTTTTATTCATTTCGTATAAAATAAGCAAGGCAACCCAGAATATCCTTGAATGAAGGCTAGGCCAATAAATAATGAAAGTTATAATATACACCTTGGTATCACCCATAGCACACACCTCAAACGCCAATCATCAAAACATACAGAAAGAAATACTACCAAGAAGCCCGAACATCAATATGCCCATCGTCATCCACGAACTTGCCCCGATCCCATTCCCGTCCTTCGCCTTTCTTCGACCATTGTACGTCCTCCGGTTTGCTTTCTCCGTCCACGCCCGCAAAAGCGGTGTTATTCTTCCATTTATCAATGACTGCTTCGTCAATTCCTGCCGAACGTAGTCTCTCCTCGCCCTTATTTCTCCAGCGCTCACGATCGCGCAGCGCCTCCATTGCCATGTCCCAATCATCGTCTTTTGTCATGAGCCCTGCGACAGGACGACGAGAGGATTCCTGGTCCATGGAGTGTAACTTTTCTTCCTCTAGATGCACATCGTTAGTCGGGTCGTAGCCGGGTGCAAAGTGAGCATCGATATTGCTCATGTTATGTTTGTAGGCTCCACGCCCGCGCGAGCGGATAGGTGCCTCGTTCTGTTGAGGAGGAAGCGGTCCGACAAGGTCTTCTAGGGGATCGGATTCCTCGTCCATCTCATTTTGGCGTGTAGCTATAGTAGGCAACGGCGACAATCGTTTGGGCCGCGTGTTGGGTTCAAGGCGAGAACGGCGGGAGCCATGTGGCGATGCATCTTCCCGCTTTGACCGACGAGATTTGTGCGACTCTGGTGAGCGAGACCGGGAACGGGAACGAGTAGAATGTCCAGATTCACGTTTTTGTCTTCGATGGCGGTGGCGGTCGGGACTTCGATCCCTGTGTGGAGAACGACTCGGAGACCTCGAATATGAGCGCTCACGTCTTCGTCTAGTATGCTCCTTATCTCTATCCCGTCGATCTCCCCTAGATGACTCGTAATCCCGGTGTTCGCGCCGATGTCCACCGCGCTCTTTATCTCTCTCCCCAGTTCCGTCATGCTCTTCATTTCTTCGTCGATGTCTTCGCGACCGGTCTCGTTCCACCGAAGGGGAGCGGCTTCGAGTTCTTTTTCGATGTGACCGGTTGCGATCTTCACGATCTCTTCTTCTATGGTCTCTTGATCCTTGCGCTTTACTTCGATCATCAAATTGTTTGGAAGAACGGTCTGTCGAACTTGGCGCCAAAGCACCCGAAGCCTGATATTTCAGCTGGTGCATACGCTCCCGTGCTTCTCTTTCCTCCTTGAGTTTGAGAGCTGTGTTATGATTGTCTGTCACTTTGATGAGATTGCGTAGGAAGCGAGTGTTGGGTTTTGGGGCATTGCTTGTCGGCCTGTAGGTGTTCGTTAGTCTTGTATTCATACATACCGCAGACCATGAGACCAAACCAACCTTGAAGGCATAAAAGCACTCAGTCCTTGGGATGCGTACTTTATAGAACTCTCCTTAGCCTCCTTGGCCAGGATCTGTGCAACATAGTCGTCATCCATGGTCCAGATGAGCCGCAGATCGCAGGACTCTGGGGATGTGGAAGAAGTGCACCACGGGAAGTGAGGAATGCAAATCGAAAGCAATTATATACACTGGGAGACCATATTAAGAAAGAACAAAGGCGGAATCCTTTTCAGTTGAAAGAATCCGAGAGAGGCGAAGACCAAAGCGCCTTCCAAAAGTTGGCCTGACCGCCTTTGATATCTGTTTACTGTCCCGCAAATGTTATGCCGCAGGTGGACTCGACCCCTCCAAGCTCTCTAGCAATCGCAATTCTCGTTGGTTTTCTTTTTCATAGCCAGGTTCTTGATAATTGAACCCTACCAACATGGAAAGCTCGTCATCTGAAGCCCTTGCAGCACTCCAGCAGCTGGAGGAGAATGGTGATTTGAAGAGCCGACTTGCGATTATTCGCATCAGCGAGCCAATTTCCACCGAAGTTGGGGGATCTTACCCGTCTCCTTCAAAACGAACCTCCGATGTTTCCATCTCAAATTTTGACGATCCTACACCGGCCTCGCTGGAGGCAGATCTTTCACATTACAAGGTCCGCACGATCAGCCGGAATACTGCGAACGCCTGCAGCCCGGACCAGCAAATACTAATGTTTTCGCATAGGAACTATTCTCCAAATTACGATTCTCCTACCTCGAGCAAGTAACAAAGGAAAAGTTCTTGCGCGCCATTGTTGGCGACCCGCCTGTGATTGTCGGGCACAATGAGAACATGGAACTGGAGGCGCAACTAGCAGATGTGAAAGCCGAGCTCAAGGCACGGAAAGAAGATGCACGGATTATGATCGAAGAAATGGAGCTAATGGGCCGTGATTTGGCAAGCCGTGAGTGGCCAATGACCCGTAGGAGAGGAGTATGTTGACTGAAGCGTATCGCGGCCATGACAGGTTACAAAAATGTCGAACTTCAAACTACACAACTCTCAACGCTGCCTGCCTCAATCGAGAACCTCGAGTCCACCATCGCCGACCTCCGCGCCAAGCAGATAGCCACCATGGATCCTTCTAATCCCCACAATACTTCCTCGTCGCAGAATCTTCCTCTTCCCGCGACTTTGGCACTACTGGCGGAACGTGAGGCGGAACTGGCAGCACTGAACCGCCAGCTGGCTGCTGTACACAACACATTGCCTCGGAAGACCCGAGAGGCCGAGGCAGTAGAAAGAGAGCGCAGCGTGCTTGAGCGACGGAAGTCAGATGCGATCGCGCAAGCCCGTGAAGCCCAACGCAAGAAGCAACAGGGTGAAAGCGATGGACTAGAAGAGATGGGACGTTGGTACAGAGGGGCAGAAGAGACCTTGAAAGAATTGGTGGGGACCCAGACATGATAGCCTGCAGGCCAAGCCTAGGCTTGTGTACGATGACACGACGGACGAACGATTGAGCTTATCTTAAGGTGGGTGGGGATCGGGAAATGGCGTTTGAGATCTACTGTACATATATGGGTCCAAGGATATTATAATTCCAGTTTAGGAAAGTTTGGGAATCAAATTCATCAAATCGGGTTCCAAATTGAAGCCTTTCGGCTGTTTTAGATTCATTGTATTGCATGATCGTAGAACATGAGACGCTATGCTGCAGTCATTTTGAACCTCCAGGATATGAAGGTGCCCCAAGCGAAACCCGACCGTACTCCTTTTTTGGGGGAATATTTGGAATAATTTACTCCTCATCCTCCTCCTCGGCATCCTCACCACCGGCGGCGGCGGCGGCCTTCTTGCGGCGAACACGGCCGGGACGGCCGCCACCGAAGGGAGAGGTGAGAGAGAAGTCAATGTGCTTCTGGGAGTCGAGACGGACCATGAAAGAAGGAACGTTGACGATCTGCTTTCCGACACGGATGTGACGCTGCTTGATGAGGACACGGGCGTGGTGGATGGACTTGGCGAGGCCAAGCTTGTAGACGCAGGTCTGGAGACGGCGCTCGAGGAAATCCTCGGACTTGAGGGCCAGGACGTAATCGAGCTTCATGCGGGCCTCATCGAGCACACCGATGCGGACAAGACGGCGAATGAGGGCATTGCCTTCGAAGAGACGCTTGGGGTCCTTCTCATCGAGAGTAAGGAGCTCACTGTACGGAAGATGAAAAATTAGCGCCATGTCCCGTAAAATTTGATTTGCATCGGCCCGATCGCTCGAAACCTCGCAAAATCGCAGATTGTTCCTTGCACATACCGAGCAGCACGACGGATCTTGGAGAGGGTGAGCTGGACACGCCACACCTCGCGCTTGTTGCGCAGGCCGTACTCGCCGACAGTCTTGAGTTCAGCATCACTAGTAAAAAAATGTTAGGAATATGAACACGACATAACCAGAAGCACGCTTCTGGTTAGTGGCCGGAGAGTACTAACAGACGGGCCGACTCGAAGGCTGTGATGAAGTTAGTCTTTAAACGTCCAAATCGATAATTTCATTGGAAATTCACTTACGGCGACGGGGGACCTTGTAGGTCTTGGAAGAAACGCGACTGCAATCGATTAGAATGATGCGATGCCTTTCATTTTGTTGAGATACTCACGGGGCCATAGCTGCGGTTAGATGGGCGGAGGTTGTCGACGGGAGGTCGAAAGGTCAAGGACGAATTGAGAATTTGAGTGTGCGCGATGCGAGCCCTAAGGGGCTAGTCCCAATTAGGATATTGGATTATGTCAGCATATTTTTGTCGTTGAGCCTATTCGGGCGGGGGGTCCCATCCATGGATGGTTCCACTCTTGAGCAATCTTGGGAATTTCTCTTGTGTTGCATCAGATAGATCATCGGGTTTGCATAATGATTTTCTGCACCATGACAAGCAGGCGAAGGTTATATGAGCTCGAAATATTCGGGATAATTGAATCGTCTTTACCTTCCACATTTGGCCCATCGCAATCAATGGGCTAGAGGCTGTTCTCCTAACATCCCCATTTGATGGTCACTGATGCATTAGTAGATCTGGCGAAGAATGGCATGCCAGCAGTCAAAATGGTCACTGACATTCAGGCGTATACAAATTGTGAGATATTCCAGATCATGGGACTGGGTTCAAGCCTGCTGGCTGCTTGATAGTTGTCATTCTGATTCTGGTGCCATAAGGATGATATTGTTGTCCTGTTAGCTCACTGTACTGCGCCACTACATGACGCCCGAAGGTATCCAAGGTTTAAGTAGGCCTGAAATCCAGAACTTTAGATCTGCGGCGTGTATATCACTTGGTGTTTGTCTAAGGATGGCAAGGCCACACCAATATAGGGCTAACGATATTGGACGCTGAGCGTCTGTCGGGAAAAGAGGGTTGAATCACCGGGCATGAATCGTGAATATTGCAACAAAATTCTGGTTCCGGAACCTGGTAGTGATAGAGTGCGGTGGTTTGATCAGAGAATCCCATTATTTTCTAAGCCAGCACCGATCCTAACACCTGCACGCTCGCCATTTTGATGATTCATGTATACTACGAGGATTGATTTGAGATAATGTTCAGTCAAAAATTGGAAAAGAAACCAAAAGGGCTTGATTTTCTCCGAAGGGCTCATATAAATACAGGAAGGGAGGGCAAATACCTGGTGAGCATTGTGTGTTATACAACAACTTCGAAGTACTTTGTAGATGAAGGGCTATGGGCAATTCAAGCTTTGATTGGCTGAACATTAATTATCGCGCTAACCAAATTTAGAATGTGGCGAGCTAATCCTAAAGTGTCGTAGCGTGGGCCACAGGTTTAGCGAGGGTCTGATTAGTCAGTGATCCCACAAATTGTTATCCGACACTCTCGTTTTTTTGTATTGAAGGCCCCGTCGACAATTAACCACCAGCACCAACCCATAACACCGCCGATATGCCTCACTCGTACGGTCTGCGCGCCGGCACTCGGGTACGTTTTAATTCCCTTTGCGACACACGTCTTTTTTCAATACTGGGGGACGACCTGGATCGACTGGATACGCCGTTGGGCCTCAGGGAGGATAAGTGCTAACGAGACGACGAACACAGTATGCCTTCGCCCGTGGCTTCAAGGAGGCCGGTATGATCCGTCTCTCCACCTACATGAAGACCTACCGGTATGCTCAGAACTCTCGAACCTCGAACGAATGACAGGAAATGAAATCTGACGGATAATTTTTTACAGTGTGGGAGATATTGTCGATCTTAAGGTCAACGGTGCCGTCCAGAAGGGGTCAGTACATTCCGAACCTTCCTCCCTGCGCTCTCGCGACCGTCCACTGCGATCATACACCATGGGCAATGCGAATCTGGGAAGAGAACGACGAGAATCTAACAGTTGAACAGTATGCCCCACAAGGTCTACCACGGTAAGACCGGTGTCGTCTACAACGTCACCAAGTCCGCCGTCGGTGTCATCCTCTACAAGAAGGTCGACAACCGCTACCTCGAGAAGCGTATCAGCGTCCGCATTGAGCACGTCCAGCACTCCCGCTCCCGCGAGGACTTCATCAAGCGTGTCAAGGAGAACGCCATCAAGAAGCGCGAGGCCAAGGAGAAGGGTGTCCACGTTCACCTGAAGCGCCAGGCCGTTGGCCCCCGTGAGGCCCACTTCGTCAAGCAGGCCGGCAACCACCCCGAGACCGTTGTTCCCATTGCCTACGATACCCACATTTAAAGGGCTCGTTATCGAATTGGAACGGTGTGTGCGGTTGTTAGGTGTTTACTGGGTTTTCGCTCCATTTTTGCCTAGACTGAAATGGACTTTGATACATGAGACGAAGCGCAAAGGGTTTCGGATGCCCTGGCACATCTCTCGCCTGTGCATAGATTCCCCTGAATGAAACAAAATCAAAAAATTTCCGAGTTCATGTCTACATTTTTCCCGGTCCGGCATAACTCCTGAAGATTTGTTCTACTGCTATAGACCTGTGTTCGTAGTGCTGTTCGTTTTCGCTCTTGGCCTTGATCGGCAGCCTCATCTCAGAGCCACTTATACTGTGATCAAGCTGGGTTCATACTTCAATTCCTAATTACTCAACACAAGAATAGTCCTCCGTGGATGCGACTTTGTGATGTCTTTTTGGCAGTCTTTTTGATGTTTTTGTTCAATATTTAAAAAAGATATGCTTTTCTTTGGATTTTTTTCTTCTACTTCTTACTTTTATACGTCAATGGCAGAAAGAAGTATAACCTTTGACTGATGAGCTTCAGATATACAATTCTCGACCTAAATGTATACCCGAAGTAGGGGAGCGGAGAAAAGTTGCACTGGACGAAGTCCATCAACCTCTTCAGTAGACTATTTGGCGATATTCTCCTTCGAATTATTAAGATTCAATTTGCCTCACGTTTCACCTTATTTAACTCTTTTTGACATGCCCGAAATTTTAGGCGTTCTAGCCCTTCCTACTTTATATCCTGCGATTCTGACTACCGCAGCGCCTAGCTCGGCGCCGGCGAAATTCCACCTTCCACCACTCTTACGACGTGGCAGAGCAGGAAAAAAAAAAGAAAGAAAGAAAAGGGCTAGAACTATGTATGACATAAAAATTCTCCCAACGGATTATACTTTTTATTCTCACTACGAGTACCAGCATAGTAAGGCGTCCATGCAGACTGACGTTGTAGATACTAGGGTATATCTCAGGGGCACAGCCATCTTTGATTTGCACCGCCACTACGGTGAAAATGGTCTATTCAAGCTTTAGCTTTTCGATGAATGACCTCATAGTCAAAATAGGACATCGATGCGGAATCAAAGTTGGGCATCATTTTACCAAGGCTTGCTATACCCAGGCGATGAGTTCACCCGAACCCAGTCGCCTGTTTTGCTCAATATCTGCTTTTTCTGATATTGGGCACTTCGAACTTGCGGTAAGCACTTTTGACCCGGGCTTCATCTCCTTGCAATGCGGGCTCCCGTAGAGCAATTGGAGGGGTATATGGATGGATATTTCCAGGAGCTTGTACCCAATGACCCAACCCGGAAATTTCTAGAAGCTCAGCTGGCGATGGTCAAATACGCGAGCGCCTCTTATGGATCTCAGACCCGAGAATGTTCGCATGACCGTCAAGTGGAGTGAACGGGGCTATTATTTTGTTATTCAGTCGGGCTAGATTCCCATCCCCTGTCTAAAATCAAAGATCTTCATCGCTTGAATTCTTCGTGCATCACCTGATACCTGCATAGGCGCCTAGACTATCTAATTTCCCGAGACGCACGAAAATGCGTTGGGATTCCTTAGAACCCGAGGGGTCAAAGCAAAAAAAACCCTGGAAAGCAATGGTTTTAGGAGTAGCAGCAGCATATACTGCGCCCGGATGTCATGTTCCCATGAAATTGAGATGTGAAAAATAATATTCAATTAATATAGAGATAGTAAGGAATGTTTCTCGAAGGCTTTTTTTTCTCTCTTTAATGACGTACAACATACAGAGTAAATGTAAACCCCGCGGCCCATTTGCATCCCACTTGAAGATCATCCACTTTGTTTTTGAGACTCGGGTCGGACTAGGCCCGTGGCTAGTGGCATTAATATTACGAACTATTGCGTTGTGTGGAGTGCATATGGAGTACAAATACGGAGTACAATGCATACAACTGTACGGAGTACTCTAAAGTAACATCACCTCCATGCGTTCATAGATCAACTAGTCGCATATGTACTTGAGATGTTAATTTTCTGATGGAATATCTCAGTGTCTAAATTTTTGAGCAACGCCTTTCTGATGCAGACGTAACCAAGAGGATGCGATGGAATTGTTGGTGTGTGTATACCCCTACACCGTACTTTCTAAACGCCCTATCAGGAACCTTTATACGAGGGGTGAATTGATTTGAAATTGACTGGCAAGGGTGAAGATGGAGGTGAAATTTGGGCATCTGGACGAGCCTGTCATTTTACAGTGTACACAATACACAGAGTTGCACCGGCCGGAGCGTGTTTGAATGATGGTTTGGACTTTGGTGACCTTCGGCAAACTCAGCCACACATCGCTTGGCAACAGGGATCACCCATTAGGTTAATAGTGGAGATTCTAGGAAAGGAAATATTGTGGGAAATTATACAGCCATTTTACCACTAGACCATAACAAAAACCACAATGTTTGAGCCATACGGAGTACTTCACACTCGAATCTAATTGTTATTCGACAGCCACTGTGGATCAGACGCAAGATGCTCATGCGTTGCACCTGACAGGTGAAGACGTGCAGCCCGGGCCAGAAGAGATCGGCAAGCCAGGCACAGTAGGTTCAGTCTTTCTTTTATGCGACTTTTTCCCTTTATCATTTTCTTTTCGGAGAAGAGAAGAAAACAGCCATACTAGCCTCTAAGCTTCTACCTAGACACCTGGATAACTACCTCTAATGCGTTAGTCAGCGCTATACACATTTCTTAGAGTGCTTATCGAATATGTCCTGGTCCACCGTAATTCATTTCGCCCGAACTTACTGTCACCACCGCTACCCTTGAACACCCTCGCAAAGCCTGGGTACACCTTTGCACCCAGGTTCGTTCCCCTTTGTAGGCAGCGAGATGATCAGACCAAACCACGAGTCCATTTCAAATGGACGCCTATATATCTTCCTCCTCCCCTTCTTCAAGGCTATCAAATTTACACTCACAGCTTGCATCTACTACTTCTACGGGGATCTGCACCGGCAATTATTCAAGTGGTCTGTCTTAGGTTGCCATTGACTAGCCCCACTAGCTACCAGCCCTATCAATTCACTCTATTCCATCCTCCCTCAAAGTCGTGTTCACCGCTGCTTTCGAACCCAATTCCCAAGCTAAGGCGTCAAAATGAGTTCGAATAATAAGTAAGTAAGCCGGCTAGTTCTTTGCATATACCGGCAATACCCGCACGGCATGCCCCCAGTATCCGCAATTATAACCCATTTATTATTGAAGTTATTTAACCAATAAACCAATTGCTTGTTTTATCTGCTAATATTGATTTTCTCTCAGAGACTCGTCATCTGACTTGCTCGCTGCCAAAACCCCTGACACCACTGCCAATGGCACCACTGCTGCCGGCCAGAATGGCGCCTCGCAGGTGTCTTTGCCCACCTCCAATTCCGAGTCACAAAATGGAGGCTCTATGCTGCAGGCGTGGGCAACGGCGCCCGCCTCGTCGGACCCGTGGTCAGCGGCCAAAGCCACCTTATCGCCTCGTTAGATTTTGGTCGCTATTCGTTGAGATTGGATTCTGTATCAGAGTATTATTGTACAAGGATTTCCGGGGCGTGCAATATTGGAACATGGTTTCGTCTTTTCTTTTGGGGGTTGGGACGCTACTACTTAGATGGGAAATACTGGGATATAGATTGGCTGTTTTGCGAGTGGGGTCTCCGGGGGGGCGTCTTGCTGATCTTTTGTCACCTGTTGGTTTTTTCTTTTTGTCTTTGGGTGTGTTTTTGTTTTCTTAACGGGTATATGGATAGGATCATGTAGTACAAGGAATGGAGAAATTATCGTGATGTGCGTTCTTTCGTTTCCAATTTTCTTCCCAGATCCAGACAAGGCGATTGTAGCCGGGATAATGAATGCATGACGTATCGATCTGTTACAGTTAAAATTTTGTTATGCTGTACATTAAGTGAGTAAGTAGGAAATTATTCAAGATTCAAAGATTCAAATTTGCCTTGGGCCATGAATTATGTAGATAGGTACCTAAGGTGTATCGAACCTTTCAAACTTGGGAACCATGGTAGCCATGTAGAGCCGCAGGTCTGTGCCGTTCCCCACCTGATCCAGCAACTCTGCGGAGACCTCCGTAATTGCAATCAGTAAGATTTCCCTCTCTTTTTGGTTAAATATATTTTTCTTCTTTTCTGTTTCTCTTTATGCGTATATGCAAAGAATAGATATCTGCTTCCTCAACATTCACTCCATCTACACATGCAGCTTTTTTTTCCTAAAAAAAACCAACGAAAACAAGCCTCAAAAGAACCCCAAACAACCAATGATAAAAAACAATCACCTATTCAAGGGACAAAGCGGAATGTTCAGTGTCTAATATCACCGCCAATTGCCCAAATATCATGGGATTGTCGGGCAAACAAAAGTACAGTCAGATATGATTGTAATCTTAGCACCAGACGAGTTGATTGGTACATGAACAAGGGGAATGAGTTCGGGCTTGCCGTTAGAAGTGACACAAAGTTGAACTCCAGAGCTTCACTATAATCTCTCTATAACCATTCCAGCCAGTGATGTACATAGAGAAAGGTGGTTAGTTTATCCTAAAGCCCTCTATGGCAGTAATCCCTGATGATGTGGCTTGTTTTTCAATCATCTACCCATGAGCTTTAATCTAGACCCTGATGGCCTTTCTTCGCCTTCAGTGGTGTTGTGGTGGTATTCTAGTCTTTGCATTTACTATATCTCGAATCCTCAAGCTACTTTCCCCGCTCTCAGCAAAATACCATCCCTTTTAATGTACATACAAGACTTACCCTGAAATATCTCAATTAAAATGAAAGTGATGTCATGTTTCTGGCAACGGTGTAGCTTCGAATCAGCTATCCGACACTGCATAGTCCATGCATTTCAGGATCCACTTAACCATAGAATTGCAATACATCTAATGTCACTGGATGTATGCCATGATTTTCAGGGCTCGGACATGAACAGTAGATAACTTCTGTTGGTATTTATTTTCTTGAGGATTATTTTTTTAAATTATCTTATTGCATCACATTATTACCTGCTTCGTGCGTCGTAACCATGATGGAACGATAGAACCCAAGAATCTGGGGTTCTCCAGGCCAAATTGTTAGATCTTGACCGTTTAGCTAGAGATAGTCTAAGCCTTCTTTTTTTTAAATTTCAAAAACCAAACAAAACCCAGGGTGAACCTGGAGACTTTAATTTCGTCTAGGGCTTCCCTATAAATTGCCAGTTGTTATTGGTCAGTCGACACCGGGGGTCGATCTACCTACATAATATTGCCCGAATAGGAGATTTTAATTTCAATTTTCATTTTTAATTTATTTGTCTCATAACCCTCGATATACTATGAAAATCATATTTCCTTTTTTCTAGCGAGTTAGAATAAAGATCCAGTCCCACATACCTAAATGCCCAGACTACACTGTCATTGGCTGCTTTGTTTTAATAGAAACCAGGTACATGAAGCTACCCAGTCCGCAGAGGCAATCGCCGCCTCACTGGGGCTCGGGCTGAAGTACAATATTGTATTCGTCACCTACCGCGGGATTTTTATTCTGATCCCTCTACGCCAGGAACGGGGTTGGCCGGAGGCTCGTTTGAACCGATTTGTTCTCTTCGAAATTACACTTATTTTATTGCATTCCGGTTTATTTGATTTTTGGGCCTAATTGATGCCTGGGTGATAATGTGGCTTAGACTCCGCAACCGCAAAAGCACATATATAAAACGAATCCTGAGTCTGTTTCTTTCTTTTCTTTCCTTCTCCTCAGCTTCTAGGCCATTCCCTTTGCTCTGACATCATTTGACCCCTCAGAGAGACCTGTTCACTATGCCTCCCAATTACAACGATGAGGATGATGAGGTGATGTTACAGTGGCCTGACCCTCCTGGCTCCTTTATCTCATCCGCGTTTACTGGTACAGACGGTGAAGTGGGTAACCATCCAGAGATCCCAGCTTCAGAGTGCTAATGCTTTGAAAGGGTTATGCATATAATTATCAGGCTACCTTATCTTCCGCTGGCGTGACGAGCTTGAGTTCGGAGCCTGCACAACATGATTCCGGATGGGACAGCATCGTGCTTAGTCCTCAAGTGCCAGAACGTCCACAGCAAGATACCCTTGATCTGGCTTGGATTGATACGAGGCATCACCTGGGACCAGACAATATTCCTGAAACCCTAGAGGAAGACCTAGGAAGTTCGACTCTTACGCAAATACCAACAGATAATCCAAGAAACGAGAGCACTGCTCCTCTTTTTGGAGGGACTGATCGGAGTGCCTTTGGGATACCATGCCCTAATCCTTTTCCTCTGCAGCCTCCACTTGACGGGGCAATGAGCCAGGTGAACGCCATCTACAGAGCTCTCGTGTCTAATAATGCATGGAGTCGTGATCAAGTTTCTCAAGCGTTGCAGAATCTTGAAACACTCAAAATCTTCTTTCATACAAAGCTCTCTGCACATCTCGCTCCTGGTTCATCGATTTCGTCGTCAGAACCAGACAGAAAGTTATTTCAATGCTGGCAATGTGATGCTCCGAGTATTGCAACCTTTGGTTCCTTTAAGAGACATTTGACTACACATGGTATAATCGAGAGCGAGTGGCGCTGTAATGAGCCGGGCTGTTTCATGACCCTCTACCGACAGGATAGGATGCGTGACCATCTTATTCGCAGACATAACAGACCCAATCCGCCCCGAACTGATGTGGATGCCACTCGGGTGAGATATGCGCCTCCAGTCAACTGTCCCCGTTGCTTCCATGCGACGCCCACTTGGGATATCTATTTCGAACATATCAGAACCCACTGTCTCGTTTCCCCTGGTTCGGGGAATGCCTCTACCAACGGCAATCGGTCTCGTCGTGGAGGCAATGGCCATGGTCGTGGAGGTAATGGCCATGGTCATGGCTCTTCTCCTTCAGGTCCTAGCAATCCGAACAGAGGATCGCAGTTCAACTCAAACAATCGCGCTGGGGGTACTCCTTATTTCAGCACGAGATCTGGAGGCCCCGGGAACAGGAGCTACCATCAAAGAGGCAACAGTCATACCGAAGACCCCTTGTTGGAAGACATATCTCCCGCAACTCTTGGATCCAGGGCTCATCCCCCAAGTGGAGCCAGTGGGCAGCCCAAGAACCTCCAGCCCCCACAGAGCCCCGGACTGTCGCGAGCCAATCATTCGACTAAGCGGAAGCGCCCGCAGAAGCAGAAGAAGCCGGCAGAAGAGAATGCCCCTAGTCCGAACAGATGCAAAAGATGCAATCATAACATGGCCAAATGTGAGCTGTGCAAATCTGTTTCTGATTGCCACGAATGTGGTGGCATGCTTAGGAGTGCTATACAAGTTGGGGCTTCCTCGACAATGCCTGTGCAAACCCTCCCAGAAGCACCTTCTACCATTGTCAATTTGGACGAGTCTTACGCTATTCGTGAAGCGGACAGCTTTACAATTCCCCAGGACATGCCCACCGAGTCCCCTTTTTCTTACAATCTCAACGGCGTCATGCAATTGTTTGACCTGCCACCATTTGACAGCGTGGCCAACGACTTCATGAATAATCTATCCCCAGACGATAGCTTTATTGCGGTGGCAAGGGTGATCGAAAGACACCCAGCTCTGAGTGAGCTCGGTGGCAAATTCCAAGAATCGTCTGTTTTGGAAACTGATACCGAGTTGCTTCGCAGCATTGGGCTTGACAGATTGAGTGGGCCGCTCTCTGCTAAAGGGAAACAGGAAACGAAAGCCATCCGCGGTCCAGCTCCAGGCACATACACAGACCTTGTTTTCAGGAACAAAGCATCTTCGGCCATTCTAGAGGCTCCCCAGCCGGTATCTCTTTGCCAGTGCGCATGTGTTAGAGCCCCCCCGACTGTCGACTACGAGGCCCACACACGCCTCCGATTATCCCCAAACAAGCGAGTTGAGGTGACATTCAAGATGTCCCCGGAGCGTGGTAATCACCTACGCACCCGAGTGCGAGTCTTCGTGAAACTGTTCACTCTTCGCACATCGGCCGCAAAGAAGGAGAGAGCTAACTCAATCATCTCCGAAACTACCTCCAACCAGGATTCTGGATATGATACGGACCCGGAGCAAGAAGAGCTCATCCCCACGTCGCCTTCCAGCTCCGAGGATATGCAAGATTGGTCCATCTCCTTCGGTGCCATGTGGGCGCTATTGAAACTAGAAAAGTGGGCCAGCAGCATGGATGCCAACACGCGCCAGAATCTGTTCATATCTGAACCTGGCCATGTACTAGGCTTAATATCCATATATATTCTGCAAAGGTTAGAGGGTTCTTGGTCGTCGGTGGGTCGAAATGGACTTGATTTGCGTTTGCGTACCTAAAAGCACCCTGTTACTCCTCCTTAGACCCCATTCAACATACTTCTATACTTGGTTGTTGATGGGCCGCGATGAGCACAGTTTGGTTGAGTACCTAAAAGCACTCTTTTACCCTTTCGGATACCGCGTTCATGAGAAATCCACTACGGCCTTCCAATATTTTATCGTATTTTTTTCCATTTTACATTTTTTTGTTTTTGTTTTTTTTTGTTGAATTAATGCGCTATGTTTACATGAAGCCCCTCCTGTACAAGTCTGTATACTGCACGATTGGGTATCGAACTATCAGGAGATATATGTGTCGTCATGCGTTTATGTTTTTATGCAAGAATTTACGAAGTACAAGATTGGACCTAGAATGAAATATGATTCACGCGTTGTACAGCTCTTCCCATTCTTGGTTCTAGGCAACTACCACTATAGACTCTTTCGAGAATCAGCCCGCGCCTTAGGCAGTGCAGCGTTGATTATTAGCCTTACTTACACTGCCTCATTGGGTGTCTATAGTATGTGGTCAGCCTTGGGCATTACACAAAAAAGACAAGCACTCTTGTCCAGTGTGCAGCAGTGCTTATTTAGCCTTACTTGCACTGCCTCGTCAGGCGTCTGTATTACAAATGTGCTCTGCCTTGGGCATGCACAAAAAAATAAGCTCTTTAGATGAGCTGGGATACACCCTGCTTCTATTTGGACAAAGATATTAACCAGGATTGGCCTCGTATTCGATGCAAAGCATTGCATTGCATGATATCGCATAGCCTCGCATGTAAATCGAGCATATGTCTACTCGCTATATGCAGACATATTAAATGTCCTTATATATTGCTTCTCGGATCACTATTGGGTGCTACGGAAGTGACGTGGCAATGTTATATCCTACATTGTTCACACTATCTTTCTCTAAACCCTTTTTCGTGAACTGCTAATTACATGGATGTTACTCTGTATCTAAGAAATGGAAGATGAAAAAAAAGTGATATCCTAATACACCGTAGAAAAAAAAGTAAAAACGAAAAATTAGCTAGACCCGGAGCTGGTAAGATGATCTGTTGAAAACAACCTCAACCTTGCGAGCCCGGGCCTTTCTTGCTGCCATTCCCTTCTCCGATCAATCAAGCAATCAAGCAAGCATAAAACCATATGGAAAAACAAACCCTCTTCGATCTGAAGAAATCTCACCACACGCCAAAGACCATCATGACCCGTAGCATGAAGCTCTAGAAATACTGCTAGAACCAAATGCGCGCGCGGTTGCAGCCAACGGATTGTGCATCTTAGTCTTGGCGGCTGCGCTTCGCACCGTGGGGATTCCAGGAACCACCGTCGGAGCTGACACCTTGATTGGGGTTGTTAGGGTTGTAGTAGCCCTGATTGAATCCGGGGTTTGGGCCCTGGAAACCTTGTTGTCCTAAAATATAGTTAGGATCAAGCAATCGAAAAGATGACCAGTAGTATGTATATCAAAATCACTTACCTTGCATCGGCATGTTGCCTCCCATACCGCCTGGCATGCCACCTCCCATCATGGGGTTCATACCAGCCATCGGATTCATGCCCATGCCACCCATGGGGGGAGTCATAGTAGGCATACCCATCATGTTCGGACCACCTCCCATAGCGTTTCCGCCTCGACCGCCGCGCATACCACCGCCGCGCATGCCACCGCCCATCATGTTGCCGCGGTTGTTGTTGAATCCGTAGTTCTGCATACCGCCCATCGGGGCACCTTGGAAGCCACCCATCATGGGGTTGGGCGCGCCGCCACCTTGGAATCCACCCATAGGGTTGAAGTTATTGCGGTTATTAAAGTTGTTGTTCATGTTACCACCCATGCCGCGGTTGTTGAAGCCACCTCGGCCGCGGAATCCACCACCAGTGTGGTTATTCATTCCGTAGTTAGGGTTGCTGCCGGTGTTGTGGGCTACGCCGCCACCGCGACCGCCACCATTACGCGTCGGAGTATCCTTGGGGAGAGTCTTAAACGGATTCTGGTGGGGGCTGGTGTAGTGCACGGTGTGCTTGCGCGTGGGACCACCATTTCTTTCGATATTGTGCTTAGTTGCGGTCGCTGCCTGCGCGGTAGTGAACTCAACAAATGCTTGACTATCGCGGTTTAAAATGTTAGTATCAATACTCGATATTGTTTTAGTTCGCGACCGAGTATATAATTTTCTTACCCCTTGCTCTTGCCGTTCACCTTGTGCTCGCTGAAGGTCACATCCTTCAGCTGATTTTCAACTCCGGCCTGGTTCACCCAGCCTCGAATGTCGTCATCGGTTGTCCACCAGGATAAATCCGAGATCAGCAACGCAGCTGTGGCATCAGGATCCACGGACTGGTCCTCGTATTCCTTTCTCTTTGTTCCCTGAGGGGGGGGCAGGAAGACCATGGTGGGGAGTTTGCTGCTGAGGTGCCGATTGAGCTCCGTTGCTGTCCACCTGCTGGCCCTGAACGGTGGTAGGAGCGGGGTGCTCCTGCTTGATAGTGTTGGATGATCCGGTGCTGGATTCAGGCTGGCTCTCAGGAGCATCCAGAACGAGCTCAGAATCTTCCTGTTTGAAGTCGCCAGGCTCATTGGCATTGTAAGTGCCATCGCCGTAGATGTCAATATCGAAGTTATCGTCGTCGGTAGCCATTGCGAACTAAATTAGTATCCTCTTCAGGGGATTGGTCCTCAAAGAAAGTATTGAAATTGCCTGCGTATCTGATGTTCGATAATACAGGCCCCTCTTCTTCTTGATCCTTTCCGCTTCTGAGCAAAATCAAGAAAAGTGCATGTCTGCAAGCACAAGCCACCAATTAGCATGGACGGAAACATAATAAGAAGACAGAAATGAGTGAAGGGGTAGCGTGATTCCCGTGGTAGCTCCCAACAGCCCGTCGGACAAGTCCTCACAGGTAAAGCGGACGGAAAATTGGCCAAAAGCCCCCGAAGGGTAACATAGGAGGGACAGACATGAAACAGGAAGGCCAGAAAATACGTACAATCCGAAGCGGAGGAAGCGCTTCCGGTAGAAACAAGTGCGCGAGCTGGAGACGCGATGTACAGAATGGGAATCAGAGCTGTTCCGCAAATTATCGGATACAGGTAGAGAAAAAAAGGAGAAAACTGCCACAGACAGGCAAGAGAATGGGGAGCGGAAGGTTAGAGAACAGGATAGGCACTGAGAAAGCAAGGGAATGGAAAGCCTGGCTCTTTGGGGGGTAGGGGACACGGGCGTGTATGATCAATATCTCAATCAATAGCTCTTTCTCGAGTCCAGATCTTAACGGCAGAGTGTAGCTGAAACGGGAAAGCAATCGGCTCAGCGATGTTAATGGCGATGTAATCGCGACGAACGGGCCAGAAGCTTGGCTGGAATGGAACAAATATTCTCCACCCCCAGAAAGGCCAATTGGTCATTTCGGAGAAACCACCTGTTCTCTGAGATCCCCAATTGTTCATGACTTCTTGAACTTTCGCTCTTCTTAATATCTTCAATATTTGCCCTCTTTTTTCCCACAATCATGTCTGAGACTTTCCAAGAGCTTGCTGATATCCCCAAGGATTTTATCCGGGAGGGTTCTCAATTTGTTCGCCGCTGCACCAAGCGTATGTCGATCGGCAGTTTATCAACAGTCATTAACGCGTCGAAGACATGCTGACATTTCCAATAGCCGACAAGCGTGAATTTATCAAAATCAGCCAGGCTGTTGGCATGGGTTTCCTCGTCATGGTATGTGTGCCATTGCGGTGACCCCTGGATTGTATTCCAAGGTAGAATAATGACTGACATTGTCGATAGGGAGCCATTGGCTACTTCGTTAAGCTGAGTACGTGTTCCAAAAAGTGGACCTCAGTCCGCATATCCAGAACGCATGTTTTCTTTCGTACTAACATGTTGCTTGCAGTTCACATCCCTGTCAACCAAGTTCTGGTCGGTGGCGCCTAAGGGAGATACACTCCTAGAAGCCAGTTAGATCCATTTGACAAGTTGAGAGGAATATGGGGAAAAGATTGATGATTGGGATAAGTCTGCGGACGGGAAGAAAGAGAGGGAGAGTATGATGAGCAAGCAATCTTGATCATAGGCAATCCGCGGGGGACTATGAGCAGGACACCGCTCTATCGTCTGAACTACATAAACAACATGACTTACCCCGCTGGATCCCCCGAACAAGCCTGGACCGCGACTTCCCACCTTGCAAAGCAATTTTCCATTTCCGTTTTTGAATTTCCGTGGCTAGCACCATCAGCCACTTGGCGCTTTTTTTTGGCGAGCGATAGGAGGCGGAGCATGATCGCTATCTATGAGATACCACCTGGGCACCGTTTTTCACATCCTGTATCAATAGGGGTTCTTGTTTTAATTCACACCCTGCAAGCTTTTATTTTCTTCTACAGTGTCTTGATATTCGTTTCTGAGCAGCCCGGATCATATCTACAGTTGTGGAATAAACGAAATGATGTATTTCATTCGTCAAAAGCAATTTGACTACTCTCGAGTATGTAGTATGCGAAAATACATTAATAAAGCCTCCCAAAATGTGCAGATGCAAAAGCCAACTGTGAATGCTTTTGCTGGTCCGAAAAGGACACTCATTTCCATGGTCGCGGTGCCCATATCTTACCATATTACGTCTTCTGATTCTCCTTCACCAACCCATCGACGAACTGGTCTGCTGCGCAATGGACGCCGGGGCCGACCATGTGGTGCATTCTCGCGATATTCATCGAACTCGGGGATGAATCGTAGTTTATCGTCATAGTTCTTGCCCAGTGGTGGATCGCCCTCGTCCTTAGTAGCGCCAGCGTTCCATGAATGCACAGTACAAGTGCCAGTAGACAAACCCCAGCCATTCCAGGAAGTTGCTGGACTTAGGGTTAGCAATGACTACTGAAGCCAATGTTTCGGGGTATGGTTCTTACCTGCTAGTACTGGTGCACTTGGGTGCCAGCTTGCATCCCGAACACAAGTCCTCCACAACATTTCTCCGCTCATCTCATATGCTGTAGCATATGCCTCTGGGTCGCGCGGTCGCGAGTTAAGTGTAGCTTGACCGACGTCAATGGTGCCGGCGAGTGTAGCATCCAAGTTATACACATAAACCTTGCCATCCTCACTTCCACTGTAAACATAACGCGAATTTGTGCTTCCCGGTGGTGAGAAATGGCAGCGGATCAAGGTTTTGAGGACTCGGTGGCCCCGATATGTAACAACGGAGCAGTCATTCTTGGCATTTCTGCGGTATTGGTTTGGATACTGCTCGAAGCGGTAATCGAACCCGGTTGTGTACTCGGCGGGGTCGATGTTTTCGATATCGGCGGATGTCATCATTTTTCGCAGATCCCAAAGCTTCATCGTTTGGTCTTTGCTATTGGATAAGACATATCTGCCATCACCTTTGCTGTCAACATACGTCAGCCCCTCAGTGTGGCCCATGAAGGCACCGGCTTCCCGCCCATCGCCCATTGACCGCCTATCCCAAACCCTAATTGTCGTGTCATCTGATCCAGAGTACAGGATGTGCGGCGATGAGGTATCGCCGTAACACACAGCATTGACATGATGCTGATGTCGATCTCGTAGGTTTAGAACTGGCTGTCGTGTTTCCAGATCATAAACAATAACAGAGTCCTCTGATGTTCCGGCGACAACCTCACGTCCATCCCCGGAGAATCGAAGAGACCAGATCTATCGAAAATGCACCAAGTTAGCCATTGCAAATGCCAATCAAAGCATCAATTCACATACCCCAAAGTGTGAACCACCCCAGCCCCGTCTTCTACTTTGGCCCGGTGGAGTAGATAAATCCAGAACAGTAGGTTCTGAATCATCTTCTGGGTCTGTGGTGGCCATATATGCCTGGCTCCGTATTGAGCTATAGACAAGGAAGCGATTGTCGGGACTCAGTGTCGCGTCGGTGATAGTCCACTGACCGAATGGGTAATCGACGGTTTTGTAGTATTTCCAGTCGTACGGATTGGACGTGTCGTACATCCGAACCTTGAAATCTTGTGCGCAGCAGAAAAAGAAATTCCCGTCATCCGAGAACTGGCCTGAATAACTTCGAGTTTCAAAGTGAATGATCTTGTCCGCAATCGAACTTGGAATAAGACCCTAATAGGCACCAAACGTATGCATTAGCCCTGCTCGTTATTATAATCTCCATGTGCCGATTATACACCTCGCCTACCTGGGAGATGGATTGGCCCGCTCTTTTCCGCACTCCTTCAGTATCGATGCCTAGTTCTCGCCACATCAGGCTTGTTGCTAGGGATTTCTTGCGCTGCCTGAGCCGGTCGCCGTAGAATTTGTCAGTTCCGAAATGGCCTTCGCCCATCAACTTCTTGCCCTCTGGATTAGGGACCGGCGGAAGCTTGACTCTTTCTTGGGATCGTCTGGCGCGGAGGCGATTTCGGAATATGGGCATGAAATCTTCATCGCTTAGCTCATCGTCTTCATTTCCCAGCTGCTCTTGTTCTTCTTCCATAGCTGTCGGCCAACCGTTGGCTTGGAGGATATGTTGTAAACCACTGGATGCAAGTAGCTCGAATAATCGGGAAGCTGGTACTGTAACTTGTGAGCAATTGTATTGATACACCGAGAGAATTTACAGCACTACATACCGCGCGTATGCCCCCGGTTTAGATCATCTGTGTTCTCGCTCTGGTCCGAATCGTCCGCTGTAAGCTCGATCTGAATGTTCCTTATATTGATGTGGGCATTGTCTATCACGATAGGCGGTTAGTTCATTTGTATCCCATTGTAAGGGTTTGGTATTTAATCTTACCATCCGCAGCCCTCAAGCCCATCTGCTCATCGTCATTGCTTATGTCGTCTTCCCATGCATCAATGTCCCTGGATGACTCCAGCGCGGGGTGGTATTCGGTATCCTGCTCGTCATCTTCCAGCCATTCGCGGGCAGGATGCCAGCTTCCTTCTGAGCCCCTCGGGGATTCTCTCCCATTATCAGGCGTCCTTGAACTCATAGTGTATTGTTGTGGTAATGGCGGATGGGGGGATATGGTGCTTATCGATACATAGTTGATAAGTCCGGGCCAACCTCGGTCACCGCCCCCAGCCCTGGTTTTAGGTTATGTCATGTGGATCGGCCTTAAGTCCGCCCGAGGCTTAACGCCGATAGATAAAATTGAAATTGGGACTTGAACGAAGTTCTTCCAAGCTCAGTGATATACCATGCTAGTTTGATGTTTATATGGGGTTTGCTCTCCAATGAAAAGAATAATTACCCACAAAGGCTTATAGGTCATGACAAATAGGTATATATCGTCGGCACACTGGTTAACGTCTGCAATTGTAAGCATCTCCAAAATATAAAGCCGAAACATTGACACATTCCAGAACTTACCCCTTCCGGTGTAAGCTTTGTGGTTATCAATTTGCCTCCAGTTGTGTTACCTGCTTGGTGCCACCCGCTCCAGCCCTGTGGCTTTGGTGTGATTGAATCGCACATCATTCCCCGCATGTACAGCACTCAATTCACTCTTCAAGACCCCAGATGAGCATAATATATGGAGAAAAGCAGAAACCTGTGGGGAATTCATCTGTGGCTTTTGAATATGAACGTTATGCAAGAATCATACCTATATTGGGGAGTGGAAACCGTGCTAAAACCCTTTGACTAACCTCGAGATAAACTCTGTCTCAGGCTCTCCATTGTGCTAGATTGAAGCTCGTTCCCGATATCCAGATATAAAAAGAAAGAGACAAGTCCTTGAAGTATATAATTATAAAGTTATACAACTTGGCCGCTAGTACTATTTTAGAAAAATCGGAATAAATTCCTCACAGGCACATTTTTATACGAAGTAGATGTATAACAATACTAATTTAGGGCTAGAAACGCCAGGTGAAGGTGAGAAGGTTCCATTTTAAGAACACAAAAAAAAATAAAGGCAGATTTTCTCTTCGCTTCCAACATAACAATGTTGCTATCAACTTGTTTGATTTTGCCATTTGACAGCGTAGTTGGCTTACTGGCTAGCATATGATCTTTGCCATTATATTTACTGGTCCAAGAAAGTCCATTCTTTCGATGTCTAGATATTAATGACTTGGCCTGAACCTTGGTGACCAGAGAAGGCAACATCATGGGCATAGGGCATATATATATCAGGTGTCCAACGAACGCAGGAAGGGCACACATAAGCTTAGGGTTGAGTTGGAGCATTATGTTAGCTTCTCACAGCTAAGTAGTAAATGTTGCTAGCTTTAGGGGAGACGTGTTAAATGTATATATTTTGAACTATATAAAACAAGAGTAGTCCCTATGTCAGCCGTGTATGCGGCCTTGTGTGTATTTTTTTGGTAGTCTTTTTTTTGGCTTCTATTTAGAATGATTTTATATTGACGGAGGCTTCGGTTGAAGGTTTGGAAATTCTAGCGAATTCCATGTAGAGAAAGTTGTTATATGAAGCAGACGTCTGATGCATGTACGGAGTAGTAACCTTGGAATATTCCCGACAAAGAGAAACCTACTGTCAGAAAGATAAGCCAAAAGGGCGGATCAATTATTTCCCCGGTCTCCACTGATAGAGATGCTTCTCCAACTGCCGAGCTCGGGTTGTTCAAGATCTCCTCTGTGGTGTTCAGTTCCAGGAATTCGAGTGAGACAAGCTGTCTAATTGAATAAACCACACTGACCCCCATTTGGGCATTCACAATATAAAAGCTCACCCGCCTTCCCCTCAATTTCCCCTCCGCATCACCCCAACCCCACCACGATGCAGTCCGTCCCAGAATCGCGACAGCAGTCCTTTGAGGAGATCTACGGACCTCCGGAGAACTTCCTCGAGATAGAAGTGAGTTACATATGCACAAAGCCCAATATGCACACCCAAATGGATCACCTACCCCAATACCCCATAGTCTCGTGCCCATATCTATCTCCCCTAATCAGCCGCAATACATCCCCACCAAAAAATGACCGCATCATCAACCCCCATCAGGCACCAAAAATGGACCCCCCATACTAACAATAACCGCAATAGGTCCGTAACCCGCAAACCCACGGCACATCTCGCAACATGTACACGTCGTACGAGATTGTGTGCCGAACCAACATCCCCGCCTTCAAATTGAAACACTCCGTCGTGCGCCGCCGGTACTCCGATTTCGAGTATTTCCGCGATATCCTGGAGCGCGAGAGCACGCGCGTCACGATACCACCACTTCCCGGGAAGGTGTTCACCAACCGGTTCAGCGACGATGTCATCGAGCACCGCCGCGAGGGTCTGCAGCGCTTCCTCCAGATCGTCGCAGGACACCCTCTTCTGCAAACGGGAAGTAAGGTGCTTGCTAGCTACATACAAGGTGGGTTTATTCTAGTCTCTTGTACGGATATGTACTGTTCAAGATATACTAATTCCTATTTCGCAGATCCCAACTGGGACCGCAATGCGTGGTAGATGACTATTGTCTTCACCATTAATTCATTGAGGAGAAACGTGCCTCATTTCTCAGGATTGGCTGAGCTCTGCCTTCGGCCTCTCTACACTTCTTTTCTCACCTTCATCTCCGGTCCCGCCTTTCTCTCACCCCCTCATTCTCATATCCTTTCCACGGCAGACATCTTTCTCGATTGAAAATGGGTACCCGCAGTGTATGCTATGATACAGCCATTGCTTGAATTTTTTTTATGCTCGTTTGATATCCGAATCCATCACTTTCTTCTTCCCAGATACAAGCAAGTACAGGATTTATTTGTTATCTTAATTGAACAGGCGCTTTTTCTGGTTTTTCTTCCTTCAATTTACCATTACTGTTTCATTTTAGTTTTATCGTTCGTGGTGCTATCTTATGCACAGTGAGAAGACCGAACTGTCAATCTGATTGCTAATGGCATTGAGCTGCAAAAAGAAAACTTTTGTTGAATAAAAACTGTAGCAAAAACCATCGTGTACTGCGGGATATAATAGATCAACAATGAAAACAGACCGGAAAAAAAGAGACGATATAGTAATGCTGCACTGAGCACCAAAAATGCAAAAGCAAAAATCACAAGTAAAACGAAAATGAAGACGAAACGAGAAAGAAGAAAAAGAAAAGAAAGACTAGGAGAAATCCAAAAATTCATGACATACGTTAACATAACGTATCTAACGCTTGCCCCTGATTAGGTCAATTCATCCCAAATCATAGGAGCAAGGGTATTATCTTCCCACGGTGTCTCCGCCGCGGAAGAACCACCCGCGCCAGACCCATCATCCAAAGAGAAAGAAAGCGCACCCGCAGCAGCGGGAGGAAGATACATCGAGTGTTCCAAAAAGCCCTGCGGAGGCGGGGGCAAGAGCGCGGGATCAAGCTGGGCAAGATTAGACTGCGAAGACGTAGCAGCGTGACTCCTCCTCGACGCCGAGTTGCGGGGAGTGGTAACCGGAGTCGGAACCGGAGTCGGAACCGGAGTAATAACATAAGCCTTGCTTGGGGATTGTTCGGTGTTGATAGGATGTGGGCGGGGAGTCGACGCGCCTACAGCCAACTCCTGGGCCTGGTTTTGATTTTGGTTGGTAAGGGCTTTGCCGCTGACCGAACCGCCGTCGCGATAGGCGTGTGGGAATTTGGTTCTGAAGCGGTCACGGAGGTCTGTCGCTTTGCGGTGGCTTAGGTTTAGTCGCTGATCTTGCTGGATTAGGGTCCATTGGAAGCCGTGTACTGCGTAGCCTTTAAGGAGGGCTTCGTCTTCGGCGGTTGTAAATGGTCGCCGAGAGCGACGCTTGGATTTTGTGACGTGGGGTTCGGGGATTCCAAGTGATGCGAGGGTTGTGCTGGACTTGCTCAAGAGAGCGGGTGTGCTATTTCCTGATGAGGGGGACTGCGATTGGGCAATGCTACTACTACCGGGATCTGTGTCGGGCGTGGATGAGACGGTACTCGAGATAGAGGGTTTGTGTGGATTGCGAGCCGGGCTTCCTGCTCCAGAGTTTGGCTCGAAGCCTTGATTGGAGGGCAATAGATGAGAGAGGTAGATTTTGCCAGGTGTTTCGTCAGACCCCTCTACTTTGGCTTTTAGTAGGGCGCTAGCGAGAGTGTCACGTAGCTGTTTCGCAGCTTCGTTGGGATCGGATGCGCTGGGGCAATATTAGCTATCCTGATTGAGTGCATTTGGAGGATTGTATTCGCATTGCTTACCGGTACGCCCAGGGACATAAGACTCGGAATCTTCAGCATAGCGAAGCTTTAGCATAAGATCATAATTTTGCCAAGAACTGAGCATACCTGTCTTTCAAATTCGAGGCAGTTCGATGATTAAACTCCAGTTCCGGTTGAGCAAGAATGGCAGTCCAGTTGCCAATCCCACATTTGACCACGCCTCGAAGTAAAGTAGTCGTCTCTTCTTCCGTCCACTTTCTCAAGTTTTTACGGGACCGGCCGCGAGATTTAGGAGACATTGGCACATCTTCTCCAGGAGGGAGTGGTAATGCCTTGCTGTTCTTGGATATTTCTGCTTCGCGGACACCCAGGGAAATCTCATCAGGATCCACTGGGTTAGTACTTTCAACATTATCATTATCATTATGGTCGTCTTCTTCATCCGCATTGAGAGATGTTCTGAGAATTTCTTCGAGTCTAGTATCTCGTCTTTCGGCAGGTTGGCCATCTGAGATCGCGACATGAGCCGGAACTAGCGTCCCAGGGTCAACACCAGCATCGCCTCCAGAGGGCTTAGTCAAAAGCTGGGAGATATTAGACCCAGCCTCAATGGGTGGAAGAAGGGCAGCATTGGGCGGAGGCTCATTTAATCCATTCAGAATAGCAAATGGCCCAAATGGAGGAGGCCGCTGCTCTTTCTGGGCCTGGGGAATAGGTAACTGTAGATGCTCGCTGAATGAATCGGCCTGGAGGTCTCGACGCCGACGCTTGCGGGGCCCTTGGAGGGCATCATCATCGAAGGATGACGAGAACGGAAACTTTTCTAGGGCACGGAGATTCACAAAAGCAGGAAGTATTGGCCTCGGGGGACGTTCCACATTTGACTGCGAATCTGCTGACAGTTCGGTTTTCCTGATACGCGCAGCGTTCAGAAATTCCGTGACTGTCGGTAGGCCTGCTTTTGCATTTGCTGGGATCTTTCCGCTATTGCTGTTTGAGCTCGATATATTATTCGAGTCCCGTGCCCCACTGGCATTCGGTTCGAGGGGCGATGGGACGCTTAGGGTTCTTGAGGATACTGGTTCTCGTAGAGGGGCGATACGGAGAGAGAGTTGAGGGAGTTCGCGGAGTAGCGATTCATCGAGAGGCCGTAAAGTACTCGCAGATTCCATTTCGGCCAGCTATCACAGATTTCATATTATCCTGGGTGTCCTTGACACATCGCATCCATGACTTTGGGGGACAGATGAAGCTCTGATAAGATCCATGCGATAACGGGCCTCGGGCGGTGACGGGTGCCAGTAAAGTGGGCCCTGGGGGTGTGGTGTGTCTACGTCAGCTGGCATTCTGTTGACCTCGAGAGATCCCCTGGCAATTTCATTTCAAGGAATCTCCCATTAGACTATCGCTCATTGATTTGATCTAATTTTATTACTCAATTGATCTTCTGGACTTCATAATTGTCGCGGTCAACAACTAATACGTGAGTTGCATTAACGCGGAAGTAACAACTAGCCCAAAGCTACCGTTCCGAGCCAATTACAGTCAGTACCAAAGCACAACGATTGAGAAGTCACAAACAATAATAACGTTGAAAGCCACAGTTCCCCAAAATGCCCACCATTTTCCCAACATGGCCACACATCCTCTTTGGCATCCTTGAGCCTATCTCATTGTATGATCAGCCCAACCCTTCCCCCAACCATGCAAGAATACGACTAACCATACTACTTTTAATGTAGGGCCCTTGGCAGTGCCTACCCCCTCTACAGTCTCCAGGGCTTTATTGCTGGGCAAACACCCAACATCGCAGCCCCAGCCACCCTGCACCCAAGCAGCGTCGCGCTCGCCTATCAACTTGGCAATGTCTACTCGCTCCTCTTCCTAGTCGGTGTCGGTGTTTGCCACGCCACAACAGAGCCTAGGGTGCTACGGAACTACCTAGTCGGGCTGGCCATCGCCGATGTAGGTCATGTCTACGCCACGTACTTGGCGATGGGCTGGGACGCGTTTGCAGACGTTGCAGCATGGAACGCTTTGACCTGGGGTAATATCGGGGTCACGACGTTCTTGTTTGTCAACAGGATCGCTTATTTCTTGGGCTTTTTCGGTTATGCTAAGGCGCCTAAAGCGGCTGCAAAACGGGAATGAAGGTGTGACCTGCTGCTTTGGTTGGCCCGACCAGTATATGCACTCTGTTCCTTCCGTGTTGGATATTAAAAAAAAGCAAACAAATCTTGGGCGGGGGCTTTTTGCTCCAACCTCCTCCTCCCTTGCGTGAGATTGCATACCTGCGTGCTTTAACTTTGGCTCTACTCTTTCCTGACGCGGCTCTTCGGAAATAGTGGGCTTCATCTGATTCGTAGATCTTTGGTCGGCATATAGGGGGGAGATAGGAGCGTGCGTGGGATGTGGCTGGGTAGATTTACTGATACGCCCGGATTGCTTAACTGGTTTGGGATTGTGCACGAGATATGTTGGCTTAGTTACATTTCCAGCATCCACCGTTATGCAAGTGTAGGTAGAACCTCAAATGACACCGGAAGAAAAAAAAAAGCAAAATAGATTCATATTAACATAATGCAACGCCGGACTCCCCGGTGCTGCCCAATGCTAGCATAGGTATCAGAGTAGAAATACAGATCATGAAAGTATAGCATTTGGGGTCGTCATCTGGTGTAGATCACCACCCCATCATAAGACTGCCAAGGAAAACACACCATCAATGCATTAGCTGCTGACCAGAAAGACAAACAAAAAGTTGGAACAATATTCAGCCCACGGCCTACGCTAGGTGGTCTTACCACCTGCAGCCACACAAGCCAAGCACACACCGAGGTATATTGCTTTTATTCTCTCACCGGAGCCGGGCCCGGAGCCGGAGAGAAGCCTGAGTAGGCTGCTGATCTGGTGACACCTCTTTGGGATTATTGGGCGCTTTGTAAGTACTGTAAAACCGGCTGAAGAGCAGATTCACCGTTCTGTTTATGGTCGTGGAGGTGAGGCACGAGGAAGGGAATGCCGGGGAATTTTTGGTAGTGTTGGCGGTAAGCGGTAAAGTTCTGAGCGGGGTTCATGAGGGAGAGGGTTTCCTGTGGAAGAAGAGCCTCGAGCGTAACCATGTTTCCTTGGGCGGTGCTTGTAGTGGTGGTGCGCATTGTCAAAATTGTATAGGTGTGCAAGCCTTTGATGATAGCTGTAAAGGAATGGTAATTACGTGTTGCTAAGAGGGACTGTCCAGACGGTTATACAGTTAGCTTGCTGTGACATTTTGGGACTTCGGCGAATTTGGGAGTGAAAACTGCTTACCTGTGCACATTCCTGTAGATATGGAACCAGGTCTGGTAGTGCAGCGCAGCATTCCCAGACAGAAGTACTTAGTACGCGCCAACGAAACTGCAATTGTCCCACGAGGACGTCCTCTGTTACCAGGCTTTGCCGGGTTAACTCAGCAAAGTGGTGCTCATCCAGGCCCCTCATGCTGCGGGCCAAGTCTGTCGGGGATGTAGATTCAAGATAATCGTCCAGGAAAGGGATAGAGGTATCAAATGGAGTTTTCCAGTCCATGGCAGGAGCGTGGATATACTGTCGACGAAATCGGATTGCCAAAACGCTTAACATCTTGAGCATAGCACTAAGCCTTCCTGGCTGGTCCTTGAACAAGGCCTGAATAGGTCCTGCAATGAATTCAAACCCAGCGGTGCTTTTTTTTGGCACGTCACGATTCCCGCCAGGTCGCACAGCCAGAAGGCACTGGACCAGCGCTCGGTGTGCGAATGGACTCCGCGACCGAAGATGCTAAAGAAGTCAGCTCAGGCTCTTTGTAATGGCCCATATGCCATAGCTGGATAAATAAATAAAAAACGTACTTTTTCCACTTCTGTGTATAGAGGAATGTCCTCCGGATAAGCGCCCAAATGGTCCAAGAGAATAATAAAAAGAGCCGTATGCTGCTTCAGGAACCACTCGACGAAGATAGCATTGTATCCAAGAGCAGCGCGTACAAACTCTTCAAATGCAATCTGTCTGAAGTGAAAATGGCTCTCGGCCTCAATTGCTGCAGCGATTGCCCGCGCATCTAGTGTGGGGCTTGATTGTGGTGGTAGCCAACTCCAAGGAATCGGTTGGAAAGGAGAGATACTCGACCGGCGCAGAATCTCCTCCACCCTCTGTATATGGGAAAGATTCCCAAGGAGTTGGTACTCGTGGGGCTCGGACAGGGCGATCAAAAATGTGTCTATGGTGTCCACATTTCGAGCGCAAAGCGAAGTCCTCGGGAAATTTTCGTCGCGAAAGAGTCCGAATTGGATGACACGGCTGATTTCTTGGATGTCGAATGCCCAGAACATAGTTGTCGCCTCGTCTTCCCACCAACGATACGACACGAAAAATGCGGGAATCTCCAGGTTAAGTTGGAAGATTGACGGGTAAGAAAGTCCCGAGTCTGAAACCGTAACGCTAGATTGAGTAGACATGGTCTCTTTCTTGAGCAAGGAATATTGCCTGTCCCCTGGAGTGAAAAATGTCTGGGCAGGCGATTCAGAAGCCGATTCTTCTGGGCTGGTCGATTGCATTTATGCGGGCACCATCGGGGAAAAAAATCAAGGCCAACACATCGGGCAAAGCACACGCTGACGCTCATGTAACACGGCGCTTGAATAGAGTAATTACAGAGCAGGGATGAGAGGTGTATGGTAGACGCGAGAGAAGTAGGTACAGATGAATAACTCCGTGTATGAGAAATAAGAAAAATAACTAAATAACGCACAGATAATAAACGGGTTGCTCGGAAAGGTGAGGGTGATTGGTTTTAAACATAAGACCGAAGGGATTTCCTTTATCCCTGCTACTTATTCCGCCACGTTCGACACATCACGAGGGTCGAAAATGGGCTAGGGAACGCTAGGCATATTAACAACATTAACAACCGGGGGGCGCTAATCCAAGTTTCCAGGCCGTTGGAAGGCTCCCGACGGGAAGAGCCATCGGGGAAAAGGCAAAATTAGCCATTGGAGAATATAGGGAGTTACTCCATTCGGAACCCTAGGACCTCCCCCAGCGGGGAACCCTAGATCGGGGAGAAGCTGGTGAACTCCATAAAATAAAAAAAGAATGAGATCTGCAAGTTGGGCTTCTCTGCTGGTTACCGAGATTGTTATGCCGAACACCCGTTGGCCGTTAGGCTGCAGAAAGGGAAGGATTTAGCTCAGTTAGCAATATGACAAGTGGAGAGTATCTTCCAAGGTTGAATGAATCGGTTGAGAAGCGGTCAACCACCTTGGCAGAGATTATTCTGGAACATTCAAATCGGGAAGGTTATAATTTCTAATTACATAGTCGGTCAAGTAATAGTCAATGTGACCACATTGTATAGGATATGCGAGAGATAGATGGGATCTCCACTAAACATCTAACATGATCGAGGATTGGTCCAGATGATTTCATATGTACACAAAAATGGGCGCTAACGTAGTGGCCGTAAAAAAAAAGCCAATGTATGTGGAGTCTCGGCGATCAAAGAACATTTGAAGTTTAAAGAGGATACGAATAGAACACCTTGAAACATCTTAGAAAACTTGTTTGGATTTCATGGAAGTCCGCGATTGGTTTGCCCGTCAATCGGAAAAGAATGTTATGGTATAGCCTATATAAGCATAAACACACCGAGTTTTGGGCAAATTTCCAATCAGGAACATATTGAACTGTATGACGTAAAATAGTCAGCTATAATTATCCCTTATATCATATATCAATATATCATTATATCATTATATCATTTCACTTACAAGGGTCTATAATTTCATATTCATTAGCCTTTCGTTCTCGTTCAATTAAAAACAAGATTTGCACATATTGAATCCTTGCTAGATTCTCGTACTTACACCGCTAGGCCCAATGACAAACATTTTTTAAGTCTAAAATATATTAACATATTGTATTCCAATTATCTGACTTCTACTGCCGGTGGCGTGAGAACCAATCTCCACCGCTAAGCAAGATCAAGACACGCAGGAAGTACAAAGTACAATGTAAGTAATTCTACGAGGGTATATTCTCCAGTCCAATCATTTCTATCCATAGATATCGTCGACCACGTGAAATTCCAAGATCCATTCCAAGGTTTTCCAAGTTTTTTCCTTCGAGACCCAGTTCCAGGGAACTGGGCCCGAGATCCACGCCTTCAAAGTTTGTGATATCAATCTCATGTTTCTCGAGTTTGAACAAGATATCTTATAATCTTATAATCTTATTCTAATAATTGTAAGTGCAGTAGCATTATGCGGACACTACTAGCTAAGGTAGAACCATTATCAACAAGTTCTAGGCCCAATATTTATTTGCATTTCCGACACATAAGAAAAAAAGATTGACTTGCTATAATTTGGAAGATGCAATATCTGGCTTCTTCTTGTGCAGCTTGGACCTATACCGGGGACTCCACTTCTACTTCTGTTGCTTTAGATCGCCCGCGCTTCATACGAGCTCGATTGATCGATTGTGCGTACGAACAAAAGTACGCATTATCCTGGCACCTCAGGGATCCTCACTCAAGAATAATCCACAACTGAATTGTTCTGCATCCCAGCTAGTATGTCCATTACTGCGTCTCGTGTAGCTCAGATTCCAAATTCCCACATATGCCAGCATGGATTGGTGGCCAGTGCAGTCAGCCACCTAGTATGCAGCATGAATCGATACAATCGTATCAAGGCAAGATCCTCCTTGCCACACTTACTATCTCCACCTTGGGCCTTTTTTTCTTCTCGGATCCGATACCGCTCCCACACTTTCCCCCCTTGTAAAGGCCAGTTCACCTCTTCTCCATGCATAAAATGACGGGTCAGGAATCCTACCGCACCGTCCTGTCGTGCATATTCCAGCGGAATGGCGCTTGGAACACGGAGAACTTTTCCCCGGTGAATATTCAAACGTGGTACGGCCGAATGCTGGAATTGAGTTTGGATCTATCAGATTATCCTGACTTGCCCTCCTCCACCTTCACGATCGCCATCCCATGATAGGCTATCGGAGATATTCGAGAGACAGAATATAGAGATCACACTTCCAAGAATTGGACCTGCGGGCCGTTTAGCCCTCTCATCCCTTGCTATATCCCCCGTGATCTCCCGGGAAGGATGTGCTAAGTGTGGGACCAAGCGCGCATTCTATAAAGTCATTGCTCTCGTTAGAGCTGCAAGTCTGAACAGCCGCCAATCCGAATAGAGAAGGAGCATATCCCTCTCCAATCCGGCACCGGAGAGGGAATGAGTTATTCTTAGACTCTTAGACTCTTGGCCTCTCGCTCTTGGTCTCTCTTACTCGCTACTGTACCCGTATAAATAGCCCTAACTGTACGGAATTTGGAAGTATATGTACCTAATTTACTCCACAAATACTGTCAAGCGCCCACACAATACATACATACATACATATATATATATATATATATGTACGGAGTACAATATAATAAATAAACCGAACACTCGGCCGGCGGTAAAGCAAACCTGCAATAACTCCACATCGGACACTTTCTGCTGTTGCATCGCATGAACTAGCTCCATATGCCGGACACACCTCGATTTCTCATTACACAGCATATGTCAGTCCCCAATTTCAATTTCAATTCCAGGATATCCGATCCACAAATCGATTGGGCCGTGATGCCTCTGGCGCGATGATCACCCCTGCCGACACCGACTTCTGCAGGTGATGATCGTCTCGTATAGCGGACCCAGGATACCTGGGTCAAAATGGCGATCATGGTGCGTGCGCGAATTAGAATACCCATTCAGAAAAAGATCTGTGTCTCAGCTTGGTTGTTCTGATCGCCGTCTTCACCTAATCTCCGTGTTTCTCCTACGTTGTACCGTTTACACCGACTTGGGCGATTGTTGCGTCGGATAGGCCGAGTATGGATTGATCGATTCGAGCTAACGTGTTTGCATCGGACATGAGCGTGTGGGAAATATATATTTTTATGCGGGATCTACACATTTCCTCGGGGTTTAATTTATAGATTATTTTAGAAGTACAGTGAGAAGTTTAAATAGTTTGATGATTTTCCAGGGATGTGATGTTTAAAGTCTAAAATGGTGGACATTGGGTTTTGTACATGTCGTGGGCTTTTTCATCATCTGTTGACAGCTGTTGACATGTTAGGTTTCAACTCGAAATGACTTGCGCTTATAGCTAGGGTTTTAGGGTGCAGTAGCGTTGATTTTAGAGGGCTGCTAGCAGACTATTAAGGGCTGCGATACATTTACGTCCTGACTACCGATTAGGAAAGGAAAAATCTACATCCCCCTTGATCTTCATGTATTAAACTGGATGATTGCTGAACAAGAAAAGAAAAGACATGAGCTAATCATCCAGGAAGAGTGTTAAAGATCAAGGGAAATAAAGTAAATATACGGTCATTAAATCATTCGAAAAAGAGGTAACGTAAAATGGTATCATATCACTCGGAAACGAAGCGGTTAACCCGTCCCTTTTTTGTTTGCTATGGTTGAAACCTACGAGAATGCATTATCCAAGCCCGTTAAAGCAAGACAAGACGCCGTATCCCAGCTACTGTTTTTAGTGTTTGTTTTAAGCAGCCAGCTATTCCACGAATATCAGAAGATATTGTGAATTTAGTTGGCGAGCTCGTGGGCACGGCGGCGGTCACGCTCCTCAGCAATGGAGAGCTAGAAAAGGATGTTAGGATAACTCATATAAAGTGTTGGGAGAGAATATAACATACCTTGACACCCTTACCCTTGGGGAGGGAAACCCAGGGCTTGTCCTGTCCAATGACGAAGACGTTGGACTCACGGGTAGCGAACTGGTTGTCAAGAGCATCGCGAACGTGGACGATGTTGAAACCACCATCGTGACGCTCACGGTGAGTGATGACACCAACACGACCCATGTTGCGACCACCAGTGGCCATAATGACAACACCGGAGTCGAACTTGACGAAGTCAACGATCTTGCCAGTGGCAAGCTCAACCTTGACGGTGTCGTTGACCTTGATGGCAGGGTCGGGGTAACGGATGCTGTAGAGCAAAAACGCAAGTTAGCAACCATGTTCTGATTGAATGGAATCTTACTGTCTCCAGAAAGATGGAATGGGATGTTCCAAGTTCTCTTGTCCTCCGCCGATCAACCAAAGCTTGGTCCAACGACTGAATGACACGGAACTTGTGGAGTGTGGAACTCACGTTCGCGCATCGTGCGTAACCAAGAATGGGATCCCGCCCTTGCCGAGCTGAACACGCTTGACCTTGCAGAGCTTGTACTCAGCCTCCTCAGCCTGGATGCGGTGGACGGTGAAACGGCCCTTGGTATCGTAGATGAGACGGAAGTGCTCGCCGGTCTTCTCGAGGGAGATGACGTCCATGAATCCAGCGGGGAAGGTGGTGTCGGTGCGGACCTTGCCGTCAACCTTGACCAGACGCTGCATCATGATGGCCTTGACCTCGCGACCGTTCAGGGCGTACTTGAGACTATCAACGAAAAAAATGTCAGCGATTATTCGTCGTATATCGAGGAATTCAGGGTGCGTACCGGTTACGGATGAAGACAATCAGGGGAAGGCAGTCCCGGAGCTTGTGGGGACCGGGGGAGGCCTTGGGCGCGTAGGTTCCGGACATTTTGTCCAAGAGCCAGTGCGAGGGCGCACTGAGGCGCTTCTGGTGCTTTCCGCTGTAAAGAGCATTGTTGTTAGTTGATGATGTTCCAAGACGAGAAAATTTCGATCACTCTTGCAGCGACTGGCTGAACTCGCAATCCGGCAGATAAAAGAGACCAGTGTGCAGAATAGTGATGTAGAGAGCGATTCGATGACACTTACGGGCCGCGCATTTTGACTGATTTGTCGACTGAAGGTGAGGTGGTCGGAGTGTCGAAAGAGAAGGCTCAAGCCGTGAAGTGATGATCCAAATCAGAGAGGAATTCGCTTAGTGTGTGGTGATTGTGAGCCCTATTCTCCACTCAGACCAATCAGACCCCACTAGTGGATTTTGTACGCTTGCTTATGTCATCTCCACCCGGGGCCTGATCCACCCGTCAACTTCCTTATTAGGCAATCGCGACCAATAAGATCTAATTTATTTGTACGAGAATTTGTATCTATTTGACATGCGCTGATAATTCCACTTTTTCGTAACTATCTCAAATGTAGCCCTTGATAACAGCAACCTCGGCATTGAGGATGGATGATCCAGCAGCTCCAATGACGGTGTTGTGAGAGAGAGCAGCGAATCGGATATCAAAGTGACCGCCTGGGGCACCCTCACGAACGCGGCCAACACTTACTGTGTATCCACCGGAGATGTTGCGGTCCAGGCGGGGCTGGGGACGATCGGGCTGATCGAACACCTTAATAGCGGGCTCTGGTGCGGAAGGAGCACCCAACTTCTGTGCCTCGGACTTGTACTCCCGCAGAGCCTCCTTGACCTGCTCAGCGGTGGGGGTCTGGCGGTTCTTGAAACGCAAGGAAACGAAGGCCATGTGGCCGTCAGTGACACCGACACGGGTGCAAGTGGCACCGATGCGGAGACCAGTCTGCTCATCGAAACCGGTGGCGCTGGCATTCAATGAACCCAGAATCTTTTGGGCTTCATTCTCGAGCTTGTCCTCCTCGCCACTGATGTAGGGGATGACGTTGTCCAGGATATCCATAGTAGGGACACCGGGGTAGCCAGCTCCAGAGACGGCCTGCTCGGTGAAAACCTCGACTTCCTCAACAGGGCCGAACTTGGCCTGGAGAGCTGCGAAGGGAATGACGATGCCAATAACAGCACAGTTAGAGTTGCAGACCAGGAAGCCCTTCTTGAGACCGAACTTCTCACGCTGGTGAGGAATCAGATCCAAATGTTGGGGGTTCACAGTAGGAACCACCAAAGGCACGATGGGGTCCTTGCGGAAGTTCTTTGCGTTTGAGAAGACAGGGATCTCAGCCTTAATAAATGCCATTTCTGTGTGAAATGTCAGTATATGGTCTAGTTTGTGAAATCTGATACATCTGATACCACATACCAGTCTCGCCAGCAACATCGCTGTTCAGTCCAGAGAAGACAAGGTCACAATCCGAGAACTGTTCAGGCTTGCAATCACGCATGACCAAGTTGCTGAGCTTCTCAGACATGGGAGAAGACTGCTTCCAGTTGACGGCATCCTTGTATTTCTTGTTGGCTGAACGCTCAGAAGCACCCACAGCGTGAAGCTCAAGGAAGGGGTGGTCTGCCAGCAGCAGGATAAAGCGCTGGCCCACGGAGCCAGTGGCACCGAGAACACCTGTGTCATGTTAGGATTGAACGATGCATGGAATAATTGGCAAAATTTGAAAACGTACCGCACTTCTTCTTTGGGAATACAGGAGCCATTTTGCTTTTGAGTTTTATATGAAAACGGGTATCAATCCTGTGTAAGTTAGCAAACTGAAAGTTCCAAAAAGTCAAATCTAGCGATCAATCAAATAATATACAAAATAACAACACTTTCATGCCGAATTAGGTCATATACCACCAGAGGCCTGTATGAGTCAAAGCGTTTTCAGAGCCCCGCATGCAGTATATAGGAGGCTCTGCTAGCTTCAATGCCTCACAGACCACATGGCTTAGAGTTCAAGGGAACTTGCGCAGCAAAAAATCAACATAAAACACAATTGTACTTACCGCTTCGCTGGTGATGGGGTTGAAGGCTTGTAACATTTCACCGTGACAGCGATATCGCTCTCAACCAATTGCCTTGCCCCGCGATTATGTCAGCTTTTTGAATTTGGACAAAACCATGCTCCCCGATTGGTCAAGCTATGTGGGTCTCAGGTCAAAGTTTAACCTTGGAATGTCCTGAAGATTTGGCCTGTTTGCATTCTTTCTTGTTATGGCAACATTTGAAGTCATATACTACTATCCTTGGAAAAGATCTCAGAAAGAAAAGACCACTCAAAATTTAGCCTATTATATGGCCATTTAGCTGTTTAATCTATTCACTGAGCACGCGTTTAATGACATCGTTGACTGTTTCCAATTCAAGTCCCAACACATTGTTCGCCAGCTTCTCCTCTTTGGCATAGTTCGAATGGAGACCCGGGGTGTTGCCAAAAGCCGTGGCTCGAACCAGAGGAAAAGCGCCATTAAAATCTCCAGCAGCAAGCTTCTTGACTCCCTCATTGACTTGAATGTCGGTGGTAGTCTCGTTCACGGTCCATTTAACTCCCGACTCCTCCTCCAAAACAGCAAGGATGTCCTTCTGGGTAGTTTCAACAGAGGCGATGAATAGAAACTGGTTTCTGCCTTCATGAGAATGCACCAAGACAGAAGCAACAGCCTCCCCGAGGGCCTTCTGATTGGTTAGGGTGAAACTCTTGTCTCCTCCATCCCAGATAGTAGCCGTATGACTGGTAATGTCAAATCCCAAAAAGCCATTCGCAAGACCCTATTCAAATCTCACGGATTAGCTCAAGCCCCAATTTACGATGGAAGACTTACCCAGTCAAACAAGCCGGAAGCAGCAATACCAGTCCAGGTTAATCCGTCAGTCTCCTTGCTCTTGAGGTACTCGACGAGTTCCTTCTTCTGTTCGAAAAGTGGTAGGAGCTGCAACACGGCATCATTCTGGCTATTTGCCGAGAACTCAGATGGAATGAAACGCTTGACACCGGCGCGGATAGCAGCATCGACGAACTTCTTCTGTTCGCCAAATGCACTGGCACCCACCGCCGAAATGACAACGTCTTTGCCCTTGAACAAAGCCTCGAGATCTTTGTCTGAGTAGTCGGTCTTGAGAGCCGTCACACTAGGTGGGAAATTCGCATTGCTCTCCTTGCGCGAGATGACAGTAATTTCGAACTGGGAAGATGCATCAAGGCTATCGAGGATGATTCTGCCAATCCTGCCGCTGGCCTGCCAAGTTGTCAGCTGAGGTAATATGTCTAGTTTGAGGATGAAGTTAACATACGCCGATAATTGCAACGTTCTTCAAATAGGATGCCATTTTGGGCTGCACTGTAGATAAAGCACTAATCTTGGATAGAAATACTTGTGTTTTCAGGCTTGAGAAATATCTAGTAGAGGATGGAGTGACATATTTATAAGTTTTACTCCTGCGCTATTTCACTATCTCTATCTGATGTTGATTTCATATCACGGACTGTGTATGCAAATGCTGCCTAGCACAATAATACGGGCTTTCTGTCCGTTGCTCCGCTTCAACCAACCACACTATCCATACCAACATGGCTCTAAAGCAACTTTAAAATAATGTGATGATGCGATCTATTCCGTCCGGGGCCCGCCTTTAGGGCTTACGCTTAGAAATGCGGACTGGGCCTCCGCTGCTCCGTTCTAACCAATCACCTCATAGTCTCGTATCATTAACTTCAAGCTGCTGTCTTGACTTACAACCTCACAGATCCCACTTAAAGCATTATTACAGTTCCGAAAAAGATCTCGAATCAATGATACATTCATCTAGGGCCACAGCGCGCTCTTGCCTCGAGTGTCGCCGACGAAAAATCAAATGCGACAAATCCCTGCCTTGCTCGTACTGCGTCAAAGTCAAGGTACAATGCAGTTATCCGCCATCAAGACCGGAGCCTTCGATTACCGAGAGCAACACAACTGGCGATGATATGGTGGTCCGCATTGAAAGAATTGAGCGTACATTAGATCGTTTCGAGCAAAGTCTTTCTCAACTCCAGGGGCTTTTGCAGACTCGATCTTCATCGCCATCTGTTCGTGGAAGTCGTGATCATAGCTTATTGTATCAGCACCATGAAAGCCAAAGTAACGACGACCGGAGTCAGAATCAAAGTCTATCCTTATTCAAAGACCTCTCAACTTCCGTGCTTGAATGTCTCCGCCCTCCCCGGATTCTGGTATCTTTCCTATGGCAGAAGTACTTGGAGAATGTGGAGCCAATCCTCAAAATTCTACATGTGCCAACAGTCCAGAGACAGGTATTGAATGACCCCCAGTATGGGGAGACTCTAGGATCACCCATGGAGTGTTTGATATTCGCCATTTGCTATGCTGCTGTGGCAACAATGTCGGTAGAAGATTGCCGGGCTGAGCTTGATGAAGATAAACACGAAGTATTGAAAAGGTATGTGTCTGGTTTAAATCCATAAATCATCCTACTAATTTTTCAAGATATCGCACCGGTGTTGAAACGTCGCTCGCAAAAGCCGATCTATTGAACTCATCGGACATGACCATCCTGCAAGCCTTTGTCATATACATCGTACGTGATGCGGAAACAAGGAGAGGTCGATATTATTGACAATCAATTCAGGCCTGCAGCAGACGTTATGATAAAGGGCCAGATACCAGGAAGTTTCTTGGGGATGCCATTGGAATTGCCCTCAAGATCGGCCTGCATCGCGATGCATCCGCTTCAGGACTACCGCCTTTCCAAGTTGAAATGCGACGTCGGCTCCGGTGGCAGATCTATGTTCTTGATATCACCATCGCAGAGGACTGTGGCACAGCCCCGCGTGTTCTGGAGTCATGGTTTGAAACCAGACTCCCTTCGAATGTGAACGATGCAAGTCTTGATCCTGAGATGAAGGATCCGCCTCGAACCTGCAACGGGAAAACAGAGATGATATTAAGCCTCGCAATGTCTGAGATCAGTAATTTTGCCCGTCGCACTATCTTCTCTGACCAGTTTTGCGAAGAGAACTGCTACCCGGTTTTATCGGCTTCGCAGAAATCTACAGCGATAGATCTCTTCAAAGAGAAAATTGAACAGCAATATTTGTCGCATCTAGATCAAAGTATCGCGCTAGACTATTTTACAACCCTCTCCTGCAATCTGATACTCGCAAAGCTCAAACTGACAGTGATGAAACCCCGAGCAAGGCAAGACCAGTCTATCCTCACGCACTTGAGCTTCCGAAAAGTTTGCACAGAGATTCTGCAGAAAACTGTGGCTTTGAAACACTATGAAAAGGGCAGACAGTGGCTCTGGATTTTCCAAAACCACATTGAGTGGGATGCCTTGACATGTTTGCTCATCAATCTTTCTCTGGTCCCGAAAGGGGAGGCGTTGGATTCGGCATGGCAAGCGATCAATGAGACATACGAATACTTGAAGATCGACTGTGATGCTCAACGTGATTACCGCTGGGAGAATGTTGAGGAACTACGCAGGAAGGCTTTATTTTCTAGAGACATGGTACAGATCAATCCAGCCCAATGGGGGACGTCACCGGATGATGACAGCGGCTTTGAAGAATCACATACCATGGCTACAGAATCACCACGGCAGCTTGGCCTGGGAACATTAAAGCGTCAGAGAGAAGAGGATATTGATTCTTTCTGTTCTTCTCCAGGCAAGCTGGAACCCAGAGCCGTCCCGAGCTGCCATTCCGAGGCGTCGACCGTGCAGCCAGAAGCCCAAGAACATCTCCCCCGTATGTGGGCGTTGGCGAATGCTGCTGCCGCTGCTCCGACAAATATCGACAGTTCATCTTACATTGAACCAGCTAGTGAAGCTACAGACATACCAAGCTCAGGCACTGGCTGTCAGTGGAGTGCGACTCTCTTTGAGCGCTATTTTCAGGTCCTGGGCTCTGAGCAAACGCCATAGTTATGAAAAAAAATTCAAATATTCGCACCATCTCAGTGGAAAGCCTAGAAGTTCATCCAAATGTTCTCTTATAATGTATATGCTAAATCACAATCAATGTCCTGGACCCGGAGTCTCGTCATCGTAGTCAAAGATCTTGCCAGGGTTCAGCAGCCAGTGTGGATCCAATGAGCGTTTGATACTGCGCATGACATTAATTGTCTCCGGTCCAACTTCCTTCTTCAAAGATCCTTTCTTGCCCAGCCCAATGCCGTGCTCGCCCTGTACTAAATTAGCTGATATTCTGGTATTTCCATCTCCAAGATGAACGACTTACCGTGCACGAGCCCTCCATTTCAAGGCCACGATCAACCATATCGTAAACTACTTTCTCTACCCGTGCCCTCTCGGCAGGATCGTTGCGGTCATACATGATGCTTGCATGGAAGTTTCCATCGCCAATGTGGCCAAGGATACTGGCGAAAAGGCCTAGGTCGACCAATTCCTTCTTAGAGATTTCTGCCAGCAGTCAGTATACATGAAGCGAAGTAAATATTGAAGAGGCCATACCAATGATATCAGGCAGTCGGGAAATAGGCACAGCCACATCAGTCGACCAGACCTCTGATCCCTCCTTGCGTAGCGCCAACATACTCCACAGCGACTGCTTGCGTGCGGACCACAAATCATGAGCTTCACGGTCATCACGCGCGAATTCAAAAGACTCTGCATTGTTACTTTGAGCAATCTTTGTCGTCAGGTCGATACTATCGGCGACACCAGCGACAGTTCCGGAGAACTTGAAGAACAGCGTAGGAGAGACCTTCCATTCACGGCCTGTTCCACCGGCCCGGTTGATAACGTCCATCTGAACATCATCCATGATCTCCATGCACTGCACAGAGACACCCTTGCGAATAAGCTGCATGGCGGTCGAAGCCGCATCACGAATAGTCGGGAACGCGACAACACCAACACGAGTCTGCTCCGGAAGGGGTGCCAGCTTCAACGTAGCCTCAGTAACAATGCCGAGCGTACCTTCGGAACCAACAAACATGCCCGTGAGATTGTATCCCGCGGAAGTCTTGCGGGGACGTCTGCGGGTCTTGATGATGCGACCATCAGCCAGGACGACGGTCAGGTTAATGACCCAGTCCTTCATGGTTCCGTATCGGACAGCATTTGTGCCAGAGCAGTTTGTGCCGACCATACCGCCGATCATGGCGGATGGGCCTGGGTCGACGGGGAAGAACATTCCCGTATCCTTGATCTGCTCGTTCAGATCCATCCACTGGATGGAGGGCTGGACGACGATGTCCATGTCATCTGGGTGGATTTCCAGGACTTTATTCATGAAAGCGAAGTCGATTGTCATTCCGCCGTGCGGGGCGGAGAAATTGGCTTCCAGACTCGAGCCGCCGGAGTAGGGGATCATCGGCATGCGGTATTTGTTGCATACTTTGGCGATCTCGGAGACTTCTTGTGTGGATTTTGGGTATGCGATTGCGACGGGCAGACGTTCGGCGTTTAGACTGGACCATTCCGAGAAACCGTGTTGCTGGAGTTCGTCTTCTTCGGTGCTGATTGTGTCTTCGCCGAGCTTTGTTCTTAGCTCATTGATGGCCTAGGGGTGGTTGTTAGCTTGGATGTTCATGGACTGGTGTGGGATTATGTTGCGATTGAGTGCCTTACCTTTTCAAAGTCCTTTGCTGAGCCATATTGGGGCTTCTTGGATGTCTGTGCTGATGTCTGGGTATATGAGGAGACGCCGTAGCCTAACCCCGCAGCAAATGCGGAGACGAGGAGAGCCTTGGTCGGAGTCCAAAAGGCCGAGGGAGGAGTGTTCGTAGAAGAGCTGGAATTGCTCTCTTTTGTGTTCTCTGTCTTCTCTGCATTTCCGGCATTGGAACTGTTCAGTCTAGCACCGCGAGACAGGATAGTGCGCGAGACCTGGGGACGGCAAACGGGAGCCGGTAGCGCTCGTGAGACCCGGAGAACTGGTCGCATGATGAATAATTATATCAAGAGCTTATAAAATTGAAGCTCAAGGAACAAACAGGTCTGTATAGAGTAAAATTGTCAAAGGGGAAGGAATGTCGATATTGCGGGCCAGCATGATGTGACCGGGCTTTTTTTGTATTCTCGGACTTCGGCCGAGAGAGATGGGGGGTTTTTCCCTTCCTCTTACCCGCAAGCTTGGTCCCTTAAAATCCACCGCAATTACACTAACTACCACTCTAAGTCCGCTCTAATCCCACTTTCTCAGCCCATTTCTGACCCTGCCATTGCCGAAATACCGAAAAGTGTGGAGAAATTGAACGTGGGGGCAAATAGCATAGGAGCAGAACGGAGTAGTGCGATAACTCCGGCTGGTTTTTTTCTTCTTTTTTTCTTTTCTTTTTTTACAAAATGGGATATGTTGTACTTTATATTCGCAGGTTGATACTCTTTCAAGAAGATACAGCTAACTAACACCTGGGCAAGAATAGTCGCTTATGTGACCATGTCTTTTTATATCCATGGATGTGTCTTTTTTTAGATGTCAGCGTCATGGATTTTTTTTTTTTTTTAGATCTAAAATGTTGTTATCCCCCCTGAGAGGAACAAGCCATTAAAGATAATATAGGTAGATATGTAGTAAAAAAGGTATAAAAATTGATAATTTAGAGAGAATGTACTCTTAAGAAGTAAAGATGTCAATGGTTGACGGGGCAACGGAGAGGAGAACCTCGCGTCGCCAACATCAACTTTTGAAGTCAGACGAATCGCGTACTAACCACCAGATTCACCAAATTAACATCTATGCAATTCTGAAATGGCAGAGCAACTCGCTCAACTGGTGCGCGAGGTGGAACGCCTAGTCACTGCACCATACGTGCCTTCGTTACAGGTAAATCGGCTAGGACTGGAATTTAGAGTATATATGCTAATGATACTAGGACCTCCATGATCTGGTGTACCAAATCCAACCTCCAACAATTAGCGCTTGGGCACTATGCAAGCCCTGCCAAGTTGGCTTGTTGGCTGATATTTTGATCGAAGCCTTATCACGATCGCGCGTCGCCCTGCCTCTGATTACTGCATTCGGTTTGTGTTGAATGAAAATCTTATTGAAACTTGAGTCTGACATGTTCTAGCATCTGCATCATCCTTTAGAGATGCGCTGGTTGAGCGGCATCCGATCATTTTAGATGCCTTTTTGGAAAAGGCCGTGGACACTAATGGGGCTGAGGTGAGCTTCGTTGGAGCCAACGGATTCTAGCTGAAGGGCATCAGCTAACGATTTTAGTATTTCCCGGCATGTATCGCATTATTCTCATCGCCCCTGCCAGCGGGTGTTGTGCCACCAGCTAGGATTGCCCTCTTCCTCGCGAAGCTGGTCGGCATGATGGCAGAGAATCCCTGTGTTGAGACTGTAGCACCTCTTCACACACTCATCTCAGGACTAAAAGGCTCACCAAGGATCTTGAATGACATTCCCTCCGAGGTCATGTCTAATCTCCAGCTAGAGTTCACCAAGACACTGCGCAACTTGGACGATCATATGGGCAACCTCTTGTGTCTGGCAACTTTTGCGCACATTGCGACGGCACTAGGTACAGCATCTCAAAATCAACACGGATCAGAAGCGCCATGGCTTCTTAACATTAGGCATTTCTTTGGCCAGAAACGCGGTCTCAAAACACTTGACTTGGTCGTCTTGCGTGTTATACTAGCTTGCTCATCCAGCTGTAATCTGGCACCGCCACAGGCGGCTGAGAGTATTCGACTGGCAATTTGCATCGCTGACGCAGTTGAGCCTGAACAGAAAAGGGCTTGGATAGCAGGTAATAATCCTAAGATTGCTAAGCTGTGCGAGAAGGCTGTCAGAGATGGTCTCTATAGCCAAACACAAACGATGGTTCGTTATGGCTATCCACATATCGAGACGAAATGCTAATCATTAGATTCTAGGTAATCGTCTTTTTGCACACACTTCTCCCCGCACACTCATTGCCATCCCAGCTACGGGAAATTGGCATAAAGGTCCTCTTGTCTAAGAATATCCAAGAGACTATGGAAAAGATACCCCATCAACTGATTCCACGCCTCGCGAAGTCTTTAGCAGTAAGTACAAGAGCTTCTATCCGTGGGCAACACTTGATAGCTGACATCAATAGGAATCTGGGGCATCTGCCACTCATCAACTTTTGGCACTTACTTTCGATGTCTTAAGAAACAGTAAATCGTCGGGGATGGGAGAGATCGCAGCATTGAACCTAGCTCACTTGGTATTAGCCGGTGTGCAAGAACTAAATCCCCAGACAATGATTCCTAGCTTCAACAACTCCATGGCCCCTCTGAGGGAAGTTCTTGGGGAAATGGTTGAATATTTCCCTCGACAGCCTAGTGAAAGCCAATGCGGTGGTGGAGCATGGTGTGCATCCGAGCTATACACAAAGAAAAACAGGCTGTTTCTATCTCTATTAAGACTATACAACACGGCTTCAGCACAAGACGGTAGCGACATTATCATGAGATCCTTTATGGGGAGAGTGGAGGAATCAATGCCGAACCTCGAATGTGCCTTCTCAAAAACAACCCCCAAAGCCTTCCGTGGCTCCCTCGGCTTGCACGACAGACATGACCTCTTGTCAACTCAGATAAACCGCAATTGGCGATCTGGGGTCACTGAGCTCTTTATGCAGAACGCCCAGGCCTCTCACGACAGCATGATGAAAAAGATCGAGGATACGTGCTTTGACCTAGAGCGTCGCTGTCACGATGTTGAAGGACCCCTGCGAGCTGCCGAAGAAGAGCGGGACAGATATGCAAGCGAAAATGAGCAACTGAAAAGGCAAAACGAAGAATTAAGCGAAAAACTGAAAACTCAAAATACAGATATGGAAACCAAGTTAAGGAACTCATCTGAATGTTTTGCTAAACTTGGTCACGAGAACATACGCCTTGAACAACTCCTTCAAGATCAATGCGCCTACACTGACGCGCTAACTATGTCACTTGAATCTGCACGTGAGGAGCTTCAGCTGTACCAACAGAGTTCTGAGAAGGCACTTCTCGCTGAGAAAGAAATGGCCCGCTCGAAGGAATTGGAGTTGATGGCTACTTTAACTGAAAAAGACGATCAACTGGAAGAGCTTCAGCAGGAGATGTGCGGTTTGCAAATGAAGAATGAGCAGACGAACCAGAGGCTTGATCAAGTGCAGGAGGAAATGCGCAGCTTGCAAGTGAAGGATAAGCAGACACGCCAGAGTCTTGATCAAGTTGCGAATGAAAAGACCGCTTTATCCGAATTGTCCAACTCCCTGAAGCAAGAGCTTGCTGATGCTTCAGAGACATTGAAGCGGGCCAGACTTCTTGCTAATGAGAAAGAAGATGAAGTGAACCGTCTCCAAGCCCAGGAGGAGGAGTTGCGAAAGGAACTGGGGTCTGTGGAAACAACGGTGAGTTTGTTGGCACCAATCAATACGAACTGGTTTATACTGACTTTTTCTAGGTTGCCCAACAGAATATTGAAGTTGAGAGGCTCTATTCTGCATTGGAAGAATGCGGGGAAAAATTGCGGAATGAGGTTGAAAAGCTGAAACATGACCATGAAGCCGAAGCTTCTCGAGCCACATCCGAGGTATGTCTACAGGCATTAAATCTGTGTATAAGTGAAGCTAACCATGTGCCGGCATTTTTAGATGGCAAAGTACGAGACTGAAAATCGGCGATTGCAAGCTGTTATGCAAGCTGCCGCTCTTGATGCTACCAGAAATGCCCAATCGAAAGACAAACGGATCCAACACCTGGAGAGAAAGGTAACCAACAACACTTATGTATGAAAATCCGCACACTCTAACTTTCAATTTAGATACAAGCCTTACGAGACGAACGTGCTGCCAAGGCCCGTGAGTTCTCAGAAGCACAACAACACATTGGCCGCCTAATGGGCGTGATGGGCTTCTCTGCCAATGCCCCCGAGTCAAATCCCCCTCCAAAACACCAACGAACCAGGTCCTCTGTCAACGCTACTCCAACTGCAAGAATCTCCCAAACCATAAGCGATGATGAAGATGGCACACAGCTCGCACAGTCCTTTGAATCCATAACCTCCAACTTCAATGGTCCTACCCCAAAACGGCCAAGAGGGAACCGAAAATCAACAAACCTGCCTTACACTTTGAACACTTCGTCCGCTGCAGCTCCTAAGACGAAAACTCCGCCGCCGGCCACCGGCGTATCTCGCTCAGTGAGAAAACCACTGGCGGAGGCTGACAGCAACAGCCCTACGAAATCACAGTCAAGCAGTGCGTCGAAACGAAATCAGGTGGATGACTCTTTCCAGGAGACACAGGTACAGGGGGGTTTTGAGGAGAACAGGCTTCATGACCTGGATTTGGATATGGATCTGGAGTTTTCTAGAGACTTTCTATTTTCGAGCACGGCTTTTACGGGGTCGACGGATCGTATTGCGCAGTAAAAAGGGTTTCTAGGTGGTATTGGAGTTTTGTGAACATAATATTTCTTGAAGAATTGCACGATATCCATCGTATTGATTTTTTTCCGATGCGTCTTTTGATCTACATAGTATTCAATTCGTCTTTTGATACGTCTTTCAGTTCTTCTTTCGAAGTATCTTTTGGTTTAGTATTCGAAGCGTCTTTCGATTTGTCTTTCTATGTAGCATCTATTTGTCTTTTCATGTGCCCTCCCTCTATCTTCTAATTTGGCTTTTGATGTGTCTTCCTATTTGTTCTCCCTATTTCTTCCCATGTGCTACTCCTTACTATCATCCATAGATGTACACTTCTACGCACATAATCAATAATCCACACTAAAAATCCCGACTGCCTCAACAATACTCTGAAGCCTTAGTCTATTTCCATGCTTCATTGCTAGCACCATTTCTTGGAACACTGCACTATCTGCCTCTAGGTTGAGGAAATTATTTGAAGCTTTGGAGTATGTTCCTTTATTCCTTTATTATGTTTTTCCTGGGATTCTCAACTGTGTTGATATCTTCAACCTAAACAGCGATTCATTGACTTGTGCACTCCCAAGTGGAGAATATCCATACCTGCTTTTCATCTTTCTTCCATACTACTTGCCAACATCGAATGCTCAATGTATACAGCAAACAGTCCCTATTCTTATTCCCACTGCCTCTTCAACTTTCTAAAGGCAGCAACTAGTTTATTCCTCATTAGGACGTGACTTTAGCGTGCCAGGTAACTTATGCTCAAATGGGGATATAACTATCAATTTAAATGAGCAGGTCAGAACTAGTCGCCCAGAAAGTAGGGATGTCTAACCAATTGAACTAATTGAATTATAAATAACAGAAAGACTGCTTAGATTCACATCAAGCTCATTTTTAAAAAGAAGAACCCAGTAGCAATAGTCTAACTAGGTTACATCTAATATTGCTCATTCCCACTTGACTAGGCTCAGACTTGATCGGGTGAACTCTCACATTCCATGTCTTTTATACATCATCCAACAGTCAGTTCACCTGGTGCGCTTTAAGTAGATAGTGCCCTCTATTAACCTAATTTAGATGCCTTCCACGTTCTATCTAGACTCTTACTAGAAGGTTGCCCCTTCCTCATGTAATATTTCAGTTTCCGTTCGTCGCTGCCTGTATTTGTGTTCTTCTCTTCTATATATTCTCCAATTCTTTAACTCTCTTCCTCTTCTCCTCGCCTTTCTCAGCTTCCAGAGTTTATCGGAACACATGCTAAGCTTTTGTACCTTTCAACTAAGCGCACTATGGCAGGCCCTGATCTCCCCAGTATGCAGCACCCGAAGTCCAACCGTTTGAGGCTGTTCCCCTCCGATCCTCCTGTCCCTTCTGGCCCTTCTGTTCAGACAGCGCCAGCTCAAGACTGGATAACCTGGAGGTCATGGAAAACTTGTGCGGTGGACCTATTGAATATCCCAAAAGAGATGAATACCCATGATATCTACGATGCTTTTCACCAGTATGGGAATCTGATCTCTATTGACCTTTGGGAGGACGCCTCAGGAGGTCCTGATTCCAGAGCACGCATCCGTTTCAAGTGAGCATCCTATCACTCATCATATCGCTTAAATAACTTTTGCTAATCATTCATAGACCCCCTTCAAATGAAGATTTCTGGAGAACAGGCTCTTTCGGTGTGAGGCTACGGAGTGGCCGTGTTGCAGTGATATCGCTCTCTATCTGCTGTGGTGACTCAAACGGGGTAATCCCAAGTCCAGTCCGCCCAGATGTTCGGCTCCCAGGTGAACTGGTGAGTGTATATATGCTATGAGTCTATCTTCAAATACTGATAATTATTTTGAAGGAATTGAAAACTGTACAAGTCGACATCGGAGTCCTCCTAGGTCCATCTACTATTCATTCTATGCAAAGCTTTAACAACTTGGCATATCCCAGATGTGTTGTAGATGTCATGCGCAAGTGCTTATTGCTTTACTTCAAAGTGGGCATCCGGGGATCGGATACTGCAGATGTGACCCAGCATGACTATCGTGTCAAAATTACTTTTCTTCAATTGACTCAGATTTACCAACAACAAGACAAAGACACGAGACAACGGTCCTTTTTGATTGTCCTAGACTCTGCTGCCATCTGGCATCGAAAGGCCAAAGACATTCGATCCACATTGACCGAGCCGTTGAGCTGGAGAGAAGAGGATAGTTGGTATCGCCAGACCTCCGTGACACATAACCCAAACTCGCTAAAGAACCTTCCAACCAATCTGAAGAAGTCAGGACATATCATTGACTTGGGTAAGTGCCAACGTTCATTATAATTATGTAGGCTTACCAGTGTTTCTTCACAGGCCGATGGAACATGTTCAAGATCTCATTTGCACCCGATGTGGACCCCAATATCCGTCGAACCGGCGACACCAGTCACCATCTGATGCTCGTCGAGGATATTTTCAAGGACTATAATATCTTGATCAAAGATGGGAGCCACTTCCTCGAGAACCCCAACCGACCGGTACCAGTGTGGCATTGGATTGACTTTTCTCAGTCCAAGTCCAGCAAGGCTTCCGCATTACTGCAAGACTTGGGGGATGAAAACTATCTACACCTCCCCTTCAGAGCCCGGTATCAACTGGAGGTTTGCTTGTCCCAGGGATACCTCTCTGAATTCACAATGACCCGCGAATTTGTAGAGAGAGCGAAGCAACTTGGAGAAGACAAAGCTACCAGACTGCTAGAGTTTGTTGCAACTGAAAAGAAACAATACCTTGATCCCATGGAAATTTTTGGTCTCAAGTTTTTCAAAGGAGTTACAGACTCAAGGATCCCGAACTACTGTTGCTTCATGCACACAGCACGAGTCACACCGACTACAATTTACTACAACACTCCAACTGTAGACATCTCAAATCGAGTCGTGCGTGAATGGTCGAATAAAGGTGCACCTGGACGCTTTCTTCGAGTTCGTTTTACAGATGAAAAAACCGAAGGTCGCATTAACGCGTCACTGAGCGATTCCAACGACGAAATCTACACCCGTGTCAAAAGGACACTGGCCAACGGTATCACCATCGGAGACCGTCGCTACGAGTTCCTCGCATTCGGTAACTCTCAATTCCGCGAGCATGGCGCATACTTCTTTGCACCGGATGCTGGCGTTTCAGCAGCAACCATCCGGGCCTGGATGGGCCAATTCAACCACATCCGAAATGTCGCCAAATATGCTGCAAGACTGGGACAGTGTTTTTCGACCACCCGAGCTTTCACTGGATCCTCTGTTCAAACTGCTACATGTGCTGACGTTGTTCGTAACGACTTCACGTTCTCAGATGGAGTTGGAAAGATTTCCAAATTCCTTGCCCAGATGGTCACGTCCCAACACAAAATCAAAACTCTCACTGGAGATCCTCCTTCGGCCTTCCAGTTTCGTCTTGGGGGAGCCAAGGGCATGTTGGTTGTCTCCCCGGACCCTCTGCCTCATCAGGTACACCTTCGGCCAAGTCAACAAAAGTTTGAAACTAATCAAGCCGGCTTAGAGATCATTCGTTGGTCCCAATATTCTCTAGCAACTTTGAACCGACAGTTGATTCTCGTACTTTCTGCTCTGGATATCTCAGATGGAGTTTTCCATAGCAAACTCAACAGCATGTTGGGTGGCTTCCATCGAGCCATGGGCAATGATTCGAAAGCAATTAACCTTCTCCAGAAGTACATTGACCCAAATCAAACGACCCTTATCTTGGCCCAGATGGTATCCGATGGCTTCCGACGAAATGACGAGCCGTTTGCCAATACCATGCTAGAGCTTTGGAAATCCTGGCATCTGAAGCATCTCAAAGAGAAAGCAAGGATTGCCATAGACCAAGGAGCCAACCTCCTCGGCGTCATGGACGAAACTGGTGTTTTGAAAGGCTTCTTTAAAAGCAAATTGCCACGAGAAAGAGCTACCAATGCGGAGAAATTGGCCGCTCTTCCTGAAATCTTTGTCCAGATCTGCCGGCTAGATGGAGATGGCGAGTACGAAGTCATTGAAGGTCTCTGCATTCTTGCTCGAAACCCTTCTCTTCACCCTGGAGATATCCGCGTGGTTCGAGCAGTGAACCGACCAGAACTGCATGCACTTCGGGACGTGGTTGTGCTTCCCCAAACTGGCGACCAGGATATTGCGAGCATGTGCTCTGGGGGTGACCTTGACGGTGATGACTACCTCATTATTTGGGACCCCGATCTGATTCCCAAGAAATGGTTCGTCGAATGTATGGATTACAAGGGTTCCAAAGCCCCAGACCTTGATCACGATGTGACAGTTGATGAGATCACTTCGTTCTTCGTCACCTATATGAAGAATGACTGTCTCCCTCGAATTGCACACGCTCATCTGGCTTGGGCTGACAGACTCCCGAGGGGCGTGTGGGAAGACAAGTGCATCCGTCTCGCTCAGCTTCATTCTGATGCGGTGGACTACAACAAGAGTGGTGCGCATGCGAGAATGGCCCGCTCACTGGATCCCAAGTTCTGGCCCCATTTCATGGAGAAGCGGTTTAAAAGAGCGTCCAGCATTTACAGGTCCAAAAAGATTCTCGGTCAACTATACGACGCAGTGGTCACTCCTGACTTCGTTCCCAAGCTAGAGAAGCCCTTTGACTCTCGCATTCTGGAATCCCCGCTAGCTCCAGCTAGTGAGACCTACATGGAATATGCCCGCGAGCTCAAGGCAGAATTTGACATGAACATGCGACAAATTATGGCTCAGTATGAGATCAACACTGAGTTTGAGGTGTGGTCAACTTTTGTACTCCGTCACGGCTTCGTAATCAGGGATTACAAGATGCAAGAAGACCTAGGCAGGATTGTGGGTACACTCCGCCGTGGTTTCCGCCATCAATGCTACGACAAAGCTGGCCGTCATGGAGGAAACATCCCTGCCTTAGTCGTTGCCATGTATCGTGTTACCCAGGAGCAGGTAGCTGCAGCACTGGACGCTCGGCGCAAGGAGGCACTACAGAGAAAGGATATTTCCATTGTTGAAGTGAACTCGACTGAGCTTCCGCTCATTAGCTTCCCGTGGATTTTCCCCGATGTCCTCGGTGATGTTGCGACGGGCCGGGCAAGACAGGCTCTGGCCCCAGAGGGAGAAGGAGGTGGCGATTCTGCAAAGCCTATCGGCGACGGAGTGGTCTTCACTCACCGGCAGATCCTCAAGATCATGGAAGATACTGATGAGGAAATGAAGCCGAAGACTGAGAACACGAAGCTGGAGGCTAACGCTGGTGCTAACTCCGTGCCCACACCACCCCCAAATCAAGAATTCATTGCTCGTCGACGCATTGATAAACCTAAACCCAAACCCGAAGACGAAGACGAAGATGCGGGCGTGTGCTTCGACGAGGATGATGATAACGATGGAGGCGTGGAGATAGGCGAAAAGGTCGAGAAGATCGAAAAAGAGGAGGCTATAACGGAGGACATTGTGGAAATGGAGGGCGATGTGCAGCCTTCAGCGCTTGACGCGCTGATCAATATGATTAATAACTGACCTCTCGGCCTCCGAGAAAGAAAAACAAAAAAAGGATAAAAAGGGCAAGAAGACGGAAAAAATCCCCAAAAAAAAGGGGTGTATCGACTTAGTTATGTGATGGGCTTTTTGTCTGTCTGGATGGGTATGAATGGAACTGGCTCAAATGTCATCCAATTTTTAGACCTCCTAGACATCAATAAAGTCGGGTATATCCAAGTCAAAACTCCAGTAGCTTCAGAACACCGTATATCCAAAACATTACCAATCCAATCCCTCATCTCCCTTCCGTTCCAACAATTCAACAACAGGATCCAACACAGTCTTAGAGTGTCTCCAATTAGCAGCATCTCTAGTCCTCGAGTAAAAGACAGAGCAATCCAAACTATCACAACTAACCTCATCACCAAAAGAAACACCCATACAGGAGCGACAAATAGCCTCCAGATCAACAACTCTCTTTTCCGCTCTCTGCAACCGCGAAACAACATCAAGCAACGTAAGATGCGGCTTCTGTAGACAATCCCCACACACAGGCACAGTAGCATCAGACAATCTCGATCGACAGACAACACAAGAAGACGAGCGCATATAAGACTCAAGAGTCTTCCTACTAGCCCCAACAACACCGGAATTCGGCCTCAGCACCGACCCCTCCACCCGCCGAATCCGCTGCACCTTCGGCATCTCATCGTACCACTGACGAACATTCGCACCGACAAGATCAAAAATTCTCTCCAGCGGCGGGATAATATTCTTCGTGATGTAGTACTCGGCATCGATCTCAAGCTGCGCATCATGCAGAAGCGTCTGCGGCGAAACACAGCGATCAACAAGTCTCGACCCAGGCGCGCCGGTAACAACAACATACGGCACGCGCTCACCGGTCTGCGGCTCGGAACGCGGATCCTCCATCATGCGCTTTGTGCTAATCATCGCGCCGGCGGGCATGGTACCACGCTCGGAGTACGTCCCTAGACGGACTTCGCGTGCGAAGCAGAAATCTTGGATGGAGATGCGGCCTTGCATGATTTTTGCACATTGGCGCTGGAAGTAGGATTTTACTTGACTGAGATCGGCTGTGCGGAAGAGTGTTTTCAGGGCTTTTTCTTCTATTTTTTGTTCGGCGGGTGTACCGTCTCGGCGAACGGTTTCGATTCCCTTTGCGTCGAATTCGGGCTCTTTTTGACTCCGGTGCTCGTATTTGAAGCCTACGTAGCGTTTCTTCGCGAGGAGGATGCACGGGTGGTAGACTTTTTCGAATTTTAGTTTAATAGGGCGTGGGTTCAGGTCTGTTACTGCTTGGGCGATTTCTTCGCCGATGTCAAAGGCTTGGTCGCGGGTGCGCCCTTTGAGGTACACGAATAGACTGTCGGTGTCGCCATAGACGACTTCGGCGCCCCAGCGGTCGATGGAGTGAATGAAGGCGATTGCTTTTTCGAGGGTTTCTCGGCCGGTTTGGACGATGCTGTCGGCAATCTCAGAACAGGGCATTCGGCCTGAGAATGAGGCGGATGTGTAGCCGTATGTGACGTTTGCGATCAGTTTGAGTGCTAGCTGTCTGTTGTTTAGAAGTCGCTGCAAGACCCTATCGTCTTTATCGGCCTTCATTCCGTTTTTGACCATCACGCGGGTTTCAAGAATTTCAGAAAGCATCTTAGCTAGTAGCGACTGACGTACTTCCTGCTTCGCATACATCATGCCATTTGGTGCGATGTTGATCTTGTCTTTTAGTAACTCAAGTAGCCTGGGCTGTCGCTTGTAATCCAGGAATCCCATTTTATCTCGCCCGCGCCAGTGCATTGCTCTACCCAGGAAGGTTGAGTAACAGTAGTTGTACGCGATCATGACACTCGGGTATAGTGACTGGAAATCAAGCACCAGAAGTGGGCTAGTATAGAAGTCGCTTTGCGGCTCCATGACCAGGGGCAAGCATTCCAGTGCGTTCTGCTGTCCGACCTGCTTTTTGCTTGGTGAGACGAGCAGGAAGTTCTCTGGCTTCGCAATCCGGAACATCAGAGACTCAACTTTGAACTGGGATCCTCGAGAAATCACAGAGGCAAAATCAATACCCAGCAATCTCGCCTGCTCGCTTGTCCTCGGTGCCAATTCATTCGCCTCGAAAATTTCCAGATTCATTTGCACGCGGGAGGAAAAATATTCCACGACTTTAAGGATATTGCGAGGCTTGCCGCTTTGATGCCATTGCGTAAGGTCTTTGGGGGAATAATGAGGAATTCGGCGATGCAAGACATGAAAGACGACATTCTCCATAGTGTACTGTAGCAGGTTCAGCTCGCCTTTCATAGCGCGCCAGATATTGAACATGTGTCGCCCAGTGATGCGAATGGACGATGAGTGGTTAAACCCCCATTGATCTGCCTCTTTCCCAAACCGGCCATTGGATTGGGATTTGGTCCTTGAAAGCTCCTCGCAGATGTCAAAGTCGTATTTCTTGCGCGCTCGCTCAATCACATATCCCCAGGAAGCATTGTGGACCTCGTAGCCTGTAATGATGTCCGGATCGTAATACCGGACAATGTCTATGAGTCGGTTTATCAGGTCCAGTTCCGTAGGCTCACGCTCGACATCAATTGTCAATGCCTTGGTGATTTTAGTTTCCGGCCTCTCGCCTTCACCATGGTAAACCATCCCAACATGAACTCCGGGAAGATGACTATTGACCTCAACTTCCTCATCTTCGGATTGGATGCACCAGAATATGGAAGTGATCTCGTCTTCCTCGGGGTTGGCCATGAGGGTTCCGCGCGTATTCACATGCACTTCTAAGCTCATTGTGCTCATGTGTTGGGCTTGGTGTTGCACGCTAGTGGACACTCCATTCTGCGAATATTTGAAGCCATGCACGTTCTTCTGTGTTGGGCCTTCAATTTGCGAGAGAAAGATGGGTTTCATTTCAGCAGGTATGGTTTGGGCTTGTGTTTTTTTGTTAGATTCTTGTGAGGCTTCTAACTCTTCAAACCACTGGATGACTTCTGACCGGCTTGGCGGAACAGGTGCAAACTCCCAGATACTCGCGGTACACTCTTCTCGGAGTTTCTGATCAACCTTTTCTTGCTGATTTCGGTCGTGTGCTGTTGGTATCTGCTCACCAAACATTGCAGGCGATTCTGCTGTTGAGTCAAAATCGGGTAGATAGTGAATGGTGTTGCTCTCTAGCCGAAATTCTCTGCCGCCATATTCTCTTGGTCGTTCAGGCACATCCGTTTCATCGCTGTAAAATGCTTTCTGGTATACAACCGAGGGACGCCCATATTCATTTATTGTTGAAATGACTTCCTTCGGAGTTGGACTGACAAATTTGAAGCAACGCAATGACGTGTTTGGTGCAAAATTGAATGACTGATGAATGTGTTTCATGGTCTCAGCGAGATGTGGATCAAGAGAAACTCGACCTATCACTCTTGCAGACGAATGTAGCTCTGAGGAACCCTGACTTTCACAGGTTTTGCCTAACATTTCTGCGGCAGATCCGGAAGGAAAAGAACCCAAGGGGGACTGGGATGATTCGGAGTCTTTTCTTGAGTAATTCATCTCATCTTGGCTGTAGCGCAAAATGGTCAGAGGATCATTGGGGTCCTTGACTACCGGGAATTTCAGGCCGTTGGTGTAACTATGCGCCTTTGGACGAACTGTCATCTGCGAGGAAGATGATTTTGGTTCTGATGACGAGGTTTCCGCGTGCGAAGCCAACTTGCTATCAAAAGATACACTTTTTTGCTTGTCATCTTGTTGATGCTTCCGCGTGTTGGGTGATTCATATGGCCCGTCAGAGAAGCCTTGTTTGGCCATATGTCTATGTCTTTTGGTAGGTGAACGGTCGCAATTGACAGCTTCAAAGCGCTGTCTTTTGAGGGGCATACTTTTGCTTTGACTCTGGTCTCTGGGCCTTTTCTCTTGGGCTACAGGATTCCCTTCCTTGTAGACATCATGCATATTTGCTCCGGGTTTGTTGGTTTCGGCAAACTCGGCAGGTACAGCGACATCTGGAAAGGGCAATTCGTCAAAAATCTCATCGTAAAAACTTTCACCCAGCGGGTCCTCTTTCGTTTCAGGCTCCTCTTCGGTTCCCCCTTCCAATGAGTCTCTCCCTTGATCAGAATCCGAGTAATACTGGCCGTCGGCTTGGGAAGACAAAGCGAGACTCTCATCAACCGAAATTTGGGGTATTTTTTGCACAGCTGATTCCTGGGAACGGCTGCAATTAAAACTCAAAGTACTGATTTTATCAGGAAAGAAGTCCTGAACACTATCCAGCGCAGTCTTCACATTTTTGACTTGATCATCGATATCCAAGAATGTCTCAAAGGTCGTATATTTGTCGCCATCTTCATGTTTCTCATTAGCAACAAGCTGAGATGCCATCTCACGAAATTCTTCCTCGTGTATCCAACCACCTCTCGACTGCACTCTCGGATCCGCAGACATTGAAACCAATTCCTCTGGTCCAAACGGAGTGCTTCCAGGATCAGTAATACCCATCCTTCTTTTGCGTCTGCGAGTTTCATCCTGCCAGAGCCCAGCCATGCTAGGCACGAGCCGCTCATTCACCGCGACAGGTTTCAAAAGCTCGGTGAAATCATGGTGCAAAGGCCGTTCCTTCACATCAAGACGGTTCATGATATCTTGAACGCATATATCAACCTCCAGCGCGCAATGGCTTTGTTTCTGTAATGCAGGATCATCGAGTATGCTCTCAGGTGGGACTGAACGATCGTGCCAGCGATGGGCTAAATTGCTAAGCTCGAGATAATCAGGTACTGGTGCTCGGAACTTAACCTGACTACACTTCATGGTCGCACATCCGTACAAGTTGTAGTCACACATCCATTGCGGGATATATTGCATATGTGCCTCATATGGTTGAAGCGGACGTTTCATCACGGCCCCCTGGTGCAGAAGATCGACCAGACGAGTGGTATGGAAGGGATTTAAGAGATAGATTTTGAAGAAGAATCGCCATCCGACATGGTATCCGTAGAACGGGACTCCTTTCACCAAAGTAATATGCGCCACAAACGCTGTCCTCCGATCGTATGCATTTCGGCGAAAGCTGACCGCGAGAGCATGATCGATTGAAAGATGAAGAGTTTGGATTGCCGAGTGTACTGAAATTTTGGTAAGTCAACCCATCAGATCATCAATGTGACTTATCACTAACCGTCTTCTGGTGCCAAGGACCCGTTGTATTCGATGTAGAGGTATGGAAATGCGCCATGGACATGTACGCAAACTCTCTGGCCAGTCTCGGTGGCTCCAAATATTCGAATCACAGGTACCTTAGGCTTAAAATCTTTCTCTGAGACCTCATCGCGAAAAGGCAGTGGAGGATCCAACTCCGACGCGGTCGCCTGATAATGATCGATACAGTTAAGACGCACATGAAATGGCTCCATCGCTCTGGTGTGTGGCGACCAGAAGCCACAGCAACATTGCGAGGGATAAATGGTTCACGCACCGCTTATCGCAAGAGTGTCCTTTTTGGCATCTCAGTAAGAATATGTACTTGAGAAAAACGCGACCAGGCATGTCCATGACAACGCGAGACAACGCCTAGTCACGTGCTTCATATCAATTCTCCACCCGCCAAGCTCACGCCTATCGCAACTTCACTCATCTTTTATCTCACAACAGGAGAGAGCTACAACTGGCTCGATCTACTTGCTCAGTTGCTTCCTTTTATTTCCTAATCAAATTTTGGCCCTCCCTCATTGAACTTACCAGTCATGTCACGAAAACCTGCGGATGTGGCGTCAAAAACGCCCAACGAGTACATTCCATCCTTCATCTCGAAAAAGCCGTTCTACGTCGACGATGAGACAAACAACGACTACCTGGAGCATCAACGTCTCCAGAAGGCCCTTCCTGATCAGTCAAAATGGTATGACCGAGGAAAGCGTGCGGGCCCAGCAGCCACCAAATATCGCAAAGGCGCATGTGAAAACTGCGGCGCAATGACACACAAAACCAAAGAGTGTCTAAGTCGACCCCGAAAGCAAGGCGCCAAATGGACTGGAAAGGATATCCAGGCAGACGAACTTATCCAAAAGGTCGATATGGGGTGGGATGCCAAAAGAGATCGGTGGAACGGCTACGATGCCACCGAATATCGCCAAGTCGTCGATGAATATGAAGAAATGGAGGCCATCAAGCGAATGGCGAAGGAAGAATCGAATCTCAAGAAACTTCAAGAGGGTGAAGATGGTGATGATGCCCCCGATTCGGATATCCGGTACGCCGAAGAATCCGATATGGGACGACAACAAAGTACTGCCACCCGCAACCTACGTATTCGAGAAGATACCGCCAAATACCTGCTCAACTTGGACCTTGATTCCGCCAAGTACGACCCGAAGACACGCCGAATGGTGGACATGGGCGCGCAGGATGATCAGGCCGCTGCACTTGTCGCAGAGGAGAATTTCGTCCGTGCTTCAGGCGATGCTGCGGAGTTTGAGAAAGCCCAGCAATATGCGTGGGAGTCACAAGAGAAAGGTCTCCCTCAACTACACATCCAAGCCAATCCAACATCTGGAGAAATTACTCGAAAGAAGGAGAAGGTTGATAGTGAAGCTAAGCGGGAAGCGCATCGCAAGGCTCTCCTAGAGAAATACGGGGGTGCAGAGCACTCAAAACCCAGTGCGCTGCGAGATACGATGGTCGTTGAAAACGAGCGATTCATTGAATATGACGAGAGCGGTGCCATCAAGGGCGCGCCCAAGAACGCAACCAAATCCAAATACCCCGAAGATGTCATGGTCAACAATCATACTTCGGTCTTCGGCAGTTGGTGGTACCAATTCAAATGGGGATATGCATGTTGTTATTCCACTGTGAAGAACAGCTATTGTACAGGGGAAGACGGAAAGAGGGCCTTTGAGGAAGAAGGCAACATGTTGATGATGACTGGAGCAGGCGACGATAATGAAGAGAACGCTGAAAATGCGGGTCTGTCCTACGAGTCTGAACAAGCCGATGGCAGAGATCAAGAGCAGGATTCAAATACCAATGGAAAAAAGCGGACGCTGGAAGAATTGAAGTCAGGTATCACAGAGGAGGAATTTGAATCATACAAGCGGAGCCGATTGGCTGCTGATGATCCTATGGCGAAATTCATAGGGAAAGATTGATTCTGATGATATTATCCATATACTACTTGCATGGGCGTTCGGATGTACTAAAATACCCTCTTCATGTGCTATTCAAATAATGAACAAATGCACAACCCAATAATTTGTGATTTATACCTCTCTTCCGTGTACTTGTCAAATCCCGCCTTAAATAATATGAATCAATTATATCTAGTTATGTAGAAGTCTGTAATTGGCTGGCTCTTGAGGACGAGCGTTTGTCACGTGATTTTATTCAAGCACAGACCAATTGATGCGAATGAGGGTTAGTCGATCACGGGATCCAGACAAGCCCTGATGGGTCCACGTGATTAACTAACGCACTCGCTTAGAGCACAATCGCCAGAACTTGGGCAAGTTTCGAGACGCTTAGCGACGACGACCCGACAACCAGCCCTTCAACGGAATTGCCAGGTACGTTCGCATGCCGGTCCCTTCACAAGTGCTCACCTCATCCTCGTCAATTTACTAACATATATCCTCGTCAACAGTTCCATAATTCAAGATGAGTACGTCCGATGCCGAAACATCGCACCGCGATCCTCCGCAGCGTCGAATAACTTCAAAAACTAACAACCGCCACAGCTAAGGGTACCGCCAGTTTCGGAAAGCGCCACAACAAGACGCACACTCTGTGCCGTCGTTGTGGTACGTATTACACCTATTTTTCACGATCCCACCCATCCGACCCGCAATCGCAAATTTCTACATCGAAATATGGATTTGGCGATTACGGCGAAGACAACCACACAACATAGCAAGGACATGGGCTAACCGGTGATATCTACGACTCTACAGGCAAGCGGTCTTTCCACATCCAGAAGTCGACCTGTGCCAACTGCGGCTACCCTGCTGCTAAGACCCGCAAGTGTACGCAAATACCCCTCCCGAGAGCATTGGTGATATGAATGATAGCCATTATTTGGAATCTGGGCACCAAATCGAGAACATTGGCTTACATGGGTTTTTTTTCTACGAACAGACAACTGGAGCGAGAAGGCTAAGCGCCGCAAGACCACCGGCTCCGGCCGCATGCGCTCCCTGCGTGATGTCCACCGCCGCTTCCTGAACGGCTTCCAGACCGGTACCCCCAAGGGTGCCCGTGGCCCCGTCACCAACTAAATTCCCTTTTTCGTCCGCACGGCGTCGCGTTTTCGTTATCGGAGAGGCTGGAATATGAATGAGGGGAGGGATCCTGGCATGACATGAATTAGCATTACAATCGAAATGCAATGGCAGTTCCGGTATCTTTCACTTTCCCGTGGAGTTGGTGTGTGCAACTGTCGATCACGTTAGTTCTCTTTGCCACACCAAGGATGACAAAGTAGAACTTGCGACGATTGGAAAAGTTTCGTTGAGGGGCTCTTTTCTACGGAAAGGGGCTGGATTAAAAAAAACCCTGGGAAAGCGTGAATGAATTTCCTTTTTCTTCGTTTATGGCTGGCGAATATCCCATGTCATGACAGATACAATGTGAAGACTCTTCCTACCATTTCATGGTCTGTTCTACTCAGTACGAGGCTCTTCGAGAAACAAAAACGCAGAGACTTGAATTGGACATGATTCAATGGCTTTTTCTGATAGGCTCGATGCTCCCGCGAATCTAATCCATAGTATACAATCTCGGCTCATGATTCTCCACGACCAAACACCTTGACACCGCCATCCCGTTGAATGAAGTACAACGCTTCTCGCTCCTCTAGGGTCTCTTCTTCACTCGTGGTCATCCCACCACCTCGGCTGATCCTCAGTACCCCGCTCACATCTTTTGCTGCTCCAGTATCCAAAGTGCGGAGCTGCATGACCGAACGAGCCCGGTGCGCCAGCCCAATAACAAGTGCTGCGTGTTCCGTCTCTAGTGGCAAAGCCAACTGCCCTCCCGATGTAGATGCATTGTGTATTAATGGGGCGTCTGTAGCTAACGTTAAAACTGTAGCATGTGCATGCTGTTGAACAAATAGTTAGCCCTGCCGCAAGCCGTAAACCTTGATTTTGCCTATCAGAAATTGATAAGCCCTTACCTGTTGTAGCGCTGTGATCCACTCCGACATCTCCGCTGCTCCAATTCCCATACTTGGACCTGTCGCAGCAAGCAGTAGGTCAGGCTGGTCTATGATGAGGAGAAGCTCGTCGCCATCTTCCATTGAGCTCTTTTGCTGTTCAATCACTGATGAGATATCTTTCTCCAGTGCGTCAAGGGAGGCGAGACCACGGCCTGAGAAATGGAGCTTCTTTGCAATCCCAGGTTCAGCCTGCTTCGGCGTCACAGTTCCTCTCGCTCCTATGGCCGTTGGCACACCCGGCTGTGGTGACCTTCCGAGTACAGTACCAGGTGCAGATCGCATTGGGAGCGTTGTGCGTGGACTGCTTCCCAGGCCAGCCGGTGAGATACTAGGAGGAGTGGCTGTAGCTTGCGGTGCGTAGAACAGCTCAGACAGGCCATCTATGAATGCAAATTGTTGCTTATCTGCCAAACGTGCAAGATCAATGCCCTATAGACCTAATTAATGATGTCGATCAAAGTATGTAGCAATAGATGAATGATATAAGAATTAGAACAAAAATAGATATTCCAAATTCAAATAGCACTCAACACGGTGGCTAAACTTACCAATCGCTTTGCCTCTGTCTTCCAGAATTCATAACTCCGCATGAAGCTCACCAGCACCACTTTCTTCTTGATGCCATTGTGCAGCTCGTCCGAGCCAAATGCCGCATTGGGGCTTGGTGAGCTCAGCGCAGCGTGAAGAAATCTCAGAATCAGCCAGTTTGAAGTCGCTCCAAGGATAGAAGAGACTAGTGTCAAAGATGAATCGGGCAGATTTGATACATATGAAGCGAGGAGGGGCGGTAGTGGGGGTTGAGAAGGCATTGTTGCGCCTCGATTAAGATATCGGTGCGGTCCTTTGTTCCTAGCAAGTTAAAAATGGACTGTGTCGAATTTTACTCTTTCTTTTCCAATTATTGAGTCTCTGCTTAGAAGTGTTGCTTCTGAACAAGTCGTGGAGATGATGTCGAAAAAAAATGTCTTCGGCTTGTGATTGGCCCCTCAGGTATCAGCCATGCCAAGACATAGGATATCAAGATGCTATTGTATGGGATTTGATTTCTCGTACTTTTTTCTCGGTTTATCTTCTCTCGGATATAACGATAGTAGAATAGCTAATCTATAATTTAACTCTCCGGCTATTCTCTACTCCAAATCTCTAGTTTGGAGGTTCTCTGAATGATGGGTGCAAGCATTATATATATTTCCTGTTATATACCACTTGCTCAATACCTACACCATGTAACTGAAATCTAGACTGATGAAGTTGACGAAAATCAAGATATCAAGCACAATACATCAAGGCTTCGAAACAATATACAAAACAGCCGACAAGGACTGTGATCAAAATCTCCCAAATATATGCCTGAGGCACCAATGCGAGTTTTTTGCACGCATCACCTGACCGTTTCCCCACCATTCGAGGGGAGAGATGGATGCATCTTATCCATCGCATTGCAAGAGGCTATGCTCTAGCGCCGATCGTGAGTACATTTTCCATTCTAGAGATCACTTCCAAATCGATCTGTGTATATGCATCTAAGCCCTACCATGCTTTTGTGCTATACATTGATACCCGATGTGGGGGTCCTCGCGCAGAGCATTTTTCGTCTATTATATCAAATACATTGACTAACTGTTTATACAGATGACTGCCGTTGTATGGCATGATCACAGCGCATTGGATACAAGATACGAAATATCCAAATTGCCTCGATAAAGATGACTAGCACTCGTGATTCCCACTCATTTGCTGTATGTATTGACCGGCTTACATGGTAGCCGAGATATAAAATGCAAGAGTTGAAGTCTGACTGTTCGAATAGTGCGACGAATGCCGCTTGCGCAAGTCAAGAGTAAGTACCTTCCTATATTAAAACCCGGCAAATCTCGGCTGCTCTAACTCGGATATTACAGTGCTCAAAAGAGCGACCAGTTTGTCTGCAATGCCGACAGCTGAACAAAGAATGTATATACAGTCCTAAAGTCAGCAGGAGTCCTCTGACTCGGCAGTAAGTAACCAGAACGGGAGAAAAAAAAGCTTGTATTTTAAGACAAGCCTGACCCTGACCTCTTCAGACACTTGACCTATGTTGAAGATCGCCTACACTCGTTTGAAACAGCCTTAGGGAGGCTTTTCCCAGGTGGTGATCTGGATGCCACTCTCCGCTCTCTTTTGCAAAACCCAGAGGCTGCAAGGGCCCCTTCATCCAAGTCCTCTTCAAGGCACTCAACCCCGGCCAAGCATGAGGCAGAACGGGCCGAGCCAGCACCAGAAGCTCTCCCACAGCAAGCCGATGGCTTTGACTGGGCCGAAAAAGAAATCACGCTTGGTGATTTGACAGACGGCATGGCTGCGCTGTCTATTAAGCCAGAAGGAGCTGGCTACTTTGGTTAGTCCAATATTCATTATTCTTTTCATCTTCCAAACTGACACATAGATCACAGGAGCGTCTTCAAGTGTCGTACCATTACGAGCACTTTTTGATCATGGATTTGACCTGAATATACCTGTTCGCTCGGCAAGGTCAGGAGGCGTGCCTCTTAAAGCACAGCTTTTAGAAAGTGCCCCATCTGGGCTGATCGAACAAGCGTTCATCGACGCTTTCTTCCTCAACTACCATACCAGCTATCCATTCATCCACGAGCCTACCTTCCGGATGCAGTTTAATGACCCATCTCTACGCCCGCATGGTACGGCCTGGCATATCCTCCTAAACACGATCCTAGCTCTTGGAGCCTGGTGTATCGGCGATGACAGCTCAGACCTCGATATTACATTCTACCAAGAAGCCAGAGGATACTTGCAGCAGGCATCTGTGTTTGAGACTGGCAATCTGACATTAGTCCAAGGATTATTGTTACTGAGCAACTATGCACAGAAACGGAACAAGCCCAACACCGGATGGAATTACCTTGGTCTAGCAGTTCGAATGGCCATGAGCTTGGGTCTTCACAAGGAGTTCCCTGGCTGGAAAGTCAGTCTCCTACAAAGAGAAATCCGCAGAAGATTGTGGTGGGGAGTTTTCATCTTCGACAGCGGTGCAGCGAAAACCTTCGGAAGACCGATCCTCCTCCCAGAGGATAGCGTGATGGATGCGAAGCAAGTTCTCAATATCCACGAAGAGGTATTTGTAACCAATATAGAACACAAAAAAAGCAGCTATAACTGATACATTACAGGCCTTGACCCCCACAACAATAACTCTACCGGCTGAATCGCCCGGCCCAACCATCTACTCCGGCCTAATTGCACAGGCCCGGTTCCATCTCCTTACCAATAGCGTCTACCAACGCCTCATCTCAAGCCCAAGTCTCACCCCAGAAGACACGCTGAACTTGCAAAAACCCATCGAAGAATGGTACAACAGTCTTCCGTCCTATCTCCAACAACAGCAGGTGTCTATCTCCATGCAGACAACCAATCTAGACCCAGATTCTCTCGCACTCGTGCGCAACCGCCTGCTGTGGCGAAACTGGAACCTTACCATTTTGATCTACAGACCAATCCTACTCCGCTGGGCTGCTAGACGCTGGGCCCCACTTACCGGCAGCGGTCCAGGCACCCCGGATGCAACGTCCGAAGATCCCTTCGAGACGGAGTGTCGATTACGCTGTCTCCAAAACGCGCGTCTGACCATCTCCTCCATCTCAGAGTACATGGAGAATTATATGTGCACCAGACTTGGGGCATGGTATATGCTGTATGTGTTTCCCCGTACCTACCTACACACCCAGTATTCCTTTCCACCAGAGCGACATCTAACATTACAAAACATAGTTACTTTCTCTTCCAAGCAGGCCTTATCCCCATAGTCTTCCTAATGACTGACCCCTCAAACCCAGAAGCCGCCTCATGGCTCCAGGACATTGAAACCACAAAAGCCCTCCTAACCCACCCCTCCCTTGGCACTAACCGCTTCGCAACCCGCTGCTTCGAAGTCATCAACCGACTCCTCAGCCCACCAGCGCACTCAGTGCCGCAGGAAATCCCAACTGATGGAGACCAACAACTTGAAGCCCATCAGCAACACCAGCACCAGCATATGCCCCTGCCACCGCAGCCTAACATGATGCCGTTCCCCGGGCAGCTCTTCAATGATCCCGGATTCGGTGGAAGCCTGTTCCCTGTCGAGCAGCACATGCAAATGAACACGGGGGGTATGGACTTTTCTGAATGGGTGAATTTCCCGGCGGCGGAATGAAGGACTGCAGTTTTGTTTTTAATTTTCCTTTTCGTTTCTGTATGTACCTCGCCTTGCATTGTAGGATGGATATATGGAAAATGGGAATTAGCACTTTTTTTTGAAAGTCATATAGGCATCAGCGATATTTCAAATGCATGATTTTGACATTGGACTTGATACACAGAGCGTGACTCATATGTCTAAAATAAGTTACATTCCCGGAACCAAGGCCCCTATCAACAGTTGACTTGGCAGTGGTTTTGGATATATCCAACGGACTATATGTGTAATATTCTCTTTGCGCCGTAAATTCTTTGCATTTCACGTTAGCGTTCATACCAGTTCCGCATGCGAATCAACCGGCTTGATAAGATCATCCTCATCAATCGGCGCTCCGCGCAACTCTGCTTCAATGTGCTTGATACGCTTCTTTTCTTCGTGGGCGGCTGTATCACCAAAAATGAGATCCATATCCTCGAGTGTCTGTGGCAAATAGTTAGCAAGATCATTCTTTCATGGACAATACATGCACAGGCTAGAACGGCTGATTACGGAACGTACCTTTCCACGAGTCTCGGGGATGCAGAAGAAGGTGAAAGCAAAGGCAAGAAGACAGAAGGCAGCAAAGAAGATGTATGTGCCCCAGGTGATAGACTCAAGCATGTCAGGCGTGATAAGACCGATGATGCTGTAAGACAGAGTTGTTAGATTCGAATAGCCCAATTTAGAACGCTACCACTTACAAGTTGCACATCCATGTTGCCGAGGTTGTGATAGAGATGGCCTTGGACCTAATAGAGAGGTTGAATATTTCAGAAGGAAGAACCCAACCGATAGGGGCTGGTGGAAGTGTTGTTAGTTGCTGGGAATGAAGGCACAAAGCAGTAAGACATGATCTTACCGAATGAATAGGAGAAGTTGATATCGTATATGTAGATAAAGGCGATACCGGTCCAACCGGCAGTTTTATTACTCATGAGTGAGGAACCAAAACCACCTAGGATGCCGCCAACGATCACAAGCGAGATGCAAGTTCCTGCAGCACCGGCCATCAGTAGAGGTCGACGACCGACTTTGTCGATGAAGATGAGTGCGGGGAGGGTGCTTAGGCAGTTGACGATGCCATAAACACCAGTAGCAAGGAGGGAGGAGGTGTTTCCATCCAGACCGAGCTGGGCGAAGATCGTAGGTGCGTAGTAAATCATGGCTATATGAATTAGATACTGCCATAGACGGATGAGTGGGTGTAGTAGAGGAAATGCATACCATTACAGCCCATGAACTGCTGGAAGAACATCACGATGCAGCCAATAGCCAACCGTCTGAAACGAGACCAGTTTGTCAGGAAGGACATGTACTTTTGCAACTCGTCAGTGAAATCCAATTATAAGAAAGGAATCAGTAACAAACCTGAGCAGCGTGCAACTTGAATCCAGAGAGGTTAGGGGAAGTATCCCTCATGAAGGAATTCTCCAACATGATCGAGGCCTTGATTTCAAGGTACTCGTTTAGGAGAACAGGACTATCGCGATCCTGGCGCCGCAGTCTTGAAAGCGCGTGCAGCGAATCGTCATCACGCTCCTTCATCAACAACCAACGGGGCGAATCTGGGAAGAACAGCATTCCAATACCGAGAATAACAGCTGGAACAAGCTGCAGGGCGAGCGGGAGACGCCACGAGGCATCAGACTGCCCCGTACAGCCACCAGCAGGAACATCATGGTAAGGGTCGAAGACAGGCTTTGTGATAGTACCACCGGAATATGGGATCTCAGGAGCGCATCTGGTTCCGCCGATGTAGTTGGTTCCATAGTCGATCCAGTAGCTGATCAAGATTCCAAGCGTAACGGATACTACGCGCGAATCAGTCGATATGTCATATATCCCAAGTTCAAGATAAACATACATTGCTGTAGAACAACAAGCCCTCCGCGAATCTCTGGAATAGAAACTTCAGAAATGTACAACGGTACAACCATGGTCAGTTGGCCAACCGCCAAACCAGCAATAGCTCGACCGACGAACAGCATTGGAATATTCATAGCAGCGCATTGGAGGGTGGAGCCAATGACGAAGACTACTACTGCCAGATTTATGGACATCTTCCGGCCCAGTCCATCGGCGATAGGTCCGTTGATCAAGGAACCGGCCCAAGCTGCGATCAATAGGGTTGACACGAACCACCCCTTGAAACTACTATCAGCGAAGATACGAGGATATCGAGCCCCAAAGGACTCCATGGTGATCACACCGCTAATGACACCTTGATCATAGCCAAATAACAGACCACCTAAAGTCGAGAACTGTTTCGAGGTTAGTGAATGAACGACATATCATACAAGACCAGACACTTACTGATGCCACACCACATAGAAATGGATTTTCTAGGACAAGTGCAAAGCCCCTCTTCGGGGCGCTAGCTGTAACAGTAGGCATGATATGCTAATATTTAGTCCTGAGCCGATCTCTGAGACGAGATATAGCTCCTGGAGCTAGACTTATAGTATATATATATATGATTTTTTCAAGGCAAGTATCGGAACTGCCTTCTGCCGTCCAGGAACACAGTACTCCGTCCGGGGTATACCTAGATGACGCAGGAACACGGTGATCGGTCTGGGGTATAAATGAATCAGGAACACAGTACTCCGAAGAATATAGGGTATATGGTCCTATTAAACGAAGAAAATAAATGAGTGGGCTACTCCGCAACTGAAACAAGGGGTCCGAAACTGGGGATATCAGTTTTCCCCGAATTTGGTGGGCCGAGTTTTGATATTGCGGGGAATCCCTGTCGGGGCCTGCACAGATTTCCTGCAAAAACCATTCGAAAAAAAAAGATAAACACTGATTTATTTGTACGTATTTATTTCTATATATATAGTATACTATATACATATATTAAAACACACCTTTCCTAGTAATAGGGATTATAACAAATACTTTGTACTCCGTACAAGCCCTACAAGAGCTCGGCAGGGTCCCGAAGCCTGAAGCCGGGTGGGGAAATGGCGGGTGGGAATTCTTGTCTTTTCCGGGTTGGATTCCGCGATATATCACAGAAACCTGATTATCAGTCATTTCAATATTGAATATTTGAGTAAATTGATTTTGAATGGCATTTTTTTAAACCATCGGCATCACAAGATGACTTACTATGAGCGAATTACCAAATTGGACCTATTGCTACGGTGAGTTTGGCACTCTGTGCTGCCCATGTGAAACCCATCTTCACTGCAAAAAACCGCAATTTGCGCAATTATGAGCGGATTTACGAGGGGATTGCGAAGTCCCATGCAATTTTATCGGCGTCAAGTGCCAAAGAGCAGCAGCTAGCTGCTGCCAGGTCTCCAGCCAGGTCTCCAGACGCATGTCATCTGCTTGATAGTCCACCAAGGATGGTTTCTCAAGATAAAACAGGCGCCGCGAGTTAGCATCTGACACTTTGAGTGCAATGTGATAAATTCTCACTCCCCTGGAGTCAAAATCTCCAAACTTCCAGATCTCAAAGTTAAATATCCAGATCCCAACCTAACCTTCCACCTCACCACCATGTCAACAGCCCTCCGCATCGGCATCCTCCTCGTAGGAACCGTTCAACTCCTCGACCTAGCAGCAATAGACCTCTTCTACATGACAACTCCAGAATACCTGCAAGAATGCTCACTGCCCCAGCCACTAGTCGACATGGGCCGGCCCTGCGAGATCCACTATATCGCGCACAACGGACCAAACGCAACAGTCAACACGACCTCGCAGATGTCCATACAACTAACCGACTCGCTCACGGGTTCTGCGGTTTCCCCAGGCAAGTTAGACATCGTGGTCATTCCCGGCCCACCACCTAAGGCTATGCCGCCAGCAGAAGAATACCTCGACTTCGTGCGCGCGCATTTTGCTGCCGGCACGCCGATATTGAGTATCTGCACCGGGGCATTTGTTATTGGGTACTCTGGGATTGCGAAGGGGAGGGAAGTTACTGCGCCGCGGTTGCTGGTTCCCGAGATGAGGAAAAGGTTTCCGGAGGCGAATCTGTGGGATGATTCGCTGAGGGTTGCTAGGGACGGGAATTTGTGGACTAGTGGTATGTTTTCTCTCTTATTTTTCTCCTGATCTTTCTATTCTCTTGGTTCAATCCGGAAATCCATGCTGAGACTGGATAGGCGGGATTACAAACGGACACGATCTGGTTATTGCGTACTTGCGTGAACACTACCCTGCAGCTCTGGTGAATACGATCCTTCTTGCTGCGGATATTCCTTCCCGTCCAACGGCCTATGCTAGTTCTGCGACGGGTGATACTGTCTATGTACTATGGCAGGTTCTTAGGGCACTTCCGAATGCGATGATTCGGTTGTTTGGGAAGTGAGTACTGGGCTTCTAGAAGTCTTGATACTTCATTCCACCGACGTCATCCCGAAGCCATCTGCGCCAAAATCGGCGATTAAGTCCTTTCTTTTTTTAATAAAAAAATAAAATAAAATAAAATGCAACATTAGTACGACGTACTTTTTTTGGGCTAAGACTTGTTGATTAAAATATGTCCAATTAAGTAAAAGGTCAAGCCTGCCAAGGCTATATGGGACATGCCTATCAAGCTCCACATCCTTGTCTCTCGACTACGATATCGGTACACGGCTCGAGTATGTACGGTGCACTTCTTGCAGAGGTAATTGGGGTGACGTGGGTTTACAGTTTCTCGGAGTGAATGGACTAGGATATTCCTGCTTTTTTCTACAGGGATATACCATATAGTAAGGGCTGTCAGTGAGTCTATTTAGTAGACAAAAGAGTGACAATTCGATTCCGATAACTGGATCGGTGATACTCTGTGCTTGAATACTAGGTAGTAATGCTTTTCCAATAGAGTGGGTTGAATTGTTGAAGCAACCTCTAGTCAAGATTTCGTCATATATTCTACCAGGAGCTTCTTCGGTGGAAATAGGAATGAAAGATAGAAGCCTTAGAGGCTTACTACCAAGAACCAAGGAGAAGTAAATCGAGAGCATAGATATCTTCAATCCTAGTTAAAATTGAGAGCTGATGGGACCTGAGAATTAGATATGCATGTATAGATGAAGCTCGTTGCTAGTTGAGTTCGTTGCCAATACGATAGCCTGCCGAAGCGACGGAGTCTCCGAACTGTGTTGCAAATTGCGGTCGTAGGACCATAACCTGTTAAAATACTACTAGCTAGTAAATATGTCATATCCTAAGTAATATAATGTAGTGCATTGGGGAGGTGTAGAGTACTATGAGAGAGGAAAGTGAGGTTGTACCGAGTCCTACTACTATAGAGAACCATGACGAATTGGGTTGGATCGTATTTATGAAATATCATATCAGATACAAATAGCAAGGTCTGATATGACAGTCTGTAGAAGTTAGTATTTACCCCACTAGCAACCTACATTCTACCCATTATCTAAAGCGAAACACGCAAATACGGTTCAATAGTAGTGCATTTCTTGCAGTTCCAGACCCTAAAAAAAGAATTAAAGAGCAGAAAGATAACAAAAAAAAAACGAAGACCCCCGAGAGGCTTAAGATAAAGATAAAGACAAAACAATCTGGGCGAGAACGCTCGTACCATGCAACGCGCTGCACCACGCTAAAGAGGACAATCGTAGAAGAGAAGAGAAGAAGAGAGAAGAAGGGAAGAAGAGAAGAAGAGAAGAAGAGGAAGGGGCTAAGAACGAGGGGAAATGTGAATCATGCCTATCCCTAGACGCAGGAAGAGGGTGAGTTTCATCAAAAAATTTCAAAAGTGAGATACGCTGGCCTAGAGCTTAGTCCACCTGACGAACCATGATAAGAGTCGAGTCGATTAACCCATGATGCTCATTATGAAGAAGAAATGAGAAAGGAAACAGGATCCGTGGCTCTCGTCAAGCGTGACAGCCTACAAGTTTTATCGCCGTTCGTGCGGTTCCCAATGGATGGGTTCGAAGTCGGAATTCTGGAAATGGGCTTGGTTATATGGGGAACTAGAAGGGGAGTTAGTAATGAGGCCGATTGTATGAGTAAGATAGCCCTGACAGAACTCACTTTTTGAAAGGGGTGGTGACTGGTAACGAGCGACTGAGATTTGGTTTCATGACTAATGGATTCAGGCGAATCTGCGGCCCGTCTGATGTTCGACTAGGCAGCGAAGTCATCGGTGGCGGGGCAGCGGATGGTGGCGCGATTTGTGGAGGGGGAGAAACAGGAATCGGGGGAATGGGGGCATGTGTTGGCATAGGCGATTGGTACATTTCTTGTTGCGGGGACATGCGGAATGGACTGGCGGGAGTTGGCGAGACAGAGGGCATTGGAGACATGGGAGCGCCCATACCGAAGGATGTGTCCTGCATCAGATTGGGGATTGCCATTAGGCTTGAATTAACGTCGAATCCGAGAGCAGCTTGGTCCCAGGGAGTGTAGTCGGACGTCATTCCGTATTGGAGGTTAACTATAGGTGCCATGGCCAAAGTAGTTTCGACTGGGTAAAGGAGATCATAGTGGCCTCTGTGTGGAATGTTAGACTTGGTACAACACATGTTAACTGCTGAAGTAACTCACGGTCGGTACAAGAGGCGAATTGTGGCACCAACGGGACGATTTGAAGACAGTAGGTGGGGTGTCACAACCTCGCCTTCACTTCGGTCGAGGTAAAGAATTTCAACACCAAAGCCGGAGCCTTCGATTACACCGTCGATTAATGCCTGGAGACCAACTTCGTCGATTTCGGTCTTCACCGGGTCTATCCGCGAGCTGCAGTACTGGTCCAGTGGCATAGGAAGGAAAGCCTGGTACCGGTGTGCGTTGAGCTTCATCCAGGCGCTGGTCAAAATCTGCAAGGCGAGACAATCAGTTTATGTCCAGTATCAAGGAAATAGCATGGCGCGTATCATCCGACAAGAAAGACTTACTCGGAAGTGGGTGATGATAGCATCAGAGGAGTAACCCTCATTAAATGCCTCAACAAGGAAAGACTCGTCTTGAGCTCCATTTTGGATAGCAGCATGGGTTCGGTTGAGGACTTCTTCTGTGGCATCGACAAAGATCTCGTAGATGGAATCTGACAGACCGACCCGATCCAAAAGCGAAGTAAGAGATTTCATTCTCTGAATCTCCGTCTCGATGCGGAGCGGGTCTCGGAGGGCGAAGAGGGTCTCGAAATAACCAAATGCCACAGCTGTACAGGATTAGCACTGGGTATGCTTGATATCGGATGTGATTGACGATACCTCTCCAACCACAATTCCCATCGCCTTTCATGATACGGCATTCAGGATGGGTGATAGCAAGTGCCTGTAAGCAGCAAGTTAGATGCAAGACACATGGTAACACAAGAGGCTCAAGCCACCAAAGCTTACATTTGTCTTTGTAGCTAGCGTAGGATCTGCATTTGAGTAATCCAACGCGATGCTGTGGCTAGACTGTTTAACTGAGACGAGGGGCCCCTGTTGAATTGGTGTCAGCCATTGCTGCGGGCCAGGATGATCCAAACCAATTACCTGGACTTCTGGTTGGTAGTTGTTGGAAAGCTTCTGGAAGCGCTCCATCTCGTCTGCTGAGAGGGCATTCATGTTGGCGGAGTGGGAGATTGGATGGCAGAAAGCAGCCGATAATGAAAGAGCTACAGGAGTAAAAAAAGACGAGGAAAAGGTGTCCCGGTAAAAACCAAAGGGGTTCTGCTTTTCCGGGAATGGCTGATGAGGAAAATGATTCCAAGTAGGTTTTGACAAGGACATCGCATACGGTGGAAGTTGGGCTTATTGGAAGGAGCTGAGGAGTCCGCGCTGTAGTTCTTATGTCAAGATCTTCTAGGGATGTTAGAAAGTGAAGTTGACAACCTCGAGGGGAAAGAGCAAATATAGATGGGAAAATAAGTTGACATACAGATCGAAGGGGCATTTCCTGGTAATCGGGCAAGATACGACAGCCTTTTTCTTTTCTTTTTCCCTTGTACACTGTAATGTGTCCCAGTACAGCGGATCGGCTTTTACTATCAGAGTCTCAGCATGACGATCCAGACGCAAGACACGCATAGTAGTCATTGATGGTCAAATCAAGCCCATGAGCACTCGGTGGGCCAATAGGATACGGGGGAGCAAAATGGGGGGAGGGTGTACTATAAGTCTCTAGTGACAAGGCAGTTTTCCCCCGATTGTGTAAAATGGAGGTTGATGGAAATGAATCCATCCAAGGGGAATATCACAATCACATTGTGAACATAAAAATGTCCATAGACGGGTTGAAAACAGGGGAGATGCTCTCAACGAGGGGTGCACGAACCACACACCGATTTTGTGCGACAGGGATGATAGAATGCGATCCTCCAGGTAATTCCCCCGGATATCGATTCCGGGGAATTATAGGAAACGAAGCAGAATAGACGTAATGGGCCAAGAGATAGAAAGGAGAGTGTATGACACACAATGACAGAAAGAAAATGGCGATCGGGGGAATTGCCCACCTTTGTTTATGGCCTTGCACACGATGAGATAATCATGGAGGGGTTGCCGAGACCGGGAGGTCAAACCTGAGAGTACGAGAGTCCAAGAGAATGGCTCTCCTATAGAAAAAGTTGGATAGAGTTGGATAGAGTTGGATAGAGTTGAGAGGATGAAGAGGGAAAAGGGAAATTAGGGAAATTAGGGAGTTTAGGGAAGTTTAGGGAAGTTTTGCGGGGAGACAGAGACGGTACGGAGTAGAGGGCAAAAAAATAAAAATGTTAGGAAGTTCAACCTTCTTGATCCCTCCATATATGAAAACCGGAATATATGTAAATTTATAAAAAAAAGAGAACAAATTAAAATGAGAAAATCATTCTCTTAAAAAAAAAGAAAATAAAACACAAAAAAAGCAAAACACCCATGGGCTAACACTAAGTATGAAGTAACGATGCACCGTGCCCCAGTTACTGTCTCATCCGTCCATACAGATGTCTGAAGATGCTGATCGAACAACACAAACATCTCGCGTAAACGTCCTATATGTATATATCTTTTTTCTCTTTTGATTTAGAAATTTATAAAAATTAGTATTTAGGATAAGTTGATATATGTATATTTACGTACAATTCCCCACAAACCCCCCTTGAGCTACATATAGTATATAAGTATATATTAAATGGCTTCAATAGTTGGGAATATCATTATCTTCTATATTATCTATATTATATGCAATGGATACGTACTATTGCCCGCGTGTATGCATCGGAATATCCAAACCCTTACTATCACCCCACCCCCATATCAAGTACGGAGTACCCACCAAATGCCTTCGACTAATCGGGGCTCCATATTCTCCACGCGCCCAGGACATATAACAGGAAAAGCAAAAAAAAAGGATCAAAAGCAAAGAGAGAAAGCACAGCAATCTGGTAAAAGGCCCCCAAAGCGGGGTTTGGAAACTCCAGGGCTGAGGTCTGGGATATTTCGTTTGATTCCGTTACGCTGGCCCCGGTGATGATTGGTGCAGCCCCCCGATTTGATGCAGACGGTCTTTGCTTTTCGTTTTGCTTTTTTTTTTACTTTCTTTATTGTGATTTTGGGGGCGATGGTGGCATTACTTGGTTTTCTTTCTCTTTGGCCCTTTTCTTCCTTTTTGAACCTATCATTTTATATACATTGAAATAGAATTGTCAATCACCCGACGAGGTGCTCGGATATCCTTGATAGGCTGAGTTCGGTTCCTCCGTATACTCCGTTCCCCGGTGTATGTGATTGTGAATACCTCCGGGCAAAAGACCTTTTTAAGATGCCGGTAGTTCCAAAGGATCTGAAATCGGACCCCGGGTGAGTCTACGGAGTTTATACAAATACTTCCGAAGAAATCAAAAAAAGAAATCAGAAAGGAGAATAGCTCCGTACCTGTTGCATACATACCATGCAATCCTATAGGAGATAAGGGTCCCATGTCGGGATATGTGTTCACATGCCTATGGTCTTCTCCTAATACTACCAACAGTATTACTTTTTTCCCCGACTTTTTTCACCTTTTTTCGACTTTTTTCGACTTTTTTCCGACTTTTAATTTTCTTTGTATCGGAGTATCGGAGTAGCCCTCTAGATGTCAAATTGTAATCTAGCCTATTATATGCCAGGTATAAGAGCTATATAATCCACCATACAAGATTAAGCTTCCTTACGTGAGACTTCTTAAGCTCCCGAGGGTCGGGAGGATTCACAACCCTTGGAATATCTACGGAGTACGGAGTACACATCCACTAAGTATAACACACATAAAAGAGTTCATCTTATCGTGATTTTAGCGTCTGTCAGACCAACTCTAAATAGCGGGTCTGGATGCTCTCTGGACTTTTTTTTACCTAGCAATATAATACTAAAGAAACGGTGTGAGATCACCTTTGTTGTTTGGCGGCTCGGGATATGCACACGTGGACCAAGGGCGCTTAAAAAGTCCTGTAACCGCTTCACAAGAACAAAGACGGCCTAGAACATCCATTTGGTTGGTGCTTTGCCTCGGCCGTCCTTGCGTGCACGGGGGCCTGTGGATCGCAGACCATCGTCTCCCAGACTCGGTTGGAAAATCGAAGTTGTATCGGTTGCACGCAACCCCTCACCGTTGAGGGTTGTTTGCCAGAGGGTGCGCAGTGCTGAGCTCCACTCTCCCACAGCTCGCAGCCGCTCCACGTCACTCGCACTTTCCACTACCACCGTACCATTATCCTGGTCAATCTTGGCGTTGAGCTTTTTGTCAAGGATGAGGAAACTGAGAATGTCCAACACCTCGGGTACAGAGACCTTGATGTGCTTGGAGATAAATTGTAGCGAAAACCGGGTGTATGGTGCAATCAATTTCAAAACCGCCTTGGTACGCATATTGCGGCTCACCTCGTCGATGTTCTCCGCAATGAAAGGGTCAGCCAATACGTCGGGATTTTTGCTCAGCACAGCCTCGTATGCATGTATGTCGTCCCGCTGGAAAGCGTCCACTAGGTCGGTCATTGCTGAAATACGTGGATCATTCTTGTATGGTTTGGTTTCCTGAGAATCGAACGGGTTAATGTCGGATTTCATAAGCATGGTCGTTAAGACGAGGTATTTGAGGACTTGGATTCGCTGCATGGAACCCGCCTCGTCGTAGTTTCGGAACGACTCGAAGAAGTCACTTTGAGCCTCCTTCCAGTTCTCTTCGCTCATGTGCATCTTGCCTCCACATTCGCGGATAATGCCCATGATCTTGGGATGGGGCACTGCTGACCGCACTCGGAGGGCCCGCTGGTACAAGGCCTTGAGTCGCTTGTTATTTTTCGTTTCCGCGAACATCTGGATCTCCAGAGCGTAGAGCTCGAGTAGGTATGTTCCTTTGCTGGTGTCGTCCGATCCGTCTTCTCGTTGGCATGCCCGGTGCAACTCCCGCATCTTCTTGCCCAGCTGTCCGTATTGCTTGCGCTCCAGCCATAGGCGAGCCAGTTTAATGTTTGTCTTCAGCCAGAGGCGCTCGTTGTTTGTGTTTTGAAATGACTCGAGGGTCAGAGAGTAGAACTCCTCCATACATTGATAAGCCTCTGCATTGTCGGACCCTTTCTCGATGAAGTCGAGCATATTGTTGATTGATTTCTCTGAATAATTTCGTGTAACAGCGGATTTGACATATGTGAGCAGCTCCCGGTAGTGTGTAACGGTCTAATCAAAAGATGGGAGTCAGTATCTGGACAGCTAGATGAGCTTCGGGCATGAACTCACATCGCTGTATCGCCCGAGCTTGAATTCCAGCTTGATAGCTTGTTTGAGACCTTTGAATCCCCTATATCTCATAGTTAGCGCCAGTTGTTGCGATCAGTCTAGGAGCCGACAATTACCAGTCGCCTTTGTCTTGTTCCATGGGCGCTATGCCTAGGAACTCGTCAACTGCCTCTTCCGGGTTGTCGACCTTGATCTGTTTGGCATTGTAGTATTTGTTCTCGATTCCGATGTCACCGGAGTCATCGTCATCTGCATCCTCGTATTCAAAGTCATAACTGCGATTTCACGGTCAGCTCGGTCTGGAAGATAAAGGGCACAAGGGACCAATACTCCTCATCCCCAGAGTCCTGCATAAAATCATCATCGTCCGACATCTTGGGCAGTCGTGTAATATGTAAAGAGAAGAAGTGTGGTTAGGATAGAGAAGGCCGCAAAGTGGGTGGGGTTTGGAGTGTTGGAGAAGCTTGGGTCAGATAACAGCTGCGAGCTTCCGCCTTTTGACTATCGTGAGGAGAGCACTGACTTGGGACGCATTGTACATTGTGCATTTTAAATATACTAACAATATTAATTCAGATTGTTTGAATAATGATTGTTCAATAGGCCTACGCTTATTCAATGTTATAGTTGAATGGTTGAATAGTTCCTGGTTGTTATTGTTCCACTCCCTGAATGTAAACCTATCGACTCCGTACTTATTGAGGACTTTTCAAGCGCCTACAATATACATACATGAATTATTTTATGCGAGAGATATTAGGCTGAATACTTGGGCCGCATACAGCAGAAAGGAAATTAGCAGATCCACCTGAATATTCGTATCCCACCATCTTTGTTGTCTCTCAGGGGCTTGGTATGTTGACTATTACAGTCCTAGTACGGAGTAGACTCTTTGCATATTGAAAGCTAAGTAAGAGCTTTAGTAACTATATAGTAGAGAGAGACCAAGGTACTTTGCAAACTTGTATCAAAAATAGCAACCTTGCAAGAGTAAGCCGCATACGAATTCCAAGATTCCTTCACGTTAACCCCTTATAGAAAGGCCCGGGGTATAACGCCCCAAGACCCAAAACATCCAGGAACATACGCGAACAAGCCCACAGTACAAGACAGGTTTAGAAATGGGCTGGATTTAACAGCCAAATTATCAAAAAGAGAGAAAAAAAGGCCCTTAGGTGGACCAGAAGGGGGCTGACGCTATTCGCCGATCCCTCCAGCCCTTCAGTGCGCGATGTCATCGACTCAGGCAGTCCTGGAATCTTCCCCCGACAACAACTTCGATCTTCTACTTGTCACATAATTGTTCCCAACCTTTATACGGTTATCGCTTCACAAAATAGCACATAATACGTGAACATACAGTCTATTACCCTCTTAATCTCCCTACCCCGACTCTCCTGAATCACTTTGCGCTATGCAGCTGTGCGGCCGTCAGAAGGTGGTCCAGCGCAAGATGGTGCTGCTGTTAGTTTTGATCGGAATTTCCCCGCTGATTATTGGCGATTGGTCTGACATTCTCACAGAGGCGATGGTGCCTGCGGCAAGACATCTGCGCTGAATGTGTTTACTCGTGGGTGCGCAACCTCCCCCTCACCCCGTCTCCGATGATGACAGCATAGCTAACGGACTTTGCCAATTAGATTCTTCCCCACAGTCTAGTAAGGAATTATGCTATATTTCAATCATACTTTCAAGTGTAGGTTACTGACTCTAGTTATAATTTCTGCTTAGTGAGCCTACGGTCTTTGGTATGCGCGCATCCCCCCGATTGAATTTCATGAACCCGCAATTGGCTAACATCAGGAAATATAGAAAACTACGTGCACGGTACATGATCACCCCACCCCATCCCCGCTGACCACGATCCTCGAAACTCACACGCATCCTAGATATCTTCGTCGATAACATACATGTGGAGCTCTCGCTATGGGATACCGCTGGCCAAGAAGAATTCGACCGACTACGCGCACTGTCCTACGAGGACACACATGTTCTCATGCTCTGCTTCAGTGTAAGAACAGCATTTTCTCCCGAAATCCACAGAAATATGAGCTAATAATTCTGATAAATAGGTCGACAGCCCTGACTCCTTCGAGAACGTGGCATCGAAATGGATGACCGAGATTAACGAGAACTGCCCGGGCGTGCGCGTAGTCCTGACAGCACTCAAGTGCGATCTGCGCAAGGACGAAGACATGAACGACAACCCCAATTGCATCACCTTCGACCAGGGCCTAGCGAAGGCAAAGGAAATCGGCGCCGTGAAGTACCTGGGTGAGTGCTCTTCAATTCATGTATATCTGATTACACAGCTTACATTCTTTTTAGAATGCTCTGCGGTCCAAAATCGCGGTATCAGAGAAAGCTTCTACGAGGCTGCTAAGGTTGCCCTCGAGGTTAACGCGGGCGGGAGCTCCTCCTCCGGTTCCGGCTGCATCATTCTGTGAGGTTATGCCTTGCAGTCCATTCCTGACATAGTAGCCCTCTATGTCTATCATATTGACCCTCGTTTACTCGCCGATATCCATCCTTGGAAGATCTCCATCCTCACTTCCCATTTGCTTTGTCCTCTGTTCATTTTTGCTTTTCCCCACGTTCCGGTTGGATTTATTGATTCCCCCATGCATTCGGTGTTTTGAGCTTGCTTTTATTTTGAGCTCGCTGTCGACTTTACTTCATTACCAGGGCAGGCTATGTCTGCTCCATTCAGACCGCATAGAGACCAGTCTATGTTGATTGCATGATTGCATAGCTCCGGATTTCTTCGGAGCATTTCAGCGAGGTTGGTTTTTTGACTCCTAATTATCATAGTCGAATATAATTTTCATTGGACTTTGCGGGGTTTTTAATGTATTTATTCTTCTAATATTTTCTTCTTTAGTGAAACGAAAGTTCTCGACCCATATCTCACCGCCTTTGTTCACCGCTCTGGGATATTCCCGATAAGGTACCTCGTCATTGAAGTTTACCGCAAAGATACTTGACGTTGGGTTACTTTTCCTGTCGGCAGTATTTCTGAATCATGTTGCTCGATAACTTTTAAGGACCTGCGGCAAGGTTAGTTTCTCCACCTTCTGTTTTCGCTTATCTGATGTGGCCTAATTCGCATTGCAACTATCCATATGTATGAATACAGCTATGTTCAAAATGCAGTTCCATGTTGAGATTCTTACATTACATCCTCATTGTGATTCAAACCATCTCCCTAAGCACAACTCTTTAGGTGTCCAAGCTACCAGCCAAGCCACATACATCATACATATAGGTTCTACAAGCTTGACAGCTGAACTATCGAACAGCATGAAACAACCAAGCGAGAGAAACATGACACAATGTTACAAACCCCGCATCATCCAAGCAGAGTATCCAGCAGCACAAGCTCTATACTATAACAAATCCTCCTCCCGAACCTGATAAACCTCATCAATCTTCTCCCCCAGCGAATTCTCCCCGCATGCAAAATCCGCATTAACCCGATTAACAAACTTCTCCACAAATGCAGCAGCAACATCCCCAATATCTAATCCTGGAACACCCACACCCTGTAGACTAGTAGCCTCCTTGCCCTCTAGTCCACAAGCTACAATCTGCTTAAAGAACCACATCGGCTCATCCGTGACGTTAAGCCCGATTCCAAAGCTGCTGATGTTACGTCGCAAATGCACTCCCACAGCTGTGATCTTCCTCGGTTGCGATCCTGATCCTGGCTTCACCCACACCCCCGGATCTTCTGTCGTAAACCCCTCTACACCGTAGCTCTTCAGTAGGTCGATGACGCTGTTCTCTAGAAGACGGATGTGGCACCGGGGTGTTAGGCCTAGTCGCTTGAGATCCAGGATCGTGTACGCGACCATCTGGCCCGGCCCGTGGTAGGTTGTCTGTCCACCGCGGAGAGTGGGGTGGTACTCTGCCTTTGGTGGTTGGCTGCCATGCGGGGTGAGGAGGGAGCGGATTGGTTCGAGAGGTGAGGGGAGGGAGAGGTTGGAGTTTTTCGTGTCGGGTGGACTTGTGTTTGAAGGTGGGAGGTCGCGGCGGCCGGTGGTGTAGACGGGGTTTGGGGTGAAGGTGATGATTGTTGGGTCTGGGGGTGGAGGTGGGTACTTGGCGAGTATGGCGCTTGAGCTACTCAGATCCTGTGAGGATATTGAGCCTGGGGAAGCGAGCTTTTTGTGCGTGAGGAGGTTGGTTGTGAGGGTTTGTTGGATGTGCGAGACGCGGCTGAAGGGCGTTGTGTGGGGGAGGTGGAGGTGCGCGAGTCTCATTCTGGGTGGTTTTGATGATGGTGGAATGGTTGAGGTTTTGGGTTTATGAGAATTGGATCTCTTAGTGTATTGTAAGGTTGTGGGAGAGTGTTTGCGTTTTCCGCGGAGTACGAGGTTGGTTGTTGCGGAGAAGCTGTAAGCTCGCTCCGATAAGGTTTGATAAGTGGCGGCCCTCTGCGGTCTCTCTACGGGATAGGGCTATCTATATGCATTGAATGCTGGCTATTCCGAGTCTAACATCTACAGATATTGTGTGAATTTCGTATTTTTTTATCCCCTCCCAACCATGCAAGCATAAGCCATTCGACAAGCCGACAATTTTAGACAAATCAGCCCAAATGGAACCAGACATTGGCGCAATGTTCTCTAAAATGAACAGCTTAATTCCACTATCCGAGTTGGTGAGAGATATAGTGTCAATGTGGTAGGAAATATAAATCCATTGCTATACACTTATTTCTTGTATTTCAAATAGAAACTGGAGCATATAGACCCCAAACTATGAAGAAGTCACGCCATTGACCAGGCCAGAGTCCTGCTCAGCAGGAAGCAGAACCCAGTCGCGCACACCACCCTTCCAATCTGCGATACGACCCTCGGTAACTCTAACAGTAACAACCTGCACATCAGTATCAATGGAAACGCTAGGCCGTCTTTGGCTAGGATCCTGTTGGTGTTGCTGCTGGCCGAAATTGATCTCCTCCTCCTCGAACGTATTATTCTCCAAATGGCGAGCCTTGCACCATGACTCTTCTTCCGATCCGGACTCCAAGAACCGTGCCTCGCCCGTAATGGTAGTCGAGATGCTAGAGAGCGCGCTGGTGTTTAGGTTGAGTAGTAGGCTGGCAAGAGACGAGCGGGTGGCGGCAGGTGGTGGGGAGCCATCGCGGTCACCGTGCGTAGGGGCCCGAGTGGGTGGGCGATGCGAGACCCAGTCGTGGACCAGAAGTGAGACTCGTGGGTTGGACAGCAGGTGGTTTGTTTTGCGTGATGCGGGGTTTGTGGTCATGATGATAGTGGGGTGCGAGTCGTATGGCGTCGAGGGGAGATAGGTGTAGGACATCAGTGAGATATGGGGAGTTTTGTCATCGCATGTTGCCAGATGCAGCTTGATTGAGCCGATACAAGGTCAGTTTGGTGAACTGGTTGTCTGTTGCATGGTGGCGTGGTACTTACGAAACGGGAGTTTTTGAGACACGAGATGACCTCGGATGGCAAGGAGGTAGCGACATGGGGATGGGTGGTGGTCGCAGATGCCTCGTAAGACAGCGGGGGGTTGACTGATTCGGCCATTTTCTTAAACTCTGAGAGCCAAAATAGCAATAATGAGGTTTGGAGGGGAGGGTCGAGATCTGCCCTCCGGGGGCGGTGTCCTATTCCCAAAGGGTTTAGGCGCCCGCTGTTCTAATGTCCGACAACGGCAACGTCATCATTCCATGTTTGCCATTGGAGTTCCAACTTGCCTACTTCGCAGGGTATACCCCCGATCTACGGCGATTTGTTTTAGACTCATTTTTCGGTGGATATATTAACCTCGGGTCTAGGCACCTCAGTACCCATATACACATATCACAAGTGATGTGCAAAGAGCGTGGAGCCCAAACAACGTCATACCTCATAGCGGCAGATATATCGGATCTTGTTTATTGCATGATATTTGCATCGAGTACAAAGTACAGGCAAATAGCCGTGTCTTTACGCCGTACTTTGTGCTCTATAGCACTACATATAGTACGGAGTATGGAGTGCTACAGATGGTACATATGGTACATAACAAATGCACAGGGGATGTACGCCACCCCACGGATATTTGCAGTCCAACCTTGGAAGGGTATCGAGTACATCCCAGTAATGTCATCATTACCCACATTTTAATGATGGATTGGCTGTAAACTTGGGCAAGTGATACCAACATAACCCGTACTATTACCCTGTACCAAGAACTCGGGGAAGCTCCTTCCCCGCACATAACCGTTAACAACATCAACATCTCCGTACTCCCATACCGAGTCCAATTCCATACTGTAATTATATTACCTCTCTGATCTTTCTATTTGCCATTTGTTACTGATACTCCCCGTATTGGACATTTCTCATCTCCGGTCCAATCGGTCACACATCCACCGATCATCGCCCCCTTCTTCAACACTCCCTGCAACTCCAGCCTAATCCCTGCACTTAACTCTCCACTCTCCTATTCCCCCTCAGTTTGTTTCTACCATCTTCACCTTTCACTATTCTCACACTCTCCACTCCTATCCCTCTTCTTTCTACTGCCTTGATTCTATATATCTTACCAACTTATTGCGAACTCTGGATTAACCATTGTGAAACGTATTTTCTGTCTCTTGTTCCTTCCACATTCCATCATGTTGGGTCCACGCGCAGCACGCTCAGCCCGCTCGGTGACTTCCCTGTTGCGACCCTTTAGCTCGTCAGCTGTGGCCTATCGTTCTCCCTCTATTCGAGATATTACACTCCAGTCGACTGAGGACTACCTCAGACGGCAGAAGGAGTTCCGCGAGAATTTGGAGCAGGCTCGTTTGAGAAGAGAACAGCAAGAGAGTCAGTCTGTCAATGCTTCTGCTTCTTCGTCTTCTTCTCCCCTCCCCCGTGAGTACGCTCCCACTGCTCCACAAGTGAGCAATGCGAGCAGACATGATCGTATCTACCCTACTTTCGATGCTGCTACGGCGCTTGACCACAAGGCATTGGGCTCACTTTCAGCGCATCGCTATTTAGGAAATGACCAGCAACAAGAAGCTGTGTCCAAACGTGGACCTTTGTCCTCGCTCATCTACGGCACAAAGGAGGGCCAGCACTTTGACAAGGATATGGAGCGCTCTTTCTCCGAGGTCCTAGCCCGCGGCAAATACGTCCATTCCATCGTTATGCATGATGTTAAACCTGACAAGGTTGATGAATATGTTGATCTGGTGGGTCAGTGGTACCCTCGTATGGCGGGTACCGAGGAGAACCGTGTCAACTTGGTGGGCAGCTGGCGGACGCAAGTGGGCGACAATGATACATTTGGTAAATCCTGATCGAATACCCTAATCGTTTTCTATGGGCTGACTTTTGTCCTTTCTTGAATAGTCCACATCTGGGAATATCAACGCTACGAAGGCTACCACGCCTCCCTTCACAACATTTCGGAACACCCAGAGTTCCGTGAGTTTGATCGCAAACTCAAGAGCCTGATTAAGAGCAAGAAGACTTCGTTGATGCAGGAGTTCTCGTTCTGGCCCACAACCCCGCCTCGCCGTCTCGGCGGAGTGTTTGAGCTTCGGTCATACACTCTGCACCCGGGCAACCTCCTGGAGTGGGAGACCCACTGGCGCCGTGGCCTTACAGCTCGTCGCGAAGTTATGGAGGGCGTAGGCGCATGGTTTGTGCAAATCGGCGAATTGAACACAGTGCACCACCTATGGCAATTTGCCAACTTGGAGGAACGCAAGATCTGCCGCGAGCAGTCGTGGGGCGTGGAAGGCTGGGCGGAGACAGTTCACAAAACTGTTCCCTTGATCCAGACCATGCAAAGTCGGATTCTTGTCCCGATGCCCTGGAGTCCTGTCGGCTAAATTTGAGAGCCAGCTGAAACGTTTTCCCCTGGCCTATTCCTTGGATCTTGGCGTCCAGGGTAGCTTCATTGTTTGAACGACTAGGACTCGCGAGGTGTATTGACTAAGATTGGTTCACTACCCCCATACCCTTATTTCCTTTCTATCAGGATGCATGTTTTGGGGATACTAGGCCCTATGCATCCGATTTTGTATTGTGTACCTAGGCATTAAGCATTCACATCCATTCAAACATCAGACCTCTTTTAGGAACGGAGTAGAGCCCCGGTTCCCCCATAGTTGCCAGTCCCGAGCGCCCGTGGACAACCCCACTTCTTGGCCCATCTTAACCCTCGGGCATTTCATTGGCAACGCTTACGCTCGGGAGAGGTGTCGGTTGAATACCTGCACGTGGGTTATCGACCTGGCAAGGGAAGCATCGTAGTCAAATACTTACATGCCTAATAGATGTACATATATGTATGTATATGTACAATAATGACTATGTACATATACAATCACAAACATCTCCGATCTATCCAATTCATTTCTCTCCGCCGGCAGAAAAAAAAAGTCAAAGTCAACAAAACATCAAGACCAAGTGGCCTCTTTGTCCCTCCATCGCCGATCTTCAATATCAAGCCCCTCAAGAATTGCATCTACGGCTGTTTCCATAACAGAGAGTTGATTCTCTTTTATCTTCTTACACTCTTTCTTCCCCCTTTCCCGGCTACCTCAACCATCCCTCGACCCTAATCGCGCGTCTACAACTCATAGAGGTGCCCAACCGCGCGTATTCAGAGGCGAGCACCGCAACAACGACAACGAAAACCACATCGAATATATGCCTCGTGGTTAGAAGGGAATACACAGATACTAGATACTCGTGCGCTCACACACGCGCAAAATAAACCTGAAAATGGTTTACATCCGGCAACATGAATTGGCGAATCTGAAGAACTACAAATATGTCGGAGTCGATCATTCTCTTGTCAGTCGGTATATCCTCAAGCCGTTCTACAATAAATTTGTGATCCACTGCTTTCCCATGGGGATGGCGTAAGTATATTCCCTCTCCTTACTTTCGTTCCCCGGACTTTTGTGTACATGGATATCCATGCTCGCGTGCCATTTTTTTTTTCATACTGAGACAGATACGTTGTTATTCTTTCGTCTTCTGTTGTCCCATTCCAAATGATCTATACGCAGCGCAATATGGCTGACTTTATTCTTCTATTCTTTGCGCGTTTAAAGACCCAATGCCGTAAGTTTTGCCCACGCGACACTATTACACTATTACAATTGCCAGAGTATAAGAATCGATCCTAATCCCTTGCTCAATTCGGTAGATCACCCTCAGCGGATTCATGTTTGTGGTAATTAATTTCCTCACCGTTATGTGGTACAACCCCAATTTGGATACGGACTGTCCGATCTGGG